CCCCCCTTGCCTGCTGCAACGAGTAGATACTACATAGTACGTACATACAAGCCATGTCAAAGGAAATCCCTTCGTCAACTATCGTGCAAACAACATGATTCACGGTGGGTGAGCCGCCAAACACCTTAGTCCCTCACCGGTCTGGACCACCGACTTGTCAGCTCTCCTGCAGGGAACCAGCGGGGCAGCACAGCACGCCGTTGAATTTTGACAGCCAATGGAGAGAATCAATTAGCCCAGTCAACGATTATGCTTTATCAGGTTCTCAAAAATCAGGAGAAAAAGGTAGTGCCAGAATCATCCCAAGCAGGACTACTCGTGGTATGCCACTTAAGGTACACAACATCAAGCAGTGACAAGACCCACGCGTTCCCGGGAACCCATAATCCTACATAGGAGAGACAGAGATAGAAGCAATTGAAGGTGGCAACCTTGCTTCATCCCGAGGCCACGATGCCTTTACCTGGAATAGCTAGGGGGAAGTTATTATATAGTAAAAGAGAAACAGATTAACTAAGTTACTCCACAACACAGAGGATTCAAGACTTCCCTGCGGAGACATGTTCCGCAACGTCTTGAATGACGCAAAAGGCATCTCATCAGTAAAAGCTCCGTACAATTATTATTCCTCGCTATGTGTGGTGGCATCTTCTAGAAGAACAATGGCTACCGATCAAGTTATCGGAGTAAATGGATTGCTTCCGTCTGCGGAAATTTATTTTATACACACACACCCACACAGACACACACACACATATATATATATATACCACATACATATACGCGGCACAATTGGAAGATCCTTGCTCCGTATCATTCAACCAGCCAACAATACTCCATACTGGCAGGAAGCCTGAATGGCAAAAAACAAGCCTATATGCTTTAGAAGACGATCCTCCAAGCGGCAACGACGGGGCGGTTAAGACCAATTGGTGGAACCGCATCCGACCCGGAATTATGGGGCACTTGGTGCTCCGGCGCTCCGGACTCTAGTCCCGACCAATTAAAAGCCCTGTTTCCGCACTGATCGTGATCAGCCCTAAGTAGCTGTGTTTTCCTACTTTATTATTATGTTATCAACGACCAGGATGGAAATCGACCGGTCTATCTATCTACTACCTATCTCTCAAGCCCATTGCTGCACCGGTCAATTGGTTGAGAAATAATAATCAATGACATCACAAACGTCATGGACTGGACTGGAACAAAGAACGGTATATGGTACACGCAGCCTGTTTCCGGGGTAGTGCCGTCCCCTGCGATTGGTTTGATTGAACTACCACTGTTGGTCCTGACTGAAAATGACAGCTCATCTCGATCTACTGACAGACGGATACCTGGAAGCTTCCAGTGCTTATAAGAACGGTAATATCAATGTCAATATCAATAACAATGTTAATATCGGAGAATAATGGTAGCATTGAGTTTGTATAATAATATATATCTTTGCTAAGAATACATTCAGATCCCTCCGGATGCCAACAAGTAGGAATAGGTGGTAATAATATATAGTAGTGGAGGTTGTTAGCCAACAATAAAAAGGTTCAAACCAAACAAAAACCTGTCCAACATAATCCCATAATCATGTGTCGAGAAACATAAAGAAAAGACAAGAAGAAGACGAAAAAGAAATCAAACAACACACGAGTAGAGTCTGCACAGTCATAATGTGTTTCCAGCTGTAAACAAAAGTTTTTTTTTTTTTTTTTTTTTTTTTGTTTTTTTCTTTTCTTTTTTATCTTTTTTGGGGCGGGTTCAAATCTCTTTCACATAAATTCGGCAATTCACATATCAAAAGCATGCAATTGACGGCTGACTGTGCGCCAGTAGTCCAACATCATCTCCATAACAATGTACGCCTCACAGCCACGGTCTTCTGGCCCGACGTCTTTGGTCTCCTCACAGAGTAGAGGGGCAAAAACATCAACAATTCGGTCGCGCGTCAACAATCCAGCCCGACTGATGGGTGGACAATGTTTGGTGCGGTAAAAATCGAGCAACTGGTGGGTTTCATAATCGAGCAAAGAACATAAACCAAAAACGGCACAGAGGAAATCAAACTGCATATCGTTCGTTAGAGCCAGAATCGCCAATGAAATGACTCGAGCTCTAGTCGGAGACACTGCCGGCAAAGCTCCATTGTAGCCGAACTGGGGTACAACGGGTTCGTCGGGGAATTGGCGATGTATAATATCAACAAGCGTATGGTAAAGACGAGGCGCTCCCAGAATACCACCTGGAAGCCCTGCCAGAATATTTTTAAACGTCCATGCAACAGGAAGGACGTGGAAGCGTCCGCGTATAGAGTCTTCTTCGAATTGATATGATTCAAGCACCTTTGGAAGAAAATCGCTTCTTCTTCCTGTAAGGTTATCCATATCAATTTCTTTTTCCACCGATACAATCTGATCGGCAAAGTGGTTGTATATATCAGAAGCGAGAGAAAGGTCGCCTTCCTCGGAAAAGATGTTTCGCGCGTTAGGTCCTACCAAAAGAAAAAAGAAAATTAGATTAGGTATCATTAGTGAGCGGCGTTTTTTCACGATGCCATACCATGAGTTTTCAAGTAATCAATCAGTGAGACTAGAAAAGCTGGGAGTCTCATCACTGCCGGGGCAAAGTCTCCAGGCAAAGTAAGAGCGCCATAGCCCCATAATCGGCCAAGTTTCTCAAGGGGTTTGCCTTTGATAGCGTTCATGGTGTGGTATTTGGCGGACAAATTTGAGAATGTTCTCACACGTCGCAGAGTCGGACCCTTTTGAGTAGAAGGAGGTGCAAAGCGAATATATGAACGTACACTCCGCATCTTGCGAAGAAACGTTTCCATTTTTGAGGGCTTATGGCGAATGAAACATTGGTAATCTAGACAGACGAGTTAGCACTTGGAGGGCTGGCTTTGGCAATATATTGTTGGGCACTTACTTATTGGGTCGTTCTCAGGTCGAATAAGCGTATACATGCCGTAGAGCCTGGCAAGGACATTGAAAGCGTCGAGAGCATTCTCTTGGCGACTCGGTAATTCCGTATCGGAAAAGAGCCGCTGTGGAAGAGCATATTCAGGCAAGAAGGATATAGCAGGGGGTACATATTCACAGCTTTCGAAAACACAGGTTTCTCCCCCAAGACTGTGCGCCGGACTATGGCTAGGTCTTGGGTGAGAGTAAGCAAAAAGAGGCGCAAATTTTGGAGAATCAAGTGTCGCATAGGTTATGCCGGGAACGTATTGAGTTGAAGGGTCGGTTTCGCTGTCGTCAACCCCGAAACTGATATGTCTAGAAGGTCTACGGTAGACGGTAGCGCTACTGGTCTTAGATCCTTCGGACAAGATAGTTTGGTCGCTTGCTTTTCTAGGGTGCTGTTCAGGAAGTGCGCTCGTTGCATCGTCAGCAGGCTCGTCTGTTCCACAGACAGCACCAGTAGACGAGACTTCCAGGCTGTTGTTGGACGTGGTTTCAGGCTGCTGCCCTTCGATGGATTCTTTTACTGGGCTAGCAACTGTCAAGGCTGGGTTTGCTGTCAAGGATTGGCTCGTTTTGGAACGACGGAAGGCTGTCTTGACAGAAGCAAAGAAACTGGAACTCTTCTTGTGAAGCAGGTTGCAATGAAACTTGGAAGAAGCACTGAGGAAGCTCGATGTTAGATTTAAATACTAATAAGTAGCAACAATGCAGGGAGAAATACCTGGCTTTGATGGTAGCCAGGCCACCCTTAACAGGGCTCGGCTCCTCCGTTGGGACGCCGGAGATGTCCTCAGGGGCTTGAGGGTCGTCTTTGAACAATCAAGTTAGCGCAAGAGTTACTATTGAAGGAAAGAACCGTGCGATTGGGGGTATTACTTACTTTCGACAGTTACACCGGACTGGCTGGGAAAGAGATCTTCTTGCTCAGGGGCAGTGCGCTTCTCATAGTCATCTGCGACCGGGAGCAGAATGTCAGCAAAGCAGGGCACGGTGCTTATCGTTGCAGACAGGAAGCAGAGTAGAGACAATAAATAGCAGATAAACATGAACAGGAATACAAATAGAGGGTAAAGAATAAGGAGAATGACTTACCTGTGGTAGCGGCTGGCGCGGGGGGAGACTGGTCGGGTGGGAGGTTGCCGTTCTCCGAGAAGGCTTTGAAAATGCTGTCGTACAGCTCTTCTTTCAGCGCCTTCTGCTCCCACTGCAGCTCCTTGACAGCAAAAGGATGAATGAACTCCTCAAAGCTGGTGGAGCGAGAAAGAGACTCGGGAAGAGAGGCGATGGTTTCTTCGTCTGCAGGTCTGGTAGCGCCGTCAAAGACCTTGAGGAAGCGCAGACGGACCATCTTGGCCGGCGCGAGAGGAAGAGAGAAGACAAAAGGGGGTTTTCTTAGAGTAAAACGATTGGTTTGGATTGGTTGGGTTGATAAGCGAGGTTCCTGCCACAGAGTTGGATGTTCTCTGATGGAAGGAGCGATGGAAGCGATGAAAGTGAGTGATGAGGAAAGAGGGAGGAGAGGAAGAGAAAGAAAGAAGGAAGGAAGGAAGGAAGGAAGGAAGGAGGGGCAGGACAGAGGGAAAAGCAAAGGAAAGGACCGGAGAGACGGAGTACGTCACCGCGAGTTAGTTACCAGATTGGGAAGGAAGGAGGCCTGGGGCGCTCCGGCATATCAGAAGAACCGATTCTTTCTATTCGACCAGAACTGACAAAAGCATGAACTGACAAAGCAGACATTCATCATCCCAGCATTCCCAAGCACGTAGAACAGATCACAGAGCTCACCGTCGCGCCAGCTCCCTGGCTTGGAGGAGACAGCATGCCTGAGGCATGCTTTGCTGCGGCGGAAGTCGGGAGTGTGAAGCCCCTTTGGGACTTGCGCGATGTCATGGGATGGAAAAGGGAAAGAGCAATCAATCGATATATTCGCCGGCGTAGATGCACCCACCCTCCTGCCTGAAACGCCAGTCCGCATGCAAAAGAAAGAACGTAGAAGGAAAGAGCGACTATGTACACCACCTGCTACTATTCATCGTGCTCGCCCTCAAGTAGAATGTACTGTAGAATGTCACTCAGAGTCAGCACTCCGATCAGTCGGAAGTACTCGTCCACCACGATCAACCGGTGCACCCGCGACTTGCGGATGGTGTCGAAGATGGTGTCCAGCCCGTCGTTGATCGAGCACGTATAGATGCCAGGAAAGTCCTGGGTCCAAGTGTCAGCAATGCGCCCAGGTGCTGGCAGACGAGAGGAGGGGGGAGTTACCGGCGAGCGCTTCTTCAACGCTTCTCCCACGCTGAGGCTAAGATCATCGTATGTCCCTCCCTTGATCAAGGTGATCACGTCAACCGCCTCGAATACATTATAAACAATACCTGCACTGATCAGTTTTGCTCCTTTATGGCTGCTCGAGAGCGGGTTGGGTCTTTGTTTGTTTACCTTCGGAGTTGATGATGGGAACACTTGATATGCTACGCTCGACTAACTGGTGAATGACTTCCATGACAGGCGTGTCCATCGACGCAGTGACGATATCGTGATAGGTGCCAAGCCGAATCTCCTTGAGCGGCTTGCGAAGGTTCTGTGTCTCGGCGACATTGACCGCGACAAACTTCAAAATCCGATATTGAGTGACCACACTGACGACAAGGGACCGGTCAGTCTGGCTATCATTCGAGACCAAGGGGATACGCCGCGCGCGAGAAGACAGCATGCGACGACATGCTTCATAGAGCGGCCGCTCTGGGTCAATCGCTATCGTTTCTGGAGGCGCTACACCCAATGCCTTTTCCACCTCTTAAGATTCGCAGGATATCAGCATCCAATCACATAGGACACCGGGAGCGACGCGCAAAGCCATACCTCTTAAGCTGTTCAGTCGGAATTGATCAATTTTATCCAACGCGGCTGGGTGATTATAATAATATTGGATGACATTGATGTAGTCGGAGGTTGTGAGCAACCCTGCAAAGGTCGAGGTGGATGAGTCCCATAAAGGAGCGGAGACGATGCCTACGCACAGCCAACAAAAGTCAATATGGCATGGAAGAATACAACTTGGTCTGGGCGCATGTGCTTGCCATTCTGTATGAGTATATTCAGACTCTCCTTGACCGAAAGCGACGTGTCGAAGACAATCAGGCGGAAGCTGAGCGGTAAAATGTCGTAACTTGTTCGGACCTTCAGGAAATTTCGAATCGCGCGCTACCATATGAACGGATTAGCAAGAGGCAGGCCGAATATTTGCGCCAGAGATCCTCAATTGAAGACGATAGCTACAGAAGTAGAGGCCGGGTTGATTGGAAGCTTGGGTATTAGCCTGGCAGTACCAACGAATACGCCCACCCCTCTGACCCCGCGAGAATAGCTCAGTAGTATACTAGGGGGAAACAAGGAGAAGAAAAGAAAAAGGCCATCACCCCCAGCAAGTCTCAGCAATTAAATACTTACCAATCCCATTTGTTCCTCCGCATCGACAGCGCGTTCGGGCTGAGAGGCCGCCATTGGATGTGAAAGACCACGGCGTCGCAAGTACGAGGCCGGCTGCACAAATCCCCTCTCGTGACCACTGATGACACGGCTCGAAGAGCTTTTACCACCACCACCGCTGCTGCTGCTGAGACTCTCTCCGAGATGGGAGTTATAAGTAGTATTGACGTTGTCCAACGCGGCGGCGCTGATCGGGGAGCGTGGAATGGAGGTCAGATGCTCTTCGTCCGCCATGGTTCGTTCGTTCTTGAGAAGGCGAGCCCGCTTTGGGGAACGGTAGCCGCATTCGCCCCAGCTTTAAAAGCTCAAACTTAACTATGATTAGCGAATCCTATGCACCCCCATTATTCCCAATAGCTACGCCTTTTAATTCCTTAGTGTTATTTTTCTTGTATATGTGGAGTTGGCTAACGCAGTCTTTATCATATTGCTTCCTAATGCAAAAGTCTAACTCCCATTTTTTAAGCCTCACGGGAATCCTCCCTTCATCGTCTTTCGAAAGCAGCTATCTAAGTAGGTTGATTAAGTAGTAACATATCCCCATAGGGAAGGGGTTGGCGCGCAAGATGGTACCCATGTCGGTAGTACCATCCTGGTTCCACCTATCGTATGCTTCAGCCTCGATATCATCCCATTCGTTGAAGTCTTGGAGAAATGCCTCTGCCATCCCCGAGGCGTTAAGAATTTTCGCGAGTGTCCAGTGACATTCCAGGAGCATCATTTGCTTATGCGAATGGCTTATGTCTTTAAAGATTTCGATGTCATAAAACATTTTCGACGCTCCAAAGGGTATGGCTTGTTAGGCGGAAGAATAAAATACAGGTGTTTGCGAGCTATAGCACACTGACTGTCGGCTAGCTGGGCCTGCTCTAAGACGATCAGAGGCTCTCTGATGGATGATGGTAGGGGAAACGGGTGCATCATCTCCCTCCAATGTCGCCGGCGGCTTTGGGGGAGACATATTGTTGGCAGAACTGGGACTGGAATTTGATCTTCTACAAGTATGTGCTCCTAGCAGCGGATTATCAACCATTAAGCCACCAAAGAGGGACCCCCTATGGGGCTTTTCTGGTAATCGTATATAATTAATGCTTTTTAGGCGTAATTCTCCGTTGTCAGCTCCGTACGTTCGGTGGTCGCTAGTAGGTAGGTACCTATGTAGTAGGAACACAGTGATAAGGTGATGACAAGGGGAAAGAAGTTGGTGTTGAGCCCGTTTCATTGGGATATCAACAGAAGCGTCATGACGATGCCATCTTATTGACTCTGACACTAAACCTGATTAGGAAACAGAGCCTTAGGCGTTCTTTGGCCAGATGACAATAGTGTTGGCACTATGTATGATTCCTTCATGTTCGTAGAAGAAAAGATGATTATAATCACAGGTCTAATCAAGTGGAGGTAGGTCAAAAAAGGCCCGGGGTATTCGTACCACAAAAAAAAAAAAGATGACACAGGACGAATGCTATGCTTGGCGGATGAGGCTTGACTCTAAGCAGTCATAATATCTCGATACATGCTTTTGTATATATAAAAGGGCAAATCTAGATTCGCTGAACCGCCGTTGTTTCACTATTTACCCCGTTACGATGCGGCGACCTCACTGCCTCCGCGAAGATAATATTCCGACTCGCCCACTTTTTGACCGGCTTTGACCCAGCGTTCACGCATCAACTCACGGCGTTGTTCAGCGAGTTTGTTTAAGGCCGGCCAATATACAGCGTGGTCATATTCAAATTGAACGTCTCCGCCGGATGATGCGAGTAGTTGCTCTGGAGGGACATGCTTGCGCAGATCCTCGTTGAACTTGAGTTTCTGGACCGTAACCGGGTCGATAAACGGTGTGATGATTTTGAAGAATCCCGAGATGATCCAAGGTACTGCAATTCCAAAGTTAGCGCCACGGTCTCGGGAGAAGGAAAGAAAAAAGACAAGATGAAGCTTACTATTTTGTACAAGAGCTCGGCCTAAACGCTCTGGATAATAATTCTGCAGGATATCCAATGTCTGTTTTGCCTGGCCTATAGTAGCGTTCTGGCCGGACCTTGTCTCTTTAAAATTCACCAAAAGCGCCACATTCTCTTGACCGGGAGGCATCAAATCGACCACTCGTTCAAGCATGAAGACCAAATGCTCAATCTGCCGGGGGCTTTTATCTGTATTTTGTCGGGACGGTATAAGGTAAAGGCAGGGACGGCCTTCCACGTCGTATCCCAGAATGACTTGCTTGCCGGTTTCGTTCTCGATGGAGATATAGTCCGCAGTCAATTTATCGCCAATATATTCTCTTCGCCATGACAGTGTATCGCGGATCCGTTTTATCGCATTCGAAACGTTCCACTTCGTAGCTCGTAGGTATCGAAGTAGGCACTCCCGGGTCATGAACATGCGTTCATCATCAGTCAGCGGGGATTCACTCGCGCCCTTGGCGAGGCTTGTAGGCAACGAGGTGATGGAGGATACAGCTTTCAGCACCTCATCGTATTTCTTCGTCTGGTCGGCTGTCAATTCGGCAGGTTGCGGGATTTTGGCTTGGTCGACTGGGTGCTCAAACGGCGTTTTGATGACCGAAGTTGGGTTCTCGGTCACAGCCATTCTTTTTCTGTTCCGTATGTTGAATGCTTGGATTGAATTGAGACAGCAAGCCAGACTGGTGTTTCTCACTCAGGGGTGCCTGGGCACTCCGTACGCGCGTTAACTGGAGCTGGGATGATCAACAAGGCTAGCAGCTTTCGGGTCACGCTTTTCTTATCGCTTATCAGTCATTGATAGTCCGTCATCCGACGCGCGACTACGCGTGTGCCGCGACTTGTCCGGAAATCAATTAAACACCTCCCCGCAATCGATAGCATTGACCAAAGACAAAATAAATAAACTACAAATCCTCCCCATGGACGACATTGTGCAAGAGCTCAACGAGCTCTTCGCTGGATCAGCGCCGGACGGCCTCGCTCAAGATGTCCTTACGGAGCTGCAATCCATGCTGCGACTGCATGGCATCACGCCGCAAGAACTCTTCTACAAATGGGAATCATACAGCATGAAAATGGGATCAGACGACACCAAATTGGACCTAAACACCGTTCGTGCTTTCAAAAGAGATGTCCAGGATTCGCTGGAACGAGAGACCCGTGGAAAGACCCATCAAGTCCGGGGCACAGAAAAGAAACCTGGCGTGGCAGCGACGCCTCGAGCTGGCAAGACCGATGTTTTTGGAATGTAATTTATACCACGTCATTTGCTTGATATTGCATATTCTAGTCAATGCTGATATCAATTGATGTAGGCTAGATGACTTGACACCCAACACGCCTCAATCCCGCATCAATGGCTCCGCGAAACGAAAATCGAATTTCGAAACACCGTCGGGACCCAAGACGGGGAGAATGGATGTTACTGGGACGCCTGCGGGCTTCAAGACGCCATCCAAGGACGCCAATGGAGTAGATGGCTTGCAGTATGGGATGATATACTTGGACTAAACATGCGTTGAGATGACTAAAGAAAATATCTGCTTAGGCCCGTTTCGTTCGCCGAAAGACAGAACCCAGGCCAGGTCCTGGAGACTCTTAATGCTCACCTGGATTTGCCCAAAACGCCTATGGCCCCGTTTCCCGAACCTCGTATTCGACCAACAGCAAACACAGATTTGAAGAAGTTTGGGTATAAGCCAATGTCCATGCGGCTGAACGAGGCGTCGGAGATTCTGGATGACCGAATAGACGAATTTACGGATTTATTTGAGAAGAAATATCCTGATGTTACGTTTGGAAGTGCTGCAACACAAAGCACAAGCGAAATAGTGGCAGTTGGCCGGATTGCTTCGGACAGTCTGGAGGGTAAGCTTAACGTGGCTTCCCTCGTGCTCGAGACATCTCGACGGACTGGAGCTGGTCTTCGAGTGCCTCTAAAAGTCGACTCTCTGCCGTCTGTACAGTTTTTTCCGGGCCAAATTGTCGCTCTCCGAGGAATAAACGCCTCGGGAGAATTCTTTTCCGTCAAAGAGGTCCTAACACTACCCTTACTTCCTACAGCGGCGTCATCCCCTGCTACTATAGATACAATAAACGAAAGACTCGGAGGCGCCGATGTGGATCAGCCATTGAATGTCTTTTTTGCCGCTGGCCCATATACGGCTGACGACAATCTGGAATTTGAGCCTCTCCAAGAACTATGCAAAAAGGCTACCGACGAGTATGCGGACGCTTTGCTACTCTTAGGCCCTTTCATAGATCTAGAGCACCCACTCATCGCAACTGGTGACTTCGATGTCCCCGACATTCCCGGTCTGGATCCAGACACTGCTACTCTGACCGCACTGTTCCGCCATTTCATCTCCAAGCCGCTCCAACAGCTGTGCGCAGCTGTTCCTGGCATCACAATTATGCTTGTACCATCAGTACGGGATGCTATTAGCAAACATGTATCGTGGCCGCAGGAACAATTGCCGAAGAAAGAGCTTGGACTGCCCAAGCAAGTTCGCATTGTCTCAAACCCAGTGACATTGTCCCTCAACGAGAGCGTGGTTGGATTGTCTTCGCATGATACGCTGTATGAGCTACGAAAGGAGGAAGTCCTTGGTGGACGGCCAGCAGAAGCCAATCTTTTGACTCGCTTACCCAAGTATATGATCGAGCAACGACACTTTTCACCTATATTTCCTCCGTCTTCTCGAGATACCTTACCTAGGGCCAGCGGGCCTAACAGCGTCCTACCATTAGGTGCCATGGTAGATGTCAGCTATCTCAAACTAGGGGACTGGTGGAACGTCCGACCAGACATCCTTATTACACCCAGCATACTTCCACCATTCGTGAAGGTTCGTTAATTCCCAGTTACTTTTTTTTAAAAAAAAAAATAAAATAAAAAGAAAAGGTTCTCACGCATGCGTTTATCCTATTTAGGTTGTTGAAAGTGTCCTAGTGATTAACCCTGGGACTCTATCCAAGCGCCGGGCTGCCGGCACATATGCAAACATGGCCTTACATCCTCGAGTCATATCTAAAGAGGAACAACAAGAGAAACAGCTCGGTCACAAGGTATTCGAACGAGCCCGAGTCGATATTGTACGCATATAGTTGCAACTGTATTTTCCTAATGAATGATCTATCTTTTGCGTTCTATGCACAAGCGGCGTTATCAGTGGGTTGGTGAGCAATAAATTCAGTTCCTCAAGGATCTTTCGCACGAAGTCAATTCTAGAAAATATATGCAAAGAGGGTTCTATTTTCCTGTTTCCAGTCACAACCATATGTATTGTTCTCGTGTTTGTTTCTAGCGAAAAAAAGCAAACATTTTGCAAAGCAAATGATCTACCCAACTGCTCTGTCATAAACACCAAACGCCACGCTTCAAAGTCAGATAAAAGAGAGCAAAGGGGGAATAAAAGGTTATAGACGTCGATCAACGCAAGCACATAACTCTTCTTCCACCCATCAGAGCCCCCGACTCCTTCACCCTCAAGCCAGCCGCCGCAGACGCAGCATGAGACCCCGAAGACCCAGCAGCAGCAGCGACACCAGATGCAGCAGCCACCGCACTCGTCGTCGCACCCTGCAACCCCGGCCTCTCCCCTCTCACCAACTCCTGCAACCCGAGATCGCGCCAGATCGGCTCCGACCTCCGCCCCGCAGCATCCATAGCTCTCGCAATCCCAAACGCGGCATGTTGATCAGGCACCACGTCATCCTCGTCCTCCGGATTAATTGGTTGGTAATGCGGCGGTAGGTAGATTTCCTCAACGGGTAAGAACGAGGGCACTATGCTTGAAGGGCTGTTTGTGGCTCCGTACGTGACTGTTGCGCCGCCTGGACCCGTGCTGCCGCTTCCGACTTGTTGCTGTTGCTGGGCGGCAGCGAGGTTGGCGTAGAGGGATGTGTGTGGTCGGGTGAAGTCTTCAAAGTAGTCTGCAAGACGCGGGTGGTGCATATGCAGGTACGTCGAGGAGGAGTCTTTGGACTTGGGATTGATTGAAGCAGGGTTAGTGACATTATATAGTGTAAGGGGAAAGGTAGAGTCACCATCGTGGATGAATGCTTTGTTTACCAGACTTTCTCCGTTGCAATCCAAAATGATCCGTCTGCTTCGTCCACAATACTGCAGGTATAGCGCTTGTTCCAGAGTAGTAACTTATGAAGATGTAGATAGATGGTCATCAAAACATTCGATTCTGCCGTGATATGCCGCCTATTTCATATGATTTGCGGGGTGCTCTATCAAGCAATGCTTTCTTCACTACGTTAAATTGATGCGAATGGTTATTTTCGAAGTGAAAAAAAAAAAAAAAAAAAAAAAAAAAAAAAAACACTGGCCCGAACAGATTGTTTAGCTATAACTGATCATAGCCCACCCATATCTAATCCCTCATGCATGACAGGATAGCAAAGTACATGTTTTGAAAACCACGCCTCTTTCCAAACGAGAAGCAACAATATACGAAAATCATGTTTGCCAAATCATAGTTAAACATGGTATTGTGAAAAAAAAAATAAAAATAAAAATAAAAAGGACACATGCGAGATAGAGAGAGAGAGAGAGAGAGGAAGGAAATTCCACGACAATCAAGAATTCGTACTCATGCGATGAACAATCGGAACAGCGCTGGGTGGCAGGCTGCCCATCTCAGTCACCACCATATCAACGTACTCGGCAGGCGTCACGTCGTGCATGATATTGAGAAGCTGCAGATTCGGTGTATCCTTCCAACCGGCCAGCGGAGATGGTGCGCTCTGATCCAAGCTCAGACTCGCCATTTCTTCACTGATGTTCTGATTGCCTCCCTTCTTGCTCGTCTTTTCATTCGATGTGCTATTTGGGTCAGGCAGACCTGTGACTTGCTGCAGGGGCTTCTTCGTGACCAGCTCATCGGCATCTGCGATTTCATTGACAACAATACTGTCAAGAGCGACTCGGTCGGTGAACTTGACCGTTTCACAACATACGATAACAGGAATGTCGGCGCCGCCAGACTGTTCTTTTGCGGACATCGCCACTAGCGCGGTGCCAACTCGCGAGTACAGCCGTCCGTTGCCAGTCATGGCATGAGCTCCGAGGAAGACCTTGGTTGCGTCTTTCACGGCATGGCTGATGCCGTGTATGAGAGAATATTGAACCTCCAGACCTACATTCGACAGGGCACGGGCAAGATTTTTGCCTTCGAACAAGGGCCGGGAGTCAATGATTGATACCCGGAATTTCTTTCCTTGTTTGTGTGCAGTGATAAGGGTCTGTTTCACGATGGAGCTCCCGGCAAACGTGACAATGACATCGCCGTCCTGGATCTTCTGTGCTGCACTGCTGGCAATCACTTGGTCGGCAACCGTGATCTTCTCTCGAATGAAATTGTCGATAAATTCGCACAAGTCAGCTTTGGCCGTGGCTTCAGGAACGGACGGATCTATGGATGAGATAGACAATTTGAGAGCACGAATAGCGTTTCCTTGACTGATGGATAGGGAACGGCAAGTAGAAAGGTACGTTATTTGGTGAGAAAGATGGGTGGTTAAATGACGAGCGAGCGAAGTCCCGATAGGTGTTGTGTAGGATTCGATAACCTAGAAGTGCAAAACAAAAGGGAAAAAAAAAAAAAAAAAATTAGCCACTATGCAAGTCGAAAATTGAATGTCTGCACACATACTCTTTTAAAGGCAATGAGAGTCGCAACACATCGTGCACTGCTGCCGCAAATAACATAGTCTCGTATCTGCAAGCCCAGAGCCAGAACAGCGGGGTGCACTTCCTTTGCTGCTCCTGCAATCGTGGAGCGCCTTTGAATCCCGTAAAGATGTCCAAAGACCGCAACATTCTTATCTTCCTTCTTTTTCGCCTCGGCTGGTGCCGGTGCTGCCGCGCGAGTCCCTCCTAGATGCCTTGCCCCGCCCCTCGAAGTCGACGCAGGGCCGTCTCTGCCCACCGGTTGTGCTTTTCTCGGTGTCTGCATCGGGCCTCCCTGAGCAGGATGTTGTTGGGCACCTCCTCCACCACTTCCTCCTGCGGCAGCTTCCCTCTCTGACTTTTCGCGCGCTCTCCGAGCCGCCTTTTCAGCCTTGGCTCTCTTCTTCAGCTCGGCAGGCGAGAGCTTCTCCGAGGATCCGTCAGCGGGCGCCGCATCTGCTGCTTTTGGCGCCTGGGGCTGTTTTTGCTTTTGGGCGGCATTTTTGGGCGTCGTGTTCGCAGCGCCTTTTTGGATGCTGCTGTTGTTGTCGGCCGCGGGGCCAGGCGAATCTTGCAACTGACCGGGGCTACTCATGTCTGAAAAAAATTGATGATCGGACGATTCGCGTGTTCTCTAAGACACTGACATTTGCTAGGTCGGTGCTGTTGGGTCGTTGACGGTCAGAGACGTGTGCGTGTGTGGTGGCATGGAGGGATGGATGGTCTGACTCACGGATTGTTCGTTACCTTTTGATCGCAGTCCCGCCGCGGCACAAACCTTAAGCGGCAAGAGACGAGCCTAATTAATTACTACCCCGTACGCACTCTGCATGTGTATGTATATATACATATATATGTATATCAAGCATTCTCCATTTGTCCAATCGCTGCCTATTTGTACGCTCTACTAAACAAAATTGATAAACAAGAAATAAAAAAATACGGGCTGTCCACCATGTCAAAACAAGGGTATGCAGTAGAATTTACTCTTTGTAAAGAATTTCCAAACTCCCCCCGCCGCTCAATATAAAACCTGTGAATGCAATGTTTGTTCGCTTTGACAGCCAGCCTTAATATATTTTGTTGATGGCAAGCTTGCTGAATGGCTGACGACCCCGAGCTTCTTTGGTCTTCTCGATGCCGAATCGCTCTTGGTCAGCTGTGAGCTTTCGCCGGAACAGGCTGAGCTCGTTCAACAAATTCTCCATGTCAGCCTGCACTTCATCGTCCTCTTCGTCCGAGCTCTCCTCGTCTTCCCAGATGCCGCTGGGCTCTTCTTCGGGCGGCGGGGGTGTAACGAGGTCTCGTTCTGTGGAGATTTCTTCTGCAGGCTCCTCCTCGCTTTGCATCGAGCCAAGGCTGGTCTCGCGTTTTCGTAGAGGAATAGCAGGGATAGGATTCTTCAGGCTATCCAACGCCAGCCTCAGGTGATTTCGAAGCGCTTCGTTCTCGGTCTGAAGTTGCCTGATCTTACACTCGCTGACCATTTTGTTCTCTTCCATCAGCCGCTGCATTTTCTCGACTTGTTGCTGATATTCCTCGAGTTTTTCGTTCTGAGCTTCACTCTCCCGTTTGCTCGCCGCATTCTGACTGACGGTTAATTGGAGAACACGGATCTGCTCTGTCATTTCTGCGATCTGAGCGTCTCGCTCAGCCGCAGAGACATGGTCCTGGTTAACAACAGCCCGTGTGCGAATTCGTTTTGCCTGGTCGGCGTATCGAAGGGTAGAGAGAGTCTCGTCGTAATCCGAGGGCGCAACACACGCAATCATGGCAGTCTTGGAGTTTCCGCCCAGGCTGTCTTTCAACAGCCATGTCAAGATTGAATCACGGTACGGCACAACCTCCCTGACTCTGCGTCCACCCGGCCGCGCCTGCTTTGGGTCAGCCAACGCCGCAATGACTCTGCCTAGAGTAGTCAGCGACTTGTTAATATTCGAACCCTCTCGGAGTCTTTGACCCGTTGCCTCGGTTGCTTTAGCACGTTCTGATCCAGCCAAATCAACGAGACGTATTCTTGCTGTTCGCTCGGTCGTCTCATCTGTGGCCAGGTCGTGATGGATCTGCTTTAGTATTATAGTGAAGACAGCGTGTGACCGAGACGAGGTGTCGTTCATTTTTGTGCTTGCAACTGTTCTAGACGTGTCACCCTTTCTCATTAGTTTCATTATATCCGCAAAGCTCCTGACGGGGACATCGGTGAGATCCTTGACATAAGGCCCATCTGTCGGCGACTCGCGGATCTTAAGATAGTGCGGAGGATCAGTGCGTGGTACGAGCAGATCGCGAACATGCTCGTTATAGACCTCAAAGTATGACACGCGAACATGATAGGTTGTGTCAAGAGATTGAGCTTCCTCAATCCTCTGGAAAAGGTCTTCGCATGTGCGTGGGATTAGGCCAGGCCGCTCCGCTGTTCCCATCATGGTATAACTTTTGCCTGATCCCGTCTGTCCGTAGGCAAAAATACATGTGTGATATCCCTCAAAGTTGTGATCGAGAAATTCTTCACCTAAACAGTTGTATACATCTTCCTGGTCGGCGTAGTGTTCATCGGATTCTTCGTGCGACCAGAATGACCGATCGAATGTGAATGTCTTGTCTTCGTAGACTTTGCCCCGCGCCTGAGACCGAGGCTTCGTTGTATCGACTTCCGGCGCCTTTAAAGTGGTCGCTTGTGTGTATGGGTTCATCGATATCAAGCAGTCGGCATTTTTTTCGATTTCTAAGCCCGTGGCATGTCAGACGGTCATCCAGCAATCTCTTGCGGAGAACAAACAAGGCCCCCCATTTTTTTTTCCCTCACCTCTTGGCAGAAACGCGCGAACTCTCACTACCACCTTGACATTGCCTCCGGGTGAGGGACTTGGAGGTGCGTGGATTCCGGCCGCAGGCACAATGACGCTCTCGCGAGACCTCAAAGAGGGACTGGATGCCGTAGATTGCATTGCTGAGGCAGGCATGATCGATAAGCTGGTGGCAGCCGTACTAGCACTAGCTGTCGAGAAGCCGGAGATAGAGCTTGTCGATGAATACGCAGCGTGCTCTAGGTGGCCGTAGAGACGCCCGTCCAGCGTCATTTCCCTGCTGTCTTCCCTCAATAAATGCACGCAAAGAGCGAGTGTATCGCGTTGGCGAGAAAGATAGTGATGATACATGAATGGAGATATGATGATGGGTTCCAAAAAAGAAAATCGCGACTGGTGTGTCCCTTGTTCTACGGTACCTTTCTTGATTTTCCTGCACAACAGAATGTGGAGTCGCAGTGCTTGGAATCCTGGGTTCTCGTTTCGTTCGAAGAGGCAGCTGCTCGCAGAGGTGCAATCCACGCAGCGTCAGTCGTATGCTGTCTGAGCTGAGGTTGGAGAAACATGGAAGGCATGGATGGAATGTTTACTCACAGGGAAACCCCCGCACGTGCAGCCAGAAACAATCAAGACAGAAAACAGAAAACAGCGCCTACAAAGGAACGCAGTTGCGCATACACATGCAACTGTATATGTGCATGCATGTATGTCTGTCTTTACGTTGCCATTATTCAAATCAAACATGATCTAGAACGACTTGAGATGCTGCGTTGTGGTTTTGCCGAATCGGGCTAGCCTCGACAGCCTGGTTGCTACGGCGATTAACCGGCGGTATCAAAGTATATCAATTGCTTCATTCATTCATTCTACTTAACTGGCACAGCATTTCTACCGTTTCAGCCCATTCACCAAAAGCTCCTGGCCGATTTCTTTCAAAAGAGGCTCCCTTTTCAGCTTCTCGACGTCTTTCTTGGCCTGGATGGACTCGGCGATGCCCATCGCCCGACAGAGATCCATCAGCCCGCCATCAACAGGCGCCTCGTAGAGCAACAAGCCAAGCGCGAACAGAAACCCATGCAGGGCCTCAATGCTCTCCTCCTCAGTGCCGATGGCTTCAACCAAGGATGCCGCAACTTCGACTTGGTCTTCCTCCGACAGTTTATCCGGGCGGCCGGCAAACCGTTCATTATGGTTATAGGCCGCGAGGTTATGCGCAAACGATGCTGCGACCACACGCAGATTAGTGTGGCTGTCCAGCAGGCATCCTGTCAGCAATCGAATGCAGGTTTCACGCAGATCCTGCTTGGTGATCATCTGCTCTGCCAACAATGGTGATGTGAAAAAATTGCATGCCAGTTGAAGCATGACAATGCGTAGATTGTAAGGGCAAGATGCGAGATCGGAAGAGGCGGAAAGAAGAGTCAGGAGTGTCTGTTGACCGGCTTCCTCGGCGAAGAAACTGCTTACGCGGGGGTCCACAAAGGCAATGCGAATGAGGTCGACCAGGGCAAAAAGACTCTCTTTGGGGGTGGAAGGAAGCGTTGACTGTATGAACCTGGCCAAAAAGGCAAGATCTGGCACAGCTGTGTCCGCTGGCTCTGACGTTGATCTTGTTTTGATGAAGTCGACAAGGCTTGTTATCGTAGGGTCATGCTGGTATGCTCCAATCTTAGAAAGTAACTTTTCCATCGGAGGCGTCCTTGTGTAGAGGACGTAATTGGTAACCGGCCTCTGTAGACTTGGTAGACGCAACGCAGTATGTGGATGAGGAGGGAACGCAGATTGTATCAACAGGCGAATGTTACCCCTAAGTTGCGCCGGATTCGCCCCGCTCCATTCATGCTCCTTCTTCCCTTTGAGGAATGTCATGAAAGTCGGTGTTGCCCGCACTGCATACCTTGCTGCAACGTCAAAGGCTATATTAAGGTCAACCTTCACGAGGACGGCTTTGTCCCCAGCCTCTTCAGCGAGTTCGTCGTATGTTGGATACGCTGTTTTGCACGGTGCACATGTCGACGAGGTGAAAAATATACAGGCGCAGGAATTCGCAGCAAGTGATAGTTGTTCATCCAGTTCCTTTAAGTTGCTGACATTCCTAACGTATCCTCTGAGTCGGGGCGCGGCTGCTGCTGCAGAATCCTGAGGTGTCCGCGATACGTGAGCAGCCGGAGCAGGTATCTGTTGGCCTGGGTCTGCTTGGGTAATACCGCGCATTGCCCTATCAATCTGTGGTCGTAGCATCTGTCCAAGGGGAGTGCTCAAAAATGTCTTTGGCAAAGACTGGATATGCTCGGGGATGCCCTTCCCGACAAGAAACATCGCCAAATCTTGAGTGAAGTTATTACAGTTATGCATGAAGAGGTCGTACGACTTGTTTTAGATGTTAGGTCTCCAGTTCTCTTCGCGATTTCTTCCCGTATCAGCGAACGTACCTCGGGCGTATAAATCTGCGCCAACGAGTCAAGGTATTCCTGTATGACTTCATTCGGCAGCTCTGTTCGGCCCATATGTAGCTTCTCCATGGGCTGGCCATGGTGAGTTGTTCCCGGGACAGTTCTATGAATGCCTTGGCCAAAGAAGTACTCTACTCCCCCGAAGACAAGGGATGTATGATATATTGCATCAATCTGAATCCCTGTCAAGGACATTGAGTACTTGAAATGGGTCAGATTCCATCGAAAAAAAATACAGGAGCACCGCAAAACCGTGAGCTCTTACCATGCGTGCCAGGCCCTAAGCGCAGTATTAGTATTGTGACAAGCATATTCGTGGACTTCCATGGATAAAAGGTTGGTGATGACAGGAACCTACATTTGACAGGTCGTAGACATAGAGTTCCACGTCCATCTTCAGGGCCACAGAACATAAAGCGCATAAAAAGACGGTAGTAATAGCGTGGATAGACAAGTTTTACAGCATTCCTTGTTCAAAAACCGCTTCGTCCTGGGATATAAATACGCATGTTGTTTCTGCCAGGGAAGCCAGGCAGCATCGATGGAAGCTTCCCGCAGCATTCCCCATGCGGTGCCCGGCCTTTGCTTTATCTCCGCCCCTCATCCAATGTCCATAAGCTACAACCACCTCCATATCGCATCATCAACCCCGGACTGCCATGGTAAGCTATACAGCTGCAATGCCTCAATGCCCCGTTTACGTCTGAATCTGTGATCTAACTTCTACCTCGCAGCCCCCCAAACGACGAGGCGGCGGAGCTCCCAAAGAGAGAAAGACCCGACAGTCGAAACTTGCGAAAGAAAACAACATCACCGCGGAGGAGGAGAATGAGATAAAAGAGGCGTTCGGCCTTTTCGCAGACAAAAACGATGAGTTTCAAGACCAGAAGGAGGGTGTCATGCGAACAGAAGACGTTCGACGAGCTCTTGTGTAATAACTTCCCAAGACCCAGCTGCGGTTTTTTTTTTCTGTCCTATTGACGTACTGTAAAAAATAGAGCACTCGGTCTCCCTCCAGATTCAGCCTCAGAGCTATCATCGATTATTGCTGCGGTGGATCCCACCTCCACGGGCTTCGTCACATATGACGCCTTTGTCTCTGTCGCAGCCGCGAAACTCCATATGCGTAGCGACGACGCACTTGCTGCGGAAGTTGATGCAGCCTACCGTCTTTTCACCCAAGGATCGGACGGGCCTATAACGATAAATCACCTGCGACGAATAGCTCGGGATTTGAAGGAGGACAGCGTTAAAGATGAGCTGTTGAAGGATATGATTCGGGAAGCAAATGGGGGTGACAGCCTACAGCAGGGAGTGACATTAGAACAGTTTCGTGATGTTATGTCTAGAGCGGGGGTTTTTTGATGCAAGTCTTTCTTCGGCGTTTGTGATGCTCTGGAAACATATGATGTGGCGTTATTGATTTACACTGTGATATCTCGTGAATGGCCTCGGAAGGGGAGTTCTATTGGGTGTGCTTGTCTGGCTTTTCTTTTGCGATATTTGATTTCATGGAGATACATTGAGCTTGTTTAACATGAGTTTTGCAGAATCATGACTGGCAACGATAAATAACAGTCAGAAAAGAACGAATTTTATGGGAAAAAAAAGAACTGATGATATATCAATGTAGATTAATATTGTACAAGATTTCAAAGAAAACCAAAACGCCAACTTTGGAACTATGCAAATGCCACTACTATCAACGCCTTGTCACCCATCAATGATTATTAAAATCCCGAGTAACATGGCCGGTCCCTGTTTTCCGTGGATTGCTGCCATGACTTGAGGCCATATTGATAGGTAGGATGCCTCAATCCGATCGATAGTGCCCAGAATTTGAGGATAATTCGAAGGTGCCGCATTGAGGATAGAATGAAGAAGGGTATCAAAATATATTGAGACAAAACGCCTATAATCAAGCTGCAATTGGATGACCGTTTGGCAACTCTTGATGTTTTACATTCCCATGAAATAAGATCATTGGGTCGGGGGGAGATGATGAGAACTGAGTGTCCGAGCTGGTACCTGGCGTTTCAAAACTGCATGTCTTTGATTCAGCTAAGAACATCCCGTTTTCTGTGAAGGCGGCAAGATTGGTATCGCCGGGTGCCTTGTTAGATTCTTGAGTATCCGATGATTCGGGTGGTTGTGAATTCTCCACCTCCGTGTTTCCGTCACCAGGTCCCATCGATTGGCTCTGGTAATTCGACCCTGTTTCCTCGACGCACTCATAGAACAGCATGAAAACGCCGCCCTGACCGAGTACTGCTTGCTCACTAACACATCGAACATCTTCGTCACTGAGGCGGAACCACCTATGGCTCGCCTCCTTCTCACTACCCACGTCCTCAGAGGCACCGACCGGGAAATCTTTAGCTGAAAACTTCCTAAAGCAGATATAATGCCCATTCTCGTGCCTTCCGAAATGTGTTAGAACAGCTCGCAGCTCATATTTACGATGGATTATTTCGTTCCTGGCGCCTGAGGTTGGTAACATTGAAGACTGGGGATCTAGATCCCAGACTTCTGGCGAGTCTTTTCCTTTGCCCAGATTGCGAGTCCCAAGACACCAATCGCCTAGATCAATAACGGCTGGAAATCGGACATCAGCGTGGTTCTTCCGCAAAGCACCAGTTTCCTCATCAAAAACACTTCGATTGACGTGGAGCACCAAATTCTTTGGAGCTCTGGCAATGACCGCCTGACGGGATTTAGTTGCCGAGACTCTGTTCTTTGAAGGTATATGGCATTTCTTTGATAACGCTTTCTCGTTGAAATCTTCTTCGTGCAAGGCTTCTCGGACAGCCTGGAGGCGTGCTTCGGCAGAGTTTTTCAATGTAGACGAAAGGTTGGGTACCTGGGAGCCCTTCCCAAGGTCTTCATCTTTGTCGATATCAATCAGGAGACGATTGAGCTGTTCTTGCGCACGTAATAGTGTACATTTGGCGCATTCCACACCCTCAATGGTTTCCAAAGCCATATAGTCATCGAGACATTCTCGAATATCATATTCTCTCTTCCTTCCAAGAGAAACAGTCAAGCAATTGAAGGGAATAAGCGATAAGCCCTCAGTCCATCCACAACTAATGCAGCCTACGCGCTGAGCGAGAAGGCCCTCGAGAGGGTTATGCATATAGTCTAGCTGCTCAGCATGGCGCCCCACCAGCTTTTCATTCCCAAGTATCTTCGAAGAAATCAGGAAACTTCCACGTTGACCGTCCATGCTCAGCCCAGGATTAGTAGTAAATAATCTTGACGCCTCCCGAACCTCTCTATCCAGTTGGTCCGCGATTTTCGAGAAATACTCTTGAGCATCCTGCTGCTGCCAACTGCTCATGGATTTCAGTTCTGATGGTATCCATAGTTTCTGACCATGATTCGCCGGATCATTCAATTTTGCTAAAGTATCCCTGAGGGCATTGTGCGCCGACAGCCGGCTTCGAGCGTCTAATTTACGGAGATTGCGATCCAGATAGTTGGCAAACGATTGGAGAGATGCTAGTCCCTGTATGACGCTATTCTGGTAGCAAGAATTGTCCCAATTCCCAAGGCCAGGCGGAATGTATTCTCTGCCGCCCAAAAGAGCAGTTCCCAAGCTCGACAGGCTTCGCGCACGTGGCAATATGGAATCTAGAGAGGTCTTGTCGAATCCGGTTATGCGTCGCATCGCCTGCTCCTTCGCGTGGAAGCTGGGATACCTGGACGAAGGATCTGTGTCGGTGTCCTTGTTTCCTGCATCGAGCGCCGCCACTATGCGAGATGGAATCATGTAGATGAGTATGTTCCACAGATATTGACAAATCGTAAGAGGCAATGAGCTGAAATATGGAAAGATGCAATAGAGGAAAAAAATCGACGAGGCAACTATGGCGGCTACAGTACTGCGCTGCAGATTGGGGTTTGTGAAGTCATACTGATCGTGGCCACTGAATGTAAAGGAATTCAACGTGAGGCCATGGTAACTCATGGCGATCGAAGAGGAGGAAGGAGGGCTGCTGGACGAAGATGACGCTGCAGACGGTCATTTGAGAGCAGTCATCATCCGTTATAAGAGCGGCTGCTGTTCCTCAAGTAGAAAGTGCATAGACAGACAGTCCGATGGCAACTGAAAGGAAAGCATTCGCATTTCGTAAAAGGCGATGGTGCAACGTCGCTTTTGGTCTCTACGCGGCGCCGGAAAAACTTTTTTATCGATAACAATTTCCCCCACAAAAAAGCTGCAAGTTTAATCAAGCAAGCATCTTGCAACAGGTTCATTTTCGTTCACTGTCAACATGGGAAGAACAGGGAAACTCAAGAAGAAAGGTAAGTAAGAGTGTCTGGCACAGTCTGCGATTGGATTCACAGAAGGCTAATTCCGTCAAATTTAGCTACTTCGGTCCATTCTCGTGCTGCGCGCCGAGGTGCCTCGCCATCCGATGTCAACAAATCGCTAGAGTCGGTGCCTCGTATGGAGGCCCCGACGAAACCCTCTAGTATACTTGCAGCCCACACGAGTGCCGGAATATCTAAGAAGAAGTCCAAAGCGAAGCCATTGTCTCGAGCCCAGCGTCTTCGCCAACAAAAGGGCATCGAGAGAGCAGAGATGGTGGGTTTATGGCATGCACGCTTTCGAAACAGATAGGCTGATTCTTATTCTCTCAGGTTATTGACCAACTCGAAACCAAAGTGGCCAAGAGCATCGGAAAAGCAAAGGCCATTAATGCACGAAGGGTAACTAGATCTATTTTCATTTCATTCCGATATTCCTACTAATTATGTTACAGGCACAATGGGAAGATTTGAATAGCAAAAATGACAAGACGAAGGCTATCCAGCAAGGACAAGAAAGCGATGACGAGCAGATGAAAGAAATTGAGAAGCCTGTATCAGCTGCTCCCAAATCTTCATCCAAAATTGCTCTTCCAGTATCTGCTGAAAATAATGTGCCGTCTGCTGGATACGAAGCTGTCGACGAGGATGACAACATTACTTGAGCTTTTCTCGATATGGCGGACTAATGGCGGAAATGAAAAAGTGATTGGTGGTGTTTGGATCCCACCTATTTCCTGGGTCGAAGTTGATTTATCATGCGGTCTATCTCGGTCACGGCAGGCCCAGAAGCCTTTGATCTCAGGAGTTCAAGCGTATTGGGGTCTTTAGCTCGCAAGGCCTCTTCTCCTGCCTTCACAATCATCCCACACTTCACCCACATTTCGATCCTTTCGGCGACGGGGAGGTTAGTGCATTTGGGAACAAAAGCCGAAGCAAGCTTGGTATTCCCCGCTCCCAGAATTTCAGCATAGAATGGCTATAATAGACGTCAGCAATCATGTATATAAAGCGCATTTGGCGAATGTTCTTGTGTATATTCGTACCTCCCAACCAATAGGCGACTTTCTCATCTTGGAGATTTCTTCCAAATCACCCCAATCTCGTTTGGCAACCAACGCCCTCAATCGAGTCCACCAATACGTTGTATCCGACATCTTAAACTCAGTGTAGAGCTTTTGCGCTCTCTTCCCATACCCAGACTTGATTAATCTGTAGACAGTTTCGTTGAGACTGAGACCGACATATTCTGGACCGTCTGACAGCTCTTTATCTAGACCCTCTTGCACGCGAAGAAGATGTGCGGCCTCTAGGATAGACTTATGTTGAAATTGTGTTGCGGCATCTTTTGAATCTGTGAGCACACGAGACGCCAAATTCAATTTGTCTATCTTGGACTGAACAGTGTCTTCAGATAATGCTTCTGAAATCAGAATATTGGATCCATCAATCGGCCTATCATCTTGATAGTACAGATCCTTTAACAAATCTATATCGCCATCTCGTGCCGACGCTTCCACCAATGCTGCTGCAGTGGGCCGGTCATTGATGGTTCTGAAGAATGCCGATAGCGGAAGCTTTTTCTTCAGATGTAAAAGAACATAGTATATGAGATCTGGATCCCCGCTTTGCATTGCCTTGTCGAGAGCAATGCTGTCCTCCTCCATATTGAGAAGCAATGGCACCTGTTTGCCGGCTCGTGGCTCGTAATTCAGAAGCTGCGTGGCAAGGTGTGCTCGGCCTTCGTCATATGCAGATTGAGCGATGATCTCAAAAGAAATTCCCGACTTTCCCTCCAGTCTTTGAACGATTAATTTGCACACTGCATCGTCATCTGCAGTAGAAGTTTTAACTTTTTGGCTCGCCCAGTGAACGTAAATCTTATCCGTGGGAATGCGGATATACTCAGACATCCGGATCGCCAACAGATAATGATGTCGATTGATCAGACGATCCAATAATCTCTCAGGGGTCAGACGGAGATACTGGTCGAATGTTATCGGCATACCAATTTCAAAATCCCGGACCGCTTTTAATACTCTGAGCCTTTCTGTCATATCGACGAACTCATCGCTGTTATAAAGTTCCAAGACGGACTTTCCAAAAGACGCAGCTTTCAAAAGTCGCTTTTGCCAAAAGGTGTTGAATTCTTGACCGGCAGCTCTGACGCAGGTGTCCACAGCTTCCGGAAGGCTGGGCCGGATGCGTTGCATATTATCATCTACCTTTGGAGATTTTTTCTCCAGCAAGTCGATTGAGTCCAAAAGAACAGAGGCAGGATATGTGGAGCCGAGTCTAAAGACGTCCTCGGTGACAGCTTTTTATTATATCAGCATGACGGCAAAAAGAAATAGCAGTTTCAATGGTACATACCAGAGACCTTGTGGAGAAATTCACAAGACTCGTTTGTCAATAACCACACGCCATCGAACTCTGGCAAGACATGCACACGTCCGTCATAGTAGTGCCTAGCACATCAGTAAGTATATGAAAATGCCGCAGGTTCAATAAATGTGCTCACTTTGAGGCTACCCCATCATTTCCTACCACATGAATCTCGTCTTCCCACGCAAGAACAACGGCTTCTTCTCCGCACCATTCCATGGTTATGGGAGGGGTTTTGGCTTTTGTATCATACTCGCTGTGTTTGTTCTGAAAATCACTGCTCACAGTCCATAGTTTGCCATCACTTGTGTAGAGAGCCACTACATTGCCGGAGGGTGAGGCACTGATATGCTTAAATGGGCCATTTTGCAGCATTCGGTCTTCTGCTTCTGTCGCATCAACTACATATACAGTCTTGTCGACAGCTAGAAGTACCTCGACCGTGCGAGACAGAGTATATGCTGGAGGAATCAAAGTCCACGATGACACTTCACCTTCGGGAGAATGAGCCAACAGTCTTGGCCTAGGCTCCTTGTAGTTAGAGACTGCGATGAGTTGGTTATTGGACAATAGAGCAACGAAGCCCGAGGACCAGAAACGGCAAGCCCGTACACCGTACTCCTCGGCACCCTAGCGAAGAAATAGTCAGGTACATTTCTGGAAGATAATGACATCCACAACATACATTGCCTAATGAAAAGGGTGCAAAGTCGCCATGAAGACCGAAATACCGATGAACAGTGCCATCTTCTGCTACGACGAGTAGCTCTTCATCATCGGACCAGCCCAGTCCTCTGATTGCTCCGTATTCCCACTAAAAACGAGTCAATCGAGTAAAAGCTGGGAATACAACAAGGGTTACAAACATACGTTGAACCGGCTAATTAGTGTCCCGGAAAAAGAGTATATGTCTATGCTCGCCTTGGCAGTTTGTGCATCTCGATATCTATAAACCTTGCTCTCGTTGCGATACAGTGCTTTCATTGGCCAATGTTTGTCAGCTCTATTATTGTTACCAGAGACGTAGGTAGGGTGTTGGATATAGTACCCAGGGCACCCGCGTTCGGGGCGGCAGCAACCACGTAGTTTTCGAGCTCCAAGTCTTCGTCAAACACGCCATCGTAGATTCTGACTTTTCGATAAAAACTGTCGCCCAATCTCTCCCAATCGGCACGGGGATTCGGAGGGGCCATGATCAAGGAGGCTTCTGCGCCATCAAGACGCTACAGCTTTTGTTGATAGGAAGTTCCCCTGCTGCGGCGGGAGACGATAAGACGAGACGACGGAGACGTCAATACAGCCTACGCTAAGCCGCTTCGGGGATGGCTTCCATGTTCTCCTCGCCTTCCGAAGGTCGACCTCCGAGCTTATATCAACTGCACCATCAGAAAGACATGGACCCGTTCGCCATTCAGAATCTGGTATCTGGATTGTCCGACCTCGAGCTCGCGTTGCTGCTCTCTCTCATCTGTGAAGAGCATTGTGTGGTTGAGACCCCCATAGTAGATGTCGACAATGTCTCGGGCGAGCTTGCTCTGGTACTAGCAAATCCTCTCTGTCGTTGTGCCTCGGGCTTTTGTAGCTTACTGAATGGATTCAGATCTGTGAGAATAGCTTTGGCTTATCATATACTATTCTCGACTGCTCCACATCGACATCTAGAGACGGTTTCGGCGATAGCATAGTTGCTCCTGATTCAAAAAGAGGTCGGCCATCTCATGTAGCTTCAAGTTCAGTGAGTACAGAGCTCACATTGAATGTAATGCCCTTAATTTTCTAACATCATCCTAGACAGTTTCATCCGTTCGAAAAGGAAGCGGGCCTCACAGCCACCTCGATGAGAGGAAAATCGTAAATGTAGTTATCGCGAAGAATTTCAACCGTGTCTCTTCAGAGATTCAGCTCCAGGCGTTAGAGGCATGTGAAGCTGCTTTTTTTTTCCTCTCCTCCTTATCATTTGCTGATGAATAAGCAGTTGATACGGTCGAAGCGAATATTTACTCGGACATCTGTCCATACCACCCAGAAATCGTTCTTGTTCATACCTGTACTTGGGTTTGATGAAAGCGCTGGCCATGGTTTACAATTGAACAAACATCTGGTGGGTTATGTGTCTCCCATTCGATAATATTCTTAGTCATTCTAACAGCAGCTAGAATGAAGCGTTCCTTTTCTCTCACTTTCATGATATTGGAACAGGGCTACCACATCTTGAAGATGACAATGGCTGGTTGTCTGAAGATCAAGCTTCCCTCTCTTCTGTTGTGAGGAAGTCACAGCAGTTCAACAATGGATTTAACGACAGCTCCCATATCATAACCGAGCAGGTATGACCGTATCCATGCCAGAGAGTCCAAAATTCCTAACATAGGTGTTAGATGATCCTGCAACTACGCTCATTAAGCCACGCTGTCTCAGTCTCTGCCGAAGTCACCCGTTACCTACACAACATAGTCGTCTTCCTCAGACTCAATCGTGCCGTTGCAGGCGGTATTTCTGCAAGAGCTACCAAACATTTCATTCTTGTTGCAAAGTCAGTTGAGAATCATCTTCCTAGCTGGTTCATTTCCTCAAAGTCTGTATAATTCTGCTCACACATATACAAATACAGATCTCTTGCCTCATTACACGGCATCGACTATCTCACACCCTCCCTTGTGTGTCTTGCTGCGAAGAAGGTCTATCGCCATCGGATTGTAGTTGCTAAGCCTGAAGACGATAGGAGTCTTCAATATGGGAGCGATCTCGAATCAGTCAAGGTTTTATTAAGGGGGCTCGATCCGGATCAAATCATCGATTCCGTGATCACAGAAGTTGAGCCTCCTTTGTGAGGATCTATCAGCATTCTCTTGACCGTGAAGTTGGAAAGACATAAGACTCTTTGCTTACGATCAACAAGATCAACGATTCCTAGGGCTGATCATGATGATGATGATGATTTCGAACATATCGATCTCAATGGCACCAACAGCCACTATACGCCGCTGACAAAGTGCGTCACCGTCCAGTCGGGACCATTCCATGAAAGAAGCGCCAGCCCGTCGTACACGGATATTCGCGGACAACAATCGAAACTTGCGCACTACCGCTACAAACGTCTCAATAACGACTAGGCACTTGCAAGATGTATTCGAATCAACTACTTAGGTACGCTCAGTGAACTTTTGAAATATTAAAGCCAGCATGTACTTATTTGGATAATTTCAGTCACTAGTTTGGGGTTAGGTTCCATTACCGTGGAGATGTCTGAAAACGAGGACGAGGTTGATCTATGAAGGAAGGTCCCTTCTCTTCAAAATTGCCCTGTCAGAATAACGAGTCTCTCGGCTTAATCCAAAGAGAGTAAGATCAATTTTAAAGAGCGAGTCTTTCACTAGACAAATGTCCTAAGCCGTTCTTTGCTTGTTTTGAGAAAGGCGATCGGATAGGAAATAGTAAAGAAATATGTGATTCGCTAGATTGCAGGTCATCCTAAAATGAAAATAGTTGTCTTTAAAAACTATCATAGAGCCAAATTAAATCAATCAAGTCATACATCTCAGCTCGCTCCTCTAGACGCCGGACTATGATGCAGAAGTCAATGGGGCAAGGGAGGCGGAAAGAAAAAACAAGTCCAGGATTGAGAAGTGGAAAAGTAGAAAGAAAGAAGAAAAATGGGGGGTATTGGGAAGATGGTAGGTTCATGTATTCAAAAGTAGATATATAAAGCGATAACATAGAGACACCATCTACAGATGTCCCGCTCGGCCGTCCAGCGCCAGGGGACCCGAATCGTTGCGAGGAGTCATGGGATCATCTTCGAATGCCTCAGGGTTGGCCGGGGTGTCAGAGCGGGGGTTGTTGGATTGGTTGCTCCGCGATGAAGGGCCGCTAGGAATGGGTATATTGGCAGACTCGCTATTCCCACTTATAGGTTCATCGGCAGTAGTGCCATCTGGGTTATCCGTGTCCTGCATAGGCGTGCTTCTCTCTTCTGCTAGATGCAAGTTTTCAGCAATAGCGGCAAGCTCGTTGTCCTCTGCTCTGGTTTCGGTTGTCTGCGCATTGGACTGTGATGGCTCTGCGGCCGCGCCAGTAGTAGTATTATTATTAGCAGCCTCGTTTGTTTCGCCGTCAGTGCTACCAGAGGCATTGTTTGGTGCTGAATCCGAGTGTCTCTCCTCGTCTGATTGGTCTTCGAGTTCAATCGTATCGTCCACCTCGGCGCTCAGGTCGGTCCACGCACGGCAATTTGGACATTGAAACATCGGGTAATCTGGCGTGTGTATTAACCGGCGAATGCACTTGTAGTGCCAGACGTGTGCGCAAGCTGCCATGAACAGGCATTGATAAGGTCGCTATTCAGGTATTAGTTTCCCGGATATGGTAAACGCAGATATAACGCTGGATCTTTCGCTTACCAGAACAGAGCCTAGACAGATCGAACACTCCCTGCAACCAGCGAATTCTGTAGCAGCCTTGCCCTTGCCTAGGTTATTGATCAAACTCTCGGTGTTTTTGCTGTAGCGCAACCAGTCAGCTTCATATTCCCGGACATGGACAGACCAGGTTTCGCGGGGCTCGGCTTACTTGAACTCATTTGGTCTCTGCTGCCATGTTCGGTTGCACTCGATCCTTATTCGCACGCAGCGAAAAATCATTTCCTCTCCACCTCTAAAGTCTATCCCCAGCTGTACGATATCTCCATCGCGAACGGCGTACAGTCTCGACACCATATTCGGCTGGCTGAGACGGGTCCGGTTCAGAAAAGTGCCGGATGAACTGCCGACGTCTTTGATATGCCACTGGCCGCCGACCAAGGAGAACTCGCAATGTTTCCGGCTGACGACCTTTGACTTGAAGCCAATCGGTGCATCGGAAGGGTCGGCCGGATTGGCGATGGGTACACCATCTCGTTCTGAGTATCGCCCCAGACGAATCACGCAGTCCTCCGAAGGCAGCGTACGCGTCATGGGCGTAAACTGCAGGGACGGGCGGGAGTTATGGCGGGTATCTTGGTAGGGGAAGAATCGGATAGTATCGTTCATCTTCGGTTTCCTGTTCCCAGCCGTAGTAACCTCTGGTGTGACAGTTGGGGCCGACGCAGGAGTCGTGCTGGTGGTTTGTCCATTGGGACCATCCGCTTCCATGGCCTGCGTCCCAGTCACCGCCGACTGGGCAGGTGCCTCATGCGACGGGGTTGATTGTGACGAGGCTGACGAGGCCGACTGGGCTCGCGGATCCGAGTCCGAACCAGCACTATCGGTTTGCACAGGAGAGGCAGAGAGCGGCGGCGGCGGCGGCGGCTCCAATGGGTCAGCAGCAGAGGAAATATGGAAAGGCGACGATAGGGAGACCACGCGGCTTAAGCTGTTGCGATGACGGCGCTGGTTGCTGGGCGAAGGCGGCGATCCAGAGGACGATGACGGGGTGAAATGAGACTGCGTGTAGGCGCGCAGCTGGCTGAGACGGCGGCGGCGTCGTCCCGCACGGTTGGCTGGAGCTTGCGACCCCGAAGCCACAGAAGTAGACATTGACTGCACGGAACAACAGCACTGGGTCTGCTTGCCGTAGAGCGAATATGGATAACAAGGGAACATCAACGTACAATTAGAATAGAGATCATGCCTTCATTGCGAGGAAACGCACCGACGATGGCTCGGGCTAATTAAATCATTTCAACGGGGCAGACGGGTGCCGTTTCGGTATTGTCATGCGTAAGATATGGCGGGCGCTGATTGGCCCGCCGGCAGAGGTCTCGGGGCAGGCGCCGGAGTTCAACACACGATCAGAGGGCGTGACGGTGTATCAGATGGTATTGCACTGTCTACAACTTACTCTGCAAGTATACAAACTTACGGCCCTGGAAGTGCATGCATGCATCATAAGACAAGAAAGCGATATCTGTTGAGATTGATAATACCAGCTCCATATCGGCGGTACTCTAGCGCGTACCTATCTTACTAGTGCGTCCATGGACCATGGGACCCATTGCATATTGCATGACCTTCCCAAGTTTACACAGGTTTGACACAGAGGAACACTTGCATCGACGTCCATTGCATGCTCCCTATGTGCCCTTTTTTGCGGCATGCTGCAGGAGGGGTTGCGCTTCGCCCGTTTCACGTGTCCTCGTAGAATGCGGGGATGGGGGGCGACGCTCAGCATATCGGACTCCGGCGTGGCAACAGTGAGGTTGAAGACTCGGAGCTCTCGAGCAATAAGATGGTTTGACACTTGGATGAGTGGAGTTAGCTCAGTTAGGGCATGTTTTGTTTCCCACTTTCTAGAACTTAAACTTAATACAGCGTTAGTCACGTACCTAACATGCAAGGCTAGTACTTAGCTAGCATGTAACAAGTTGATATCTTTCTCAGCATGGCACACATCCATGCGATGCACATGCGAAGCGAGATCGAGAGTGCAGCGAGAGACGTCATCAAGAAGAGGGCGGAACAAAGTAATCCCCGCCGGGCATATCACGTGCATCTGCCTTGGCTAGAGAGTCGAGAGGGCTACTGCAGAATAGGTACTGCTGGAAGCAACTTGGTACCTGGTCACATCCGTTGACTGAGCACAAGCCCTAACTATGTGTGCTTGTATATATAACTATATCGTCCGGGAACGTCTTTGATGTGCCGTAGGAAGCTTATCAGTCACTCGGAGTCTTCACGAGATGCCAATGGAGAGAGAGAGAGACAGATTATGTGTATATCTACATGCACATACACACATCTCTGAATATAATAAATATATAAACTCCTTCGTCGACACAGCAATAGACCTAGCCCGTTGCAGAGGAATGGAATGGCTGGTGGTGGTGGTGGTGATCGTGGGTGAGCTAAACAAGAGCTAACTAGTTAACTAGCTAGCTTGTCCTTGGATCAAATCACAAGAACATCTTCCCTCTTCCCACCTCCGCCACGAACCTCCTCCACTCCAGCATCGCAATCCCTCCCTTTCATGATTTGCCATACTTAATTTCTTCGCGTTTTCTCGAGTCGGTCCCTTTCTCGATAGATCGGCAAGCCTTCTGGTCTTATCGCCCCAAAAATCACGCGACGACGACCGACGCCTCAGTCCTTTGCCTTTCCCCCCCGTCCTGCGTCGATCACCGTTTACACCTCCAACCACACTCGCTCCGTAATGCTCTCGCTCTAGACATATTACATATCCCAATCCCCAACTCGTCTGTCTCTGCTCTTCTCTTGACGGCCACTCCTCCTGCACGGGCCCCTTCGTCAGGGTCCGGAGGAAACTGCCTAGTGACGCCATGGAGAACGCTTGCATATCTTGTTTGTCCGCCATCGACCGCTGGTGCCATATATCTGCCTGTTTGGGGATAGGAGGTCGGTCCAGGGATGGGATCTACGAGCCGATTCTACAGGACAGTGAGCGGGAGGCTGTCGCTGACCTGTTACAGTACCTAGAAAACGTGCGTAAACACAAAATAATACTCCAACTCATACTGACTGGCGTGGGTTGTTTCCAGCGTGCCGAGACCGACTTCTTTTCTGGCGAACCACTTCGCGCCCTCACTACCTTGGTGGAATCGACTAATGTTGATTTGCAACGGAGTGCCAGCTTAACGTTTGCCGAGATTACGGAACGAGGTTTGTTGTGTGGACGTATGAACCGTGCATGCGAGAACATTGTATTAATTGCAATTTCACATGATCCTAGATGTCCGAGAAGTCGACCGTGACACCCTTGATCCTATTCTCTCACTGCTCCAGAGTCCCGATATCGAAGTTCAACGAGCCGCAAGCGCAGCGCTGGGGAATCTTGCTGTGAATAGTATGGACTCATCTAAACGAAGTTCAAGTGGTAGATAGATGTGACTGACTATCATATAGCGGAAAACAAAGTGCTCATCGTGACGCTCGGCGGTCTCACCCCATTGATACGACAAATGATGTCTACGAATGTTGAAGTACAATGCAATGCAGTGGGCTGCATTACGAATCTAGCGACCCACGAAGATAACAAATCCAAAATAGCTAGATCTGGTGCTCTGGGCCCATTGACAAGACTCGCGAAATCTAAGGATATGCGAGTTCAACGAAATGCCACCGGAGCTCTGTTGAACATGACACATTCTGGTACGGTTGACCACTGTGGTTTCTCCGCGAATAGGTACTGATTGAACATTTGCTTGAAGACGACAACCGCCAGCAGCTAGTCAACGCCGGTGCCATCCCCGTACTAGTGCAGCTACTTTCATCTCAGGATGTCGACGTGCAATATTACTGCACAACAGCTCTTAGCAACATTGCCGTCGATGCCACCAACAGAAAACGGCTTGCACAAACCGAATCCCGCCTGGTGCAATCTCTGGTTCAACTGATGGACTCTTCAACACCCAAAGTACAATGTCAAGCCGCTCTTGCTCTCCGAAATCTAGCTTCCGATGAGAAGTATCAGTTGGAAATCGTCCGCGCAAAAGGCCTGCCTCCTCTTTTACGTCTCCTTCAATCGTCATACCTTCCGCTCATTCTTTCCGCCGTTGCTTGTATCCGAAATATATCCATCCACCCCCTTAACGAATCACCTATCATAGATGCGGGCTTTCTAAAGCCGCTAGTTGATCTTCTTGGCTCTAAAGACAGCGAAGAGATTCAATGTCATGCTATATCGACTCTGCGCAACCTGGCAGCTAGTTCAGATCGCAACAAAGAGCTTGTCCTTCAAGCCGGTGCGGTTCAGAAATGCAAGGATCTTGTCTTGTCCGTGCCCGTCATTGTCCAGTCCGAAATGACCGCTGCCATTGCCGTACTCGCACTCAGCGACGAATTGAAGCCTGAGCTACTAAACCTCGGGGTCTTTGATGTTTTAATCCCTCTTACTGCATGTGACAGTATTGAAGTCCAAGGAAACAGCGCTGCAGCGTTGGGAAATTTATCCTCCAAAGGTAAGAATTTTTCCCCTCTCTTACGGCGAGACCCTATGCTAATCAAGCCCCAAATAGTCGGAAACTACTCCATTTTTATTCGCGACTGGACTGAGCCTGAAGGAGGCTTTCACGGGTACCTGACTCGATTCCTTGACAGTGGAGATCCTACATTTCAGCATATTGCTATCTGGACCTTGCTACAGCTGCTCGAGTCAGAGGACTCGAAACTCATTGAACTCATCTCAAATTCAGAAGATGTTATGCAGCTAGTCAAACGCATCTCCGAACGGAATATTGACTCCGACGACGAGGACGTCGACGAAGGAGAAAGCGAGGTCGTTGCGCTGGCACGCCGATGTCTCGAAGTTCTCGGCAAGGGACCAAAGCAAACGCTGGTCGAAGGCTGAACTGAACTGCTTTTGACTTGATGTTCTTTTCAAACTTTATTCGTTCCGCTACTCTACTCGGCTGTCGATTATCATCGACCTAGTTATGGTGTATCTTTTTTTCTTTCTCTTCTTTCTTTTCCTTTTTTCTTTTTCCTTTTTTTGTGTGTGTGTGTTTGCCTTTTGTCTCATGAACATTCATATACTGTCTTATTGCATCTTGTTTATAAGCGTTCTTTGGTCGGACTGAGCACTGAGAGTCTTGTTATGCGCCGCCGCCGCCGCCGCCCGCTTTGCATCATCCTTTTGTCCATCAGGACATATTTTACCATTGTATTAGAATTGCTCGATAACTACCTAGTCGTTGTAATAATGATGATACCTCGTATATCTAATGCTGGGATTCTGGTAATTCAGTGCGTGATATTTATGTTGTACTTGGGTGTTTCCGCCAGAGATTAAACATATACAACACGATACGACGTAGATCCGCCGTCCAGATCAACGAATTTTCCTTCGTGAATCGACATTCCAAAAGGACATTTGGTAAAGCACAAATGCCATTGTCCAGATTCTCGGCGTTATCCTCCATGCGCACAAGGCAGCGCTCTAGCACCACGCCAATTCGAGCATCTGCCGAACCAAAAGGAGTCACCAACGGGTCTGCGTTGCTAGGCAGATTCATAGAACCAGCAACGTCATGAACGTAAGTCTGATACGTTCATGCCCTGTCTATCACAAACGTCGGTGTCCAATATGGTTTGGTCTTCTGATATGAAGATACTTGCATAAAACAATGCCCGCCTAAATGCCAACAGGTACTGTTCTCTGGACCAACTCGGTGCCGAATTCGCTTCCTTCTGCTTCTTTGCGGTGGCTTTTGCAGAATTTGCAGCTTTTTGCTTTGACCTCACTTCTATGAAGTCGTAAACATGAGGGTCTGGGGAATTCTCAAGGGCATTTCCGGCGTTGATTGTGTGTTGCTGAATCAACCCAAATTCCATCATAAAGCGGAGGCAACACGTTCAACCCGAGAGTCGTACCGTCAATATCCCCAGAGAATCTTTGAAGCGCTGTCAAAGGGAGAGATCGAAATGCGAAGCACATCAGTGATTCGAGGATGTTGTTCAAGAGGGTGACAGAAGATCTTGTACTCACTCGTCAAGTGACCATTCCTATCACAGATATAACAATGCTTAGAATTGTTCATGGTAGTATACCAAGCTGAGGAATGGAAGTGACGGAAAAGAGGAAGAAATAAAGGAAAAAAATTGAGAGAGAGCGAGATGAGAGCGAGACGAGGGAAAAAAGTGACGTTGCTCAAGTTCACTGGAGAGATACCAAGCTGAGGAAGGCGAAGCGAGGAAAAGAAAGAAAGAACTACTCTGCCTCTCCTCCTTTTCATACTTGATCTCCATCCCAATATGTGTTAGCCGTCTCCGTGTAGTTGCAAACGCCCAGGAATCCGAATAGTTCAAACTCCAGCAAGCAAAAGTACACAGGCCCTGCCGGTGTACCGCGCAGATCAAGCTGAGCCACATCAATCTCCCTGCTCTCGAGTCTTCTGGTAGGCTATACTAACATCTGTGTTAGCCCCTAGTTAGCTGTCCTGATTTCAACTGCTCATTCAACTCTGTTTGCCTGTAACGCACAGCTTTCCTTGCGGGACAATGACGGTTTGCCCATAATATGTTTTCAACAGGGCTTCGTTTAAATCTAGGTATGTTTGATGCTCGAATGACATAAAAGACTCGATGACCATAATGAAAAGCAGTCTAATACGACATGAGGAGAGTTTCTACGGCAAAAAATGAAGACAACCCGACAAAGGCAAGATTCGAACTTGCGCACCCGAAGGTACTAGATATCGAGAAAGATTCGAGTCTAGCGCATTAGACCACTCTGCCACTTTGCCCGTTGCATGGTAGCCAAAGTTTTCCATCCAATAGCTCATTGTATAAAGGTTCAATTGACCCTACCTGGTTAGGGTTATATTCATCCCTTGTATTAGGGTTACAACGATCGTAGCGCTCCAACATGGTCGACTCACTCGGGCTGGTCCAGAATTTTGGACCACTACCAGTTCCTCACGTAGGTTCATTAACTGTTCATTCGGTCAAACATTCTTCACAGTAACTCTATAGTAATCCTCCTTTAAATGCCCTAAAACCTTATCAGAGAGTTAATTCTAGACCAAGATGATACAGTAAAACCTCAATTCTGACCGCCAACAAATCCGTTATGGCAGTTAATTTCGGGGCATTCTATTGGTACAGGTGGCGGGTAAAAGTGGAGATAGCACTTCCTCCAAACATTCTAAACCGGCTGTTTCATCTCACATGTACTCCGAAAATTTAGATAGAAGGAGCTCTAAGAGAAGGGAAAAAAAAAATACTATACTAGGATTGCACTTTCTTGCTGGCCGCAGGGAAAAAAAAATAAACGAATGATCGACAAAGGCAAGGTTCGAACTTGCGCCCCCGAAAGGACTAGATCTCGATAAATTCACTAAAATTGGTGAGTTGAGATAGTTGTGGAGAAGGGTAGGGGGCTACTAACAGTCTAGCGCATTAGACCACTCTGCCACTTTGCCTGTTGGTTGTTCGATATCTGTTAGGAAAATTGTTTTGTCGATGTTTGGCACAATTTTACGTGGGCCACAATAGAGCACGCTTAAATTTATTTCAAATGTTCAATGCGAACCATCTCTCCCACAGTCTCAAAAACACACCTGCCATGGAGAATCCTTTACCACCTCTTGCTGTCCCCGGCCAACAGCTCGCGTCGACTTCGACGTACCTACCTGGCGCAGGCACTCACGTCCACAATGGCGTGATCTGTGCATCCATCTCGGGCCCCGTCTTCGTCGAGCAGCTCAAGTCCAAGACAACCAAGTCAGTTCTGAGTGTTTTGCGATCGGGCCTGGGCAATGTTGGTCCCAATGGATCAGTGCTGCAAGAAGCGCAATCTTCACCCACGAAGAAACCGAAATACAACACCCTTCCTGCGGTTGATTCAATAGTTCTTGCGCGCGTGACCCGTGTGCAAAAGCGACAGGTCGCGCTCTCGATTCTCGTCATTCTAGACCATCTTACCGCATCGGCAGGTACTGCTACGTCGGCGCCATTCTCTGACAACGACAACATTGCCGCCATCCTCACCTCGGCCGCGAACCTGGAAAACCAAAGTACTTCGGACGAACTGCGGTTCCAAGCGTTGATCCGGAAAGAAGACGTGCGTGCGGTCGAAAAGGACCGCGTTGTGCTGGAGGAAATGTTTCGTGTCGGAGATGTTGTTCGCGGCAGCGTTATCTCGTTGGGCGACCAGAGTTTTTATTATCTGACCACAGCACGCAACGACTTGGGTGTTGTCATGGCTCGAAGCGAGTCTGGCAATATGATGTTTCCGGTCAGTTGGAGAGAAATGAAGGACCCGGTGACGGGGCTTTCGGAGTCCAGGAAAGTCGCCAGGCCATTTTAGGCGATGTCCAAGAAACCTTCAGTATACTTTGTGCCCACAGGACATGCGCTCACTTGAAGCCCAACAAACTACTGACTGTGGAAGGCGTGTCTGTCGCATGTCCTATCTCTATCACCATACGGCGCTCTTCAGAAAGTTCCGATGGAATATCAAGAGCTAAAGATGAATATCATGACGCCTCCCAGTTTCCGAAATGTGATCCGAATTTTGCTACGCGCAAGAATAAGGCAATTCTATGCCACAACTTTCACAGGACACTGACTCATCTGCGTCGCCAGAACCCATCCATCAACTCGGTGGAACGCGATAAAATCTGGCTCTGGGGCACACAGAACGCAACACGCACCAAATTCAGCCACCTTGCCGAGATTTTGTCGGGGGCAACCAGCAATCCATCGAAATCGACATTCATTGACTGACCGACGAAATGCCTGCTTGCTCGGCTCGCAACCTCTAAGATAGGCCAGGGAATTTATTTCTTTTCCAGAGAAGCACTTCAAATACATTTGATACCGCCTTTATCTCATCCCTCTTTTAAATCCCATTACTTTCTTCATCCTCTTCCCCCCTTATTCTCATCCCATCCTTGAACCTCTTCAGTATACATGGCCTAGACTATCTCAGTGTCAGACTGTGTTTGTCAAAAGAGGAACATTGAGCCGGAGCATTTGCTTCAAATTTCTTGTTGTATATCATTTCTTTTTCGATTCCTTGCGCCTCCCTAGGGTTGGAAAAAAAAACACAAGATGGGACATTTCCTTCGATGTAGTTGTAAGATGTATCAATATATAAAATATATATCTAAGTAGTGAGTGTGTGGTTGTTTCGAAATTTTATTTACTAATGCTATGTATGGGCTTGTAATGTTTAAGATGTACTTTATATATGTATACATGTGATAGTCTCCGTATGATGCAACAGTGCCTTTGCATAGAAAAAGCCATTCCCAATGCCAATTCAATTTCAATATATGATGTTTTTTTTTTCCCTCTTTTCCCTGTTCACTTCTTCAACGTCTTCTGCTTCTCAGCATCCTTAATCAACTTCTTGCCCGCGACAAAAAGCCCCTTTCTAGTCCTCACAGCATCCATATATCTCTTCGCCACATTTTCCCTATCCGCCAACTCGCCAAGATCCTCCAGCTCCTCTTCTGTGGCAGGCACCCAGAAGGGATCTTCGTCTAGAGCCTCAAAGCCCGCGAAAATAAGCTGCGGCGATGCCGCGCCGGATGTCCGTTTACGGATCTCGTCGGAGAAGCCGAACGATTCTGCAACGGGGAGGAGAGAGAGGATTGTGAAGAATGGTGTGCCTTCTTTCATGGTTTCGGATAGAATGCGTCCGCGTCGTCGGGTTATGACGCCGTAGACTCGTCCGAGGACTTCGGCTGTCGGGATTGTTAGTTATATTGTGAACAGTAGTAGCTGGGACAAAAAAAGAATGTAAACGGGCAACTTACTGGATGCTTGGATTTCACAGCTGTACATTGCAAGTAAAATGCGTGGGCTCCAATCCAAGAAGCCCTGGGATACGGATTCACGAACAATGCGGATTGCTTCGCCCGTCAGACGGCCAAAGTCAATGGCGTCTTCGTCCTCGACATGGAGAGTAACATCCTCTAGCATTACTGCAATTCCCTGTACAGGTTCTTGGCACAACGGACCTTGACCTGTTGCTAGTTGAAAGGCATAGACTATCTTATCCGAGAGGTCGCGTATGGTGTTTGCTTGTCGACCGAGTTGACCATTGTGAGCACCTCTTTGTTCTTCAGACAAGCTAGGCAGGGTTAGTTTTCTTCGCAGGTTTGTCTCATCAGAAGTGGAATAAAGAAGATATACTTACAACTTATCGCTAGTGTTGGCGGTAGTGGCATCAATCAAAACGTTCGGACCTATTCTTCGAGGTCCGAAAGCTATGATCTTTTCCACGATATCTGAATTGATTTCTTCATGTTTTGACTGTGTGAGCAACTTTCGTAGTTCTTGCTTAAATTCTGCTAGTGAGAGAACATTCGTCTCAAGAGACTCGGCGTCTTCCGCCTCCCGGTTTTCAATCTCTTCCACTGATTCTTCGGCGTCTGTGGCCTTTTTAGCCCTTTTCTCAGACTGCAGCTGTTTGAGAGTTCCCGCATGCTTCGACAGGAATTCCGTGACTTCTGATGGAAGCGGTAGTACGCGCAGCTTGATTGTCAATTGCTTTGATGGGGATACGGTCAATACTCCACCCCGTCCCAAGTCTGGATTTTTGGGAGCCGCCATTTCAGTCGTGCTAACAATGCTCTCCCGGAATGGTACAATCATTTCTCCAGCTTGAATTTCGCATCGTGCGAATCGTTCTCGGAGATCCTTCAAGCAACGCTCCAAATGCAGTTCACCAGCTGTAAGGATCACATGTTCACCGTTTGGTAGAACTTCATACTGCGCACATGGATCGCTTTGCTCCAATAGCTTAAGGCCCGTAATCATCTTACTCAGATCTGCAGGATTGGCCGGTTCGAGCGCAACCCGCACGATTGGCGGGCTGCTCATGGACACACCCGCCATGTTGATACTTCCCTCCAACTGGCTACACAACGTGCCTGTTTTCAAGATATGTCCAGCCAGTCCTTCGACTCCAAACACTACTCCGGCAGGTACCGACTTGAGAGGCTCTAGACTTCGGCCCATGAGCAGGTACAGTCTCGTAATAGTCACTTTCCTAGGCTCCGGACTGGCGTGTGGACTCGACGGCGAGAATTTTGGGCCCAAGACATATAGAGAATCGCCCACGGTTAACGTTCCCGAATACAGTCTGGCAAATCCTATGAGATGTTCTTTATCCACCTTTTCCTCCTCCTGAGTTTCTTGGTCATCCAAGCTTGCGCTAGCAAGAGCTGTTGTGACTCTGCTGAATTCGTCACCCTGCTCGTTGGCTTCTGCTTGCAGTTTTGCTATTTCTTCCCGCTTCTTTCTTGCTAGTTCTCGAGCTTCGTCAGCCGTCAAAGTTGCACCCGCTCGCTTTATATTCTGTGGCAGTTCGCTTTCCGGTATTGCAACCATTTTGCTGACATAGGCCACAACGGGGTCATTCGGGCCGGTCTTGAAGTCGACCATGGCATCTTTGACTTTTTCATCCACGAAGTTGGAGCCCGGTGACGTCTTGATCAATTCTGGCAGTCTGGCGGCTTGCGCACTTCGGGGGCTGGGAAGATATTCCATAACGGACACGAGCACAGCAGTAGACAGCGGCAACCATGAAGAAAAAAGCGCTAGCATGATGTTCCTGGACTCTCGAGATCGAAGTATATGAGGCGGTATTGTAACATTTAATGACTTTGTGATCTTTTCTAACATGGCAGGGTCGCTGTTTCAGTTAGCATCACCTCAATTATATTTTTGAAGGAGATATGGGTACGTACCCCTTTCCTTTCGCTCCTCCGGTGGTAGCATCATATACAGCCCATAAACTATCCAGTACCAGCTGGACAAACATGGGCTTAAGAGCCCGGCCTTTTAGATGCTTCGAACCTAAGACGCGCTTCGTCTTAGGATCCAGGTAAAAGTCACCCCAAAGCACCTTTTCAAGCGCCGAGCGCTTAATACCCAGTTTCTTTTCATATAACGAAGCGAATTGTCGAACTGTGAATGCCCAGCCGTCTGTGGCACTGCAGAAAATAACATTGTTTTTCTCCGGGGCAAAGTAGAGGTCTTCATCGTCTTTCTCCTCAAACTCATCCAACTCCGCATTATCGTGGCCACCCGGTTCATCAGAGGCAAGTTTCTTTGCCTGGTCTTTATCTCTCACAGCAGCAGCATTGACTCGTTCTTCCATACGTTCGCGCCAGAGTAAATCTTCTTCCATACGCTCTCCCTGGTAGAAACTGCCAATAACCGCATTTACTTGCTCGAGGAGCTTGCTCAGGTGTGAATAGGCCTCTGCTGGGCTCATCTGAAGTTCGGTTACAAGTCGGTCCATCTTGTTGATGACCAACAGAGGCTTCAATTTTTCGACCCATGTCTGACGTAAAACTGTGACCGTCTGGCTACACACACCTTCAACAGCATCTACCAGGACAAGCGCACCATCACACAGCCTGGAAGCAGTCGACACTTCGCTGCTGAAGTCGATATGGCCCGGAGAGTCTATCAAATTTATCAGGTATTCCTTGGTCTCCGGCGCAGCGTCTGGCGCGGACCTTCGCAGCATGGAAAAGTATAGCGAAATAGCGGACGACTCCATGGTAATACCGCGCAGCTGTTCATCTGGGCGCGAGTCAAGATAGCGAATCTTGCCCGCCAATTTCGGCGAGATAATTCCATTCGTAGCGATGAGGCTGTCCGTAAGAGATGTCTTGCCATGGTCCTGCGGGGAGGATCAGCGCATTGCACACGCCTCAGATCAATATCTCTGAACAAATTAGGGTACTCACGACGTGTGCTAGAATGCATATCTGATTATGAGAGCGACAGAGTCAGTACACTTCGCAGGAGAACTAACGTTCGTCATATCCATGATATATCGAGAGGCGGAGGGGTAGCTCGTACATTTCGTATATCGTCTGCTTTGCGCTGCAGGCGCACCAGATCGTCCACGTTAACCACAGGCATACTGGCAAACGTCCGTATGCTTGACAAGCAGCAAATATTTCCTCCTCTGGGACCGACTGCTCACACGTCGCGCATGCAACAAGTTGGCGGGTCGAGCTGGACGAGGCACGCAGCGGGGGAAATTTTTATATCTCTCGGAGCGGGCGCGCCTCCGCTCAAGAGGCAAGAGCAATAATGACTCTTATTCAGTAATGCAACCTCACTTCGTCTACGAATGACACTTCTTGTCGTCCTGCGTCTAGGACTGAGTTAGCCCTGTGATATTTCTCCTTTTTTTTTTATTTTTGGATTGCAGATTGCAGATTGAAAGAGGCTGTGGGTATTTTATCCTTGTTGAATTTCTTCTACGGGCATTATTACATCATTCGGGTTCACCAGTCCAGTCTACTACTTAAGCTGGGTTATGATCGATTCGTCGACAAGATACTAGACGCTGTCATCCTCTCATAGCAGCAGCAGCAGAGTGTTCAATTCTATTCTGGTTCGTCAAAGGACAATTTGATCTTCTTTCTCTTCGCACTCGGTTTTGGCGCCGCCGGGTTGACCTTGTGCCGCGACTCGTCCTCAGCAACTTCTTCGTCGTGGATTACCTTGGCTTTCCTTCGTTTCTTCTGGGCGGTGCCTATCTCGGCTAGATTTTGCTGTGTCTTTGCCTCTTCATTGGAAACTTGTTCTGCTGACTTTGCAGCAGGATTCGTCGATTCTTTGCCCTCTTCAGCGCCGTGACCGGCAGTCTCGCCTTTTGCCTCGGTGCCATTCAGTAGCGATTCATAGTCCTCTTTGGACAAAGCTTCGTTGGTCTCTTCGTCCACGTATACCGGAGCATCCTCGTCATCGTTTTCTTTGGCTTTGCGGGGACGGTGCGTCGGCCGTCTAGAGTCGCCATCGCCGTACTGACCACGAAGCTTTCGCAGGAAAGCCGGCTCGTTTCGTTCTGGGAAAACGGTCAGGTGCAGTAGAGAGAGATGGAAGGTGACGGACCATAGGTGAGATTCTTTGCGTTAAATGCCATTGTCGGCTTCTCAAGCTGGATGCTGTTTGTACCGTTGTAAGCCGTAGAATTGCTCGATTCGTAGACCGTTTATGAGATCCACGCAGGATATGGTCGGATCATCCCAAGCTAGGTGTTTTCGTCCACAAACACAGGCGAAAAAAATGCAAAGAAATGAAGTAAAGGAAAGGTCGCAGGGTAGATAAAAGAGGAGAGGAGAGGAACAAGGGCGGCAAGGCTGTCGAATCACGTTGCGCGCGGCCTACAAAGCCCCATCTAAAAAGTCTCGAGCTGCAACCAGCTTGCTTCACTCACTCCCAACCGTCCCCTCAATCAAGCCCTCCACCATGCTCTGCGCAAGTAAGTTTTCGTCCTCTGGTAATTCCGAGTGTGTCGCGGTTATTGACTTGCTCATCTAGTTTCTGGAGAAGCGCCACAGGTGCCTGTTGTGTCTGCGAAAAGCGGTATGTCTGCCCTGCACACGACTTGTCGAGATATACCAGAATACTGACCGACTTTTTCAAGGCAATGTGTTTGAAAAAAGACTCATAGAAGCTTACATCGCTGAAAACGGGAAGGATCCTGTCACGGGAGACGACCTCTCCGTGGACGACTTGGTCGACTTGAAAACATCGCGCATCGTTCGCCCTCGCCCGCCTACACTCACCTCGATTCCATCGCTTCTCGGTGTCTTTCAGGAGGAATGGGATGCGTTGGCATTGGAAACATACACACTACGTCAGGCCCTCGTTCAGACGCGACAAGAGCTCAGCACGGCCCTGTACCAACATGATGCCGCGGTACGAGTGATTGCGCGATTAACCAAGGAAAGAGATGAGGCCCGCGATACCCTCGCCAAAATCTCCGTCGGAACCGCGCGTGCTCCTGCAGGTGTCGATGCTATGCAAGTTGACACCGCAAAATTACCAGACTCCGTGGTTGCTAGAATTGAAGAAACACAAGCTACGTGAGTACATTGCAGCACTTTGGGAAAGCCGACTCGTTATTGACTTGAATAGGCTCTCCAAGTCGAGAAGTAAGCGTCCGATCCCGGAAAACTGGGCGACGGGCGAAGCAATCCAGCTGTACAAGCCAACAGTGAGCTCCGAGCCTCTGTATCCTGGAGGCAAATCCCTCTCAGTAGATTCGACTGGAGAGTTAGCTCTGGTTGGCGGTGTTGATGGCATTGCCGGCATCTACTCAACCTCTAAACAACAGATTGTTCAAACGCTCAAAGTTGACGGCCCGGTTACTGGTGCAGCTTTCGCGGGTACGACAGCTGTCGTGGCTTCTGCAACTGGATCAGTGAAGTTTTTCAACCAAGGAGCGGAAAGTGCCAGCTTTGATTCTCACGCTGGAGAAGTTACTGCAGTTACTGTGCATCCGACTGGTGATATCGTTGGTTCAGTCGGCGTGGACAAGAGCTATGTTTTATATGACCTGACGACATCTTCTGTCGTCGCTCAGATCTATGGCAATGCCAGTAAGTACACCCAGTTGATGTCCTCACAAATCATTGCTCATGCGTTCTTTAGGCCTACTATCTGCAAAATTCCATCCTGATGGCCATTTGCTTGCTGTTGGCGGCGCGGACGGACAGATTCAGGTATATGACGTGAAATCGGGAGCTGTTGCTGCCAGCTTCCCTATGCAGGCACCTGTCACGAATCTCGAATTTTCCGAGAATGGCTACTTCATGGCCGCCGTGACCGAAAATTCCACAGAAATCTCCGTGTGGGATTTGCGGAAATCCAAGATATATAAGGTGCTTCAAACCGGAACCCGAATCAACTCTCTTGCCTGGGACTACACGGGACAGTTCCTTCTGAGTGGAGGACCCAACGGAATCACAGTGCAACAATACACCAAGTCTACGAAGGATTGGTCAGAGTCCCTCCGAAGCGCTGTACCGGCCGTGGGCGTTGCATGGGGAACATCGGCACAGAGTGTCTTAACCACCAATGCAGAGGGCGTTTTCACTGTGTTGACTCAGTCATGATACCTTTGTTTTTGAGATCATTGTACTTTTAGTGTTTATTTTCTTGCCGGCTGTTTCTCTAAAAAGATATACAAAATGATTGGCATAAAAAAATCATATATTTACCGTAAATCACAACCATCAGTGCAATATACAGAAAGAAATGGGAGCCACATCGAGGACCTAGGGACCGTAAGGTAAATAAGACACGACTCTTATGCTCACCGGATATATATATATATATATATATATACTCACATACATGAAAATGAAATGTACGAACGCTCCGCCTGGCCCATGAGCCATCAGATACGGGAATAAAACTATTCCGTCAATGATTATTTAGAGTAATGCATTGCATCCATATGCGGGTGACACAATTCTGTATTCGATCAGTATGTCGAGAAACATGCTATTTCTGTTTGTATACAACAACTTAGCATTCAGAGTACAACATCAATGTATGCCGTATAGATTGGTGGCAGAAAAAAAACAAAGGACATTTCAGAACTACCACAACTGGACAAACGAATAAAATTTCCTCCATCGTGGCGACTTCTCGTACTCATCCAACTCTCGGATTTCCTCTACACTCAGAGGCCTACGTCCGGTTATCAAGTCCACAGTCTGGACGTCGCGAATTTTGGTGCGGAATATCAACTTGTAAGCGAGAGCGCTACCGATGATCAGAATCATGCCAAACATGTATTGGAAGAAATAGTATGCTGTGGGTGTATCCGAGCCCTAAATTGATCAGTCCGAGTCATTAGCAGGTTAGAACAAAAATAGGGAAGAGTATATCCATACAATTGGAAACAAGGCAAGGTATATAGAACACCCGATGTAAAGCGCGCAACAGCCAAGTAGCCATAATGGCGGAAACGGCCAAAGGGCGCACTTCCAAGCGTAGGTCTGGGTAAAGAGAGGATCATTTTGAGCCTTTAACACTGCTCGAAAGCGAAATGATGTAATGGAAATCACCACCCAGACCATGAAATATCCAGTACTAACGATCTGGGCTAGCCAGTCAAAGACTGTTGTTCCGCCTGCGCTTAGGTTAATGTATGTAAGAATGATAGCAAGAAGGCCGGTGATAGACAGAGAAATATAAGGACGGCCTCGCGAATCAATCTTTGAAACCCAGCTTGTAATAAGGCCTTGGTGGGCCATGGATTGAAGTATACGTGACGCGATATAGAAACTCTCGGCAGCAATAGCAGCTACAGCGAAGACAATTACCACGTTAAGGATATCCGGAAGAACAGGAATACCAGCCTGGTTAATGGCAATAACAAAGGGAGATGCAGCCACGCCGCTGCTACCAAGCAAATGTGGGTTCTTTGGAGAGACCAGGAGTCCGATGAGAACCACTGAAACCAGGTAGAAAACTGCGACACGAATTGGGATCAAGAAAGCGGCATGGGCGACCGAATACCGAGGCCTGCGAGACTCTCCAGCCAGGAAACCAGTGAAGGTATTGTCTTGTATCTCTTAGTATTTTGACAGTGGGGAACTCCAATGGGAATAATGCTTACCTCCAATGGCTAGAATAGCAAACAAGACACTGTTTCCGAAGCCCTTGAATCCATTCAGGAAGGCCACCCCGTTGTCCCATGTTTCGCCATGGTTGACAGTCCCGTCCGGGCCGGCGCCGAAAATCAGTGCAATACCCACAATGATAAACAGGATCAAGGCAATGATTTTCAGCATAGACGTGAAGTATTCGAACCATCCAAAAACGGTGCTTGGCAGGCTAAAGATGGCGAACATCAGAATGAGAAAGATGGTTACTAGTAAGACAATATAGATTTTAGAGAGAGAGAGAGAGAGCAGGTAGAGAGAGTAGAGGAGAATGGACTTACGCCAAACCGCCTCATTCACTTTATCCTTGGCCCAGTAGTTCACAACGACAGAGAAAAAGGTCGCCTCCGAAGCAATAACTGCCGTCCATCCAATCCACATGGAAAAGCCGGCCGCGAAAGCAAAGGCTGGATCGACAAAGCGATCCGCGTAGTCGATGAAATTTCCAGACGTGGGGAACGCAATGGTCATTTCGCTGACTGTTTGAAGCACTGCCCATACACATGAGCAGACGACCGCAAAGCCGAGAAGCAGGTTTGCTGGGCCGCCTTCTCGCAGATTCGAGCCGGTGGAAATGAAAAGACCAGCGCCAATCTGCCCCCCAAGGGAAATGACCTGTTTTTCAATACGCACTGGTGAGTAAAGTGGACTTGGCGGGGAATCAGATCGTCTTTCTTACATGGATCTGCCTAGGAGTGAAATTGCGGTGATATCCCGAGTTGGTGTTCGTTACTTCGCCTACTTCAGTATCGACTGGTGACTGGCTGTCAGTCGTGCCATCTTTGGTAATATCCATTGCGTACTCTCGGAATGATGATGGATGGGCGAAAAGGCACATCGCTGTGAGGCCTGTCCATTTTTATACCTAGGTACAGTTTGCCGGTCTAGTATTGACCTAGGTAGTTATCTATCAGACGGTTCGTAGTAGGCAGGTTGATCCGCCGTTTCTTACGAACGATAGGTAACTTCGTTATCTACCCATCCTGTGGGTCTGAATGCTGGATAAGCAATGCCTGTAAAGGGTTGGAATGCTTTTCTTGCGTTTGAGCGTGATGTACACACGGAACTGAAGCCGTATCAACGATGACCTCGGTGCTTCATAAAATACATAGTGAGAAGATTGACAGTGAGATATCGTGCGCCTAAGCTGGCGAGCTCCCTTGAGTATAGCTCCATAGCTCTCTACATGTAGCTCTCAACAATGATACTCATTATTTGTTTCTGTAGGGAGAATCTGTCTAACAGAGCAACTAACTACAGCATAACAACCCCCTCTTTCGCGTTCAGTACACCGCCGCGCGTATTCTGCCGGTCAAAAATATCGCTGCAAAAGTATTTACAGACAGTTTAGGAAGGCGGTGTTCGAAATTTCATTAGTAAGCATCATTGCTGCTTCCTGCCTTTAAAGCGCTCACTGCTCCTTTTTCCACCATGACTAAAGTACGAAATGCAACACAAGCAGCGCTGCGTCTACAGCACAGCCTTGGGCGATGGCCCGCATCCCGGCATATCATTGAGATCCTCCGGCGTGTCCGGGTGAGGGTTGGTTTCAAAGTTCACCATTTTGGCACCGGGTCTCCATTTCCATTTCTGGGCAATCTCTGGATCGAGAGTGCCTTCCATCATGTCCACAATGTATTTCCCAAGCACGGGCAGGAATTTGAAGCCATGGGCTGAACCTCCAATGGCAATGTCTAGGTTCTTGTGGGCGGGATGCGGCGTGATGAGAAAATTGTAATCGGGCATGTCTCCATCCCTGCAAGATCATAAATAGGTCAGCCATCGGTATCTGGTCGTGACGAGTGCATACTTACCAGCAGATCCTGGTCTCCACCCATTCTCGGTCTGCGAGCTCAGGTACGCATTCTCTCATCCATTTTCGAAGACGCGCCTCTATTTTGGCAGGGACTCCATCTCTGGGGTTGTCAGAACGATAGCGAGGGAGCGAGACTCCGCTGTTGGGCTTCGCAAAATTGGTGACGAAATGGATGGCGCCGATCTTCATGATGCCGTCTTCTTGAGGAGGAAACAAAATGCCTAGAAAGAAGTAACATGAGCCTTGCTGCGGTCACAAGCCAGCAAGTAATTGGGAGGTCGGATCGTTTACCTCCTTCCAAATGATCGATGATGGGCATGTCTTTATATTTCCCAACCTCTTCCGGGGACAGTTGGATATGGCCGACCGTATGACCTTTGGCCACTATCTGGCCTTGTAAATCCAAAAGACTGCCAGCTGCAGCACCCGCAGCGAGCACAATCTTGCGGCCGAAATAGGTCGAGCCATCAGCGCACTTCACTCCCACGCACGTTGCATTCTCGTCAAAGAGCAGCTGCTTTGCATACCCGGCATCGCCAGAGATGTACTTCACCCCGGAATTGATGGCCTTCCGAGCCATTCTGAAGATTCCTTCCTTTGCATTCACCCATGCAGCGCCGGAGCTCCAGAAGGACTTCCACCCAGGCAAGTCTCCGTTCAGTACAGGCCATCTTTGACGAATTTCTTCCGTTGTCAGTTCTCGCGCAGGCTCAACGCCAAGAGACTCTGCGCTTCTGATCGATGCTTCCACAAATGGCAGAGATCGTTTTGATGCGCCGATAATCCAGCCACTGGGGTGGTAGAGTCCGGAGAATAACCCATTTGGGTCGCGCCAGAGATCCCTCGCGTCCGTTGCCATCTTGGTGTATAGGGCATCTGGATACTCGGTGCGCACGACTTTGTTGATATCGACACCGGCAGCCTCTAGTGACGGTACTGGGAAACGATCCAAGACAGTGACGCTTGTGTATCCTTTTTTCGCCAGATAGAAGGCTGTCGTGGTACCAAAAGTACCGCCACCGATGATGATTACCGGCTCAGAAAGTGACGAGAGAGTGACCATTTTGAGGGGTGCAATACTGCTAGACAACGAAACGAGGGAGAATAATGCCTACGTTTCTCATGCTGTTTCCTTCCTTTCTTACCATTATATGCCGTCGCCGTTTTCCATTGGGCTCAGAAATGCCGGTCTTCGAAATTCCGAGGGCAGCTCGATGCGCCGCCAGCAACCAGGTCAGACCCGCACCATATTTGAAGCTATTATCTATTACTGGGTAGTATCCAGTCTAAGATAAGAGCATATGATACATATTATTAAATAAGAATCAAGCAAGCGGCCTTCTATATGAATATACATGCAAATATGTATACACACACCGCCATGTTTTCTGTCGGCAGAATACCCTCACGCATATGGCTGGTGTACGACTAAGAAGGCGGTGCGGTTATATTCGATGAATTGATAAACTTGCAGGAGATAAGAAACCCAACGTGATTGGCCGCCTGGTGCAAGCTGTGGGCCTCAGGCACCCAGACTCTATTTCCCTGAAACTGTGTTAACATCTAGTTAACACTGCATCCTTCTGGATTACGATAAAAATGCCTCAGTTGAAGACGAAAGACCCGGAGTGCCCCCAGTCAATCCGACGTACCCGGCTAGGCTGCTGGAATTGTAAAGGTGAGCTCAACGTTGTCTTCTCTTATCAACAGGTGGACTATATCCTAACTTGATTCCTGCAGCGCGGCGAAGGCGATGCACAGGTAAGAATTTCCCGATTAGGATGAGGGGTGAATTGCCGTTTCGTAAGAAGTAGAAAAAGAAATTCAAGGCAGGGAAGAAAGCAAAGTCACTAAAGCTGTGCATTTCTCCAGAGGACAAGCCCTCGTGTAGCGGATGTGTCAAGCGAGGTCTGCAGTGCTCTTATGGCATCCGACTCTTATGGCAAGATGAAGCAGAGTCGATGGGCATTGCCTTTGGACGAGCAGGCATGAAGGATCGATTTCGGAAGAAGACGAAGAAATCCATTGCCCTGCACTATTTACTCCCTGCTCGTCATCAAGGCCGGTATCATTGGCTGAATACAACATCGGAAGATGTTGGTTGGCTGTACAACGATGCCCCCAGAAGTGACAATCGGCGCAGTCTTTTCTGCGATACCCAGCCACCAGCAATCCTTATAGCAAAGAGGGCTGGCACCAATAGCCGCATCCCATCTCTGTTGTCTGAGTGGCCCTCACTCGGCGAAAAAGACACTTTTCTTTTTCAGTACTGTTGGTTTTCCCCTCCAAGCTAGCTTCATCATGATACTGACTCTGTATGCAGTCAGCAATGTCTGTACCGCCCAGAAATCACTTGTTATCGACGATAACCCCTGGCGTGAAGTCATTCTTCCGCTTTGTTATCAATCAGAGGGTCTTCTTGATATAGCCGTAGCTTGGGCGGCTCATGATATTCGCAATCAACGTCGAGACCGAGATGTTTTTTCTTATGACGAGATGGTACTTCGATACAAGTGCCGCTCTCTCAAATATTTTCGCAATATGGTGCCACGGTGCACCAATGATCCCACATTATCTATAGCACAGACCCAAGCAGAGCGAGACAGCCTGTTGCTTCTAGCCATGCTCCATTCCCTCCTGGAGATAGCAACGGGCAGCGTCATGGAATGGACATACCATATGAAAGGGGCCCTGATGATCATGGAATTTTACACACGACTACATCGCGCATCGAGGCAGGAGAATATCTTCAGCCCGCAAGTCTTGGAGCTTGTCTATAGCTTCTTCTCTGAAAATGACACCTTTTTAGCCACGACGGGGGATAAAGACAAACACTATGAGGAGAATGTGTACTGGTCTGTCCAAGTACGGGGCATGTTTCCCTTTCTCGGCAGTGTCCCCATGAAGCTTCATCCATGCAGGGGATTGTCTTCTGAATTACTGGATATCATATCCTCAACTACCAAGCTAGCGAGTAGCCGACACGAGATACAGGATGATGACAAAATACGCCACTTTATGAATCTCCAGCGGCGTCTCTCTCGGTTGAGAACATTGCCGGAAAGAGCAGGACCAAGAGATTTAATCAATTTGCAGGCTGCAGCTTTCGAGGAGGCCGCTTGGATCTACCTGTACCACGCAATCCAAAATCAACTCTCCTGTCCAGTTGATGATATTAAAAAGGTCCATCTCCCCAAGCTTCTCGATATCCTGGAAGAAATCCATGCCGTTCAGGGCCCTCTTCTTGGAGTTATTCCCTATCCCATGTGGGCACTCTTTATTGCTAGTTGTTCTGTATCGGAGGACGAGCGAAGGAGGATTCTTGAGTGGTTCACGATATTGAAATCCAACAGGCCAATTAGCACCGTGCCATCTGTTATGACTGCCGTTGAGACGATCTGGAAGCGACGAGACCTCGATTTTGGTGAAACGGCCAGTCGCTCCTCTGAGTACAGTCTCAATTGGGGGGCGGCCATCTCGCAGCTGGGTTGGAAGATGTCGATGACTTGAGCGTCGTCATGTTTATCATTTTTATATTCCATGGTTAATGGTAGTTTCCATGAATAGAAGTAAGACTACATACATTTCTAAATCCGGGTAGTAGATGGTCAGGCTAGGGCCTCTTAGGTGAGGAGTTGGCCGTGATGCTTGTAATAATAATACAATAGTATACTGTAATTTATTGGACTTACCTTGTAGGATTTTGATATCAGGTCGACTGCGGTTTTCCGCCTAGTTACATGGATAGATATACAAGTTCCCCACTGGCGCATCGACCTTCCCATATTGCTAGGCCGTATTTTCAGAAGCAATAAAGATAAATAATGAACCAGCCAATGCTATTTCTAGTGATTACTCGTACAACGCTGAGCAGCTCACGGAAATACTTATCTTCCCTCTTCAATAATAGTAGAAAACATGGTCCTCCACAATGGTAAGTCCTTCTTCGCGATTGCCTCTTTTTTCTAAGCAGTAACCTTGACTCAGGAACCGATTATACTGAGCACAAATCTGAGCCGTACCCGTTCATTGACCCTCGCAAATTGAATTTGGAGGGCAAATCTGTTTTCATCACCGGCGCCAGCAAGGGCATTGGTGCCGCCATCGCTACATCGTATGCTAGCGCAGGGGCATCGATAATCGGTCTTGGAGCTAGGACATCTCAAGGCGAGACAGTCAAAGCGATCGCGGAGGCAGCCAAAGCGGCTGGAAGGGTAGCGCCAAAAGTCTTTGAGTATGAACTGGACGTAACTAGCTTGGCTAGCATTGAGAAAGTGGCAGCCAAGTTCCGGGATGATGATGCGAATGGCCGACTGGACATCCTGGTGAACAATGCCGGTTACCTGCCGAGTTTCGTGCCCATAGCAAAGTCGGATCCTGATGACTGGTGGCGAGGCTGGGAGGTGAATGTCAAGGGCGTCTATATGCTGACTCGAGCCATGATTCCTATCATGCTGAACGACCGGCAGTCTGATCGTACAATCGTCACGCTCACGAGCACCAGTGCGCATCGTGTCTCGTACGGCGGTAGCTCCTATCAGATGACAAAGCTGGTTAATCTGCGCTTTTGCGAATTCATCGCTGCTGAATATGGCCAGGATGGTTTCTTGGCTTATGCTGTGAATCCAGGCAGAGTAGCGACGGATATGGGGGAAAAGGTTGCTTTGGATACTGGAATTAGTAGGCTCCTTTTTTCCGTTCTTTCCAAGCTCTTTTTGGCTAATTCATAACCTTTAATCACGCCGACTGCAGCCCTCGAGGACTCCCCAGAACTCTGCGCCAATACCATTTCGTTTCTCACGAGCGAAAAGCGTGACTGGCTCCAAGGCCGATATATCAGTGCCCTCTGGGACATGGAGAAGCTTCTTGAGCGCAGGGATGAGATTGTAAAGAATGATTATTTGAAGGTTAGAATGGTGATTGGGTAGATGCACTGTAGTTATCCAGATTATACGTACACTCACTGCCTTCTAAGTGTAACGCTCTTCTTGATTATCTCCAGACTCAGTCTGCTCGGCCAATCAAAGGCGGCGTATACTGCTGCCCGCCGGACAAATCATACCACCGAGCGACCTCATGTAAAGTCTCTCTTATCTCTGCAACTCTCGCCTTCACTTTGCCCTCTTGTCACTCACTGCGCTGGGAATGATATCGATCTTCCGGTCAAGTTATACGGCCTTGCTATGAGTAACGACCGCCAAGTGGAGTCCCTGGCCACCAGGTTCCGAAAGGTATTTCGAATATGGCTTGCGGGGCATGGCAGTCGCCTTTCAACATTGCCCAAGATCTCTTTGCGTTCACTTACTGATTAACATTCCTGTGACAGAGACCTCATATTGAAATGTCACATTCGCATTACCAGGGTCGTTCGCAATGGCCACAGCACGGAGAAGCCGGTTCTTCTGCCGTTCCCTCCTCACACCCACTCAGTCTCCCCACGCCACATACGAGATATCAAGGGCATGCCGGCTTTGATTTTCGCCGCCCAGTCATGTCAACACCGTCTCACACGGATGAAGTGGTGGATTTGACAGATGAACCAGACTCGCCTGTTCAATTTTCCCGTCGCCAACCGTCCCGTAGCCATTCTCATCAAGGGCATAGACCACCTCGTCACCGGCCACCGAGGTTCGGTCGAAACATCATGGCAGACGTTGTCGATTTGGAGCAAGAGGACGAGGGGACTGGAAGACAAGGAGAAACAGATGATACGATCATCATTGATTCACCAAGCAGTCCGGAGGTACAGTTCGTAAGAGCTACACAGCGGCCGGTGCCTTCTACGTCAAGTCGATTATTAGATGTTCTCAATTTACATGCTCGATCCGGATTTCTCTCGCCTCAGGAGGCTTTCAGACAAGAAATTGCGCTCCGAACTAGACATATAGGCCAACGTCGAATCAACCAGTCGACTTGGGAGGAGATTTTTTTCGCTGGAAATACGAATGACAACATCGACCTCACAATTGATCTAGATTACCAAGCTCCCGGATTCAGCATTCATGAACCCCCGGCTCCCACGCCACCGCCTGCCTACGAGCCTCCTAGTCCGGCGCCGGAAGGCTTTACAAGAACGGTTAGCGATGCCGACGTGGTTGTTTGCCCTAATTGCGATCGAGAGCTAGGCACAGGCGATGGGCTCCGTCAGCAGATATGGGTTGCAAAGCCCTGTGGCCATGTACGTCTGTTTCGAAACCAAAAAAAAATGTTTACCCCGCTGACCATGTTTGTAGGTATACTGTGGCGAGTGTACAAGCAACCGCGCAAAGAAAAAGAATACCGCTGCCTTTTCAGCTCTTGGAACGAAACCTTTTTCCAAATGCAGAGTCGCCGGTTGTGAGAAACTGGTTAGTCAGCCAAAGTCCATGGTCCAGATCTATCTATGATTGGTTCATGGTTTTGAAAAACATGTGTCATTTCGTCGGGAGTCTGGGTATTTTCATGATTTATCAATTGGCTTGCATGGTTTAGGATCAACTTGGTGTTTCACATGGGTGTATATTTATGTATGCTATTTTTTTGCTTTAGGAGATTTACCATAGATACCCTCTTATTTATTCAGGTTTGTTTACGACCAATATACGACTTTCAAAGCTTCTGTTTTCTCTCTTTATTTTTGGCCAGCAAATGATCAATGAATGAACGGTCTTTAGGTTAGAATAATAGCTGTTTCTTTGTGTGAATGCCCGGATTCTCCATTCAATGTAGAAAAGCAAGCGGAGAGAACCGGGAATGCTGATATATAATACATGGAAGATATTTGATATTTGACCCAATGAAACTCCAAAATCTGCGCTAAAACAAATAAACCATGACATCAAACCACCTTAAGGTCGCCGTGATATGGTGACCATATACCTCTGACACTCTCGTTGAGACTCGTCACCGGCTTCATCTGTCTCTTGACCTTTTCGCCGCTGGCTTCTCGGAGGTACTTGACTTTCTGTAGAATATCCTCGGACTTAAAATTGCGGACGCAAACAGCCTTGATACGGCCGTTGATGTAGTGTCCCTTGATGACTGGGTGTTTTTGAGGTCGGGGGGAGACGCGGATTTCGATCTGCGGATTTGCTTTGGCAAAGGCCGGGAGTTCTTCTTTCAGGAAGGTGCTATTGAAAGTTAGATCATGTTATGCCAACGAAATCATCGGTTGTGATTGTTACATACAGCATGCCTTTAGAGCTGCCTGCCCAGTCGCAATAAGTGAAGTCCAATCGCTTGCATTGCAGGATGAACGCTCCGACGCCGTTCTAAAAGGTGGTAGAATCGTTGTTAGCAATGGAAATTGAATTTGCGGAACCAGTCAACCGAGAATTACCTGCGCCTGGGTTATGGCCCTTATTCCTCGTACCGTCATATTGATCACCGTCTTGATATTTGAGATTCTCTGTTGCGGAGAGTCTTTTTTACCAGAAAAGAAGCCGCTGGACTTGCCGGGCGGCGGCTAATAATGGCGCGACATTACTGGTTGATCTGCCGGGCGGCCACAGGCGCCTAAATCCATGTTCGTCTGGCTCCTAGTCTTTGCATTCTTCAACCTGGCCGAAGTAGAATCAACGCTTATATCACATACAAACTGTTTGCAGTTCAGCGCAAGCCGTACCCAATATTGTCCCAAAAAATACCACCGCTGTTTTTTTGGGCCTATAAGGGCGCGCAAAAATGACTGACAAGCTTCCTCCTAACCTCCTCGCTCTCTTTGCACCGCGTCCACCGTTGCGGTACATCCCTCCCACTGATCGCGCGCCTGACGAGTGCAAGAAAAGCACGATTGGTGGTGTCGCGAGTTTTCTTGGCGAACTACAGAATTATGGCGAAGAAGTTCCCTACAATGCCACTGAGAGCTGGCTGCAGCGCCGTTCGCGTTTAAAGGCGGAGAAGAAAGAACACATGGATCGCCAGCTTACGGAAGGTGTCGAAAAATGTATGAAAATTGATATGTGGTACCGCTCCAAATTGCTTTCAGTGATTTACATTAATCCTATGAGTATAGATGATCCTGCAAACGACGCGCAAGTTCGCGGAGACCCCTTTAAGACTCTCTTCGTAGCGCGTCTCAGCTACGATGTTAAAGAGTCGGACTTGGAGCGAGAATTCGGCCGGTTCGGTCCTATTGAACGGGTAATGATTCTAATGGATATTTTGATTCAAACCCATACTAAATTTTTTTACTAGATTCGCATCGTCAAAGATGCCGAGAAACCGAATCCGAAGAAGCCTCATCGAGGATATGCATTCATTGTTTATGAACGTGAAAAGGATATGAAAGGTATCCATACTCCGATTTCTCTCTCAGTTTTGCGTCCTATCGCGTCTAAATGCTTCTTTTTTCCTGATACGATCTTATATTGATGGTGAACGATTGACTAATGGATTCCTACAATAGCGGCATACAAGGAGACCGACGGCATTCGCATAAAGGATCGACGAGTTTTGGTTGATGTTGAACGTGGTCGCACTGTTAAAGGCTGGAAACCTCGACGCTTTGGTGGAGGCCTCGGTGGACGTGGCTACACGAAGGCTACTCCCGCGCGCCCGCTTGGGCCAGGCGGATTCAATGCACCTTCTGGACCAGGCGGCTATGGCGGTGGCTTTAGGGGTGGGTTTGGTGGCAGAGGCGGAGGCTTTCGTGGAGGCTTTCGCGATCGCGGATTTGGAAACCCTAGATCAGGTGTTGGTTTCCAAGGTGGTCGTAACGGCTTTGGAGGTCAAGCTCCACCGAATGCTCCTTCAGGCCCAGGAGGTGGCCGCGGCGGTGATAGACGAGGAGGTGATGGCAGGTTTGATCGTGATCCTAGAAGGGCAACAGGCAGTAATCAGGAACCGGTAAGGCCACGCGATGCATATGGTGACCGTGACCGCCGCGACAGGGACAGGGATCGTGACCGGGATCGTGACCGCCACGGCGACAGAGACGGTGACCGCCGTGACCGCGACCGCGAGCGAGACCGGGATTGGGATCGTGATCGAAATCGCTATGGCGGAAGGGATGATTATTCTCGCAAACGGCACCATGACGACGATGGCTATGAAGACCCTCGGGCTAAAAGGAGGTATTAAGACACCAATTTGCCATTGACTACTCTTTCATGGTGCCTTTGGTGGGTATCCTTGATAGTATTCCTTTTTATCACTTCACTGTGAGTTCATGGGTAAGGTCGACTCACATCCAAGGATCGCATCAATTCGATTGAGAACACCGGCCGGCTCTCCTATTCCAGTCTCCTGATCGACTGTATCATTGATGCGTGAACTTATACATAGCTTACCGGGCATCAATTATTTCCTTCCCTCCCCATCGGTGACTACACGCATTCCATCTCATTTCATGCTTTGTTGTTTTTTTATTACTGTTCTTTTATTTTCATCTCATGTTGGTAAGTATCTGTATTTTAGCTGAAAAATATCCGGAAGAACAAAAAGGGGGTTATCATGGATGCCACGCTAGGTAAGCGAATATATGTGACGGCTTCATCGTCCGCTTCTACTCCATACTTAGGTTTAAATGGTTTAAATATATGCAACGAAATGTGCGGTGGCCACGTTTCTTTCTCATAACTGGTGGATATCAAATCGGTGACTGTCGAGCTGTGCCAATCGGACCTAGGGCTAGCGATAGGCCAGTGACCGCGCATCCCGTCTACAGCGTTTTCATGTAGAGTCGCAAAATCTTGGACGAGAATACGGGAAAGAATGAAAATTAGGTTATGAGATTTGAAACCCAATAGAACACGCTCGAAGGCTGAAATAAGAGAAGTCGTTTGACCGCGTTTTAGGGCTAAGTTACCCGGATTTGGTAATAACGTTCTGTGACTGCGTCCGCGAACTTAGGATTTCATATCAACTCTCTTAACATACAATTCCAAAACTTTAGTACACTTACACACAAACATTGTGAGAAGATCTCATGTCGTAGTTTAAAGAAACTTTTATTGCTTATCCGTATAACAAAATTGAAAATTTCCAATATGAAAGTAACCCAAAAACGCCAAATCACGCCTTGGAATGCTATCAACAGAAAAAAGAAAAAAGGACACTCGGACAGTAATCATTCAAATTATTCAACATCCATTGCCCCTTCAGACTTTTCTAGAATCTTGACTTCGCTTGTTTTTCGGTCCCATTGAGCCTTGATATCGATGTGGAATTCGGAGGTAGCAACTCCAAACATCTTGAGCAATGTGGTTTGTCTCGAGTCTAACGTCTCCCCTTCTTTGCACACAACGTACTCTGTTTCACCGCCAACCAATTCCAACACAACTTTCCCCTTCACAAGTCTTGTGGGAACCCCAAGTTTGCGTAGTGCCGGTTCAACCGTGTGGCTGATAGGCTCATCCTCTGATGTTGGGATTTCGCCTGCACGGGAATACACCACACCATTGGGGATAGAGAAAGAACGAGTACTGACGGTGCCAGCGCGTGCAAAATCCGATGGCCGGAATGATTCAAGATAGGAAAGGACGTCTTCGGGAGAGCGAGAAGTGAACAGCAATCCAACGGCGCCGGTTAGGAACGGTGTCAGTTTGTTGAGATTTTCGGCGAATGCTGTCTCGGGAGTATTCCCTAGAGCAACGGCCATGACCTTGGTTTTGCCAAAGAATAGTCTGTGCCGGGGAATCCAGTTAGCAGCCACACAAAAGCAACCAAAAAGAAAGCGATGAGCTGTCGCGAGCAACCACATACCGGCCATCGGAGAATTTTGTGCGCACATCCTTTAAATAGGTGTTGCGCATGTTATCGACGGAAAAGACAAACAGATGGTCATATTTCTCGACGGATTCCCGAATATTGGCGAATAAGCGTCGGGTTTGTTCCTTGTGGTTCTTTTTGCTTGTCTTGGACTCATGGACGATTCGGGCACGTTTGGAGACAGGCATTTTGACCGATTGATTCGCTTTTCGCGGGGCTTATCGAAGGCAGGAAGGGCGTGATGAGACCGCCAAATGGAAGAAGCAGTATACTCGGCGTACGAACCAGTGTCAGGGGACAGGTCTTTCTTCGCAAAAGCAGAATTGTGTCTCTGTCGACAACTTTAAGCAAACTGATCGCTTGACCGAATTTTTTTTTTTTTCCCTACCTATAGACAAATCTGAGGCGGGCCTTATCCGAGTTGCTCTAGCCTTTCTAGGACTAGAGCTGCGGAGTGACGCTAACCTAGATAGGAAATATGGAGCCCATGTTTCTGCCTGAGGCTTCAGGCCAGAAGCACGTTCTGTCAACCGCGAATCTCCAGCCGGACTCGACATTCAGTTGCACTCCATCTCCTGCGATTGGATTTCTCCAATACCGCCGCAGGAACTGGGTGCCGCCGATGGCGTCTCATGCCTTAAACGCAACTCGATGATGGTTTCAACGCCGCCGGATTTGTTACAATGCTGGAATTCATGGACTACATCCAGCTCGCCTTCGCCGAGGGGACGCGCTGGAACCCAGACAATTCCTACTCCGCACTGACTGCTACGGCTGAATGTACGTCTGGCTTATAGAGGTCCAAGGCGCAAATCGGTTGGCTAACTAATCGCTTCCACAAGCACTCCTTGACTTTCATGTTCCCGAACGCTTACAGGTCCATTTATCGTCGCTTTCTACGCCTCACTTCGCGACTTCGTATACTCTGGGTACGGTCGGTTTAATAGATGGATCCGTGTCGTACCTTTTCAGCACCGTTCCATTGAACAATACCCCGTCCCAAAGTGGACTTATTCCACTACGTCGACTGGTTCGTGGCTACAGGCAATGTGACGCCCCTATTCCACCAGTTCGGAACTGGGGCTGGGACGCAATTCCATCCCATGAGACTCATCAGAATATTGACGGCCTGGAAGACGACGTCGTTCGCAAGGCTACGCTGCTTTACGCCACTCTCCACTTACCGCCACCTTCGACGTTGAATGCGTTGTTCCTGCGTCGCATTTCTCCCACGACGCAAATCACAGCTGCACTGGTCTCAACACAGGGCCCGCCTTTGTTCAAGTCTGCACCCTCGGCAGCTCTGCTTGCTCAGCTATCACATGACACTGGAACCTTCAGCAATGAATATCTATTCAGTACAGATAATACACTGTTTGGATGGCGCGGTCTATGGAACATAGGCCTTGACCCGACACCGGGAAAAGCGTCTACTGATCTGGTATCGTTGCTGTCAGCGGGTGCAGAAGCCTATTATTCTCCGATATCTTCCCTGGTTGGGTTATCCATGGGTCTGAAGTTCACTACTCTGCCAGCAGCAATACGGACGCTATCAACGCCAACGCCAGCCTCGTCGTCCGGAAGCCCCGGTCCAATATCAAGTTTCCCATACACACTTACTCTTACACTCACGCCCCTTACGGGCTCTTTATCCACAACGTACTCTGTCCGCGCATCGCCGAATCTCACCTTTAGCTCTCGCTTCGGCTTCAATGTATATAGCTGGGAAAGCGAAATGGTGGCTGGATGCGAGGTTTGGCGCAAGAGTCAACGCGCACCTCCACCCGAAGCAGAAGCAGATGACGGCCTAGACTGGGCACGCCGCAAGATGGGCATCATCAAGTCAGTAGCAGCTCAGAAAGTGTCGTCACTTTCATCAGCATCATCCTCTGCTCCTTCAAAAACAAACCCGGATGAGGAGCACGAAGGCGATTCAGTTATCAAAATCCGGGTTGATCAATCATGGAATGTCAGACTCCTGTGGGAAGGGCGCGTCAAATCCCTTCTTGTTACCGCAGGGGTATCACTTGGCCCGGGGACGTTTTCGACCTTGTCCTCTACACCTCCATCGCCGACATCTGCACCTGCAGGAGCGGCTGGCACAGGGTCTAGTCAGAGCGCAGGAGGAGGAGCGGCGCCAAGCTCGAATCCTTCGTACTGGAGGGGAGTTGGTGTCTCTGTGTTGTATTCGTCATGACCTGCATGTCGGAACCTATATATAGATCAGATACGCGGAGAGAGCTGTACATATATAATCGTGACTCTATTTTCATTGAAAATAATCTCGTTCTATAGTAATCAAATGTAGATCTTTCTTTGTACTTCATATATTTTCTTTGTTTTTGCTGATTAGAGATACCGACATTTATTACCTACCTACTTAAAGTAGATACTAGCTACACAACCACCAGTCTAAGACGAGCGCCGACGTCACATGTCATTAGGTATCTCTCCAATACAGTCACTGGACAGTGACGTATCGTAGCGGTTTAGAAATCTACAGGCGAGAGTTGATGATATCAACAACTACATTGCACACATGTTAGCCTCTTGAGATTTTTGCTTATGGTGCGAATAGTGTTTCAACTTACAGGCTGGCTTCAAGCTGGCACCTCCAACGAGGAAACCGTCAACATCGTTCTCCTTGGCCAATTCGCGGCAGTTCTTGTCGCTGACACTGCCTCCGTAGATAATACGGGTGTTCTCGGCGACTTCGGGGGAGATGGTAGCAAGCCATTTGCGAATGGCAGCATGAACTTCTTGAGCTTGGGCGGTTGTGGCGACCTTGCCGGTACCGATAGCCCTGATGTGAAATAGATCATCAGCTACTCGTATTCAAACGGTGGACGAGGGTGGGTTTATTACCAGATAGGCTCATAGGCAATGACGACCTTTGCCCACTCTTCCTTGCTCAGTCGCTCGGCGACGGCAGTGAGCTGCTTTGTGACGACGTCAATGGTTTTGTTGGCCTCACGTTCCTGTTGTTATATATTTTTCCCACTGTCAGCTGGCATTGATCTTGTTTCTTTCCCCTGGCATAACTTGATATGCCGCCTACCTCCAAGCTCTCGCCAATGCAGAGGATAACGCTCAATCCACCGTCAATAGCAGCCTTGGTCTTGCGAGCAACGAACTATACATTCGCAGAAAAAGTTAGCTGCGCATTCTACAAATACACGAGGAAGGGAGTGAGTGAGTGAGTGTCATTTACATCGTCGTCTTCCCGCAATAAGACCCTGCGCTCGCTGTGGCCAACAAGAGTCCAGGCGATCTTGGTATCGTTGAGCTGCTCAACGCTCAGCTCACCGGTAAAGGCGCCATTGGGCTTGTCGTACACATTCTGGGCCGAGACGGCGATTGAAGGGTCGGCAAGCTCGCGAGTGAGAGCGAGGTAGATGGTAGGCGGGGCAATGACGACCTCGGTGGTAGGATCGCGCTTTGCTTCGTTGATGTTCTTCACGATGGACTTGATGGAGTCGGTGACTCCGTTCCTGCAAGCCCTGTTAGTACGCACTTACAGCTTGGGGCAAGGATTGCGGGGTTGCGGACGGACATCTTGAAGTTTCCTCCGACGAAGAATTGGCGAGGCATTTTGTGGTATGTGTCGTGGAATGGAATTATGGTTTCTGGGGAGATCTCAGGGAAATCGAAGGCAGAATGTTGAAGACGTGGTTTAGGTTGAGGAGGGGAAGAAATTTAAGCAGAGCTTCAATGACGTTCCGTTCCCCCTCGACTTCGCGGCGGGGAAACGGAGTGACCCGTACGTGCTATGCCTGCTTCCCCTCACCGAGAAACCCGATGTCGACTTTTTTGCCTCTTTTACAGCAGTCAATATGCATGTGCAGTCCGAAGTCACTGATAATTTATAGTCATTCATGGCTATTTATTACTGGATACTAATTAGGCGTTCGTGCAAATTCACATAAATACATGCATGCATCGTTGTCGTACGTGTCAAATACACCAAAGAAAAGAAAAAATCACATATCAAGACAACCCCAGACATAAACAAAGCAGAAAGAGAAAGAGAAAAAGAAAAAGGAAAAGGAAAAGGAAAAGCAATAGCTAATATGTCTCGTACATATAAGGCGTCGTCTCTCGAGGCACGTAATACAACCCCCGCTGATACAGACGCCGGGGTTCCTGGTATAAGACTCGCCGACCCTGGATGGGCATAGCAGATTCGATTTCGCGGACTGCCACTTCACTGCCGAAACAGTCATGGCCATCGCCTTTGTGCGACTGAAACTCAAGACGGTCCAGTCTATCAATGAGCTGCTGCTGCTGCTGTTCCTGGACCTTCAACAGTCTGAACACGGCGACGTGCGAATCAAGGTGGTCATGTTCAGACGGACCGGGGATCTGGAAATCATGTCTGCCTCCATGGGCAGTAAACGGATGACTGCGGTGACTCATTTCTTCAATTCTCTCGTTTTCTATCTTCCTAAGAGCGCTTTCAGACGGGAAAATGTCGGCGGAGCGGACAGGATATACAGTACGGCCACGGTATTGTTGGCTTTGCTGCCGGCCAGGACCTTGGTATCCTCCTTCGCTCATTGCTTGGTCTCGGTATCTTGTCTGCCAAAGTAGTTTTTCCTTTGCATCCAAGTCCGCACTGCTAGCCGGGCTATACCCCTCGTCTCCAAATTCAGAGTCCTCGTCACTCATAGTGCTGCTGTCTTCCGGTGTATAAACTGGTCTCCTACCGTGGGTCCGCTGACGATCTTGCTGGATAACTTTGGGAGGAAGAGCGGCCGCCATGTTTTTTCGTGCGTGGTGTGTTGGGCGGTGACTATTTGTTGAATGCTCGCCATGCACTTGGTTTCCATGAGCATTGTTCATGCCCGTAGGCACTGGAGCCTTCTGCGCGGGCGGCCTCGTCTCATGATTAAAGTTGCCAGCAAATGGACCTGCTCTTTGGTCTATACCGCTACCAAACTGTGGAGCCATCGCAGGCTGATGAGGAGTTTGGTGCTTGTTTTGGCCGATTGTTGCTCCTATATTGGCTCCTTGCGCTATTGCATAGTTGCGAGAGGCTTCGGACATAGGGAAGTTCGAGCCAGGCACTGAATGTTGCGTTTGCGGGCGTACTTGCGAATGTATTTGTTGGTCAGTGGCGAGCTGAGCAGGTGGATTTCCTTGAGGATATTTCTGAGGTTGAATGGGTGGATGAACTGGTGGCTGCCCCGGGAGATACATTGGTGTATAAATTGACGTTATTCCAGCATTACCCGGCGAACTGGCGTGTCCTTGTTCCCTTGATAGTCCAGGGTTGACGTGAACAGGATTGACAGTGCCAGTAATCTGCGGATCAGTGGCCTTTCTGCCTATCCCCTCAGAATTTGGGTTCCCACCCATGAAAAGATTGGAATTCCCAAGACCTTGGGCATTATCATGATCCACTCTGCTATTTTTGGATGCTGCTGTGGCTGGCCGGACCGGCTGTCGTGGCTTTCGCATAACGATAACGTCCATATGGAAATCCATAATAACGATTTGGTTATATCCAAACTGGGGCTTCCCGGTAGATTTATGTCGTTCCACCTTTATATAAGCGCAACTCCATTCGAAACGAGGATCTCGTTGGTCGTGTTCCGCAACAAGCTCGTCTACAAGGCCTTTTTTTCTATTGTTTAGGGCTTGATACTGCTCCTCTACCGACTCTTTTTCCGACTCGCTCTTCACTAGATATTCTAGCGTCCCCTGGTCACTGGGGATGAGCTTCTTCTTGGCGGATGACCATGATTTGCTGCCGTCTCTATTGTTCTTCGGGATGAATTGCCAAAGTTCATAGAGAGTTGACCCAATGTTGTTGTCAGTTTTGAGAGTCTCCAGTGAAGTATCTTTCGCTTTGGTAGTGCTGAGATTGAATTTCCCATCAGCCTGCAAATCTGCATTGACGTGTGCAGATCCTGACATATGAACTGGGGGGTTGGCATATCGTGTGGAAGAGGCTCCCTGCCCTATGCCGGAACCTGGGTTCAATACAACCATGATATGAGAAAAAAGAAAGAAAAGAAAAGAAAAGTAAAGTAAAGTAAAGTAAAACAGAATAAAAACGATATAAAGTGCCGTAAAAAGATAGGGTTATCTGAGTATATAACTTTCAGAAGGAAATGCACATGGACATTGTCTGAATCAACGCCAGTGGTTTAACATGAAGCGTCGTCCTGTTGATATCAGAGTGATGGCATATAGATAATTAATTTTTGGAAACAGATGGCTTCAAGTCGTAACTTATACTCCAATATTTCACGAGGCTTGATCTACTCATCGGTAGATGAAGGACAAGGCTAGATGTAGAATGATAGTACGAAGCACAAGTCGTACGAGGCTACGTAGAGCAAGCACATCTTCGAAATCTCGGCAGAAGAAAGTCCTGTGGCCTTGAAAGTAGCGTATAGCCTTTGCCACTTCATAACTGCTGGTAAGCAATTCTTTGACTGGAAAAAGGGTTGTGTTGCACCATTCACGAAACCACCATGTAGGTAACCGTGTTTGGTCAGAACCCAGGTTACGCGAAAAACGGACGGTCTGTAATTATTGGATAAGTTGGTATGCCATACCGCAGGGAAATACGGGTCGTCTGCAGCTGCCACCTATTGAATGGAATAATGGTATCGCTATAAGGCAGAAAGGAGACAGTGCCCAATTGGATATACTGGAAGCTTTGCCCTGTTTGGAAGTTGTTAGAGCCTCTATGCAGCTAGGCAGACTTCGACTTGCAGCTGAATTCTGCAGCCTAGCACTAGCAACCGGTTCAGCAATCTTTACCGGTTTCACGGATGTCTTCTGCTCGAGTCAGCTGCTAATCGAGTCATTGATATGTTTGAAATCGGGTAGTCGTTGTATAACAAATGTGCGGCTCTCGAAAAGTGCCGTTAGAATGAATGGATTTCTGCCCTCTTACAGTTACCTTCGGGCGACTACATTAGGGCTGTACAACTGAGCTAGCACAGTCTAGACTAATCCGAAAAGAAAATCATTCGCTGAAAATGGGCTGGGCAACCCTTATAGAGAGATGAACGGAGCCCTAAGCATGAAAAACGCCCTTCGACTTTTCCATTTTCAGAAAGTCTTCTGTAGCCATTTTGTCCGCAATGGAAACCCGGATAGAGGCGACAGCACATGACAATGGTGTGTCTCGACCACGAGCAGCATTGAGATCTACCCTGTGATCAAGGGACCATTCTGTAAGTGCTGGATCTTTGAAAATGTAATTGAAACTGTCAGATAGTGGCGGTTTTACTGAATAATGAAGAGTTCTTACGCGAGAACTGGTGGTCTCAGGAAGTCGATAGGCTTACAACCATGCTAGTTGCAGAATTGCAGACCTTGAAGAATCAGCCTGACCAGCCTTGTTCGATGAGCTAGTTAAAAGCTGTGAGAGGGCATGCTTATGATGTCTGCAAGTACGCTAGATCCCAAGAGGAAATAGGGCTGGTCCACCGGCTTCCCGCAAAAATTTCCTAATCTGGAAATGGTACACTCCTATACACTTCCCACTGTGAGCTTCAGCTAAGCTACCTGCCAGCTGGGTTAGAGTTTGAAGCTGGCCAAAGAAATACATATCTGCTTACCCACGGTGGGCCTGGACATAACAGCTGCACATGTCCATATATTTTTCGAACAAAGATGCGGCACCAAGTAGCTCAAGGCGAAAGTATTTTATTTGGAGGATTCGTCCATGTTGAACTCCAGGGATGTAACCTTGGAAACCTGCAATTTGGACTCCACAATCCACGATGTCTAGAATTATCGCCGTCCACGGAGCAACGGGCACGCAGGGGGGCTCTGTCGTCAAGTCGCTCCTCAAGTCGGACTGGAAAATCCGAGCTATCACCCGCAACGCTTCCACTGATTCTGCCAAAGCTCTCGACGCTGCCGGTGTGGAGGTCGTGACGGCCAGCTTTGATGATGAGGCGTCGCTTGTCAAGGCCTACGAGGTGAGCACTTTGTACTGCTGAGGGATATATGTAAGGTGGCAGCCATTGATGCGTTATGCAGAACGCCGAGGCCATCTTTTTGGTCACTAACTTTTGGGAGCACCTCTTCACTGGCAAGAATGCGGCCGATTCGGGCGAGGCCGAGTACAAACAGGCACTCACTGTTGTCAAGATTGCTGAGACGTTGCCTTCATTGAAGCACTTTATCTGGAGCACTCTGCCTGGCAATGCTGAAGGCGTGAGTCGCTTTAACCAAATGTCGTCCTCGTGTTCTTTTGCTTAACATTTAGCAGCAACTGAAGCGCACCGCTGTGCCGCATTTTGACTACAAAGCCCAGCTGGACGTCACCATCCGCAAGTCATATCCCAACCTCGCAGCCAAAACTACTTTCCTCTACGTTGGCTACTACGCCAACAATCTTGCCGACATCCCCGCGGCCAGATTCTTCACCACGCCCGGCTCCTTGGGCTGCTACTTCTGGATAGTTCCCGTGCCGCGCACTGTGGTGATTCCCTCGGCGGGGGACACAAAGGTTAATGTGGGCGTTTTCGTGAAGGCCATCCTTGCACAGCCGGAGAAGACGCATGGCAAGTACGTTGCCTGCGTCGTTGAGGCGATCACCCATGACCAGATGCTGCAGTACTGGAGCGCGGCAACGGGCAAACCAGCGGCATTGTTGCAGGTCGATGCTGGGGATTGGATCAAGGCTTTTGGAGCCGCTGGCGAAGAAATGTATCTTAACCTGAAGGCGTTTGAAGAGAACTCAAAGTGGTATCTGGATAATAGCCCGCTGCTGGCTGAGGATCTGGGTATTGAGGCGGAAGTTGTCAAGACAGAGGCTGCTCTCAAGTCTTTTGGAGAAAAGCTGCTGTGAAATGAATGGTATCCTCTGTATATCGTATATCGTGCAATAGCCTTGCGCTGCCAAAATAACCTGTATACACGGTAGTTTACTCTAGTACTGTGCTTTGCTTGATCAATTCCATTGCCATCCATTCTTCAGCGTTCCAAGGTTGTTTTTATATCATCAGCGGCAACCTCAAGTTTAGAGTGTAGGTGATAAATCTCGGTCTTCGTCAAAGCCGACAGGTTCTCGTTTGGACTAAGACGTGATGAGTAAGGCAGCCAGATCATAATGTTGATCTGTAGCACATCTAGCAGCGCTCTTATGATCCGAGATTTATGCGAAGCGGTATGTATTACCCTGGTGAAGATAATATGAGAAGATCACAATATTGAAGCTACATATATCACCCAGCATAATATTATCCAAGCCTACTAGGTCAAATCTAATGATTAAATGAAGCGTTCCATGGCATGATATCCCCAAAGGATCCTAAAAGAACACCTGCGCCAATTCCCTACAGGCGAACTCTCACACGTCAATCGCGCGAAGAACTGATCAACGTGATGTATCATTGCATAGACAACGATATCAAATCCTTACAGGATAAATACATCACAGTTGTGAAGTGAGTCATCTTTCTGTACATACGAATGACTGATATTTATACAACTAATACTAAGCTGCCTGTTCATCTCTGAAGCTATTTCTTATTAGAAGTCCTATTTCGGGGCGTGCCCGCGAGACACAGCTACCCGCGTCGGGGCCGAATCCGGGAATAACTTCATGTCGGTGCCATAGAAGGTTAGAGGGCTCGCTAAACGAGGACATATAAAAAAAGACAAAGGCACAGAGAGAGAGCCTTGTTCCTTTCTTTCTTTTTTTCCTTTTTCTCTTCTTAGCACTTAGTCGACATCCACTTATATCAAACACAGTGTTTGGGGCGGCCAATTTTCCGTTGAGCAGCTACTGTGGGCCTCATTGAAAAAAGCAGCCAGCTCAGTCAGAGGAGTCTGTCTAAATTCATCCAGAAACACAAAGGAAGAAGGGAAAAAAAGAAAAAAGAAAAAATAAGTCACGAGACGGCCCAAAGAGGGAATTGAACCCTCGACCTCACGCATTTTTAATGCACTCTTGTATAACAATATATTAATATATTACATAAACAAGGTACATCCCAAAGCGTGAAGCATACCACTAGCCCATTTGGGCCCGCTGTAGTAACGGTCGCTGGTCTGATTTATTATCAAAGAAAATTTGACAAATCAGCCAATCAGAAGCTGGATTGGCACATTTTTATGTGGGATTCCGCGGTTTCGTCTGATTTATGCCCTCAGCGTCTAACCACATACGGAATACGCGCTACAAAGTTAGTTATGTGAGTTAACTATGTAACTACTCTAGGTACAACCGTACAAGGGCTGTTATCGAAGCCGGTATAATGTTGATATTTCACGTAACTTTCTAGAAATCTAAGGGGCAGCTTTGTCCAAAGCTGTTGCATATATTGATGCAAACATTCATAAACACCCAAACCGGGCGATACGAAGCAGAATATTCCTCAAATCAAACAACAACACTCTCACAAAGAATCGCGGATGCGCACGAACTCAAGATAGCGGGCCTTCGTCCACTGTCGACACTTCTTCCCCCAGATCATCATTGGTACGGTGGTCAAGACAAAGACAAAGTCGAGGACTGCAATGACAATAAAGGTGTTTTGAACGCCTTGTTCGTCAAGCCACATGCTGGCGGTGAACGTCAGGACACATGCAATGGAATTGTTGATGACGGACACTCCAACCATGCCCTCCAAGACCATCTCGGGATACGCATCCATCAAATACGCCATGCTCAAATCCCCAGTGCATCCCCATCCGAATCCGATTAAGCCTAGACCAATATATGGACCTGGCCACGACCACGCTTGCCCGGTGCCAATTCCGAAGAGCAGCATGCCCAACGGCGAGATGATGGCCAATGGAAACAAGAACCATAATCGGTGCTCAGCTTCACGGATTCCGCCATTCCTCTTCGCCATCCAGATCATAAAGACGTCGGACAGATAGCCTCCATACAAACAACCGAGAACGGCCCCGATGAGACACGGAACGTTCATCAAACCGACTCCAACATCTCCATAGTTCCAGGGTGGCTCGCTCCAGTTGTCGTCCTCAACAGTAAGATAGAATGTGAGCCAGGCGTCTTGAGCACCCCACTGAAGGCCGGAGTAGATGACTGCAGGAAACGAGAACACACGCAGAGTATGCATTAGTCGAACGAAGTACTGCTTGAAACCAAGGCCGATTAGATTGGGTGCCGGCGTGATGAGTGCAATGCGCTGCCAGTATGTCTTTGGCTTCTCATCTGCCACAGCCGTCGGTGTGGTCACAACATTTGATACACCTTCTCTTTTTTCCTGCAATCCCAACTCCGGCTCTGCAGTGGCTACGACCGGAGGGTAAATCTCGCCTCCTTGGTATGCAGGTCGGTCAAACATTGTCTCCTCAAGGGTAAAATAGATAACAGCGATAGTGGCGCCGGAGATAATGACTGCTAGCCAGCCAATCCAACGCCAACCCAAGCTACTATCAGCCACGTATCCTGCTATGAGGGGGCCCAGGTATGTTCCGATACTGGTGGCCAGAACATAGACTCCAATAAAAGTTCCCCGCTGATGCTCAAAAAACAGGTCAGAGAGCGAGAGTTGCACGTTAGCTTCTGCGCAGGACTCCGAGATGCCGACAAACAATTGATTCCAGATGGAGTCGGCAGTCGTTTGAGTCTTGGCCATCCAAATGGAACCAAGAAGACCCATGGTAATACAGAAGAGATAAGTGCAACGGCGACCCCAGAGCCACGCTGCAGGCGACAGGAACAGAGTGCCATAGCCGATGCCAAGGAATAATACACCAGCACCGGTGTTCATGGCATCGTACGAGATACCGAGTTCGACATTCTCGCCAAACTGGGCCGAGCCAGCATCGTTCGAGGTTGCGGCAGTGAGTCCGGTCAGAAAGCATACCAGAAGGGCATGCCAATATTTGCGATACTTGGACCAGTTCAACGGATCATTCACGGATTTGGTTGGTGGCGGAGTGAGAATAATCTCGCCATGGTTCAGCAGACGAGAAGTGCCTGGCAGATACTCCGGCTCATCGTAGGTCATTTTTTGGGGTGAGTAAATCAGTAATTCTGGCCTGAAGGCCAGAGCATGAGTGAATCAGAAGAGAAATATATATATATATATGTAGTGGGTGTTAGGGAGGGCGCTCGCAAAATACAAAGAGGTGTGCGAGATCAAGATTCATAGACACTCAAAAAGACGAGATAAGGGCAGGGTTCGGGGTCAATTGGCACATAGAGCAAGAATTTAGAGGGGAAAAGAGGAAAAAAAAAAGCAAGGAAAAGAAGGGCAAAAGGACAGCGTCGCCAACGTTGCTGTGAAAATTCAAGTCGCGTGCGCTGCTTACCGCATTGGGAATAGTGGGCGCCTGAAGATAAGGGCAGCAATTTTTATTTTGGTGCTAACTTCTGCTTACCACGTCTCATTGAACTAGAGCGAGGATTGGGTGTCAATTTATATTACTTTTTACTACCTAGGTAAGTCTCTTATCAATCAAATCCTTGGAAGAGAACACTTGCATTAGTTCGGCTCTCGTTTATGACTTTTATCGTTTTCTACATGCGACTTGATATGGCGGAATAACTTTACTCCGTCGATATATATACGCCAGCTGTGGTGTTTTGATATAGAGACTTGAAAAGCTCCAAGGCTATAAATATCAAGTAGACTGCCATCTGTTTGCTCCCTCAACAGTGCAATGTGTAGATGATGGCGTATAAAGACAAAACAATAAACACATTCCACACCAAAAAGGGGTTCACTATGCATAGAACAGAGCTCACACCATATCGACAACCAAGGTCTATGGATGAACATGGCAGACTGTCAGTGCCAGACAGTCTTTGTGGTCATTCATTAATGTTGGGAGAAAAGAACAAGCCAGCACGGGGGAGAGACAAAACACTCTCATGTCACCTGAGCAGCACCAGCATATGAGTGCGAGATAGAACTGCACTGAGAACTGCCATGTCAAGTTCTCCTTTGTCTTCCCCCCTCTCCTCCCCCAGGAAAATTTTCACTCCTGACTTCCCCTCATTCAATCTTCATAGAGCCGGTCAAAGCGAATCGAGTCCCATTTTCACATGGCTTACAACCAAGACCTAGAATTGGCACTGCGCCTTCTGCTAGCAGACCTCGATGCCTTGGAAGAGCGACAGAAAGGCAAGCAGGTAGCTGGCAAGCTGACTGACTCAGAACACGCAATTGCCACCATGAGGAGCGATGTTATCGCTTTAAGAGACCAGATACTGGCCGTCAGTACCAGCACGGCAATGGCCACCGACCAAGCCATCTTGATGTCTATGGCTCGCGAAGAAGTAATCGCTAGCCAAGACCATCAGACTGCCGTGGCTCTGGACAGAACTGAAGAGAGTGTCAATTACTTTGCTCAAATTGGACCACCACCGCCAGAAGACATGAGCCACAACGACGCCGTTTCAATGGTCATGCGAGATCTTATGAACCGTGCGAGTTTGACCAGACAGAACAATGCGGGAGACACTTCGCTGCCTTCCAACTTGGCAACTCAAGGCCACAACACCACCATAAAATGTGTTTGTTGTCTCGAAACCCGCGAGCCTTTTCTGAGAGGCTATTGTGGTCATGAACTTTGTCGTGATTGTGCGCGGGAGATATATCTTGGGGCAATCAGAGACGAAGAGCTATACCCACCCCGTTGCTGTGGCCGACCTTTTTCTCCTGGAATTATCTTGCAAGTCCTGGAGTACAGCGAGTTTCGAGCTTTCTGTGAGAAGGCGCTTGAATACATTGCAGAAAACAGAGTGTACTGTGCTGAGCCAACATGCTCTACTTTCATCCCTCCCTCAGCTATCCACGGTGACAATGGTATCTGCCCGGACTGCCATCAACAGACTCATTTGCCCTGTCGTGCCCTTGCTCATCCTGGCGTCGACTGTCCATTGGATCATACGTTTCAGGGAGTCCTAGCTATAGCTGATACACAGAATTGGAGGCGATGCTTCAATTGTCGAACAATGGTGGAGCTCGAACGTGGTTGCAATCACATTACTTGCCGGTAAGATACATAATTCTTTTGAGCCAAAAGAAATTACCATCAAATATGCTAATATTCCGTTTTAGCTGCGGCAGCGAGTTCTGTTACGTTTGCGGCCTGGTTTGGAAGACGTGTCACTGCACGCTCTGGGACGACAACATGATCATCCAGGTTGCCAATCAAGCTGTGAATGACCAGGTTGCGCCCAACGCAAGACCTGAAGTTCGCCATGACCTCTTCAATCGTGTATTGGAAGATCTTCGCCAACACGAAGACGTTGGGTGTGAGCATCACCGAAGATCGCAATGGAGATTCCGCGACCAAGGCAAGCTCCAATGCGAAATCTGCAACCATCGTCTCCCTGAATACGTATTTGTATGCAGCAATTGCCAGATGAGAGTGTGTAACACCTGTCGAAGGCACCGATTAAGATAAGGGAGGACGTGGAGGGCACCGATTGCGAATGAGCAGAAGATAACTCCTCTTTCAAAGCATTTGACATGGCGTATTATTCATGAGTCAACAGTTTCGAGACCGAAACTGCATATTGTATTTATCTCCAATGCATGTGTTGGTGGTCGGTGGCTGGTGATAGCAAATGTATCTTACCGGTTTACAGTTCTATTGAACAAAAAGAGTGCAAAGAAACCTCACTTTTAGGCTCTGAAATCGACTCGTTTCCACTAAAATTGAGTTGTGTGTATTTTTTTGCAGCCTACCATCCCTCAAAATTTCCAAATCCCCCTTTTGATTTAAACTTCTTGCGCGCATGTTCGGGATCGGGCTCGGTATCATCGACAAACTCAATGATCTCGTCCTCGTCACCGGGTTTTCGAGTTTGCTGTTCAGCCAGTGCAGCTCTAAGATATTTGCCTACCCCTCCACCACCTTTCTCGTTTGACAATTTGGATCCATCTAAGCCACGAACCCGCTTGCCTGTCCATGTCACGAGATCATCATCGACGTTGTCTGAGTTCTCGTCCTTCTTCTTCTGGAGCTGGGCACTGTTCCCTGTTTTGGTCTCTTGTTTGCTCATAAACTCCTCGAATGGATCGACAAAAATAGTCACATCTGTGATGCGAATATCAGTCACCGGCCGGTTGGTGCTGGGATCGACTGGAGCCAATTCCATTGAATTTAGAGACGGTGATGACGGTGAGGGGTCGTCTATAATACGACCGAAGACAGTATGCTTGTTGTTTAGGTGAGGTAACGCACGATATGCGATGAAACTGATGAACGGTAAGCATGTGTATAGAGAATGTGGGAAGACGGATGTAACATACAATTGACTACTATTGGTATTTTTACCTTTATTTGCCATACTCAGAGTACCCCGTGCATCATGTTTAAGAGGCCCCTCGAACTCGTCATCAAAGTTTTTCCCCCAAATGCTTTCACCGCCACGCCCAGTTCCAGTAGGATCGCCTCCTTGTATCATGAAGCCTTTGATATTGCGATGGAATATAACGTCTCTGTAGTATCCTTTCTTGGCTAGGTGAATGAAGTTCCAGACAGCCTTGGGTGCATATTCAGTATACAATTCCAAGTTTAGGTTGCCCATGGTCGTTGAAATTCGAGCGTAGCCCTTATCCTTCACTCTTCCTCGCTTCAACATATATTGTTCGTCCGAAAGAGTGGCTAATTCGGCCTCGGTGTGAGGTGTCATCCCTGTACTGGTGAATGAAGCCGCGGCAAGGCCCGTTGTGTGTCGAGCCGCATTGAATGGGACATGCTTTGCTGGTTGATGAGACACAGTCGTGGATTTTGACTTCTCTGACAATGCTCCAGTGTTCTTAGCAACCAAACCTTTGGCTCCGCTCTGTTGCCCACTGCGTTCGGCCCGAGCCCGCGCAACTGCCTCTTTGGCTTTGAGGATTTTGGCAGAGCTACCCATTGCATTCAGATTGACATTACTGATAGGATCATTGCGCTCACGGAGTTGTTCATCGGTCAGGGCGCTTTCACCATCCTTCAAATACTTGAAGGAACTGAGATTCCTAGCTTCGACATTCTGTGGATCTTGCAATGTGATAATATCCTTGCGCCCGAATTCCTCGTCTGTGACCAAGTCACGCCACATCTTCGCTTTGACGTTTAACCGTTCTAAAGTATCCCATGCGAAAACATTTCCCGAGGGGCGTAAGGCGACGATATGAGTATTATCAGTGAAGACTTTAAATGTAACGGGGTCGACATATTCGTCCGCCTCATTCTTTGCAAAATTCAACTTTATCAGATCGGAACTCTTCAGAGGACTTCCGTCAACGGGGTTGGTACCGTGTTTTCTTAGCCATGGCAAGATATTCGTCAAGTCGAAGATGGTCCCGTTCGCCGTACAGACCGGATGTTTGAATGGTTGAAGCGAAAGCGAGCAAAAGTGGAATGGAAGACGTTTGAAAGAGGCGTGAACACCACTATTTCGCGCACCGGCTACCCCAGCGCCAGCGCTGGCGGAATATGCATCTTCCGATGCCCATTCTGAGTGGGTGATCTTGAATATCAGCTGTCAGTATACTTGATCAATCGAGTAAGAAGTTTATGAAAATTCGAGGGTCCTCGTTGTACGTACATAGAGCTTGTCCGTTCCTGGATTTGAAGAAGTGAGACACAAATCTAGTTTCTAGGGCATTTGGAAAATAACATACCTTTACCCATGATTCTTGAAAATTTTGACTGAAAGATGATCAAGGAGAAAAAAGCCAGACGAGGAGGGTTGAAGAGTAAGATCGGTTTGCGACGTTTTGCCCCCATCGGCCACTCGAGCTAACCGCTTACGGAAATTTTGATATCGGCATCATTTTCTTCCCCAGCTGAGGAAGAAGAGCGCTGATATGATTCGCATAGTTATATCCGCTATAGAATCATATTGTTAGTAAAATTTACTATTTAAATCATCCATAGTCTAAGTATACTATCTTGCTATAAGATAGGTCATAAGTAGAACAGCCATCTAGTTTGATATAGTAGCAGAGATCAAGTGAGTTGATTTCATTGTTCCATTTATAACATGGGTTGTTACATAAAAGCCCAAGTTTTCCTAGGTTATATCTAATAATACAATTCATTAATGTAGTAATTGCAAGGCCTCGGAAGATCATGCTGTTGGGGGATGAGTTAGGGTTAGATTTACGACCCAGCGATTGCCAAAGTCCACACCATGTCGACGGCGTGTACCGTATTTTCTCCAGACAACTTGGCTAATACCGATATCTGCCACTGAAATCTGCCATGTACTACCCTCTCCGGACTGCAGCGCCTGCATGACTCCTGTTTTTGGCACTGCCAAGCAGACAATAAAGTCGGAACTGACACAGAGTCGCGACCCTTGCACAATGCCCACATCACCTAGTTCACATCATTGTCTTAGTTAGCCATTCCCCAGACTGAAAACGCAATAGCTGAATAAAGATGACTGAAGTGCCTTACCAGTGGCAGCAGATATACCGGAGGGTATATCAACCGATATAACTACCAAGTTGCTTCGATTTACCCAAGCAATCATTTCACAGGCTGTGGCTTGGTCGTCACTCCTCAAATCCTCAAAAGCAATGTGCATTCCGAATAAAGCGTCGACGACTAGATCAATGCTAAAATCACCGGTCAAAAGGCGTGCTGAAAGCTCCTCCCATCGTAATACTTTGCCACCAATCTTTTTAAATATCTCCATTTGCTTGCGGCAATTTTCTAATAGCTCACTTTCATGCTCCAGTCCCAAGAGGCAAATAGTAACTCTATGCCCTCGGTTTTTCAAATGCCGTGCAGCAGCTATTGCTCTTCCACCAGTTCGATGATTACCAGTGAGAATCAGAACAGCAGGGGCGGCAGCATCACTACCAAGTCGGCCCACTGCAGCTTCTGCGATACCACGCCCACTGTTCTCAGTGATCATATCCTCGGTCAAACCAAGTTCAGTCACGGCTAGTTGCTCTACTTCAAGCATTTGAAGTGGACTGACAGTCGGGCATAACCTGTTAGTGGTTGTTAAGCGTAAACTTCCCGTGGAGGCAGCATTGGCTCCATTGAGTGGCGATGCCCTTCCAGATTGCCGGTTAGGAAGCGGACTGATGTTTCGTGGAGATGAAACTGAAGTGCGGCCAACAGATCCCAGAGAAGCCGACATCGTAGACTGCGCTAGAACGATGTTGCTCTTCTTGGTAGCCTGAGCTCTGCCGGATGATTTAGATCGATCACGTCCAGAGTAATTCCCACTGCTGAACTTATCATCACTAGTTTCTGTTTCTGTTTCGCCTGCTTCGCTATTCCATTGGGTCGGCGTGTTGTCGAGAACATTCTCTGACCAGTGAAGATTCTTTCCGCCATTTGTACCTGGTCGTGGCTTCTTGTTGAAGCTTACCAAGCGATCCTCATCCGCCGTCGTGTCATCATTGCGAATTTCGTCAAAAACGCGCCTCTTATCGAATTTAGATAGATTGCCCTGAAAATCAAAATCGCCAAGCTCCTGTATGTCTGTTGCGTCTTCGGTTGCCCACCCATTGGCATTTTCGACATAAGATCTGTTGTTCTTGCTCCTCCGATTCTTTCGTTGAGTTTGACCAGCATTGTCATCCTCGGGATAACCTGTGTGTAGCCTCGGTCGGACTGGTTCAACGAATGCTGTCTGCCGCCATCCATGGCCAGTATGCTCTTCCCGTCCTTTGTTTCGGCCCCCTCGCCTGCTCCGCTTCACAGAATTTTTTGAATTCAAATCAAGCGGCACGGCTTTTACTGCTTCGTCTGTAACCTGTCGCGCCGTCTCAACTGACTTATCGAGCGTAATGTTGCTAAACGGCTCGGTTAAGATCGCAGTTACGGCGGAGTCGTGTCGTTCACTTATTTGTGGAGGGTGCACGGTCTCTATTGACATTACACTTGAGTTAGAGCGTAGCAATGAGTCGGACGGTGTAGGGAAAGTCGTCGTAGGGGTCTGTGACGTGACTGGTTTGGTTTGTGTTGCCGAGAAGCTCACTATCGCCGGGTCAAAGAAAGGTTGTGGCGCTGGTTGAGAATGACTCAATTGAGCATCTGCTACTTTCGCAACGGCTGGTACAGATGCCGTATCAACATATGTTGGTTTTTGATGGTGAGATGAAGTTTGAGTTTGCGAGCTGGATACCTCTAGATCTGCTATTCCAGAAGCATCAATGGTGTACGACGGAAATTGTTGACCGTTCCATAAGAGCGTCACTAATAGATTCAATGGTCAGACTGTGTAGGTAAGAATATTTCACAGTCTGAGCTTACCGTCTTGCAATGTTAGGCGCTGGCCAAGGATATTGGCCACTGTTCCACGTATCTGCGCATTTGGAGGTGCATTGAGAGTCACCAGGACTGTGTAGCCGATAAAATTGGAGGCCATCCTAAGGAAGAGGTTCGTGAAATCCGTCGAGGGATAGCTTATAGTTTCAAAGCGGGTATCAAGTCCACATTGAGTGTCAAAGGGAATTGAAGCTTGGGGCAGGTTGCAAATGTCAAATTCGGAGACCTGAATTATGCCGCTCTCTTCTAGACTAATAATGTAAGAAGCGGCGTCCCGATAGGGTCAAATTGCATCACATGACTCTTATCGATAAGATAAAACCCCCGCGTCAATTCTGCACAGCTTGAGTAGCATCAAATTATGTAGTATGTAGCATGTGCGCATATATATATAAAATTGCTTTCTTGTGAGGGTCCTGCAAATATTCGTACATATTGGTCTTCCTGACATTGATATTATATACATTTCATGTTTATATTCAGATCTCCTGCATATAAAAACCCCATGGCAAACCTCGGCACAGGGTATATCACACGAAACCAGATATGTATTCACTGCCTTGCTCATCAAAGTCATCGTCAAGTTCCTCCACTTTCGTCCCCTCGCTCGTGGCATTTTTGGCACCGTTGGATGTCTTCCGTCTGACCACAGAGTTGATATTAGAGAGATTAGTGTAGAATTCAACGACTTTCGAGTGCACCATGACTTTTCGTGGATCAAACCCTGTCACCTGAAGACCAGCCTGGGATGTGGCTCGACTAAGCGCGACATAAGCTTGCCCCTTCTCGAAAACTCGACCTAAATCGACCTTGACTCGGGGCAGAGTCTGTCCCTGGGCCTTGTGGATGGAAAGGGCCCATGCTAGAATTAACGGCACCTGTGAGCGCTGAGCCTGGACTTCGCCGTTGGGTAATTCTATCTTCCAAGTTTCTGGCTGACAAAGAAGATGCCTTTCGGTTCCATCTGGCTGAGTGAAGCAAACCAGAGGCCACTTGCGGCTCGTACTTATACCGCCGTCTTTCACATGTGCGAGAGCTCGAATCCTCTTACGAGCTTGACTGGTTGCTTCGTCCCCACTGCCGTCTTTGCCATCTCCAGTGAACTCATCCTCATTGTTCCTATAATAATCGAACGTTGCCTCATCCATGAATGCAACAATTTTCCCAAGGGAACCGTTGACTAGGGTGTCCTCCATGTTTTTTATGAGCATAACTTGAGCCCCTTTTTTCAAGTGGATAACTTGTGGAGCCATGCAGTTAGAAAGTAATCTCTCGCGCATTTGAATGTCTTGAATAGTTCCAGAATCCTGGGCGTGGAATGTCAACACTTCACCCGAAAGTCTGCCCATGCGCAGTCCATTGGCATTTTCCACTTCCGCACGGGTAGGAAATCTTATATATCATTAGCCAACGTTGATAAAAAAGACATGGGAGACCTACAATTCGGTAGCATCTAGTGCATCATGGAAATCCAGCGGGCGTGAAAGCTTTTTGAACGCCTCAATCGTTCTCGGAGATATCTTTCCTAATCTCATCTCATTTAACATCTCAGCAAACACCGGGTCTTTTTGCCGGAAGACATGCGTTAATAAGATGGTATGTTGGATAGAGGTATTCCAGGTGGCCGCGTTGAAGGCAAATTTAACATCGCGGTTTGATGAGTCTGGTACTGGCGGCAGCTGGAAAAAGTCTCCAGTAACAATTAACTGAATTCCACCGAACGGTCTTCCATTGTTTCTGATACGCCTGGCAATCTCTTCTAGTTTATCAAAGAGGTCACCATCCACCATGGAAACTTCATCGATAATAAGAACCTTCGTGCGTAACCAACGGTTCCGAGCTTTCGGGTTTTTCCTCACCTACTCGACGTTAGAGGTTCAGTCAAGGCAAAATACCGAAATATACAAAATACCTTCTTCACAAGTTCCGCCGCTGATTCTTTGCCCAGTCCAATACCAGCAAAGCTGTGCAACGTAACACCTTCAATGTTGCAAGCAGCAAGACCAGTGGATGCAGTCACTGCAACACGGTCGGGCTCCCTCCTATATTTATCCCGCAGCTTCTTAATGATCTCTCGCATAAGAACGGATTTACCGGTTCCCGCCGATCCCGTAAAAAATATGCTTTTCCCCCGTTCGACAACAGCCTCGAGAACAGCCCGCTGTTCATCGCTCAAGAAAAGTGAGGCAACCCTTGCCTGTGGTTTGTAGTTATGGGTGTCTGCTACAGCAGCCAGTCGCTTTTTGTTTAGTTTTCTCAATTCCTTTTGCTCGTCTTTCACCGTGCTTGCAGTTTTGTTCCAAGGCATTTCTGCCTTGTGTGATGTCTTCTTCGTCGCTGCAGGAGTAATCGGATCGTAGCGGTCAGCGTTAGTATCGGTTTGCTGCTGCTCCCAAGGTAATTTCCGGCGCTTTTGTTGGGGGGGCTGATGGTGTGAAACTGGTGATGAGGACCATGGAATTGGTACACTACTGGGTGGGAGCTGCTCCTGAGACATGTCATCCAGCTGTGGGAGTTCAGGGTATTTAATGTCATTTTGGGCGTCCTTTGCACTAAAATCTAACTTTGTATTGGCATTGGTATTCGAGGCGTTTGGATAGTTCTCACTTGACGAAGATAAGATTATCGTTTCGGTTGACGCTTGCACGGCATTCTGACTCCGACTCAGCGGAGTAGATATTTCGAAATCCAGATCGTCATCGTCGTCGAAATCATTTTCATCAAAATACACAGCGTTGTGGAGAGATCCCAAGGCAGACTGGCCCCCATGAGCCACATCGAGTTTTCGTTTGGTTCCAGCAATCGGCGAAGACTGCTTGGTGGCTGTATAATTATTGGTATTCAATACGCGATTACTAGGATGCAAGGGTTTTGCAGACGAGTGGTCGTGAACTGCTTTGCGAAACATTGCACTTGTCGATGTCCCTCGTAGGCCCAACGTCGACGAACGTAGGACAGTTGGGGTTTTGGATTTCACGAACAATTGGGATTGCTTAGACAAGACTGCGGCGCCTATTACGCCGGAGCTAGCGAAGCACATAAAATTCTCGTCAAGGAAGAAAGGAAGGTCGAAAGAATTGCGGATCTGGAATCCGATGGTTCTCGTCGAATAAACAATTTCGCGGATTCTGCGATAACTAACGCGCCGGCAAGTGGATGTGGTCCAATCAGAGTAGGGCTTCGGGGTTACTAATGAAGGCCATCGATTCGCTGGAGGTGACTTGCCTGTCGGGGGTTTGTGGTCTCGGATTAGCCCTTCGAGCAGGGGATTGAAGACAAAATAGCCAGGAATGCAAGTTAAACACACGATCTGATTAAATATTTCCTCGCCGCAAATTGCGCACGTGACTTCGTGTTCCGCCGGCGCGTAAATACGGAAGGAGCGCAGGCGTCTTTTTTGCAGCCGTGCGCCATTGCCTCGACAAACACCATGAACGATGGAGGGCGAGGCCGTGAAGAGTAAGTCCAGGGGCTCCTGCTCAATCTTTCACCATTGCATGCTGACTCGCTTTTCCAAAGACAAGGAACACCCGCTTGCCGGCGTGGTTCTTTGCTTCACCTCCATCCTTCCAGAGCAGAGGGTACGTACGCATCTATAGCCAACTTTCTATGTGTTTGGCCCCTACTGAGCCCTTTGCCTTTGTAGTCGAAGCTGGCTGAGATTGCAAGCCAAATGGGAGCCACCCACAAATATGATTTGACTTCGGACGTTACCCATCTCCTCGTCGGCGATACGAATACCGAGAAGTACAAGTTTGTGGCACGTGAACGCAGCGATGTATTGGTCTTGATGCCGGAATGGATTGAAGCCGTGAGGCAGTCATGGATGGAAGGTGGAGACACCGATTTGAAAGCCTTGGAGAAGCAGTACAAATTCCCTACGTTTCATGGGCTTTCCATTTGTGTCACTGGATTCGATGACCGTATACGCTACCATTCTCCATTGATTAGTATTTTCACTGACTTGAGGCCTAGCATCATATCGAACTTATCTCCAAGAGACTGCTATAGCGAATGGTGCCGATTTTAGGAAAGATCTTACAAAGAATGTCACACATCTAGTTGCTCATCAGCCCAGCGGCCAGAAATACAAATTTGCAACGCAATGGCAAATCAAAGTCGTCAGCGCAAAATGGTTTAGTGACAGCTTGGAGCGAGGCATGGTTTTAGATGAAGCCCGCTATGATATTCTTCTGCCACCCAAAGAACAAGGAGTCGGTGCATGGAACCGCACGCATGCTCAAGTGCCTGTGAAGAGAAATAGGTCTGCGGACTCTTCGAATACGCGATCGCGCAAACTGCGAAGGGCAGCAAGCAGCAAACTTGGGGATCAAAATGAAACAATTTGGAATGACATAATGGGTGGTGGATCAAATTCATTTGATAAAGGGGGTACAGTGTCTACCAGTACTTCGACCGGTCCGCAGGCGAGGGAGACTCCTACGCAGGTATTGAATTTCTTTGAGACTGAGCCATCTGCCGATTCCCCGAATAAAACTGCTTTGGAGGAAGACGTATCTTCAGAATCGAAAGGTTTCCTCCAAGGTTGCTACTTCTATATGAATGGATTTTCGTCTAAACAGGTACGTGGATTGTGCTTCTACATACGGAAGTATGGCTTTTCTAACTTCGGTGGCATTTCAAGGTGGACATCCTTCAACATCATCTTACCGTGAATGGTGCAAATATTGTGCATCATCTCAATGACTTTTCTAGTCACAATATCCCTAAAAATGGGGAAGGCTTATATATAATTACTTCATATAAGATACCTAGACATGAGGTTCCTTCCACGGAAGACAAAGGCTTCAGCTGTGAACTAGTCACTGATATGTGGCTGGAACGCTGCTTGGATGCCAAAACACTCGTTTCGCCGGAAGCCCATGTTACTAGTACTCCCTTTCCACGGTTGCCGTTAAATGGTGAGTTATGTCTTAGTGCTATCCTTGATTTGTTATGCTAATAGGCAAAGGCTTCGAAGGGTTGAGGATCTGCTCGACGGGTTTTGCGGGAATTGATTTACTACACATATCGAAAATGATTGCGGTAATGGGTGCAGTATCTCCTTTATTTCCTCCTCACATTTAACGTTGCTCTAATGGATATGCAGGTGCGAAATATGAGGAGTACTTCACACCGAATGTTTCCGTTTTAATATGCAACGATCCAAAATCTGTCAACCCTGAGAAATTAAGACATGCACTACAATGGGGCGTCCCTGTTGTATCCGCTGACTGGCTTTGGATATCTGTACAGTCGAGCCAGAAGAAGGCGTTTGAGCCTTACATAGTGCACAAACCAGCCTTGCAAAAGAAAGACACTTTGGCGCATGAAGACTCTACGAAAGTCCAAGTAGCCACTGATATAGGAGAAAAATCATCTTCAGCGAACTCTGGTAGAGATGCAAAATCTCAATCTCGACAAACATCACTTCCTGCAATTGAACCAAATAAATCAACGCCGAGTGATGCGCACGGTTCCACAGGAAGACAGTCCAACGACGCGGCTGATGCTTCTCTACCATCACATTCCCGCCAGCCGACACAGGGGAGCGATGATAAGATTGCTTTGAAAGCTATCGAATCCAAGACTGAGGACAATAGAACTTCAATCGCAACTTCTCGAAACTCCTTCAGCAGTTTAGAGTCTGCGATGGATGGTTTCCTTGAGAAAGCTAGGGCACTTACACGTGCAAGGAACGTTATGGGCGGGGAGAGCGGCACTCGACGGCGCAGGCCTAACCTGGGAAGGACAAATTCCTTGTCATCTGCTAGAAATGATTCTAAAAGACCAGAGTCTCGGGCCAGTTCTATTGATACACTGAATGAAGACGGGTATGGCAGCGCGGTGAGTGTCGATACTGATGGGAATAAATCGCTTACTGGCAGATTGTCTCGTACCTTCACTGGCCAGAGTCTTCAATCTTTGTTAAATGGCAGCAAATATACAAGATATATTGACGCGCCAATTCCTGAGAACGACGAGCTATTAGATGATGAGAATGGAACCCCTGCGATGACTCAACTCAACTACGACGACCCGGATGCAATGGCTGTACGAGAAGAGATTATGAGATTAGCCCGCCGAGGAAATGCCGACGAGGCTTACGTTTCTGAAAAACTGAAGCAAAAAGAACCTATTCATCCGCAAGTGGTAGTCGATGAATCTCCACAGGTCGTAGACAAGCTGGGAGGGCGAGCAACTACCAGAAGAACACGGAGGTCCGCTGGAAAACAGCAGAAAGAAGACGATTTTTTCTAACTTGGCACAGGCATGTTTTGGCGTGCAATCATCACCTTCCATCCTCTATGACATACAACTCTAGTTGATATGATGCATTCCACAACTGCCATGATGCAGAATGCCAGTTTTGTACATACTTGAAACATCGTGAAACCCTATTCTACCTTGCCCATGACTGTGATAGGATAGTCGTTACGAATTAAATTAATATTTGCATATTCAATTTGGCTTTCATTTGACTCAAAAGGACATGATTAGTCGCGCAGAGAACAGTGCTAAATAGATAATGCAAGATAGCTCAATCAACCAGACATGTTTCATATTGTCGTGCACATGTGTAGAGAAGCGATTCAATACAATTGAATGATTCAAAACGCAAACATAACCTCAAACACGCCAACGCACGCCGTATAAACATAGTTATATAGTATAAAGGCACAACAAAAAATCGATTTTTTTCGAAGAGAAAGAAAGAGGGGAAGGAAAATACAATAAGTGCAAAGAAAGAGGTTTTCGAGAGGCAGGGAGGGGGTATTGAACAATTATAAAAGGCAGAGTAATGGTACAATGGATGGATGAAATGGGGAGGATAAAGGACATGAGTGGGATAATGTATGTGCGGTGGAGAAGACTTGAATAATGAAGGCATCCGTGCTATAACCTGTTTGTTATGGAGTTGATGTGGTAATATGATGCCGCGAGTGAAACCTTAGATGTGGTGCTCTTTTTCCTTTCTTCTTTTTTTTAGTGGGCTAGGGCTCCCGGTAGGGGACCTTCAAGGTCGATTTGCTCGACTGTCCTGTGGTTCTCTTGAGCCTCACGCAACAAGTTCGCAAAGTATTTCCTTGCGACTTCGCTTTCCTGTTTGACCTTGGTAACCTCCTCCCTGCGACGTGCCAGATCCTCTATGCCTTGAGCAAGGTTGCTATTCAAGGTAGAAGCTGGCATACTCAAGACGCGACGAACTTCAGAGGCGATGCGTGAAGCGTTCGAGTGAACGTAGTCTACTTCAGCCAGAGAAACTGCTAATTTGCGTGATAGTCGAGGAGGAAGGGTTTGAGGGATGATGGAAAGTACGTAGGCCGCCGTTAGAAGGGCTGCGAGAAGTTAATAACCCATAGAAAACCTCAGGCAGTTCCAAGTTGAAAACTCACCAGCAGCAGCCATTCCAGGAATAATCATTCGTCGTAGGTTGTTGGACCCTAGCACTTTCGCAGCACCGAAGAAGCCATCTACCCATCCAAATCCTCCTATAGCGCGTCCACTCAGTACAGTTATAGCTGTCATGGCAACACCGGTGCCCGCAACTTTTTCTTGTCTCTCCCAGAGCCCAGCAATATCGAAAAAGTCCCATAGCTCCACCTGAGTATCAATCTGTCTGGCGAGAGCGTGCCGACGTTTGCGGAACATGTTCTCAGCTCGGAAATTGAGAGAAGGGAATTTGTCCTCCCCAACGTGCAACAGTCCAAGTTGTTGGACATATGAGACGCCCTGTACCGTCTTTGCGCGGGCATGGTTTTCGCAATCAGATACTGCTGCCGAGATCTGATCAAGCATGGCAAGCTTGAGGTCTTCTGCATACTGGAAAGCAGAGAATAGGCCAGGATATTCCACACCGAGATCGGCATAGGCAACCTTTTCTATTGTGCTGTTCAAGGTCAGACGTGTGTGGTCGTAAACATCCTCATAAGACTTTTCTATCGTATTGTCGACCTGCTCCGCGATTTCATTCTTTCTTCTTTTCCCTTCTTCGAATGCAGGCACAATCTCTTCAAGCTCGGAGCTGACACGGTCAAGCTCTGTTTGGGCAACATCACGATTCACCGATGCCAAGGCATTGAGGTCTGTCAGGACATTGAGAATATAAGTTTTGGCGGGAGCCAATTTCGATCGTGCACGCCTTTCAAGAACGAAACGTCGTAAAGCACCTTCGAGTTTCTCAAAATCTTGAATCTTCTCTTTTTCTTTCCCTTTGCCCTTCTTGGACTCTTCGTGTTTACCTTTCGTATCGTCATCGTCATCATCACTAGGATTATCGTCAGGAGGATTCGCGCCACCACTCCCAGAACCAGAGGATAAAGTGTTTCCGGAAACCACCGGGATCGCATTGCTCGAAACGAAGTGAACGAGTTCCTCGGAGTCTTTGTATGTATGAGGGCTCAATTTGGCGATTTGCTCCAAGATCATACGCTGGCACCTCTCCTTGTCTCTGATATTATCAAATCCGTTGACTACCATAAACATATAAGCCTTTTCATGCGCCGCACTCATAATAAAATCTCTCGCAGATAGTGTAAAATGATTGGCAGCAGACACGACGAATACAACGACATCGATCTCTTCTTGGCGTGCAAAAATCGCAGTCGTCTTGACAGAATCTGAATTTAGCCCAGGAGCATCGATCAGCGCAATTTCAACGACGCCGTTATTCAGGAGAGATTGGTCGATCGTCCTAACATCCTTCACGTAGACTTTGCACTGCGTATATTTCGTATTGTCGGTCACTATGTTCTCGAGTTCTGATAGCGCAAAGGCGTCGTACGAACTCTCGTCATTGCGATTATATATTCGGTCTTTATGAATAGCGTGAACTTCTTCGATACCACCGTTTTCCCTCGCATCGAGCACTTCACAGAATATACTGGTGCAGGGTTGCTGATCTTCCGGCAAGATCTTGCGGCGTAACAAGGCATTGCAGAACGTCGATTTACCAGCATTCAGGTCTCCCGTGACCAATACTTTACTGGACATATCCTCAATGCGGTCTCGTAGTGACAAGAGGTGTTTGATACTCTGGCTGATCTTTCCGTCCAATAATGAGGCAATTGACGCTTTCTCCAGTGAATGAACCAGCTCTGCTTGGGAGAGCGCCCCGAGTTTGAGGTCAAGTTTCAGAATTGAAAATTCCTGGGCGATTTGGTGGGTCATCAAACGTGGCTCTGACGGTGCACGTCGCTCGCCCGTCGCACTCGATTCACCATATTCTTCACCATCCAAAGTTGTATTTGCTCGTTTTATTGGTGCTGGACGTGATGGGGAAGACTCTTCACTGTCCGCGCTTGGTAGGTCGAATTGCGATTGGGTTTGATGTAGTGAGGGTCGTTGCGAGGGTTGCACGGATGGGTAATGAGCTGGCCATTGTCGATTCATCTCCTGCAACTCCTTCAAAACCTCGATCGTCCGTGTAATAGATCTCCCTAATTTCATACGATTCGCATTGCTTGAGACACTGTTAGGTACACGTTACATCATGCTGTAGGGATTCTGAGAGCATACTATTGAAGTTGATGAACATGGCTTGCAAACATCTGTCTCCCGGCGTTGCCTATGTTACAAATGAAAGCTGGTTAGACTACTGTTGAAAGAAACCCACGTAAGGACATCATACCTTCGGGCGCGATCTCTGTAGCCAACGCCGGTGTATGGGATGGTGTAGGCCGGTCTTCGAGCAACCCAGCACGCCAGTCTGCAAAGTCGCTGCTATCTATCGCAGTATCTCCGGCAATGCTTCCGCCATATCCAGAATCTTGGTTCAAAGTTGCGACGAGTGCCTCAGCGGCCGCAGATGTCGCTCCATTGCCCACAGTTATGTACTGGGGTGCGGCCCATGGCTCCGGTATCTGCGGGAGACGTTCATCGTGATCCTGGCCACTCGAAGACCCCTCGTTGGCGGAAGACGAGCTGCCGCTGGCAGGAAAATACTCTTGGCTCATGGTGCGCGATGTTGCAAAAGCGCTACGTCGGCGTGAAGACGGGGAAATCCAGATTTGCGGCGGTCGTCTTGACGATGCTTCATTGCTTACCTACACAAGCGGGCGGCACGCAACCAACCAACAAATTAATAATAATTTATTCGGGCGTGGCAAACCGAGGGCACGCTATACCGGGCACGCTATACCTTATTTAGCAGTTATGCTCTCTTCTATAGAACCTGGAATGTTGAAGTATAATATTGTTAGATATACAATAATAAATCAGCTGCCTACTTTATTGAATAAGATGTACTCGGTCCACAATGTGCCGGACTCGAATCTGTGAGAATCAATCAACCGCTGCCGTTCGTTCTACTTTAGCCTTCAAACTCTGGCAAATATATACAACTACCCAGGTACTGCCTTGTTCAAGTAATGGAGATTTCTTCTCTCGGGCATTATTATCAACGAGCATCATGCACACGGCTCCTTCACTCTGTATCGAATCAAAAGCCAATTCATAGGAGCCGACGTCCAGTGGCCTGCAAACATCCCGACCTACACAGAGCGTTAATATAGATTCCCCAAACAGGACGTAAAGACTGAGAGAGGCGTACCTGCATCATCCACCAGTACACAACGTTGTTCATCCTGAGTCTATAATTCCATATCGCAATCTGGTATATTGCCATCCAACCGTACAGCCCGACCTGGAACGCGGTCAGGGATAGAATATCGGCTTTCAACGCCCGCCATATAGTTCTCGGCCCATAGTCGTTTGACATTGGGGCAATAGAAAAGTACTGGAAAATGATTCCAAAAAGTAGGGCAAAGCCGTAGTCTGAACACGAACTGAAGCGTCAGCTTGTGACTGAGGGGAAAGCAGAGAGGCACGGAAGAGATATATAAGAAGTACAATGACGTACCGACCAAATATTCGACCCATAGCAACTTGCCATTGATTCTTGCATCTGTCCCGTACACGAGCCATTCACCAACAATGTCTCCTAGGAGACAACCCGCTCCACAATGGCATGCGGCCACCGTCAGGGTTGCGAACATTGGTCGCGATGAGTGTCCCATTTCAGCATGTTTCCCTTCATGATCCTCATGGCCATTCTGGCTGTTGTCATCGTTGCTGGAACAATAAGCAAAATTCTAGCATATGATCACGTTCAAAGAGCACAATGGGGAAGAGTGCATACTGGCAATGACTGTGTTTGCTCTCTGTTTTCGAGTCGGAAGCAGGTTTCCTTGGCCGGCCATATTTGAAATATACCCATAGCGTGATCGGAGCGAGATAAAGGGAGTTGAGCAGATAGACTGGAATCCTATCATCCGGACACATTAGGTTCGACAATTCCGAGTAGCTGATATTCTAGGAGATGGTGGTTTCAGATCTCACATGATACCCATCATGGACCTCCATCCTCGGCGAAGTAGAATGTCAAACAGAATGACTATAGAACTACACAGCCCTAGCCCGATGAAAATTGTCCCCAGTATGACGAGAGACAGCGGCGGTTGGTAGGAAGCCATTTGTGGAAAAGTGTTAATTCCCCTTAAGTTGAATGACAGCGCAGTTCACGGGTTCATTTGAGAGCATCCGAGTTATAACAGCACCTGGGGATCATCATTGGGCTCGACGTAAACGAGATATTTCAGGTTATCAACAATGGACATGGTGACGCTGACGTCATGCTTGGTGTTGCGCCTGCAAAGCGAGCCACATAGCTCGTAGCACGCCTCATTTCGCCAGTGCAGTCAAGGGAAGCGCAATTGAAGGACGCAATGAGTATGAATGATGGTCTCTCTCTCTCTTGTCCAGACAGCTTGGACTCTGGCAAACTTTCAGCAAGAGCCGCGGCAAACTAGCGGGCGGCTTCCCAGTAGGAGGAGGCCGGACTAATGAATGCCCGCGCCGTCGACCGCCCAGGCGCCATCGTATCATAGCATGTTTGTATTAACGTTGCTCTTAAGTCGTCGCCTTCTATTGTCCCGGTCCTTTTTTCTTTTACATCTCTTCAAGAAATACTGCGCTGTCATGAATGTGAGTTTCCCTGCTACCATGTCGAAGACCGACTGCGTGTGATGTCTTCCCCGCTAATCGCATTGCCTTGCTAGATCGTAGAATGGGCGTTTGGAAAGCGCATGACGCCTGCAGAGCGTCTGCGTAAACACCAACGGGCTTTAGAACGGACCCAGCGAGAACTTGACCGAGAGCGAGTCAAGTTGGAGAACCAAGAGAAGAAACTGGTTCAAGACATCAAAAAGAGCGCCAAGAATGGACAAATCGGCGCATGCAAAATCCAAGCGAAGGATCTCGTGAGGACTAGGAGGTATCTGACAGCTCCGGGATAGTTTTTGTGACGCGGGCACCTAACGTGATTACCTCGACAGATATATTCAGAAATTCTATTCGATGCGGACGCAACTACAAGCTATATCTCTGAGGATCCAGGTAGGTATCCGGAAGTCGGACAGCCATCATGCAACCAACCTGTCCACTAACCGTTGGCCAACTTAGACCGTCCGAAGTAATGAGCAAATGATGCAGTCGATGAAGGGCGCCACCTCGCTTTTAGGCAGCATGAATCGGCAGATGAACCTCCCCGCGTTACAGCGAATAGTTATGGAATTCGAACGCGAGAACGAAATTATGGATGAGCGCCAGGAGATGATGGACGATGCCATTGACGAAGCTACGGGCCTCGAAGACGAGGAAGAAGGAGAAGACATTGTGAAGGAAGTGCTCGACGAGATCGGAGTAGATCTCGGGCAGTCGGTATTTCCCCCCATTTTCTCTTTGTCCTTTCTTAACCAGGCCAGTCCGAGTGCAATGCTGACTGCGGCCAATAGCTGGGAGAAACGCCCGTGGACATTGCCAAAGAAAAGGCAGACGAGACCAGAGTGGCCCAGGCAATTGGCGGTGGCTCCGGCGACGACGATGATCTTCAAGCACGCCTGGACAGCCTGCGGAGATGATATTGATACGCGGCGACCTGGTGTCCGCGGAGTTGAGGCGTTAGCAACTGAATGTTTGTTTCGTAGATTCTATACATGTCGACTAGGCGCGCATATACATTGGTCTGTTTTTCTCTTTTTGTAGCCCATATTATAAGAGGCATAGAGACAGCTGGCTGGCAAGTTTGTTCGGGCCAGTTGGGTTGGGCGATACGATCAGATTACACGACTTAGTAAGTAGCTGCTCTGGCGGGGTAGCCGCAGTTACGCTTCGGGGCCTAATCGTAATCAATCCTTCCTGCCGCTGCTGCGCCTCGCTCCAAGACAACCCCGTACAACTGTTGGATATACCTCTAAGTGCTAGGTGGTGACAGAATTGCTACCGGCCTTTTGAATGCGCTCGCTTCGTCATTTATCGCGCGATCCGATAACGCCGAGCACCAGCGGAGCTACACGCCCGATCTCACCTTATTTGGCTTCCTCCTTCATCCGCACACGTCCTATCTGATCTCTCTGCTAACAACCAGCATCTTCCTTCAATTCTAGCCCAGTGCTGAATAGCAATCAGCTACAAGGCCCATCCAGAATTGGCATTTGGTCTGCATTGCTCGGTATGTCTTCTTTTGGCAAGTATCACGCGAGATAGTCCGGGAGCTGCCGTGTTTCAAACGAGTACCTTTTGAGAGGCTGGTTATCTTAAGCTTCATTGACTACTGCCTTTCACTGTCTCGATCACGACTAATAACTTCATCGACGTTTAGAAATATATCCCCTACAAAACATCTTGGACAGCTTCCGGCCACTTCCTCCCCGCATTCCTGGTGTCCGTTCGCCCAGCGACATTTCATCGTTTTTGCAACCCCCCTCCGACCCACCATATATTTGAAATTCCAGAACCTATCAAGCTGGCAGGAAGCAAACGTAGAAGCTTCTCTACTCAGGGTGGGTTGCTGAACAGAATGTTCGGTGGCTCCACGAGCCCACCCAAAGAGAAAAGTGATCTGGTATCCCCCACGGGTACAAGCCCAACATCCCCGAACATCAATACCGAGGAGGCCGGCATCGGGCGCATTTCGCCTTCTGGAGCTTCTAGCAGGAAACAAAGCGACGAACAGGGCCTTGGCGATAAAAAGCGACGCAGCAGCTCTGTGACGAAAGCAGCCTCCTTCTTTTCTAGTGCGAAGAACTCTTTACATCTATCAAGCCGAGACTCGTCCTTGGACTCTACCCACGTCGCACAGACTCCCTTTCAGAAACTGGGAAAGATGGATCCCGCTCTGAGCGTGCCTCAGGGCTCCTTGAACAATTCAGCCGGCGAGTCGGTGCCAACATCACGTTCATCGTTTCGGGTAGGCGTCACGGAAGATCGAAATCGAAAATGTCGTAGAACGATGGAAGACACACATGCCTATTTGTACAATTTTCTAGGAACACCTGCTCCGGCTTCCGGCAATGCCGCGCTTAACGGTATCGATGTAGTTGAAACTGCACCGGAGTCGGGTGAAGCCACCCACGCAGTAGAGACAGACAATGGGTATTTTGCGATTTTCGACGGACACGCGGGAACTTTTGCTGCCGAATGGTGTGGTAAAAAGCTGCATCTTATTCTTGAAGAAGTCATGCGCAAAAGTCCCAATTCGCCGGTCCCGGAGTTGCTAGATCAGGCTTTTACCAGTGTTGATAATCAGCTGGAGAAATTACCTGTGAAGAATAGCGGCTGCACAGCTGTCGCGGCTGTACTCAGATGGGAAGATCGTATCCCGAGCTCGCATTCTGCAACAGGCTCCGCGCCTCTCGCTCCAGCAGCAGCCTCTGTGAATAATACAGAATCAGAGCCAGAGCCCATTACCGATAAACCAGCACAGTCTAAACAGGATATAACTGTGGCCAAGCCTCAAGAATCCATATCTCGTCAACGCGTCTTGTACACGGCCAACGTGGGGGACGCACGAATTGTGCTGTGCAGGAATGGGAAAGCCCTCCGTCTCTCATATGATCACAAAGGGAGTGACGAGAATGAAGGGAAACGCATTGCCAATGCCGGTGGACTTATACTCAACAACAGGGTCAATGGTGTGCTTGCTGTGACGAGAGCTCTTGGCGATTCGTATTTGAAGGACCTGGTCACAGGTCATCCGTATACTACAGAGACTGTAGTACAGCCTGATCAAGATGAGTTTTTGATTCTAGCCTGCGATGGGGTAAGTGCGGCATGACTTAATGTGCTTTTACATCATTAACATTTTGAACAGTTATGGGACGTGTGTACCGACCAAGAAGCGGTTGACTTGATACGCAATGTGAAAGATTCCCAAGAGGCTTCGAAGATTCTCGTTGATCACGCTCTTTCACGCTTCAGCACAGATAATCTGACCTGCATGGTGGTACGATTTGACGCGAACCTAATCCGAGACGTCGTTGAGCGACGTAGTGAACCGATTGGAGTCGAGGGGGATCCCTCGTCACAGATAAAGGGGGGCATAAGCGAGGCCGATAAAATAGTGGAAGGTGCTAAGAAGAAGCTTGAGAATGCCGATACTTCCCCAGCTGATACTGGTCTCAATTTGAAGCTGAAAGACGAGATACAAGATCCATCAAGTCCTCCAAAACTCAACAGCCCAACTAAACTGGAGGGGGGCAAGACTACCAGTCTCGAGAGTGTTTCCTCGCCAAAACAATAGCAAAAGCTACGCTTTTTTATTGCAGTCCCAGCACTATAGATACAGCTGACAATGCAGCTCAGATCACCTCGCATTGCCAGATTCATACTCTAGAGGCCAACATTTTATGAACTGTTTCTTCACCACGCTTACTTGTTCCCTTTTTCATTTCCATAATTCTTTCACCGGTATGCAAGTTATGTCAAGGCTTCACGGAGCTGCAATGGCAAATTAATCTTGTGGTAACTATTGCCTGACTTGCCACGTCCAACATTGAAGCTCACCTGAGATATGAATATATCATGGCCACACATGCTGCGTGTCGTTCTCCGGCCTCCACTGGACGCCCGAGTTAGAACCCCTCTATGTCATGATTGCAATTCCAACTTAACATGTTTTTTTATCGTACCATTGGCACGCATGTATTTCTAAATGATCACGTATGTTGCATAGGAGATTCGACAATGCAGCGCAAACTCTAGCAAATTAAATGGTTTTCAATCAGATCTCAGGCGCATCCAATTCGAAATGTTCTAAACACCGTGTAGTTTATAGTTAAATAACAGACGAGAAATAACATGATGCAACACGAAAATTGAAAGAAGAATAAGGTGTGGATAGTGAATATTGTACATATAATAACAATTCCAGCAACAAGTCCGGGCTGCATGGATGAAATTTTAACCTTGGACCAATGGGCTCATCAAATCAGCTACTTGTAGAAGGGACAGACTCTTTCTCTGTGAAGTTGTCATGGGCTAGAATGTCGTCGCCCTCATCAACCTCAGCACCCTCGACTCGCTTCTGACCAGGCATGACATGGTCATGAAGCAAAGCCAGATGGCCATGACTAACACGCTCCGGCCATGATTTAGCATATTGAGCATCGTAAATGTCCGTCCACAGAATCTTAACTTGTTTGGACTCGACGGAGTATTCATTGTGGCCGGTTGGGTTTTCAATGCTAACGCCAGCAAGGTCTTCAAGTTGATCTTCGAATTTTTGCACTCGCTCCGTGGCTCGCTCCGTAGCCTCCGCTTCCAACTTTCTCCCCAGTCTTCTGCGTTGGCGAGCTTTGCGTGTGAGATACCCTCTTGTGCCCAACGCAAATCCTTCCTCCAATTCCTTTTCTTGGATCTCTAGAACGGCCGCAATATCTGCGACACTGGTGGCCTTTTGATCCATCAAAACACGAGCTCGGTCTTTCTTGTTCATCATCCATCCAACCTTTTCATTCATTTTATTTTCCTCTTCCCATTTCTCAGCCTCCATCATGTCCCGCGGTCTCTTTTGATCTAGCCATTTTTCGGTGATGGTAATCATTTCTTTCGGCGGCGCAAGCTGTCTTTGAAGGGAAAATTCGCGGAGGAGCTGGTATGCGCGAAGCCCGACTTTGGCATCATCGAAGTGGACAGAATAAAACGGAGCCCACATGTCTTTTCTGAGGGTGGCTGGCACTGTTTTCTTGCCGTGGAAGACCATCTGTGATAGGACATTGTTTTTCTATGCGCGAATCATCAGTTACTAGCACTCGGCACAAACAGGGGGGTAATTATCTCATGCAACCGTACCTCAAGATACCGCGTCAGTGAGTACACGACCTGGTTTGTTCGTATGTTGTTGTAGACAAAGATATTCCGGCCATGGGTGAGTCGATTCAAGGCCTTCCGTAACCTGGCACCCTCTTGCTTCTGAAACGTCCTATAAGCTTTCGAGTAGGGAGAGCGAGGTTTACCCTGAATAACGGTGGACTCAGGAACAGGCGGGTGTCGGACGAGGTGCCATGCTGGAATCTTGGTCGAATCGAGAGCTTTATCCCGGATTGTGAAATCGTCTAGTCTTTCGTTCTTTCTCATGTAATCGAAAAATTTCGCTATTCGCTGGGTAGGCTGTCGGGTAGGCATGGCGCCGAGAGTAAGACCTCGCTCCAAGAGACGGGCGTTCTTCCTATAAGCGACGAATCTGTTTTGCTTTCATCACATGCAAGTGATGCAATTGCTAGTGGGGGGGAGCACTTGGAAGTCGAGAGTGCATCACGATAGATTTTTGGCTGGCGGACGCGGATGCTCGATGGGCTGGGCTGGGGCTGGGCTTATCCCGATTGGGCCGTTCCCCGTGCGTCACTCTTTACTGCCTGAGGTGCCAAGGTATCCGCAGCGCTGGAAGCTACAACAAACGAAGTCGACTACCAGTGCACGAAGATGGCTCTTCCAATTGTCGGTTAAAGCGGGCTGGTTGTCTACGAGGCAATGAACAACGCGCTGCGCCACCACGGCCCAATGCCCACAGACAGTCATGTCTGAATCCCCCGACAACGACCGTCGCGAACGGCCGTTGCTTTTCTCTGCGGTAATCCAAGCCATCCCCGGTTCTACAATCTCTAGGGTCAGAAGCTGATAGTTTGTGCTTCACTTAGAATCGCAAGTTGCGCCATTTGCAAGGCCTCTCAGTCCGAAATTTATTCATCACGGCGCCGAACCGGGCGCGTGGGAAGACCATCGACGACGACGATATCGATTATTCTTCAAAATCTCCATCCAAGCTTGGAGCTCAGGCGGCCGATCGATCGGTGACTCAATCCCGCTCGTACACTGACCTTAAGTCGTTATCATCAAACAAACAGTCTGTCAACGGTGGGCTAGACGGAAATGACAAGAAGCCCCAGGAACCCCAGCGTATCCGTCGAAGAAGTACTCTACCATGGAGCGGAGGCAACCTAGAGTCTCGACAATCGAAGCTAGAAGACATTGCTCGGAGCAGAATGGCTGACACGTGGTTTTCGATTCACTGCGATGGCATCGACAGCCCTGTATACGTCAGCGAAGTCGTTGAGAAAACAACGAATCCGGCATTCCGCGTGTTCGACCTCAATGTATGCGGACCTCATATTTCCAGAGTTGATCAAGTCACTGTGAGACTGTGGGTCAAATCGGAGCATATGAGTGACTACATCTTGCTGCTCGAGCTTCAGTTGAGCCTCAAGTCCCTGCAATTTGTTGGCAAGTCATTGGAGACTTTTCACCATCCACTTCCTACAAACTGCATTTTGTTCCACTTTTCCGATGGAATCTTTACAAATCTTACTGATTTTCCTCCCGCTCAAAATACTTCCACGGGCTCTAGGAATGGCACATTTCGGATGATCGAGCCCCAGAATACCTCTTCTTACGATGCTCTTATGCGCTTAGCAAATCTTGATGATTGCATACAGGATGCACTAGCAACTAGAGAAAGGCTGGAATCTCAAATCAGCGTTATCCTGGAAAACCACCACAGAAGCTTGCACTTGCTTGGCCAAGTTCAACAGGCCGAAGAGAAGGCTTCTTTGATTAAAAGAAGTATTGCCAACGAGAAGAAGCAGGTCCGCTGGAGTGCTAAACGCAAGGAGGACTTGCTCTCTAGCATCAAAGCTCGGAGGGAAGCCATGGCTTCTGCCCGTGAGAGGCAGACCAGAACGCAGAGTCATTTGCCTGACGCCCGGCTGAAATTGACCTCTAGCGCCTCTTTGTTGGACAAGAACTATGAAGATACTAAAGGCCAAATTCGCCGGATTAGCGAGGACCTGTTGGACATATATCCCATTGAGCCTATCTCAGACAAAGCATTGGCTTTCACTATTGCCGGGCTGCATCTCCCCAACTCCAACTTTGATGACATTGACAGGGAGCTGGTAGCAGCGGCGCTTGGGTACGCCGGCCATCTTGTCTACTTGCTCTCGTTCTATCTTTCAGTTCCTCTGCCGTACCCTATCCAACCATATATGTCGAGCACCTTTATTCAAGATCCGGTCTCTTCTGCTCTACCACGGCGGACCTTCCCCTTGTACCCGGTCAATGTTCAATACCGCTTTGAGTATGGCGTATTTCTACTAAACAAGAACATTGAGGTCCTTATGAACCGGGTTGGCCTCCGAGTTCTCGATATTCGGCATACCCTGCCTAACCTGAAATATCTACTCTACGTCCTGACAGCTAGAACGAATGAGCTGCCTGCCAGGAAAGCCGGGGGCGTCCGGGGCCTCCTTCTGGGACGGGGCACACCGCTACTGTCCAGGCAGGGCAGTCAGGACAGCTTTGCAAGCGGCGAGACGGTGATATCCCGAGGCATGCCGTCCGAATCATACCCAGCGAAGCACTCGCTCATGGCCACTATGACTCCTGAAACCTCGAAGAATTTGAGAAGCGCAGTTTGACGGCGCTGCACTTTATTTTGGATGGCATGTCACCTGTGTATTTGTTTGGGCGTCTTTTTTCTTTTTTCTTCTTTTTTTTTCCCCCGGTGTCATATAGTCGGACTGCACATACTAATACTAACCCAGAGGATCTAGAGGCGTTGCATTGAAATAGCCATGGAAGGATTACTGTCGCAACTGCACAAATCCACGCAAATAGTATGCAGTAATAATATGTGTTATGTACTATGGCATAATGATATATAATGTTTGTGCCGGCGATAGTTAACTAGTTAACTAACTTAACTAGGCGAGACCCGCCGGCAGCCCCGCCCCCTTGACAGACTTCGCTTTGCATCGGCAGCGCTCTCTGCCCTCACACCCACTTCGTGCCGAAAGAGAGCGACGACAACAGCACAATGGAATCCACTCACGATGTCAGCATGGGCCACCGCGCTGCATCTGCGAGCATTAACAATACAAATACCATTAGTGGCCCCTACCAGGACGCCGACACCTCTCCGCCCGCCCAACACCGCCGCGGCTATCAGGCTTGCGACCCATGTCGCAAACGCAAAGTCAAATGCGACCTAGGAAGTGCGTTGACCGTGCCGCTTCGCTGTTAGTCCCTCAATGCTAATCGAGCAGGTGTCGATAATCCGAGACCGCCGCCATGCGTACGATGCCGCCGCGAAAGCAAACGCTGCGAGTTCTCCTCGACCAGGAGAAAGCGGAAGACATCCGATGCCGAACCGGAAATCGAGGGCCCTCTGCGGCGCGATAAGCGCATGATGGTGGCAGAAGCAATGTATGGCGACTCGACAAGCAGCATCGCCAGCAATGGGAACCGCGAGTCTTCTTTCGGCCCTCCGGCACCTGCACCTTATGACAACGGAGGAGGCCTTCACAAATACTCGTGGCCAGACAACTCGCCTAGCACCGTGCCTCAGCCATCTCCCACCGTGCAGAAAGACCGCCACCACCACCAGCCCAGTCCCATGTCATCGGCCCCCTTTCACGATGCAAGAAGCCTACAATCAAGTGCGTACCGGGTACATAATCGGGGGTTGGCTGGAACCGAAAGCAGACAGACCGTCATGAACAAGACTGCAGCGGACTTGTTGTTCCCTACGATTAGCAACAGCCATGATGCCCTCCATTTGCTTTCAGAAGCGGCTGGTCGGACGGAAGACCTGAACCGCCAGAGGCTTGAAAATAGAGCACGACAGTCGGCTGCTTCGTACGGCGCTCAGATGTCAGCGACCTCGTCTTCGACGCCAAGGAATGCGCATCACCCATATCCGAAACGCGCAAGCCAGATACCGACAGATGGTTACGGTGACAGCGGTAGCTCTGGGTACCGGAAGCAAAGCTTTGAGTCGCATAGTGATCCTGGCTACCTGGACGCCGTCAAGGCCTGGTCGCGGCTCCGATTTGTCCGGGCTGGGTGGCTTAGTGTGGAAGAAGCAATGGCCTACATTGCTTAGTATGTTCATGATTCATTGTATTCCATGTCTTTCCATCTGCTAATATCCCCTTCTAGCTACTACCAGCACCTTGCGCCACTGAGTCCGATTGTGATTCCAGACTTTTCGCCTCCCTCTACCCACAGGACGTTGCTCACAGACGAACCCGTGCTAGCAGTGACGATGTTAACGACAGCCTCGCGTCATATGAAGCCCAAAGGCGACGGTGCCCACACTCGGGGCTACTATATACATGATCGCCTGTGGGATTACCTTCGTGGTATGATCGAACGTCTCTTCTGGGGCCAGGAGAAGTTCACCGGGAACTCAGTAGGCATGGGGACACCTAGGTCCCTTGACATAACCCCCCCGGCTCAAGGCCAAACATCTCTTCGGGGGCATCTTCGATCCCTAGGTACTGTTGAGGCACTTCTAATACTGACAGACTGGCATCCACGGAACTTACATTTCCCTCCTGGTGACGATGAAAACACCCTGCTGGACGCAGAGGCACTTCTTCCGTCACAATCTCGCAATGATGGAGAGAGCGACGGTCGAGGCCAAAGTGGCGGCGGCATCGAAGGGCGTCTCGCCTTTCAGAAATGGCTGGAGCCAACATGGAGATCGGATCGCATGTCGTGGATGCTCTTGAGTACTGCGCAAGCCTTAGCATTTGAACTTGGTATCTTCGACCGAAAGGAACCCAGTACCGTGGACTCTATTGCTGAACAGGTACGCAAGCGACGAGTACGACGACTTATCATTGTATACATCACTCAAGGCAGTGGGCGACTTGGCATACCATCGATGCTGCCGCTTGACAGGTGGAGCGATGATATTGAGCCTACTTCACCGGCAGAGGCTCCAGACGCAGATGTCTCGATTGATCGAATGCAAGATCTTTGGGTGCAGATTTCGAAGATCATGTCATTAAGCAATTCGGACCTATTCCCTTCTAAAGAATATACGTCCGAACTCATCAAAAGCGGGCGGTACAAGCAACAGATTGCTGAGTTCATACCGCGCTTGCACAAGTTCAAGGCATATTATGAAAGCGTCTCTTGTAAGTCCAAGCTAGCTGTGCTGGATGGGCTCGAAGCTAACACGTAGTAGTGTCCCCCCAGATGAAAAGCATCCTGACTATCGAATACGAATATACCCGTGAGTCTTGACGCATACCATGCATGTGGCCATTTTCTTCTAACTCAATGATTTTTGCTACAGGTATCTACGTCAATTGCCTTGCGTTGCAAGCGGTCGTGGAGCGGTGGACTTCCATCAATAATGAACCATCGAGTAAATCATCGGCAGCGACTTCTCTTCGCGTTCTAATGGAGATTTACCGAGTCAACGAGAAGTACATCCAAGAGGTCGTGGATGCTTCACGGAAGATACTTCATATTGTTTTGGATTGTCTTGTTCCAGGGCAACATTTGAAGCATTGCCCCGTGCGGACATTCTTCAGGATTCTGTCGGCGATGATTTTCATTCTCAAGGTAACTATACTGCATACAATAATAACAGAAAAACCGTTGCTAACGGATCCGTGCAGACTTTCACTCTCGGTGCAACAGAAGATGATGTCCGTGTTTCTTTGGATCTACAGGACCGGACCATTGAAGCGCTACGAACCTGTGTCGTGGATGACGTCCATCTCAGCAACACCATCTCTCGCTTACTAGAACTGTTAACAACAAACATCCGCACAAGGTTTCTACGGTTTGCACCAACCGATCGAGGTGTTGACGGCGAAGGACACGATCGCAATTCTCAGCCAAATTCACGTGGATCCTCGCCTAAACCGCCCAAGGATCATGGCTCTGCGTCTAGAGATGCAAGCGCACACTGGCAACAGCAACACCCACAACAACATCAGATCCAAACCCCCACTCCCAACAAGGTTGGATACCAGCTCAATCAAGGCGACGAATTGCAGCAGCAGCAGCAGCAGCAGCAGCAACAACCCGTTGTAAGCCATCACGACCCCTTAGCCGGCATTCCAGCTCAACCCATCAACTCATCCAACATCGGCGTTTCATTCATGCCTCCGCCTCCCTCTGTTTACTACAACTACCTGGGTTCAAATGGAACGCCTCCCAAACTCGACGACGCGACGTCGATGGCACAGCCAGTTCCTGAAGGCGGCGGCGGTCTTCCCGATTGGTTTGCTTTGCCTCTGGACCAGTTCTTCAACAGTTCCATTACAGGAGTAGATCAGGGTCTTGGGGGTACCGGCCCGATGCTTGGCGAGTTTGACATGCTAGAGGTCCTGCTCAATGAGCATTCTGACAAGGACGGTAACGGTGGCCCTGGTGCGACTGGAGGCGGCGTTGCGGACGGTGTCACCGCCCCTACTGCAGGAAATAATCATCATCATGATCATTTCCTATGATTTGAATGACTGAACGATTTTGTTTACATGTATAACGAAGTATATATAAAGGAGATGGGTGAATTATACAAACTGGTCTTGTCGCAATCTTACGAAATAACGGCCGATGTTGGTTTCATTATGTATATAGTTTTCACATGCCAGATAAAAAAATTATAAAATTTCATTGAAACTTAAGTTCGTTCATTATAAGACCTTATAATTATTTACCTTAGGTAGAAGGCTTGCTTATTGTATCCATAGAATACAATATCTATATCTATATTTGCAAAACATGATTCCCTAGATGTACATGGATAGAACTTGTAGGGCTTCCCTAACAACAAAGTGCCCAGCCTTCTTTATACTTAAATACGGCATTGCCCCTTCTATATAATATGGCATGTGTTTGATCCAAGACATGGATCACAATAGAATTTTTTTTCCCCTCGCCTGCATGGGTAGAGCTACTGCGTTTGGAAAAACAGTACGTCGACAGCTTGACGAGAGGAGATGCTGATTGCAGTTCTCTTTAAACAAGTCTGGCACAAACTTCTTTGTCGGTGTTTTGATGGGTAGGCCCTCTGAAAGATGATCCGAATAGACCTACGCAAGGATGAATCGCCAGAGTGCTCCAAATTTTGAGATTTCCTCATCTTCAACTTTTTCTTCTTCCAAGAGTCGATAGTGCGTCCAGACTGGTGGGTTTTATGACTCCAGCTTCATCCAGCGCATGATGAAGCGATTCTTCAATAGATGAATAAAGGCCATGTCCGAGTTGGGAATCGAAGAATTACTAGACCTGATACGCTTATGATTTGCGATTGGCCATAGCCAGAGGCTCATTGTGATGGCTTTCAATCTTGCGAATCTAAAGCCCATATCTCCCATTTCTTGAGGAAATCCCAATTCGCTGGTCGAACGTGACGTCTCCACACGACCGTCTCTCCCGAGGGCAGTGTTTCATAGAAATTATCCGAATCCATAATCAATGTAGGCTTATTTGGAGATTCTATAGGTGGCGGCGACGCTTCATCACGAGTACGTTTACCCAGCGTAGACGGAGGTGACTTGGAGGGAAGATTATGCTGTTGCCTGACCCTGGGCAACTCGCTAACAGGGGTATTAGCAAGTGGTGACTCGAGATCGCCTGTGCCGGTAGAGCCAGGACTGGATGCTGGAACACAATAGAAATCTCCCAGCTCCCAAGCTTTCCAGCCAAGACCAATAACCTTTAGCTGACTGGTCCGGCTTCGGTCAGCTAACACTACACTGAACTTCTCGGCATGGAGACTATCATCAAGTTCTGCGAGATCAGTCATACTCAATACAGTCATCGAAGGGTGAAATATTGACTGCACTGGGGTTTGCGCTGATGTGGTAGGACAAATTAGAATTCGCAAGGCTTCTAGCTTTCGTAGAAATGGGAGCAGTAGACCAAATGTCTCCAAGGTAGAAACTTCCGGAGCAATTGAAAGCTGTTCTAGGTTGGGACAGGTTTGGACCAAGTGAGCAAGATTCCTGGTCGTCAGCGGCCAGCGTGAGGGAAGAACAAGGTGGCGCAACGTAGTGCCATGATTTGTTATGATCGTGTTGAAGTAATTATCACGAAGTTGAAGGAGAGGGCTTATACTAGAAGCCGGAGATCGAGGAGAAGATGGAGCAATTGTCGAACCATTTCCAACAGCAGCAGCAACGATAGAATTAGGACTCGTGTCGTTAGCTACTTGATGTGAAAGCCCTGACAGTCGCATTTTTTGCCTGTACCCGGTTGCGCGGGTGAAATTCACGCAGTACCACCTCTCTAGACCTTTAAAGGAAGACAAGAACTCGCATACATCTTTTGACACTAAATCGTGCCTGAGTGATTTCAACCTTGACTGCTGGGTGAGGTCCGGGCGAACCCCTGACCATGTCTTGTCGACAAACGTCAGGTTACGAGTGTGATCCTGACCGTCAAAATCGCTGAGATGAGTCATCTCCTCGACAACGGACTCGTCGATAGCTTCTTTCCATTCATTGGAGTTCCTCGCGTACATGTTGTAAAAGGAGAATTTTCTTAGTTTCAGAGGCGACTTTTCCTTGACACAGTGGCGGAAATAATCGTGAAAGGTGACGCTGGGTTCCTGGGATTCTCGCATGCGCGGAGACCAATGCATTACCAATTCCTGAAGATGTGGGCTTTTTGCCAGGAGCGTGGAGATGTCGTCTGGATAGCAGAGGGGGTCGATATCGGTCACTTTTAGACAGCGCAAATGCGGCATTGCCGGAATGGTATATATGGGACGCGGGTGTCTGCTCGTAGGAAATCGTATGGACAAAGACGTAAGTTTGGGTAGCTGAAGTAGACCTAAGTACACGGTCTCCAGCATTTTTGTGTTGAGTTCCCAGCTGACAAGACACTTTCAGTCAGTTTTGCCTTTTCCCCCCCTCCTCCTTTCTTTGCTCAGTGGAAAAGAGGACAAATGGACGGACCTGAAGCTTTCTATGTTTTTGGTTCGATCAAGAGCCGCCCTCACAGTAATGTTAAGCATCATAGAAGAGTCCGGCACCCGACCGACCCTGGAGTGTTCCTTCAGCTCGGGCTCGTTCCACTCGCCGCGCAGAGTCATTGACTGCACGAGGGATGCATGGGCTCGCGTAACCAGGGTGTTGAGTCCCATGGAGAAGGGGCTTGCATTGCCCCATCCTTCCGGCTGCTCGTTGCGGTATCGGATGCGGTCGTACGAAGTAAGAGAGATGTCGCGGTAGAGATGCGGAATGGCCATGTAATGCAGCAAGCGGCATGTTTGACAGAGGCGAGCAAGGTCGCCGGGGTCTTCGATCTGTACGCATGCAGATTAGTCTGGGCGAGGATGCTGTTTAGATGCAGAGTTCTACAACTCACCCAGGAAACGATGTGCGCAATCAGATTCAGCGGCAAAGCTGCGATTTGCGCGCGCTCGCTTCCGTTACGATGATGCCGGTCCGCGTCCACGCTTGCATCAATCATGTTGCTGTAGCTGACAGCCGACATGGAGCAGCTCTCCCAGACATCGACTCGTGCGTATAGATGTATATAGGGGCATATATCGATGGAGGTAGAAAATTGCGCTGATGAGGGAAGAGAAAGAAAGATTAGTCCACTAGGCTTAGCGGCGTGGATCTCAGCCCAAGTTCCCGCCGCTGCCGGTCCGGATATCATAGAAAATAATGCCTCGATTGAATTGTAAATTATACAGGAACGTGCCGTGCAGATTAAGATAAGAATGAAGCTATAGCCACTTAACTGGGGGCTACGGAGCGCTGTGTTGGGTATAAGAAGGCGGGATATAGGCATACCCTCAGGGTTCTTCCATCAGCGAGCTGACGAGAATTGCATACAAAGTACTCCTCACTAGTAGTTAATTACATTGTATGGTATCGACGATATATGATAGAAAACAAGTTTGACTCCCAAGTCTCCCGTAAATCTCCCGAAATCCCAGAAATCCCTTGGTTGTCCTCTAGAGCGCCTCGCTAAAAGAAGAGATGATAGACAAAGAGAAAAAGAAAAGAGAGGAACGATAAAATGAATGTAGCACGTATATGGAGAAGATAAGTCACCGAGACCCGTGACTCTGAGGCGTATCCTGTCTCGCTTCTGAATCCGTACCAACATGGTCAATTTGCCATGATTGTTGGGGTATATCTTGTCTAGAACGCATAGCTCCAGCCTCAAAGGCTGAAGCTGACCGGTGCAGTAGCATTTGACCATCCTGCGAAGCATGAGACGTCCTTTCTGTTTCAGTTGGAAACCGTTGGTCAGGCGCCGAATAATTCATTGACGTGCCAGAATTCGGATCTACTTCCACCAGAGCAGCCGTCTCCGGGTCATATCGGAGTTGGCTATTGCTCCCCGATTCATTACCAGTATTTGCCGACGAGGGCCACATTGATGTGCGTTGTCCGTGTGTTGGAATCACCGTTACTGGCAACCCAGGCGCACCGTGCATGCGATCGCTCGAGACCGACCCAGGAGGTTGCGGTGACCACGGCTGTTGAGAAAGATCGCGAGAGGGAATAACAGTCACACTCAAAGGCTTACGGGCTTTTGCAGCGCCGAATAGATTGTGCCACTCACCATGCTGAATGGAAGAAAGGGTTTGTTTAAACCTTGAATTTGAACTTGTGTCGGTAGGAGATGCGCATTTTTCTGACATGTTATCGTCGTCACTGTCACTGGATCTGTCGCGTGTGTTCTCTTCCTCTTCCAGGGCCGTGGCTATTTCCTGTGGCGGAGATGACCGTCTTGTCTCAAACAGACTAGCCATTGGAAGCCAACGCTTCCAACCTGAAGAACTTGCAAAAAATTGGCTATTTGCTGCAGGTTGGCGCTGTGCTCCGTGAGATGGCACAATGGTGCTACAAATATCATCCTGCTTGCCTTGAGGTTCATAGTGACCCTGATGCTCCACAGGCGTGGCGGATATTGGAGGTGTGGGACTGGCAACAGGGTGGTAGCGAACATAATAATCCGTTGAAGCAGCACTGATAGTGTCACCTCGACTGATGGGCGTCACCGCGGCCGGCGGAGGTACGGGAGGAGCAGACGCATTTTGGCGAGGCGAGGCAGTGCCATCCTGGTCCCCGTTCGTAGCAGCATTTCGGGCATGAGCTCCTAATTGGAAAGCAAGATGGCCCCTTCGAAAGGGTTTATTGTTGTTGTTAGGCGCGATAACATTCCTCCAAGCAGCACCTGTTCCTCGCCCATTTCCATCCTCACGGGGACTAGACTGCCTAGGCCATTCAACTTCTTGAGAGGGAGTGACCTCCAGCATCTCATCACCGTCAAAGATTTCCCGGCCCAAGATCCCATCTTTCCGCTCATCGCGCTCAAGAGCCTCTATCCTCTCCACCCACTCCCAGACAACGACACTAGCAGCCGCAGACCCTACCCATCTAATATATTCACCCCACCCAGCGACATCGGGTGAAGCGATATCCATAATGAAAAATACGACGGGAATCAGGACCGCACTGAGAGAGAACGTTGCTACGAGACAGATGTTGCGCATCTTCCGGTGGAAAAAAGCAAATCTATGCTTCGAGAGCGAATAGAAGATCACCCAGGCTGCATAAAGCATATTGAGGGCCAATTCAAAGAGGTAGGAAAGCGCTGGTATAGCATCATCGAAAAGCCGCGGATGCGTTTCCGAACCATGTGAGACGAAGTTGTCCAAAATGGCAAAAATTGTGTCAAGCACAATTAATGCGAAGCCCGCCCACTTGATCAAGACCTTTTCTTTATGGCGCGGGAAAAGCCGGATAAGTGTCTGGACTTGAGCAAGCCACAGAAACGTGCTCGACACGACACGGACAATCCGAAGTTCAGTGCCATCAATCACCTCCTCTGTCATAGCTGTGGCATCTGTAACACCCATTTCGTACTGTGTTTGGGCTACGTGCAATGAATCAATCGTTGCAAGGGTAAGGGAGATTGCACATGATAGCGCTGCGACCTTCTGCAGCCAGGGACGGCCACCCACGCCAGTAACGGAGGAATTTCCACTATAAGAGCCACTTATAATACCATGTCGCCCCAAAAGATTTCCGTCGCCGCCGTGGCTCCCAATATAGAACTTTCGAGGAGTGATGAGGAGAATGATTACCAATACATAGCTGACCACCGTCATGCAGCCGATTGCATAGAGCTGTGGACCAACCGAGGCATAAAACGGATCGTTGCTAATGATAGTGGATGGAATGATGTCGCCAACGGATGTACTACCTGTGCAAGCAGGTTGAAAATAAGCGTCTTCAGTCACCGTTACCGTAAAGGAGTTATTGATCGTGAGTACGCCTAATAACGGAAAGCGAGTGTTGGTTAGTATAGACACTTGAACATTGGATATGGTAGTACTGTCTCCGTTGGAACCTACCATTGCTTGGTAAAAGGAATGGTGTGCATGATGAATGTGCAGAAGTGCTTGTAGTGGGCTGGGCCCAAATTTGACGACGTTCAATGTCCATTTTTTTTGACAACAATACGCTCTGCTTAACTGCGACAACGCGAGGTCTTCCTCGCAGTTGCCACTCGACTGCATCTGGGCAACAGGCAAAGCGGAGTCAATCCCTCCGGGGTTTGATCGCTCATGCGACCATATTGTAATTTGTTCCGTAGGAGGTAGGTGTCTTGGGAAAGAATATGTATGGTCGATGAAGCGACTATTTAAATTCTTCCCTTAATTTTTGACGGCAGCGAAGCGGGAGAAGGCGGCGCCCGGCGATCGAAAGTCGTCTAGACGAATAGATCCGGAATAAAAGCGGTAGGTAAATGTAACTAGAAAAGGAAGGCTATACCAGCAGTGCGATAAACATGCGCATGCGAAGAAAAAGGGAATGGAAGATGTTGTAGTTAGTTTGGTTCATTGAAGGATACGCCGTAAGGAAAGTCCGGTTCCCCGCCGGTCCGACATGTACGATCACGTGCTTTTTGCCAGCATTGTAAATCCAATTAGGAATTAAGTTAGTTAGTTAACTAACTAGTTAGAGTCTAGTTAGTCACCCGGAGCAGGGGATACTTACGTAATAGTATTTTTTAGTCATGTGACATATCACCACATCGATTTGCCTTGCCAGAATCCATCATTTCTACACCTCCTCATCCTCTCTTCCGGGATCCTACTCTACCCCTTGCTGAGCTGCTATTCTGTGTTAATATTCTCATCTGGATAGTACGTGCGTCTTTCTGTCGCCGATTAACTATAGGAATGCTGCTTTTCTCGCCACAAGAGTTGACTCCCACTCCCAATTGAATACCAGCATAGTTCACTATGCCATCCCAACAACCCCAGCATATTGGATACGTACTATTCGCATAATAGTGTTATTTACATCTCTCCTGGCCAGGAACAAGTTACTACTCAAGTATCTCTAGTGGCGCGATAGTATGGCTTAGTAGCTCGATTCAATCAGATACTTATGATAATATGAGCATGTTGAACATAACTGATATATACATATATACATATTCACACACAACCAATCGCCAATCACTAATTGTCTCGACCGCCGAGATAAGTTGAAAACGGCCTCGCTCAAGGGGCTGGAGTTTGGTATTGCATTTGAGCAGGGGGGACATACGGTATCACAAAAGCAGAGCCTGTAACCTGGGCCGCCTGTGCTCGCTTTTCTTCTCGTCTTTTGATTTCCCTTTCGTTCCGGACAAAGGTACAGCACATGCAACAGCTCGCTTTCACGCAGTCAGAACAGATATTGCCTTCGATTTTATAGGCTTTTCTTGTGCGATAGTGCTGAATTGTCGCCAGTATGCATTGGCAGCCGCATAGCAGAGCTAGACATGTGCAAGATCCGTTGCAGTAGTCAAAGCCCAATAGGTTTGTGGGATCTTCCCCTCGCGATTTCTGCAACAGTCTGTACTGTGTTCGACCGTAGAGCAGGCAGGGGCACGTAAGGCCTATACAGCATGTCACGAGATCTGAACACTCGCAAAGCCCTGTGCTCCAACGGCCGCCAGTTACTATTTGATTTGGATGAACACTCTGACCTGGCTGGTGGTTCGTGAACGAGTCCTGCGACTCTTGATTAACAGAGGTAAAGGTACCCGATCGGTGGACCGAGAAAGTCGGGGATTGTAAAGGATTTGTGTCCGGGGTAATTGGCACTGTACGAGCAAGAGTGGGCGTAGAAGTAGAAGCTGGCTCGAATGTGTGGAGTGGTCTTTTCTCTGGCAGTGTGCCATAAACGGTGGGGTAGGGCGGTGATTGATACTGCGAGGATGAATGCGTTATTGTGCTCGCCCGGTGCATCGATGCGGTGACATCTCCCTCTGCGTATGGGGCTGACAGTGCAGGATGTTCTGGAGGACGAGTGCCGCTTGGAGAGAATGCTCGTCGTTCTTGCATGAGCATCTGTCGAGCCTGCTCAAGCTCATGCGTCGCGGCATTCGTAGGATGCTGTTGCGGGGTGTGTATAGGTTGGGGAATAGGAATGCTCGGAATACTCGGGGGCTGTTGTTGTTGTTGTTGTTGCTGCTGCTGCTGGGCTTCGTAGACAGCGTCCTGAGATGGAGTGGCTTCTGCAGCCTGTGGAGGCCACACATCGGGGCCATTCAGCTCGATTGGCGTTTCGACATAGGAGTAGACCTGCTGCCGTACTGAAGTATCTATTCTCGGCTGGCGACTCATGTTGGATTGATCAATCCAAGGTGTGCCGGATAAAAAAGACCCGAATTTTGTAGTATCTGTATGAGGATGTTATATATATCATGGATCATCGGATAGAAAGAGTATCGTGATTGGCAACCAAGACAGCTACATGATCATCAACAACGTTAAGCGCTCCGGCAACACGAAAGCGAGGAGGGGCCCAGTGCCAAAGGTACATTCATAATAAAGCAGACCCGAGGGTCTACGGGAACAGAGAGAGAAAAAGGCGGGCTATGCATGATAGTCGCTGACTGCGTCGCACTATTCTGTGGTATATTGCGATTGCTGGACGAGAAGCACAGAAGCGATGGGGCTATCACTCGCCCGTCACACCGCGCCCGCCAGTCGGTGCAGTCACCGCCGCAAAGCGCCAATCAATGACGCGGCCGGCAAGTCTGCCGGGGGTGCTTGCAACCTATGAGAATATGCAGGCTGCTCTGCATTGGGCATGACTACGCCGCAGACTAGGCCACCAGTGTAACAGCGTCTGGCCAACCGCATCGGCGAAATAAGCGCCCTGTCCAGTGCTAAAATCCTCCCCATCTGCACGACGTGCATGCTATCACTGTCGCATCGAAGCATGGGCCACCTACGGAGATCGCTGGATGATATTGCTTGCATTCATTGAGATATTTTTCTGGCTAAGATTAAGAGCTGGTGACCTATGCCTCGGCGTCTAAATTGCGAAGCTGAGCCTGGAAGGTCTTTCGCATCCAATCGACATACGACTTCCACTTGGGATGTTCACCTCCCACTTCAACCCCCGGAAAAGCCTTGTCCAGCTCACGGCTAATCTTCAGAATACCCAGCGAAGCTTCCTGTGCCTTCTCAATTTCCTGCTTGACCGCGTTTTCCTTGGGTTTGAAGTTTAGCACCGCCATATAGCGCTCTGACAATGCGTCTAGCTGCCGCTGCGTTTCTTCCGAGGCCAGTGCAATCAGTTTAGCTGTCATCAGATTGCACAAAGTCCTGATGTCCTGCTCGTCATCGAGCCCCGCTAAGATTCGTTCATACAGCTCTGATACATTTATCCGGTTGAGCGCAGCATCCAGAGAAGCATATAGCGTCTCGTAGGCAGTCTGAAAACCGACAGATTAGCAGGTTCAAGAGAAAGTAGGCTAAGGATAGAATCTCACCTTGCGAAGCTCAAGACCATCATCGACCTTGTGTTTGAACGGGCCCATCTGCACCTCACGGATGAGTTCAGGCTTGATTTGAGTGTCACCAATAACTGCCGGCAATAGTTCACTTAGATGCGGGTGGATGATATCCATCTTGTTATGTATCGCCGAGTTCAACGTAGTAAGGGCGAGTCGATGGTTTCCAAGATCTCGGTCGCTCAACATACTTACTAAGAGTGGTATAATCAATGGTCGTAGAACGTCATTATAGGCAACGCTAGAGTCAGAAAGGGTATAACGGAATGCGGAAATAATTGTGCCTCGGATGGTAGCATTTTGGTCAGACAGATAACTATGCAGATGAGGCACGTAAGATGATGGATCTAGCAGAGCGAGCCGGCCAATGCATTCCGATCCTACAACGCGGTTATCCTCATCCTCAGAAGCCGCCAACAGGATCTGCCAGAGTTGTGTGGCGAAAGGCGCAATTTCATCCCGAACATGTTCAGGGTGGTGAAGGATCTCTTTGATGGAATGCAGTAACAGATAGGTGGATGACCTTGGTTTATTCAGACCCTCGAGAATAATTGGCATATAAGCCTTGATATTACTTGCAGCAGCATTGCCAAGCGCAACAGCTGCGGCCAAGCGGACTTTGTCTGATTTCGAGTCGAAGTTCGAGATGAATAGGTGCGGTTTGATAGGGCAGCTCGCTCCCATACGAAGGGATACTTCACCCAAGATAGCCAATGCTAGGCATTTACGTTGATCATCCTGCGCAGTTTCTAATTCGGCAAGGAAGTCTTCCATTTTCACTCCCAAATTCGATCCTCCATGCACAAGTAAGGTTCCGATTGCTCGTCCAACCACTGAAGGATCTCCGTTGATTCCAACATCACGCAAAAGACGCTTCATGAGATCGGCGCCAGCATCTTGCTCTCCGATGACCTTGACGAGCAGGAGCAATGCTTTGAGAACCGTCCCAATCAAAGGAACAGCAACAATCGCACATAGAGAGGATATCAGATCTTCTGTAACTAATCTCGTTGCGTGGCTTGGTATGATCTTAGCCAATATAATGAGGGCAGGAGCCAGAAGGTGAAAGTCATCGGGAGCGATCAACGGTAACAGAGATTTCTCCAATTCTAGCATAGTTTCCTCTTTGTAATGCGCTCTTGTGTTTGGATTCATTGCTAGACTCCTCAGAGCCTCGAGACAGGCACTCCTGAGTGTTCGGTCAGATTTTCGGAGCTGAGCACCCAGCTCGCTAGTTACTTGCGTAATCCAGTGGGAATTGACATCTTGTTCGCTGCTGGCTAGAACGGAAATATCGTCAATAGCACGTGCAGTAGCCAATCGTGTGGTCTCGTTTTTGAGGCGATTCCCAAGAATGTCGAGCCCTTGGAAACGATGAGACTCGGAGACGAATTTGCGCCCAATGTCACCAGATGTACGAGCTAGCAAAACCCCGAATACGTGAATAGCCCGTTGACGAACTTCGAGATCAGCACTGGTATCAGTGATACGCGAAACAATAACTTCATATAGTTTCTGCAATTGCAGCCTGACATTATCGGTATCATTGCCAGATACACGAGGTGGAGTAAGAGCCTTGATAACACATTCAATAGCTCCAAGAGCCTCACTTGCCACTTTGTAGTTTCGATCGCCAACAGACGCAATCACGCCTGGTATCAACGCAATAAGGAATGGCAGGAGTGCATCCGAGGCATGAGTCTCTGATATAGCACCTACCAGGGTCAATGTTTCGATTTGTAAAGTTGCAACGCTGACGGCTGTACCAGCTGTAATGGCTGTGCCGCTACTCGTAGATGCTTTGAGGGCATCGGCGATTGGATCTTCAATTTTCTGAAGGTAATCGGCCAAGATACCATAACGTGCCAAAGCCAGGCTCTTTAATAGCACTACTATAGCTTGTCTCAACGCCACAGTAGCCGATTTCCACGATTTCACCATGTTCTGAATTAGGCCGGGGAGCAGTCGCAGCAACTCGGCCTGAGGCCCAGATTCAGGAGGAGTAGGTGAAGTAACGGGGGTATCAATTGCGGAAGAAGTTCCCATGCTGGGCTCGAAATCAATGACTCCAGCGAAACTGTCCTGACGCCTTCGCTTCCTGGAATTTTTTGACCCTCCGACAGATTCTCTGTAGCCGTTTAAGGATGCCACCGTGAGACCCTCGCTGGTCTTTCTGACTAGAGCCGTGAATGTTACAACAACCTCAAGTTTCACGCTCTCTTCCCTTTCTCGAGCAAGTCGCGAAATGAGTGCAGGTGCCACCTGCTGGTATAGGGTGCCATCCTCCAACAGCCGGCCGGTGCCATACGAAGAAATTATAGTATGAAGAGTCTTTGCCGCACAGCGTCGAACCTTCCAACTCACATCGTCAACATCACTATAGCCGCCTTCATCCTCAAAATCCTCAAATTCATCATCAATTTCGTCTGCTTCCTCTGTTACACCGTCTTCGCTCCCTTCATCCTGTATGCCGCCCATCTCTTCGTCTTCGTCGAATGCTACATTCGGATCATACTTCAGACATCTCAAGGCGGAGTTCACAGAATCCATGAGGTATGGTTGCATCTCCTGCGTGCATGAAGACAACAGACCTTCCAAGGTGATCAAGGCAGTCTCGCGGAGTTCATCTGCTTGAGGGTCTTGCTCTCCCCCATCAGAGTCGTCCTGAGCCATCTCATCCATTTCTTGCTCGCTGACTGCGGAGAGTACAAAAGGAGCGAGGGTCTTGAGATAAACTCCGAATTTTGAAGGGGCCGCCCGTGAGAGGCTACCGATAGTTGCAATGAGGTGACGGCGCCTAGTCACCGTTAGATGTGCGGAACCGAAGCTCTCGATGAGCTCTGACACAAAGGCACTCAATTGAGCATCTGAGAAGTAAACGACAAGAGCTGCTGTTGCAGTGAGCGCACGCTTTGTGACCACAGTCCCGGCTGTGTCATTCTCGATGATGGCCATAATTGACTTCTGCAAAGATGCAATCTCGACCTCCTTCAGCAATGATCCAAAGCAATTGACTAATTCAATGACGATATCAATCGCATCACTACTGTAACCTTTATTTGCATCCTTTTCCAGCATTCCTCGAGTAACAGACCCTCGGCGGGAGGCTCTCGATTGGTCCTCTCCTGTGAGGCGTGGTAGGAGGACTTTGGAGATGGCAGAATATGTGTTAGTGGCTTCCGCACTGGTCACACTTCCTGTCCGCGGAGATGGAAGCGAGGAAACTATGACTCGGAGGGCGGTATTTGGTACGGAGCTATCGATGGATGACGAGCTCGTCAGGTCGGCGATGCGTTCAAGGAGCGGTGTCAAACTCTCCACTGGAAGCCGGCCAGCTAGAGGGCCAAGACTAGAACGTCGAAGTTAGAAGATCCCTTGCAAAATATTAGGTTCATGCAGAAACAATACCATTTTAAAGCTTGATTTTGCACCTCTCCATGCTGATCTTCTAGAGCTTTCAGAAGGCCATCGGACAACTTGGCGGATGTTGCATTATCGTTGAGTAAGAAAAGTGAATTTGGCGAGCTCAAGATACCGTAAACATCATTCAGGGACATGTATCGAATATCAGGATCAGGGTCACTGAGCTTCCCCAGAAGGCTGTGAAGCGTCGCCTGTCGGTCGACCATTTTTGCCTATATCAACAGCTTCCCCGCAACGGATAAACAAAAACAAGGGGAGAAACAGGGTACGTCGAGGTGGAGGGTAAAATGTTATGCAAGTGGATAGAATATGAGAGGATAGTATAGGATACAATGTGTCAAATAGCGAAAAGGAGAGTCTTCTCCAGCATCAGACGTGAAGAGTTGTTGAAGTTGGATGAGCAGTTGAAGCAGGCAGGCGCTCATCATCGGCAGGTGGGGCAGTGCTGCCTCAGGCCAGCAATGCATATATGCAATGCTGATTGACTAACTAGAGCAATCGTTAATATAAGAACAATCTCAGTGAACCCCCAAAAGCGATGGCAGCATGCACACTCAGTAGTGCAATGGGTGTAGATCTCCGACTCCCCGGATCCCGCATAAATATTCCAAGAAACAGTCGTTTTTCCACCCTTTACTCGACACCAGTCTTGCGATGAGAATGTGGGCTTGCTTGAGGGCTTTATGCAGCCATAGCTTCATGACCGTGAGATGAATTTCAGTTCCTGTTATAACTACTTTCTTCTACTACTGTTTGTCTCATCCTCTCCGCCTTTCTCCCTAGGCCGCTCTAACTCGTCCAGAAGATAAATCTCACGCTGGTGAGATCGATCACGGGTTTTGCGCTGTTCCCTCCAGCTCTGAATCCATCTTTGATCTTGTTTTCTTCTCTTTTTTGAACGGAACAGTTTCCATACCACGCAAAACCAAGCTGCGACGCGTACCCGTTTCGCCAACCACAAACTCCAGTAAGTATCAGTTCACGCCTTTGAAGGGATGAGTTTCAATATCAATACAACCCAGTACAAGCCCGCGAGGAACACCCCATGCCACCATTCCATTTGGATGATTTTCTCCGGTGTGACTTCGTTTTGTTATGGTTGGATTCGAAGATTAGGCGGCTTATGGAATCTTTACACAGTCACCTGACCGATGGTTGCCTACAAATATCCAAGTCTACCCGCTAAAAAAACAGAAGTCAATGATTCACTATACCTCATTGAGAAATTTCATGACACTCATGAGACTGGAAGCGAAGGAATAGGGGTAGGTATTTACTATGCATCATACGTAGTGCTGTTGCCGTAACTAGATGACATGAACAGAAGACCAAATTCGGCGGTATCAATCCAGGTGTGTATATCCAGTGAGCGCCTTTGAAAAGGTATGGGATGACCCTCCATGGTTATTAACCTGGTTTAACAGACTTGGTGATGCAGAAAGACGTCGTCGAAAAGACCAAGATGGATGATGGATGATGGATGATGACATATCGATGATATACTTGCTGTATTGTCTAACTACGTATTACATATTACGTACTAGCGCGGTTGCCCACTACATGCCTCAGCAGCTGCCGTCATGAATCCGGTATTGCGCCGTATTTGTAAATTACCAAGTATATCCATCCATGCATTCATTATATCTGCCTTTCTCTTACATTCTAAGCTCTTGCAAGCTCTTTCACCTCCATAATATACTATCCATCGCAGGGAGAATAGTGACTATCTATCAGCTGTGAATCCTAACTATGATGTCCCCCCAGCTTTCCCACACATTCCGCCGCGCCTGCGTCAAGTCCTACGCCGGATTCGCCGCCGCCAATAATCGCAATAGACTACAAGCAACTGCTCGTCGATGCTATGCACAGGCTCACGACGAGAAGAAGCGAAGCGATATTCCATGGTACGCCTGATATAGGAGGACAGCATGTTGTTTCGGGCTGTAAGCGCTGACTTCCACGGAAATATCCATATCCAGGCTTGCTATCTCCGTCGCCGTAACTGTTCCAGCAGTAATATACCTGTTGAGAGCAGGACCAGAAGAGACTCAGCATGGAGCATTTCCCAAGCGTCCACTTGTAAAGAAACCTGAAGAGGGAGTCGAACCGCAGTCGAGACGAGATCCGGTGAGGTCTTTTTTCAATCATCCATTCATTCATGGCTGGTTGCTGGGAATAATGATTGACTAACTACTTATAACAGGCTGATGTGATTAAGCCTCCTAAAAGCTTTGAGGGCGAATCTGGCGCTCAGACAACCAAGCAGCAAGGCCTGACGAATAAAGAGACCCAGCACCCTTATCTATACGCTCCTGGCAAGAGCGAGAAGCCCGAAGGTATCACCGATTCATCCAAGGTGATGGGGACGGTCTCACCCGCACGAGGAAAGGAATAATACTCCACAGCAGAGACGAGAATATATACCGTGTAAGATAGTCAGCTATGCAAGTATTCAGAACCGGTTTTTTGTCTTTCTCTTCTGGTCACGTAGGTAAAAATCACATATTAGCAATTAGTTTGGTAATATCTACACAGACAAAAAACTACCAATTTAGTCTATTATATCATACAGGTTCATCAACTCATCTTTCCTGAAAAGCTTGACAGGGTTGAATCAACATAAAAAAAAGCAACCAAGAACGTTCGAAAGACAGTCGGAAAAGGGGGAGCGAAACGAAAAAAGATCAAGTCGTGTAACCCCTTTTTTTTTTGAACCAAATCCCCAGAGGATAGAATCCCAGATGCATCCGAAGTAATAGAACAGCATAAGCGAAAAGAGACGCATATGATGAGATGTTCTAACAAGAAGCGAAAAATAAATTATGTTTTTTTCAGGTTCCCATGCATTCCCGTGTGAAGGAATTGAATGTTAAATGCAAGAATAAATGTATATATAAAGAAATCAATAAAGCACAGCCACCAGTAGAAAACTGACTCGCTCAATGAATCCTTTTGAAAACGGGGGATAGATGAATGGGACGGACGTCGTTAAATGTAGAGATCATAAAATCATTTGCGCACGTTTTTATTTGCTTTTGCGTTCAGTCGTCGGTTCACCATTGACGAGAACCTTAGGAGTAGCATCGGTCTTGGAGACGGCAGCATCATCCACCTCTTGGTCTTCGTCTTCATCATCGCTTCTTTCGTCTCTCGTCACATCATCGAGTAAGTAGTTCTTCAAGATGCGGAAGATCAAGAAAAGCCAAAAGAGATTGACCGCCTGAAGGCTGGCAAGGAGACTGAACGTGATGATTTGACTGATCCAGCATTTATATTGCTGAGTCTCCCAGTTCAGCTCGTAAGGTCCCACAGTCCTGAACTCGGTCAGGACAGCCCAGATGATTTTCAAGTTAATGTAATGTCGCAGGTAGATCCAGATTGAAACGAACATGGCGAAATAAGGGCCCGTGATTGGCGAATCCAGATAATTTAAGGTCTTTGAGGTCTAGACGTTCAAAAAAGTTAGTGTGCGGTACGGAAGAAAGCGATCACAGCTCAATCATACCGCAAGGAAAAAATCTGAAATATCATGAGTGATATACACTGCTAAGCCCATATAGGTGAAATGAAAGCGGTAGCTCAAGAAAATCAGCGCGAGCGTAATGATGTGATGGCCGACAAGTTCCTTGAAGTCTTTCCGGGGTTTCTCCAACTGCAGCAACAAAACGATGGCTTGTTGAAACCAGTAAGCAGCCTGCAGTAGATAGTATGCCTTGAACTCTGCAGTATGCTCCCTGTGAGGAAACCCTTCAAACATCGCGGTGGTATTGAAATACCAGATGTTGGTGCGGCTCATGACCCAGAGACCGAAGGGGCCAAAAATAGCGAAATAAATGGCCGTGTACACCTGCTCCATGAAGCGCACAACCTTGCCCTTGCTGCGTATTCCACAGTAGATGGCCCATGGGCGAATCAGCCGTTGCATCAGGAATTCGCGGGTAAAGGAAAGAACCACGGTGTAGAAAGCAACGAAAGCAAAATCCTTCTTCCCTTTACCATACATCACGGGCTCGCCGGGATACTTCGGTTCGCGTGGATAAGACAAGAATATCGCGCTGTACATCGGGTTCGACTCATTGGGGTTCACGGCATATAGGGGGAGTAGGACCGCCAGGATGACAAGAGGCGTAAGCCATGTATGCTTGAGCGATATGTCCTTCCAGCGACGAAGAAAAGACCGCGACTTTCGGCGCTTATGGTGATGGGTTTTTGCAGACTTTGTAGAGACACCGCGCTTATGAGGATGGTGAGTTAGTTCGTCGTGCTTCCAATTGACTGTAGGAAAAAAAATTCTTACCTCGGAAATATCTCCATTCACGCCCATTGTTGAGATTGCGGGCGCACCAGTGTCGCCTCTGATGTCTGCGCCCAAACTCGACTTCCTTCGAGTAACTGGCATTGTGATAGATCAAGCCTAAAGCGCCGGAATATGTGAGACAAAAAAAATATTCGCGTGTATGGACTAGGCGTTCTTGTTGAGAAGATGGCGGTCTTTGGTGGCGGCGGAGAATTCTTGAACTCCTTTCTGAACGAGCTCCTTTACACACGATGGAGTTCTGAACCGACCCTTTGTCACGAAGGTAACCAACCGTGCGAAGCGCTGCCTAGGCGGAGGCCAAGTGGTGGTTGCGATCTGTATTCTCTCAGCAGGGCGAAGGAAGAAGAGAAAGTGGAAATTTAGCGATTGATCAAAATTAATATGGCCAGGGGTTAAGCTCCGACTTGACCGCAGACGGTAAGGCCGCCCCAACTAACCAACACCAACGATGTAATAATCCTCTGCTCCATCGTCATCTACTAATTTCCGGCCGCCCTACAAGTGTCCAACTTAGTTAACTACATCTGAGATAGCTTACTACACATATAGGCAGGGCAGCTAACTCCGTGTTACTTTGCTACTGCTAATTCACAGTGCGTACGTTGTAAGCGTTTAGATATAACATACTTGAGAATCCTGATGGATGAAAATGGTTTATAGTCATGAATATACTAATTACTTAGTTATCCCTCACTGTTTGTCATATCCTATGACAAGTCCACCGTGGGAATTTCGGCTATGTGCAATTTCGCGCTTCCATATGGTACTAATTTGGTTTGGAAAGAGTCTCCTATGCAATCTCTGTCTCCCTTCAGCGGCGGGTTTGGTGCATAACCGTAAGTTAGGTTCCATGCAATCTCACAGACAGTTGCGCTGATGGACACCGGCGGCGCATTAAGAGACCAAATAGGATTGGGCAAGGTGGCATCGGAACTTGGCGCATTGTACTCAAGCGTCGATGGATCAATAGCAAGTGCCCATGTTGATGTTGGGTAGATGTTATATTCTTCCGCGCCTGCGGGTGCATCAGGATAATTGGAGCTATAGGTGGTGTAGTTCTCTCCAGGAGCAATCGTGTAGAGGAATGGCCCGTGGTAAATAGAGACAGTGTCGTTCGCGCGATCAGCCACACGGATCTCACCCGTCAAGGAGTAATAGATGGTGGTTTGGCCTTTCCCTACTGAGATATGATGCAGTGAGGTGCCTGAATCGGTTTCCAATGCAGCGCTGGGCCCACTGTTTATAGAAATGAAGCTGGCTCCCGTTGCCCAACCGGGAACTCGCACATAAAAGTCAAAGGCGTCGCTGGCTTGGACAGTATACGTCAACTCATAAACAAATGGGTAGAGCGAGTCAACTGAAACGCTGACAGCAACCCCAGAATTGGTGGTAGTGTTCACCGAGGTCGGGCCCAACAAGGCCTGTGCGATTCCGTTGTCGCCCACACGAACATAGGAGTTGGAAACGAATTTAGGATAGCCCTGTGGATGGTTGACTGTACAGCAAGGGTAATTCGGTGCGAGCCCAAAATGCTGGCCTTCGTCATCCACGTTATAGAATGGAGATTGTGTGAGAGTATGCGATACTGGCTGGTTAGTCTGGGCTACATACTGATGGGCCCACCAGTTTGGTACCAACATCACAGGAAGAGCGTTGTACGCGACCCTCTCAGCGTTGTCTGCAAAGCCCGAATCACCCAATGTTTGGTAGAGATAGTTCAGTGAATAAAGACTTTCCACCACAGCACACAGCTCTACGCCACGAACAGGGCTCAGGCCTGATAACCGTTCATCTGCGATCATGACTCCTGAAGGTTGGCCGTGATATGTCAAGGTCCAGTTGACTGCCGTGCGCGACGAGTCCGCAATACTCTCATCGCCAGTAAAGCGTGAGACAACGGCGCCAAATTTATAGCCCTGGCCAACGTTTACTCCATGCTCGTACGCGTAATAATAATCGGTGATGTTGAGGGGCACATCGTCAAGATCCCCCTTGATATACAGGTCGTCGGCATACCAGGAAGACCAATTGCTTGCCTTTTCGTAGAGCAGGTCCATGCAGCCAAATAATACGTTGGTATCGTTCCTGGGATCATGCTCGTACAGCCATTGCAGGCTCACTATCATGTCGGCCGCACGGGCGCGAGGCCATAGATCATCAATAGGGGCGGAGGTCTGAGAAACATAGCCACGTAAATCGTCTTCAAGCATGGAATACAACAGATTCACGAATGTGTGCATGCTGTCCAAGACGCGTGTGGCAACATCTGTGCCATTCTCGGCCTCAACCAGTTGCGTTAAGCCTAAAAAGAAAGGAAATCGAGCCCAGATATTGCGCGCACTGACATTGGTCTCTGGGCCAAGCCAGCCATCTGCCTGTTGGTGCGAAATCACATAGTCCACAGACTCTAAGACCTGGGTTTTCAGTCGTTCATCATTCAAGGTATATGCCAAGGGCACAAGGCCATTGAACCAATAGGGGAACCCTTCATTCAGTTCGCTATACTCGTAGGTCCCGCCCAGCCATGAGCTGTTGCTCACGTACAGGTAAAAGTCGTGCTCATGACCCGCAAGGCCGTCACTCATCAATTGCAGCTGATCGTGTAACCAGCCTTCAGCCGAGATCGAACCCAACGGCAAGGGCTCCAACACACGCGGCAGCACTGTCGGGGAAAGCAACGGTTATCAATGCAATCCAGAATGGCATCCAAGCACATAATATGGCACTTTCGTTTTTCCAAAGCTCAAGGAGAATGAGGGATAAGGGAAGCGTACGTACATGAAGAACTGCACTCTGCAAGATGGAAGATTAAGGAGCTACCCAACAGGGCAGCAATGCCCCTTGCAACGTGCGTAGCCGACGATCTTGACCACATCATCGTCACAAGCGACGGTGTCCCGAGAGGCAAGACTGTGTGCTACGACAGGACGAGGAATGGATGATCGAAGCGACCAGCGGTCGTGGAGGGTTGGGGAAAGCGCCATGGCCAGAGCAGGCGCGGGCCTGTCGCGATTTATATTGCTTGCTGGCGCTGGACGTGTCGCTATCCACATGGAATGGAAGAGCAACCGATTCGATAGCCCGGGTGGATTAAGCAAGCAGGTTGCACGCCCATCTCGAGTCCTTTTCTTTGATGTTAGGGACGAGGAGCGCGGTGGACGCTGTGGTTGGAGGATCGCGTGACGATCGACAGGCGGGCTTTAGGGCAGAATGTGACCCTTGCGCTTGCCCAAACAGCCTCCTTCCTTCCTTCCTTTCGTGGCTCCCACCCCGCATCCGACCTCGTCCCCTTTCTGCGCTGCTCCCCTGGCTTCATCCCCCTTTCTCTTCTCTTCATCCCTCTTGAACCACGATGGCGAGCCCTTTCTCCCCTGCTTGTGGCTTGCTTGCTTGCTACCTAATGCCACTCCCCGCTGCGCTCAATGCTCCTCGACGCGAAAACAAACACCGACTGGAGGCAGCATGTGCACTAACTACCTAGTACCTGCCTAGCATACAATCACCCCGCTCGCTGAGAGTCTTGGGTAGACTTAGGGCCCTTCGCCCGCGGGTCAGGAGACGCAAAGACACGAAATCAAAGCAGTGTCACGGCCTACGTCACAGAGGAGCACGAACGGAGAAAAACAGGGATTATGCATGGATCAGGCGGTGAATGCCGTGCCATGTGTGTTGCGTGCATATGCCGTACACAAATGGGATTATTAATCGTTCCTGGGCGAAGCGGAAATTAAGTTATGCGGTGGCTGCTATGCTATTGCCGGCATGCTGGATGGGTAAATACCTAATACGACTCACCGTGTTTACCTCGGAAGGAAAAACCGGTCTTCTCTATTTGCCGAGCGCTTTATGCATAGTTTCTGTTGCATTTCGATCTACCATGAGACCCGATATTACTCGAAATTGGCACTCGTCTTGTTGCCTGCCTGCCTGACTGTTATATTAGAACACCATCACACAAGTCACGATGTGGATATCAGTTGATATCATCAGCCTCAAATACCCAATAAACATGCCATCGCCTGACTTGAAAAAGCCCACTTGACGTGCTTCCTAGATAGAATATCCTCGGCCGCAATGCTAGGGTGCTTCCCGACAGATTTATCTGCCAGGGCACTCCCATTCCTCGGACAATTTTGTCTGATCTATGGCAAGAGTGGTGGAAAAATGTCCTCGGATTTGGGGGAAAAGGCAATTGGTTTTTCTTTTCTTTCTCTTCTTTTTCTTTTTTCTGAATTTGGAGATTTTTTCTTTTCCTACACCGAGAGGTAAGGCCATGAGATGAGTATCGTTCGAGCGTTTCTGAATAAATTCTAGGTCATTCATTCCCATTTCTAGTACGAATGACAAAAGAGGATCCATGCAACCTTTATCGCGGCCATCCTTAAGTTAAAATACTACATACTATACGTGTGTAGGTTCGCCGCCACCTTTATGTTCGAGTGCAACCATTTTGAAGCGGGTGAATTAGGGCTTCTAGAGTTAGGGTTGGTTCATCCACCTACGCCGCCACGTAGTCAGCTCTTTGTTTGAATTTTATCATCGAAAGCAGTGCCTAGGCTTTACTTCTTTCCCCCTCACTGCTAATCAAGTAACAGCTATGATAGGTGCCTGCCGACATGATTGGCATCACTGATGCTGCGGTGCGGTTTTTAAACGGGGTTTGAGCGGCTTCTAACAATCAACGGCTTTTAACAAATCCACGCCTCTGCTGCTTTGAGAAATAATAAATAGGGTGTGCTTGGACCGAGTAGACATCTTAAGAACTCATATCATGACCATTGTTTTGTTTTTATCATTTGGTCATCATATTTCAAACCATCATCTTGAGAAGCCGTCCGCGTCAGACAGAACCACCGACAACAGTGAGATCCATTACAATACCTACTGCCATGTCCACGACTGAAGCCATCCGAGTCCCCGTCCTCATAGTCGGAGGCGGTATTGTCGGTCTCAGCGCTTCTCTATTCCTCTCCCATCATGGCATCCACTCCTTGCTCGTAGAGCGACATTCTGGAACCTCCATACACCCACGTGCTCGCAGCGTCAACGCACGAACAATGGAAATCTTCCGTAACATGGGACTCTCAGACATGGTTCGTGAAGCCGGATCCTCGCTCGTGCCTAGCTTTGGCATTCATTCGGGGACTTCGTTGAAATCCATCATGGACGCGAAGCCTCGACGGGAGGACAAGACGGCAGACAAACCCAAGATGAAATTTGTTTCAAGTTCAAAAACGGGGCCGGAGGATGGTATATTCGTGACGCAGGATATGCTCGAGCCCGTGATTTTGAAGGCTGCAAGGGAAAGCGGTGGCGATGTGAGATTCTATATAGAATGTATCGGCGTGGAACAAGACCAGGAGAAAGTGACTGCCACCATACGAGACAGAGAGACGGGTGACAAGCTCACGGTCATTGCGGATTATCTGATAGCAGGAGATGGAGCAAAGTCCCCCATCCGCTCACAGCTGGGTGTGTCGACCACCGGCTGCGGAGCCATTGGACATATGCTAAGTATCTTGTTTCATGCTGATCTCAAGAGTCTAGTTAAAAGGAGAGAATTCAGCATCTGTGTCGTAAATAATCCGGAAGTTGTTGGCTCCCTGACAGCTATCAACAACAGTGATCGCTGGGTTTTCCATCTGAGTTACGACCCTGCCAAAGGCGAGAAGCCAGAAGATTTCCCGCCTGAGAAATGCAAAGATTTACTGCGCATCGCATTGGGCATACCAGACATCGACATTGAGATAGTATCAATTCTACCCTGGGAGCCTACGGTTCAAGTGGTGACGAAACTTCAACACAGCCGAATTTTCCATGCAGGCGATGCAGCTCATACTATGCCACCGTACGGTGGCCAGGGAGCAAACACGGCGATCTCAGATGCGTATAACTTGGCATGGAAGATCTCTGCCGTACTCAAACATCAGGCTGGTCCCGGATTATTGCAGACATACGACATAGAGAGACTGCCCGTAGGAAAAGCTGCGGCTGAAGCATCGGCCACAGTTGCCGATGAGCGCGGTATAATCTATGCGAAGATCAGCTGGGGGGCACTAATGGGATATGCAAGTATCCTCCCGATCACGAGTGGATTTGGGTACGTCTACTCAAGTCAGAGTCCGGCAGTGGTGGGAGAGAGCAGATGGCCACTTGGAGGCGTAACGTGGAAAGCCTGGAGTGTCCCTTCGCTGCTCTTTTCCATGGACGGCAGACCTGGGTCTCGCGCCCCGCATGTGTGGGTTGAGAAGGATGGCAACAGGATTTCCACCCTTGATCTATTTGGAAAGGAGTTTGTATTGGTAGCTGGAAGTGCGGGAGATTCCTGGGTTGAGGCCTGTCAGGAGGTCAAGAAAAAATTCTCGTGTTTGGAGTTTACTACTTATGGTGTTGGACCGAAAGCTGAGATTGTCGACACGCAAAGGAGGTGGGAGACTGCAGCTGGCATCTCATCTACCGGGGCATTGTTGGTAAGACCTGATGGATACGTTGCTTGGAGGCAGAGGAGGGCCCCAGCACATCTGCAAGATATGCTTGAGGGCGTAATGAGGGAAATATTATGTCTTTAGGAATATCCTTCGGCTTGGGTATCGATTATTATAGCTAAAGATTTGTACCATATCGTATACATGAAACATACATCATACATCATTTACAATGCTTTCCCTGCTTGTACTAACGAACAAATGTCTCCATAAATTAAAAGGGTATCATCATTTATTGACATTGCGAAAAACGGGAAAAAAAAAGTATCCATAACTCATCTCAAGCAGTCAGCTCCCACTGTGCTATATAAGACCAACCCATACCAACGCGCCCTACTTGGGCTTGGTAGTCTTGCAGAGACAAGCCGCGAGCATCCTCACGAGAACCAAAGCTTGTGATATTAGCAATCCCCAGGTTTTGGCCGGGAGCACCTAATATCCTTGGGTCATCAACATCCACAAACCAAAGATCACCACCACCGTTTGGCCCAGTACTGCGTAGATAGGTAAAAGGTATTTTCTCATCTTTCCGGCCGTCAATGCCGTGAATGTCTAGGAAATAGAGAAATGGGGCGGTCTTCTTGCTATGTTTGGTGAGAGTCCAATGTTCGCACTTGAAGTTAAATTGGAAGCGTATTGGACCTGCCTGGTGGATAGAAATTTTCTTGCAAGCCGGGCGGAATGAACGATCTCCGAAGCCTTCCTCGTATCCGCTCACGAAAATGGTAGGCTGCTCAATACCAAAAGGCTTGTTGTGGTCTTGAAGAATGTAGGCCTCCCAGCTCATGCCAGGGCCACCATTGTCGGTATAGAACTGGTCCTTTCTCTCCGGGTAATGGGAAAGCAAGAACTCATCATTAGATTTGGTGAAATGCGTTGCATCGAGCCTCTGGATGTAAGGTTTCCCTTTTCCTTGTACGGCTCCTGCACCCCAACAAGCATCGATCAGTTTCCACTTGCCACCGTCAATTTTAACCACGTTCCATGCATGATTCCCTTCAAATGGTGGAATGCTGGAACCGGCTGCCAGTTGCGAGTGACCGAACCCTTTACCGTGGCCACCTATCACGAAAGCTTCAAGGCCCGCCTTGGTCGCAAGCGTGGCAAATAGACCAGCATACCCCTCACAAACCGCAAGGCCTGTAGCAAGTGTCTTTGCAGGAGTTGACGGTTGTACGCAGTCATTGAAGAAAGATTCAACATCGTATCTGATATTGTAATGAAGCCAAGTGAACAGAGCTCTGGCTTTGTCTGTCAGTGACTGGAATGGCGCAGTAAGTTGCGTAGCAAGCCACGCTAGGTCATTAGTAGGGAGGGACTGGCGAGGGAACTGCGCTGCGTGGTTATCTGGCCCGGAAAAGTCTCGACATATCATGCAGACTGTACTAGCAGTCGACAAGGAGCCGGCGCGATTGGCATTGAGCTTGGGCTTTGTTGCCTGTATCGCTGACAGATCGGGACGCGATGCTCGCGGTACAGCGGGTGGTACAGTTGGAGCTGGTTGGACCTCTTCGATTTCTTCAACCTCTTCAACATGCTTGCTTAGAGTTGAGAAAGATGATTGCCGTGCCTTCTCAAGGACATCGGCCGAAGGGGCAGGGGGTATCTTTCGTAGCGTTTGTCTAGCCGACTCGCCGCTGAACTCTTGTAGTGATTGCCGTGGTAAGTTTCTCGGTTCAGAAGACAATGTTCTCGCAGGTAATGAAGGGTTCGCAATCTGGTCTCTGCCGCGTGATGGTTCAGCTGAAGACGTGCGCGACGGTAGTGACGGAGGCTTCAAGGGCGCCCTGACTATTCTTTTGGCTTTCTCTGTTTCTGACGATGTCGATGACTTCGGACGTTGAGGGAGGCCTGGCCGGCTATTGTCGCGCACAGGAAGCGGCGGCAAGTCTGTTTCTCGCCATGCTGGTGCAATAAGCCGGTTCTTGCTCTCGGGCGTATTCGCCGTCCCAGAAGTAGATGTTGTGGCAGTTGTGCAGTAAGATATATTCGACCTCAGAGACTCCGAAGATGTCTTCCTTTCTGACTGCGCCGAAGGGCGACGGGGTGGTAAAGCCGGTGCAGATTGGCCGGAGTTCTTGCGTGCTGGCAGGGGTGGGGGCGGCGGTCTGGAACTATTTCTCGTCGAAGTATTCGATGCTGTTAGGGATCTTGTTGGAGGTGGAAGAAGCCCGTTCTGGCGAATGGAAGCAGGCTTGTTGCCAATTTCTTTGCTGTCAGTCACGGATCCGTTCAGCTCGTGGGGAGGATTGTTCACGGATTGGGTTCTCGAAGCAAAAGGCCGTGCAGGAGCACTACCTGGCAGCCGACCGACATGCGATTGGTTCAGTGCAGCTATGCGCTGTTGGATAGTTTGCGGTTGCGGTTCTTCGGCCATTCTTGGGATGATAGCGACAGCACTGTAGTCTGATGTGAGATGATGCACAGGACTATCTCGACCACGAGACGCAGCGAGGAACTCGAAGTCTTCCAGAAATCCCCGGCTTGAGAGTGAGCATCGACATATATAAGCTAGGGATCGCAACAAGGCTGACAGCCAGCTTCCTTGTGGGGGGTGCTTGGCAGCTGGATGTTGTTATTAATAAACATTCAGTCGCAGGAATGAGAATCGCACAGCCAATAATGGCCATGGCTTGCAGCAACAGCCCCCTTCTGAACCAGAACGAGCAGCCAAAAATCCATCCTTGCAGGGGACGAAGTGGGACAAAGCCAACCGCGGGACAAGAAACTTGGAAGCACCGCCCCAAGAGGGCAAGGCGTCAGGCACCGAGCGGCAACAGCCTCAGGCAGGCCACGCGTTTTTCTCTACTATCGACTATCGGCTTGCTACTCGCTGCTGTGGTTAGTTAATTGCTCTGCGAATCCTTAATTGACAGTAGGAAATTTTGTTCTGTATGAATTGTTACAAGAGTTGCACGCTCCCATATCGCCAGTCACGGAAATGCAATCAAGACAAATGATATGTTAGGTATGGAGATGACGCCTGTTCATCCCTATTAAAGGTTTAGAAAATAGAGACGTGACCTGAAGAGAGAAACAGAAAGAAGGAAAGAAACACATGCACCAAGTCTGACTCCTTAAAAAATTTCCGTGTCGTGAATACAAGGCAGAAAACTCGGGATGTCTCCAGTGCATAGAAGAATGCTGCGGTTTCATAGAAGAAGAAAGAAAATACGACAAGCAAAGAAATGATGATAGAGAGATCGTTATTAAAGTGCGTGAAGCCGTCCAGCGTACATCATCAACTCGTCTCAATATTGTGCCCCCCCCCCCAACCCAAAGGGTAGACGGCTACACCGATTTGTACAGTAGAAGAGGCTCCCCGATATTTTCAATCTCGGGGATGGTGCATTTGAGGTCGAAAGCTTTGCTGAGGACAATTTTGAAGATCTAGACATACCATTGAGTTAGACTGACATGAAATCGGGGAGGTTGTGGACTGTGCTGAGTGCATACCTTTTGGACATTGATACTATGACTCGTGCTGCTGAAAATCAGGCTTGCTCTCATAGCTTTGGCGTACCGTTTTGCCTAATCAACCGAGGCACGTGAGTCAGAAAGTACATGAAGATATACGGAAATGTCTTTTACATACCTGTAAAGATATCTCCTCTTGGTCCTCCCGCGGAAAATTAACGAAATGATCATACTTGGTGCCAATCAGAAATGGGATGGCGGTCTTGTTAAAACCACGACCCTGCCGATACCATTCCTTAATCGAGTTCAGCGTGCTCTTGCGCGTAAGATCAAACATAAATAAGATGGCAACTGCGTCGTTGCAGACCAGAGGAAGCATGTTCACGAACTCGCGCTGTCCACCTAGATCCCAGATCGAGAATGTGATTTCTGTGTTTCGGATTGAGATGGTCTTCTCCATAAAATTGACGCCTGGATTAATTGAGTGAGCAATCTGATTGGAAAATTATCATGGTGGTTTCACTTACCTAATGTCTGAATGTAGTCCTCGTCCCAGCTACCTTCAACGTATTTTACCATCAGACTCGTCTTGCCTATCTGGGCATCACCGACCATTCCGACTTTGATAACAACGCTATTCTTTGATGGTGGAGCTGGTTGCTTCTGGTTCTGCTCAGGCTGTGAGTTGGCATATCCATATCGTTCTCCTCCGCTTGACACGCCAGAGCCAGGCCGCGAAGCCGATTGTTGTGGATGTTGTTGATTGGACATGGTTGGTGAGCTGAACCGAGACGAGCTTTGTTCATCTTCGGCCGGGAAGTAGTTCTGCGATGCTGAGGTAAATTCCGTGGGGTATGTGGATTGCTGAGCTGGTTCCTCAGTGCTGAACCCAGCATTGTGGGTGGCCTCTAAAACGGTGGATTCCGTGCTCTCTGAAACATCCTGGTTTGCAGAATAGACATGGTCAGGAGCATCGTTCCGATCGTGCTCCAGCTCCAACGATGTTGAAGGAGCAACCTCTGCAGTCGGATTTAGATCCATTGTTGTGTTGTTTTTGATCGGCTCTTTCGTCTGGTCTGAACCGTGGTAAGGAAATCGGGAGGTCAGTCACGTCCAAAATTGCCGCCAAGCAGGCTGGAAGCGTCTAATGGCGTTCCTTATTGTGTCTCCGGATGCAATCGACGTCGGCGATGGGAGCGAGTGGAGGGCAGACAGAGCTCGAGGGGGTGCTTGGAGAATGAAGAGGGCTAGGAGGCCGAAAAGTGCGAGACTTGCTATCCCAACAGCTTCCAGTCAGCTGTGAGAAATATCATTAAATGAACGAAAACCCCGTGATCGGCTGAGAGTGTCCACCGACTGTGTCAAAGCGATTGTTGACTGATGCACCGCCTGTTGACGAACGAGATGAGGCGCTTCGGCGGGCTTCATTCGATGCGGCGGATCACTTCTTGCGCTAAGCCCCGAACGGCACTAGTGCCCCTCCGTCTTCCCAAAAAAAAAAAGTCCAAGCAGCCCTAAATTCGATGGAAGAAATTCTTTTTTCAAAGACTGCATCAGGATTCCCCCCCAGGAGTTTCCCTCACAACTGGCTCTAGCCAGCTTCGATTTCTTTTCATGACGAGCGTACATTAATCCAGTCATCCATCATGTCTAAACGCACAGCAGATCTCGACGAAGAGCAATCCGCCGCTCTAAAAGCCGGCCAGAGGCCTCTCTCCGATGCCCCACCTGACGAAGCCGGAGAATTTGAAGATGAATTCGAGGACGAGTTTGAGAGCGAAGATGAAATCTTAGAGGCCGGAGTGGATGGCCGGCCAGATGAGGAGAGGGAAGCTGAAGAAAAAGGTAATCAAGAACGTTGAATTGCTGCACAACAAACCACATGTCTAACCGTAGATATCTTAGATGCGATGGACGTCGATAAGGAAACATTCATACCAGGAAGAACCAAGTTGGCGCCGGGCGAAACATTGGCACCGGATCCGTCCACTTACGACATGCTACATACCCTCAGCACACCGTGGCCATGCCTTTCGTTCGACATCGTTCGCGATAATCTGGGGGACAACCGAAAGACGTTCCCGGCCACTGTCTACGCCGTCGCGGGCACCCAGGCCGAAACGCCTCGTGCAAAGGATAACGAGCTCATGGTGCTCAAGATGTCTGGGCTTGGCCGTATGGAGCGAGACAATGAAACGGACTCGGAGAGCGACTCAGACTCGGACGATGAGTCCTCATCGGACCCGATCCTCGAGTCCAAGACAATACCGCTTGGATCGACGACAAATCGGATTCGAGCGCATCAGGCCCCCAACCCATCGGGCGACCACACAAGGCCCCCGCTGACAACTACGGCGACCATGTTGGAAAACTCACAAGTAGTTATACATGATGTGACACAGCATTTGACAAGCTTCGACGTCCCTGGCACAATCATTTCCCCATCAGCCTCGAAGCCTATCTCAACTCTCCGAATGCATAAATCAGAAGGTTATGCGTTAGACTGGTCGCCTTTACAACCTCTGGGAAAATTACTTACGGGTGATAACGATGGCCTGATCTATGCTACGACCAGGACAGAAGGCGGTGGCTGGGTTACAGACTCAAGGCCGTTTGTCGGGCATACTTCTTCCGTCGAAGAGCTTCAGTGGTCACCCAATGAAAGGAATGTTTTTGCGTCCGCTAGTAGTGACGGCTCAGTGAAGGTATGGGACGTGCGATCGAAGTCTCGCAAACCCGCTGTAGACGTCAAGATTTCCAACACCGACGTCAATGTCATGAGCTGGTCCAGACAGACTTTTCATCTATTAGCAACAGGTGACGATGCCGGTCAGTGGGGTGTCTGGGATCTGCGACAATGGAAGCCCAGCACATCTCAATCGAGGCCGTCGCCTGTGGCTTCTTTCGACTTCCACAAAGAGCCGATTACGAGTATCGAATGGCACCCGAGTGACGACAGTGTGATTGCCGTGGCTTCAGCAGATAGCACGCTCACGCTGTGGGATTTGGCCGTTGAGCTCGACGTTGAGGAGAGTCGCGATGCCGGGATGGGTGATATCCCTCCGCAATTACTTTTTGTGCACTACATGGATTCTGTCAAGGAACTGCATTGGCAAGCGCAGATGCCTGGAGCGGTGATGGCTACAGGAGCTGGTGGTTTTGGGTACGTATTCTTCGTTCCTTCTCTTGTAAAGACATGATGACTAACTCTTCGTTTCCAACAGTGTGTTCAAGACTATTAGTGTTTAATGCAGATCGCCGCATGTACAGTGAAATATAATTAAGAGCATCAAAAGTTAGATTGAGCATGTCACACCAGGAGTTTTGATTTCAAACTGATAGGATCCTATGCTTGCTTGATGTCGGTAGAAATGCTATCAATGCACATATAAGAAATGTACCGAGACTTGATGAGGTGACGACGATGATGACAATGACGGACTATTTTCCTTGCATAATAATCTTCTTTGCGTTTACTACCTAGGTAGGAAAGGCAAGAACTGGGCTTTATGGTACGCGATTAGAGGATGGTAAGTCGAATGGAGACCACTTCATAACATAGAAAGACAGGAGCCAAGTGCAATGATACATTGTGATTTCCTATAAGGCTCTATATAGAGTATGTTGAATTCCAAGGTTCGATAGTTCCATAGACAGACGCTTGACCCTGCCCTAACCCTATATCCATGTATTTCTCGGTACGCCGTGGCCTACAAAACTAGCAATATTGAGTGGCGCAGTAATCATCACAATCCTCTTTGCCGTATGCGCTTTCCAAACAGATCCAAAACCTGGTTCTACTATTGAGTAAGTGGCTGTCACGAAGACGACAAGGTAGCATCGGGCTTGAACGTTTTCAAGAAAACGATCATCAATAGTTGGAGATAGGATGTGTAACTAAACTAGTCCTTGACTGAAATAACAACAAGGCATTCAACGCTCGGATCAACACAACTACAGTATGATATAATGCAGCTTTAGCAGACCACAGACAGGCCTGTCGAGGTGGCGACACACTCACTACTCAGTATGAAACATACCCAGGTACCTAACTTTGATTCTCTCGGAGGCGGCATGGGCAGTGGGAATACAACATCGACACTAGAGACATCATCCATTGCGAAAACAAGAAATACCTGTAAACAGTGGTCCACACACAGCTAGCTAGCTAGGTACTATCAACTTAGCAACGGCGGGAGTGTGCAGCTTGCATAAGTCTCTTCTATTCATATGTATCGGTAACCGTATGTCATTACCGGTAATTACGTGCTGCGTATTGTGGAGTTGCTCTGTCACCCCTGGTCAGGTGTTCTTGTGACCAGGCAGACCAGCCAATCATAAGCATCCAAGATTGTGGATTAGCCTGGGGCTCATGCCTGCATTGACCAATGACAAATGCCTAGGAGCGCCACGCCAGCGCACCAGGAGACTAGTGTATCTACTCTTGACTCTTCACACGTACGAAGTACGTACTTAAAGCATTATGCTGATAATTATCAACAGCATGCACCGTGCCAAGCTGCTCATTGGAAGGGGCGCAGTGCAGGGCCTGGCTGGAGCTTTGGGTAGTCATTGGCTCAGGGTATAGACCCTGCAACTTGAAATGCAATGCAGTCGCAGAGCAAAGCTTGAGCAGGCCCGTGCGGTGATCCGGGGGATTTCCTCCCGAGTCACGGAGCAAGACTGGCTGCATGGCTCTATCCGTACCTCCGTGAGGAAGCGGAAGCTATGTACAAATTTTTAAAAAAAAAAAAAAAAAAATTGAAGGGCCTGAGGAGAATAGCGTACTGTTGTCTAGGCTAGTCATTATTTTCGTATATTATTGTATATTGCCTCAGACGATCAGAGTCAAACCGAAACGGCAATTCAAACGTGGGATTTGCCGAGGGCAAATCATGTGCCAGGGCCATGGATGGTCCCATAATCGATCAATGCAGTTTCTGCTCCGAGCGGTGAACACTACTTCCGTCTTCGTACTCCGTACTCCCGCTGCGTATTAGTGGTGCGCTACGGAGTATATGCCTCAAATAATAATATTTGATATTATCATAATCACCCCCACATCGGTCAAGACTCCGTTTTCCAATATTGTACGTTAATATTGATACAGCTGGGTCCCTGAAGAGTTTCTGGCGGCATATACGGAGTACTGTTAGATCCCTGCGACGTGACAAGTCGACACAGGTAGTATCAAGTATGGAGTTGTGCTAGTACTAAAAAGCACTACTGACCTGCTTACACCGGGTTAAGCACTTGTATCAATAATGGACGATTCCAGGCCTATTGATTGTATATATTGGATCAATAGTCAATGGTACTCTTGGAAAGCAGAGATACAGCCCTAAAGCAGCGGCCCTAATCAAAGCCTCGTGACCGAGCAATGTCGGAGTATTCCGCTACACAGTTTCCGGCAACCCCGGATTTTGGTTTCGTCGGTGGTCCATGCGAGCTCACCACCATCATGGATGGTTTAGGCCATCTGCAGATCGTCGTGAAAGAGAGAATAGAAAGTTATGATGAATTAGGTCCGACCGCTGCTAGACAGACACACGGACAGAAAGAATGCAGTTTGGATTGGTAGTATGTAGTTACCATGTGGAACGCACTTAGCTTGCCCTGTATAATATCATCAAAGATGCTAGGATGTTATGATGCCGAATCTCACGGGAAAGCACGGACTTAGCGGGATATCTGTACGGTTGTATACCCAGCACCTGACCGAAACAACAAGAGGCTGTTTCTAGAACGGGAGATTTCCGGGGGAAATACTCCAGTGTGGAGAAAAATGCGCCCTTCTGATTGGGTCCCGCCCACGTTGATGTGGAGTACACCCAAAACCAGCCAGTTCCAAAGCTGAAAATCTCTCCTAATGAGTCAGTTAGGTAGTTGGCTGGTAACAATAAATTTCGTTCTCTTGATAGGTTCCAATCTCCCAGGCACATGGTCAGAAAACTTTTTCCAGGAGTAAGTACTCTTTAGTTTGTGCCAAGACGAGTGGGATTACCCCAGATACGATGAATTTAATCGACCCGCTGAAATAAGAAGACTCAAATATGCTTTTACGTTTGCTATCTGAAGCAATAGCCTGCGCCATATATATGCCCTACCTTCCATACGTAGAAGGATGATTTCTGATATATTGAGAACAACGCCCGTATCGCACTAGTAAGATACATTGTTTTAGTCTGCTCAAGCTATTTCACCAAGTGCTGATTGGCTTAGCCGAGTTCCTAGACAACTGCCACTGAAGCGATGAATCAGAAGTACGGAGAAATTGACCCAGCCTTGCCGGGTTTTTTCAGGCATCAAAACTAGTTGACGAGATCAACCTAATACGCACGGAAGGTTGCGCTCTCTATATGAGACAAGCTATGTTATTAGCCGCCCAGGTGGACATGAAGTCATCAATCTACGACAACGGCCATCTCATCTAACCGCAGCCCTAGTTACATTGCATAAAGATGCGCGGATTGATTCGGCCTGGGCAAGCTGATCGTCAGTAGACCTCGGCGTTTCCAAGTGCGTAGGGGCTAGTCCATTGGCTGCGGGGCCCACTAATACAGGTTAAGACGATAATCTACAGTACTAGCCGTAGTGTCCTGCCTCAGTATGTGACAATAGAGTGACTAGACAGTGCTTCTGTTCATAGAAAGCGATTCATAGACTATAGAGTATAGTTACCTGCGAGGAGGATGGAGGATGGATATCGGATAATCACGATAACAAGCAGGTACGCCGTTCCCTGGCACGTTCACCGGGGTGGCGCCGTCATCTTCACGTTGTGGTGCGTCCAGCCAATGCGAGATTGCGCTCGCTTACAGCACGCAGATGCATAAATTACGGGGTATGGGCACGTACAGAATACAATGCACATACGTGGTAATCCAGCTTTCTGATTGGTCTGTTTTCGAGACTTCCACGGATCGAGTGGAGAAGGTGGCCTTCCTTAGGCTTAGAGCTTTAGAGACTCCCGCCGATTAGTCGAGCGCTTTCCCCAGGGTGTGGGCCACGGGGGCAGGGCAGGCGTGGCATCTGGCCACTCACAGTGCTTCCTGTCGCCCTTAAGCTCCGTAACCGCAGCTAACGAAGCGTGTGGCTGCAACTGGCCAGTGGCGTTTGATCCGGTGGATATGATTGAACCCCTTCGACCAACTGCTGATTTGAGCGAATTAATTACCAGACTGCCCGAACCACGTACCGTAACTTACGCTGCTTGCTTTCTGCTTCCTGACTAATTAGATCGGGTTGCTTCTTTCTGTTTGCTCAATCTCTCAACGAACACCACCTCTTTCCTGCTTCAACCAACCTGCTGTGTCAAAGGTATAGCTAGCCAGCAGCTGTCTGAAGGATTTCCCTAGTCACTCGTTGGGTGTGAAGCTATACACACAGAGCTTCTTGTCCCAGATCCGCCACATTCTCTCACATCTAGCTAGCTAAGCTCATCATCGTGCTGCCGCCGCCCCCGGCCGAGGGCGAACGAGCAAAGTCAAAATAGAAAAGGACTACTTCCTCAATTTCGGACTATCCCAAGTTTCTGGTTGCAGAATCAAAACAGCCAGCAGCCCGAGCGCTATTTCGAAACTGCCTGGAATCCTGTGCTCCGTGCCCTCGCTGCTCCCCACGTAGGAGCTGGTCGATCCCAAAGCAACACCTTCGCAACAACTGCTTTGGATTCGGGCTTACTTTTGCCTATTAAAAGCTTTGCTTTTCTTTGGCTTCGTTGCTCTTTCTACTTCTGATTTATTATCACAACCCTTTCCACCGCCGTTTCTAATTATATAACCACTCCCCAACAGTTGGCCGAGTTAATGCACAGAGAAAGAGGGTCAGTTGAAGCTATATTCGTCATTTTTTCTCATCTTTTCGGTTCTTGCCGCAGGAATTTGGACAAGGCGAGAGCAAAATCGATTCCCTATGTATAGCTAATCCTGTTCTCGATGGCATGCTTACCGGTATCAATTACTGCACAGTCTTCCCGTACCAATCCATTCTCGCGTCAACTTATTGGAAGTCGCACCGAAATTGGTGCTAGAGCTTTGTGCGTGTGTGACAGTCTGTTGAAAGAATTTTGTTACATACGGATCACTCTCAAGCCTGCGTCTATATTGAAAGAAGTTTACTCTTCTCTGCTTTGTTTGTTAGAAGCAGGAGTCTTACGATAATTACCGTCGACTACATAATGTTGGGAGAGGTCATGATCTCACAAGACCCTACAGTAATCGCGCATGGCGAGAATTTACTTGCCATTCGCGAAATGCCTGGAGATACAGCCGGTATGTCTATTTTGCTAGTCTGCACAGTACTTGGGCTCTGCCTGAATTTACACACGCTAATTAATTCTTGCCTCTTGTTCTATACCAGGCATAACATCGCAGGAGAACTTGAAAACTGTAGATTCAAAGCTCCCTCAACCAAAGACTGACAAACCCCGACCACACGGATGCACAACTTGTGGGCGGTCATTCGCACGTCTTGAACATCTCAAACGCCATGAGCGATCTCACACAAAGGAGAAGCCATTTGAGTGCCCCGAATGCTCCCGCTGCTTCGCGCGGCGAGATCTATTGTTGCGGCACCAGCAGAAGTTACATATGACGGCAGCACCTTCTCGTCCACGAAACGCACGCCGAGAGAGTACCGGAGCTACAGGGCCTAGCACGACCCGAGTTCGAAAGAGTTTCTCTGCTGGTTCAACATCGACTAGCATGCGGCCGAGGGCGAACACTATTAGCCACATCGACAAGTCGGCTTTGGGCATTGTTAATGCTGCCAATGCCACTGTTACAAGACCGCCGCAAGCGGGCCACTCTTATCATCCTAGCCTAGGCTCAATATCCGGTGCTTCTAACTTTGAGACTCGTGGGTACAGCTCCTTGCATACTACTGCAAGCAGTCTGCCAAAGCTTGAGACATCAGGTATACCCATGGATATGGGTGGTGGATTGAGAACGGCTCCCGTTTACGGTAGCTTTGACCTGGGTCTCAGTGACGCTTTCTTTGGTGGAGGAGGAAGCACTGTCAACCCGGCCGAGCTTCATTTTGGCAATTCACCACAATTCGGTCATGAAATTTCGAATTCTCCTTTCAATCAAAACTTTCACCCTTTTGCTTCAATGCCCGATTCGATTTTGGATGAGGAAAACAACTTCGACTGGGTCAATGGCTTTGACACCACTCTTCCAATGGGCACTGTGAGCGACTCTGCCATTGAGGAATCATCGCCTTCGGCCATGAGCACAGAATCTCAAAGCAGAACCAGTGAACCTATGCTTGATGCCTCAGCTCAAATAGCATCACCTACCGGCTGGCAAACTCATTTCTCTACTTCACAGTCCATGCCTTTTACAATTGATTCCTCTTCCCCATTTCAAGAGCTGGGGTTTCCCGCCGTCGTGGATACGATTTCCCCCAAGTCTCTGATGACACCGATTCATTTTACAGACCCTTTTGCACCTAACCAGCCTGTGACTTCAATGAGTCAGTCGATGTTGGCAAACTATTCGCAGAGTATGTTCCCATCTTCTATGGTAGCCGACGGTGAATCTCCTAATCCTTTCAACGTTCCTTTCGCCAGTAGTCCCCTACGAAATCCCGTTCCGGCAGCATCACCGGACCCATTCTCAGACTCATCATCAACTAGGCAATCATTATTAACGAACATGCCGCAATCAAACGGTACATTACACCGGAAACCTTATCAAGCAAACAACGGAACAATCTACAATCGTGATATTTCTTCTCGTCCCACTATTGGCCTTAATAGTGCATATTTCTTACCAAGTTCTTTCGACTTGCAGCGTTATGTCCAAGCATACGTCGACTACTTCCACCCTCATCTTCCGTTCCTTCATATTCCTACCCTTGATTTTCAAAATCCAGATTTCACAAACAGTCTGCGTACCGCGAGCGGCCATCTCAATCTCAGTTCAACAGGAATTGCCGGGGGTGTCGGTTGTCTCATCTTGTCAATGGCGGCTATGGGTGCTCTATATGAATTCGATATGGCTGTGTCTAAGGATTTATTTGAATCTGCCAAGAAGATGATTCAACTGTACCTAGAAGAGAGGCGCAAGGCCGACATGTCCGCGGCTCTCAGCCGGTCTCATATAAGTCGCGACAATCCAGTCCACAATACGCCATTGTGGCTCGTCCAAGCTATGTTGCTGAACGTCGTTTATGGGCACACTTGTGGCGATAAAACCTCAGCTGATATTGCTAGCACGCATTGTGCTGCTCTGGTGAGCCTAGCACGCGCCGCTGAATTGACGCACCATGTCAATCCAGAACAACTTCCCCAGGATTATCTCAACAACAGTAAACAAAGCAACTCTGATGTCACTGATGGAGGTCAATCGGACCAAACGCCGCCTAAAGAACGCAAAGATTGGCTAGATTGGAAAATTGTAGAGGAGCGGAAGCGAACTCTCTTTGCTATCTTCACGCTGTCTAGCTTGCTTGTATCTGCTTATAATCATGCGCCTACATTGACAAATTCGGAAGTTCGCCTTGATCTTCCATGCGAAGAAGATCTTTGGGCTGCTGAGTCGCCGCAAGCGTGGAGAAAGATCGGCGGAGCCACAGCCGGAAAAAGAGGCACCTCGTTTTCCTCGGCTTTGACTACACTGCTCACCGCAAGCCAGCGGGCGAAGTTTGCAAGCCAACGAAGTCACCCATTGGGATCTACCATCCAAGTGGAGGACTTGCCCCAGAGCGATTTGAAGCCCAGTACCTTTGGTTGCTTGGTTCTCATTCACGCCTTGCATAACTATATATGGGAAACACGCCAAAGACACATGGGCCGTCAGTGGACTGCTCAGGAAACCGATGCCATGCAGGCACATATTGAACCGGCTCTAAGGTCATGGCAAGCTGCCTGGGCCAGCAACCCGCTGCACAGCCTTGAGCGACCAAATCCATACGGGGCCGGGCCGCTGTCTGCTGATAGCATTCCATTGTTAGATCTAGCCTATGTTCGGCTGTTTGTCAATTTAGGTCGTTCAAAAGAAGCGTTTTGGGAAAGGGACTGGAATGCGATGTCTGACGAACTTGCGCGTGGTGCCGAGATTATACAGCATGCAGATGATGGTGAAGTCGAGTCATTCAACCCTAGGCATCTAGATCTGATGCGGAGGGATTCTATAACCGATCTCGGTGTAGGGGAGCTCAACTTATCTGCTCAGCCAATCCATGAACGTGCTTCATCTCAGGCGTTTAGACCGATGCAATCGAAGCGAGAGCGACATTTGCGAAAAGCGGCATTCTATGCAGCCGATTCATTGTGCATGTCGGACCGATTGGGGAATACTTTTGCAGAGTGGACTTCGCGTGAATTACCTCTGCAGTGTGCCATGTGCTCGTTCGATTGTGCCCAGGTTCTTGCCGAATGGATCACAACCGTCCAAGAACGTGTTGGGCCTTACCTAGGTGTTCTCGGACGCGACGATATCGACTTGACTCAAGTTCCCGGTATTATGCTCCTGGAAGAAGAAGATTGCAAGCTGATCGACAAGATCAAAGAGATACTCGGAAGTTGCGAGACGAAGTTGCAGCGCGAGGTACAAAACACTGGTACAGCTCCAGCCTTCAACGTCCTGCAGCGCTTGCCTAGTGCAGTGGAGGGGGGTTATGGTAGCAAAATTCTAATGACTACAGCCACTCTTCTGGACAGGGCTGCAGTTTGGCCGAGTACGTTCCATGGAATGAATCTATTCTGTTTGTACCTATGAATGAATTGCTGACAGCTAGCTAGTCACGAAACTTATGGCACGATCTTTGGAAACACAAGCCACCCGGATGAAAGAGCGCGCTGAGAACTCGGTAATGATTGAGAATTGACTTTGAATAATAAGGACGGTTCAATGCTCCTATAATTGATTGCATTGCACACAAAAATGCTCGCCTTTTTTTAAAGAGAATCTTTTGTTTATGATTATGATGTATTCACAATGAAATGAACCCTGCTACGGACTATGTTACTGATACGATACCCATAGACTGAATGATGCTGACACTATTTTTGAGACTCATTACAAAATGTCTTGAAAGGGATGTAACGCTATTTAGTATCGCAGAATTCGAGCTTTATGACAGACGGTTTTTTATTTATTTCTTCATCTTGCATTGTGGATACATCTTTCCTCTCCATTTTCTTTTTTGCTTTTGTTTGTTTTTCTATATTCTTTGCATCGTCTTTGTATCTTCGACAAACAATGTACAGATCGTGTGAATCCATTTTCTTTCGACTTCATACCTAGGTATATGATGATGATATATAAATTCTAGGTTCCCAAACAAACGAAACATGAACATAATTCCTAGCCCATGGCGCTAGAAGAACTCTAACATAGCGACCTATCTAGTGTAACCTGTCATTCCTAGGGAGGTACACGTACCAAATTGCAGCTGACCGAGAACCCAATCTTACCGCAAGCCTTGCATCAGCTACCTCACTCACGGCATACTTGATGACGATAATAGATCTGGCAGCGCGATTAGGAGATTCAGTGGTTTGTAATAAGGAAGCTTACCTTCTCCTTTCATTATAGAGCCCGTAAGTACGTATCTACTCTATAATATCTATCCGACTTACTTATTCTCGCACTCTTCGACGTACCGACATCCCAGAAGCTTATCAAATAAGAGCAAATACCTAGGTATCCCGGTATGGAAGTGTGCGACGTTCGCACTGTCCACAATCTTGTATCCATCGCTTGCTTCTGATGATTCCCTCTCTTCCATCCACTCCGTAGTAAGCCCCTACCTAATATTGTCAATATGCTTTCCCATTAGACAATTCAACAGATCGTAGCTCTTTCCCGTTCGGAGTCTCTTCATAAGCTTCTTCACCTCTTCCTCGACACTCGATTGATTCTTCTTGCATTCACCCATCACATATTTTCCTTGCCATCTTCATCAGAGCCCTTCAGTCAGGACAAGATCACCAAGTCAAGTGGTGATTCAAACCCACGAGTTTTATCTGAGGCTATGCCCCATAAGGATGAACCTGTGGTGAGGCTCAGCTTTGGCTAAAATCAAGCATAATATACTTGGGATTAGATTTAGGCATCTATTATCCAACGTTACCTAGGCCAGAGGTTCAACGTATGTAGTAAATTTGATATATGTAAGAGTCATGAATATCTTCTCAAGTGAGGCGTAACTATATCGACGTAGCGGCACGCGACTATGCAACCACACTCACATAATGTGGAGAAAAACTTTTGCGTTGAACAATGTTGAAGCTTGGATCATTAGGGCTCTGTTAGTTAGGGCAGAAATAGACGGGTGTAGTAGTCTACTTTCCTTGTAGGTATCACTCATGTATACATATGTTGATTAAGGTATTCCGATAGCATGTATCTGGATGATATAGAGTACGCTATGAAAATATGTAGTGAAAAATACAAAGAAAGACCAATGTCAATACGCCAAACACTCCAAATCCTGCAATAAACAATTCAATCGAAGGGAAAAACGATGCACGAAAACATCATTCATGCGGCATCCTCGCATCCTTGCCATCCGCTGCTGCAGTCAACGGAATGACAGAATATGTCGAAGCGCTTGCTGTGCTGTACCGATTCACTCGCGCTCTTCTCTTGCGCATATAGCATTGGATTATTCTGTAGAGCGTGAAGCCAAGTGTGATGCCGCCGAGGATACTGAAGACTATTATTGCTCGCATCTCACCGGCGTGGTTCCAGGCTGCTAATTCTGCTGCTGCTTCTGCTGAGGCGGAGGCGGAGGCGTTTGAGGTAGAAGTGGATGTGGTAGCTGTGGTTGTGGTTGTGGTTGTGGACGCTGTAGATGTGCTGGATGTCGTGGCTGTGGTGGAGACGGTAGATGAAGACGCAGTCGTTGTGGCAGACGTGGTCGAGGCAGCCGTTACTGTAGATGCAGAAGTAGAAGTAGAAGATGTGGTTGCTGTTGAGCCGGAGGTAGTACTCGATGTAGATGAGGTTTCTGTACTTGACGCTGTAGAAGCAGTTGTCGCCGAGCTAGTGGAAGTAGTTGCGGAGGACGAGGTGGTGGTACTGTCTGCCGCCGTGGATGTGGTGGTGGACAAAGTAGATGCAGTATCTCGTGCGTATAGCTGTTCAGCATTCTGATCATAAACTGCACTGCTAACAAAGATGATGTCGCCCGATCTTCGCGGCGTCGAAGGCGACACGGCCGGCTTCCAAGGCCAGGCTGTTGTGGCCGAGGCCATGGCCAGAATCACCAGCCAGTGCGTGCGCATGTCGAAATATCACCAGTATAGTATCGTAGCAGTCTGTAGGTTCACTGCGAATACTCACTGAATCTATTTCTTTACGACGACGACCGACGCCGCACTTTGTATGATTCTGGCCACGGCACATCCTGCTGCAAAGCCATGGCCGCGTGGATACTGGCTGCCGTGGCTGAAGCTTTGCCCTGTCAAGCGTTTCATGTCTCGTACTTGTCAAGCTGGCTTACGCGGCAAGGCTGTTTTGGCAGCAACAGAGTGCAGTCAAAATCTGTGGTAACTTAGTTACCCCATCAGGCAACGTCAGAGCATTACGCGGTCCCAGCCCTAATTCTTGGCATATTTCTTTTTTTAGCCTATCAAATAGTGCCTTTTTTCCTAACCTCCAAACTCTTACCACATTTAAACAAAAAAAGAGTCTATATAGGGTCAGATATGCAGCTGTAACAGGACCCCTGAGGCTGAGCACTAGAATATAGCTATGTAGTATGTGGTATATGGTGTAGATCATTGCAAAAAGTTTCTTGATTCAAATACGCTGATAAAGATAGGATAGGATAAGCGACATATTTTACATGATTGGAGAAAAAACATAAGCCTCTCTATAGCGTAAAATATACATAAGCCTTTCCTAAGTGAATACCACTCACCGCTATTGGATAATTATATGCACGTAATGTCATGAGATGATCGAAGTTACAGATGTATCCTGACAACCGAATAATCCGGCACGGCCTGTCGACGAAGATAGGCTATTTCTCGCTTGGTTCTCTGCGTGACCTCACCCGTCGACTTTAGGATCTTCGTCTGACTGACCTCTGACTCTGGTGTATTGAGTGAAAGAGGAAGCATTTTTCCGTCTTCCTCGCCTGCTTGGGGGAATGTGTACGTCTCCCAGAGTTTGCCGTAAGAATCATATTCGCGATTAATGCGGGCACGACTGCCGTCTTTGATTGCGGTGTATTCTCCATTGACCTCTTTGCCACTCATAGTAACAGTAGACGTGGTTGTTTTGTTTGCTGCGGCTGAAGATGATTTTGATTTCGTCAATCGAGACCCGTAGCGGATAAACTCGCCTACAATTCCCTTCATGTACGCTGCCTCTTCGATGCCTGCTAAAGCTGCCGAAATTTCCGACTGCATATGCGAAATCATTTCCGCTTCATTGACAGCCGCGCCGGCAAACTCGACTGCGGAAATCCAACCCGATGGACCAATTGCATCTACACTGGCATTCATAAGATCAACAATTGCCTCAAGCGACAGGGGAGGTGCCGCTTTGATGGCTTCCAGAGGTATCGGTGCTTCTTCGGTGAAGCGTGCTGTGTACCCGCCAGTTGCAAGAGCGACACGAAGGTGGTGGACAATTGCGAGGGTGTCGGTGTTGGAAAGCGTTGAGCGTAAGCATGATACCACCTGGTTTGTTGGATAGCTATGTAGCTTTGACAGTGCGAGGTTGAGTCCTACGAATGCATCCTCCAAGGACGTCTCCGTGGAAGAAGACGATGATATAACCGCCTGAGGGTTCTCATCAGTGTCATGAGATTTATCATCAACTTTTATATCTAAGTCTGCAACTTCTGTGATAGTCATGGTCGCTGGTTGATCTAGCGCTATTGAGTGTGTCCGGGCCGTATCGAGGAAAATTTTCAGTGCCTGCGCAAGCTCTCCCCGCTCGAGTGGAACTGGTCCATTTAAAACGAGCGTGAGGGCTTTGAGTGAGGTATCAAACTCCGCAAGAGAGCGCACAAGTGTGCCAGGCTCGAATGGCGGCAGTATCTGTGCTCTGTTGTCCCGACGAACAGCGATATCTATGTGGTCTATGGAGAAATGACCCGTCTTCACTAGCCACTGGCATGTCTTCTTTGGCCATATGGCAACCTTCAAATCCGAGAACCCATTTCTGGATTCCTGTGCTTGCACGGTAAATATCTGAGATAGAATGTAAGAGATTTTCTCCGGGTGCACAGAAATTGGCGATGAATGCCACCGGGCCGAGAAGCCGAAATGAGACTCAACAGCGTTATCAAAAGAGGTCGCATCCTGTGCCTTAGATGCTGCTTCAAGATTCTTTTTGAAGGTGGTCCATTGATTAACCTCCTCTGGCGTTTTGAGGCCAAGAGAGACGGCCGGGTCATTGATGTCCAGGGGTGGAGAACCCACACCACGTCCAATTGCATTAATGAGTAAGCCATCACGTTGACGCTTGACGGATGTTCCTCGCATGGAATGTATCGAGGACAAGTCAAAGGCTTGAAGTGTGTTCTCCCTGATAGCCAATGCAATTCCTAATTTAGCGAAATATCCCACGAACTTCATCGTCGCCTTGGAACTATTGGTCGATAGTTCATGCAGAGGAATACTACGCTGAATCGAAGAGTAGTGTGTGTCGTATAAAGCGACCAATGATTTCCCAGCGCCAATAATGGAGTGAGGCGAAATACGCATTATGGAAGAAAAGTCTTCATCCTTAAGTATTAGGCTTGATGAGCATGATGGTGGATATTGAGATAGATCGTAGTTCATGTATCCTTGTCGGAACGACAGGCCCAGTCCTGCAGACCCAGGATGGAAGGCCCACTGTGCCTCTCTCCAGTCAAAGTTCGTCCCTTCGAGGCTAGGTAACTGCACGGTGTTGAGGTGGTGTAGCTCGTGAGACCCAGCAGTTGCAGTTCCTGCAGTCTCAACATGAGTAGTGACAGAAAACATATGAACTTTTACAGGCTGCAGGGTTGACCCCTGTGAGCTGCCTGGCTGGGAAACAAGCAAAAGCACTGGAGGAAGATCATTGGCAGAAATTGAAACATCGCCAACAGCTAGTGTGGCAAGATCAGGACGCCGCCTAAACAAAGTTCTTCTAGCATCATCAAAGTCGACAAGAAAAGCAGCCGAGGTTTCATGATCAGAGTCAATGCTCCACCTCTCGGTTTTTAGATCAGATGCGAGCCTTCGTATTTTTCCATTCTTGTGCACCACAAGCACATCAAATGGGTCTTTTGAGCCACTTTCGCCTGAAAGTCGTGGACATATTCCCACAAAAATAACAGGGCTGCGTGAATCCTTCAAGGTGTATGAAGCAGAGGTGATGACCGGAGCGGAAGTTGCTCCGGGTACGGTCTCCTCAAAAAAGCCTTTAATTTGTCTCTGTGGTCGTCCGACTGCGCAATAAGTGTACCTTTTCACTGCCGAGGAATCCTTGTCTCTCAGACGGATAGAACATGGGTGGCAGGAAAATTCAGATTGCGGGGGAACGGCATACGACGTGACAAGCTTGGGATATTGAACCTGAATCATTGGTTAGTAGATGATGAGTCCAGAAAGTAAATGGATAATCCTGACATTATAGATGTTCAGTCCTTCGCCGTCGACAGCAACCACGACTTCATATCTTTTTCTCTTCTTCGACTCGACGAGGCTGAAAACTTCACCGATTTGGGTTTTCCCAGTCGAAGCTTGGAGAGGGCGAGGTAATTGAGTCAAAACTGAAGGAGGCGGAAGATCCATGACTCTTAAATTTGCATTATTTGACAGAAGGATCTGAATTCCGCAATCTTCGTCGCAAATCTAGAGCAGTTTCGTACTGTTCTTACATGCATTAAAAAAAAAAAGGTCGCGGAGATTGAGTTACGCCGGCTGCCAGACCCACAATAATGCACTAGCCGTTATAGGATTAGCGGGTGTGGCTCCATTGCCCGTCGCGGTGACGCGCTTCCGCTTAATTAACTGTTTTCGCGTTGATTGATTGTTCTTTCCTGTCGCAAGACTACCAGGGAAAGTGGCTGGTAGATTCAAATGTTTACTCTACTCTTTCCTTCTTCGATAATATTCTACTTGGCCTTTCAATAAACTAAGTTGAGCAGTTTCAGCATGTACATGCTCAATGTCTTCAACTGTTGCGCATAGGGTCATGGACCACGGAGAACAGCAAAGAGTTCACCCATTCTTCGGAAATTGTGAGAATTGCCGGATTTTGCTGGAGATTCTTTATCGCTGATTGTGTTCTTGAAAATAGTTACCAAAACGAGTCAGGCTCCGGATCCAGCTCTCCCAATTTCGAGCCATGAGACAAGAGCAACTGGGCATTGCCAGGCACCTCCATCGCAAAGCTCTGGTTCAGATTCCCAGCAATCCCAAATTGGATTAGACTCCCTGGAATCCATTCTTGAAGAAGACCCCAATAACGACAGGCGAAAGCGCCTAAAGACTTCTACGCATGTGACATCCTGTGATGTTGAGACTGAAGAGCGGACGCCCACTCGAGCTGACGATGCATCATCAACCTCCACGATTACCGCAAATAGAAACGTGGACTCAAAGGAACAAGTGTCGCCTCCGAGAAAAATATTGAAGCTTAATACCAATGGGAAACTACTCAGCTCTCCGCTTGCCCCAAGCTTGGAGAGTAGCGTCAACAAAAGACCCCCGAGCAGAAGAAGACCGCAAGTGAAAGGGAAAAATAGCAAGAAGGTCGCCATCAAGTACCAGAAGGGCTCTAATATCGGCAAGAAGATCGACAACATAATCAGCGGCAGGGAACGACATGGCGCTTCGCAAAGGCCAGCTGTACAACTTTCCGTTTCAGTCAAAAATGAAAATAAACCTCCCAAACCCACACATCCCTTCTTCTTACTGAAAAAGCCCGCATCCAAAGTATCAGCGGAAACTACACCTACAGTGACAAATACAGTAAACCAGCATGACTCCACAAAAGCCGATGCGGAAATTCCATCTTCTACAAAAAGCTCATTCTCGCGGTCGCTCTTTGCCAAAATACCCGACATGGTGCCCCCCATTTGGCCGCCAAAAGATCTTGTCCACATGAGAGGATCCTTTCTTGAGCACAGCAGAACTTCGAAAGACATAAATTTGACGCAGAAAAAAAGCAAGCAACGCGCCGTGCACATAGATGAGGCAGAAAACATTTTAACGTGCGAATCTCAACGAATTCGGAAGGAAATGCATTCAGGAATGTCTCCTCTCAGAATACCGACTAGATCCGTTGTCAGTGGCCAAACTCTACAAAAGGCCATGAATAGCCAGTTATCGCACAGAGCGGAATCTAATTTTCAACATGGATCTGGCTACCAAGGCGAAGCCGGGCGAGCTCACCCTTGCATCGCCAAGGTTTATACCTCCATTGGGACTTCGGTTACATCATTTGATAGCGGGGGACGCGATTCTGTCCAATGGACACAGAAATATGGCCCTTTGTGTGCCGAAGATGTCCTTCAACCAGGTCCCGAGGCCCGGATGTTACGTGATTGGCTCAAGTCACTGATGGTATCATCTGTGGATTCTGGAAACAAACCTACAAATAAAAGCAAGAAGAAACTTTCAGGCGGCCGCAAATCGAAACGACGCAAGACTGCCGACAAGCTTGATGGCTTCATTGTCTCAAGCGAGGATGAGGCCTCGGAAATGGACGAGCTCGTTGATTCCGACGAAGATGAACTAGCTGGTGGCGATACGGTGTCCTCTAAGCGTACCGTCGTACGAGTTGGCGACTCTGTTGGCAAGTTCAAACAAGGAGAAACCGGTCGAACGACGAATGCAGTCTTAATCAGTGGTCCGAGCGGCTGTGGGAAATCGGCATCGGTCTATGCTGTTGCAAAGGAACTCGATTTTGAGGTCTTTGAAATCAATAGTGGGACTCGCCGAAGTGCAAAAGACATCCTAGAACGCGTTGGAGACATGACACAGAACCATCTTGTCCAACTAGAGGGAAAAGAAGATGGATCAGGAAACGACATCCGTCCCGTAGACACCGGAGCCCTCGATGGGAGACAAAACAAAGTCAATATGTTTTTCAAAACAACAGCCCAGAAAAAATCAAAGTGTGCCCAGAAGAAAGCGGGGGAAAACACCTCGCAGGATTCCTCGAATCTATCGTTTCGACCACATAAACAGTCATTGATTTTGCTAGAAGAGGTTGATGTTCTATTTGACGAGGATAGACAGTTTTGGATTGGAGTATTAGCGCTCATTGAACAATCTAAGCGTCCTGTGATAATGACATGCAACAACGAGGATCTCGTTCCGCTTCAGGACCTCTCTTTGTATGCAATTTTCAGATATCACGCACCGCCTCCACCTCTTGCTATTGACTATCTATTGGTTATTGCTGCGAACGAAGGTCATATGCTGAAACACGAAGCTGTAAGAGACCTCTATTTAGCTTCGAACAGAGACCTGCGGAAGTCCATCATGGAATTGGACTTTTGGTGTCAAATGGCTGTTGGTAGCGAAAAGTCTGGAATTGACTGGATTCTTGATCGATGGCCGGAAGGTTCCGACCTTGATACCAATGGTAATAGACTAAAAGTGATAAGCCTGCATACATATCATCAGTGCATGGGTTGGTTCAATCGTGATGTTGTCGTGATTGACAATGGTCTGGCTAAAGAGTCTGAGCTATTACTTCAAGGCAGAAACTGGTGGGAGCTCAATTTCGAGACGGACGGCAAAGACACCTGGTCGTTAGATTACTCTGAACCTACAACGCAAGATCAAAGCCGAAGTCACCTTGACAAAATGCAGCACGCACTGGTGCTGGCAGATAGCCTTAGTGCTCTCGATATTCTTTCCCACAATTGGTCATTAGACCAAAAAGAGGCAAGCAAAAAATTCCATGCTGGATTATGATACATGACTGATCTTTTATAGGATGATCTTGACAGCACTATCCCCAATATTTCGGAGAAAGAAAAATCGAACTACCAAGAAGGCTATCCATTATTGATAGCTAATCGCAGGCCTGAATATACTGGAATTGCAGCTGATATTGGATCAACATCAAATGTGTTAATGCGGCACATGGCAATGGGCGTGCAATCTCTGCATGACGACATTCTGACCACCAACCGTGTTCTGGCAAGCCAATATGCAACCAAGACCGCTCAGTTTTCTTATATGGATTACTTGGAGGCCTTTGACCCTATAATGCAAGCAAATTGCCTTGCCTCACAACCAAATGGTCGCATAGCTCTGTCATTCGAGAACGGCATGGCCGAAGATTTAGCTCCCTATATTCGGTCCATAGTAGCCTTTGATTTGCGCCTTAAACGCTATCGTGACGCACTAAGCGGACTTACGACACAAGGGTCAACAAGAAGAAAGACGAGAACAACAAGAGCTAGTCGAGCTGCTCTCGAGGGTGGGAATAAATCCAACACTCGCAGGGAAAGATGGTTCACATCCGATATAAATCCAAAACGGATCCTTGCCACGTGTCCCAAGAGTTGGGAAGATGCTCTTGCTCGAGAAGGGCATTTGACCCTTCCTTCGGCTGTGTCTGACAGCCAAGCAGCCAGCCAAAGTGACTCGGAAAGTTCCCAAAGCACGGATGCTGAAGCAGAAGATGGGCAGATATAGCCGGAATGTACCGAGCCCAAAGTCTGGGCATGACTACCCTATATTTACGCATGTTTGACTTGCATCTCAACCCATATACGTATAAATATGCCCAGTGACGAGAGGGAAATGAATGTATTCTAGATAATCAGTACTAGCTAGCTACATGAATATATAGCTTAATCATCCTTGAACCGAAACAAGCACCGCTCCGCAAATTTCAATTCAAGCTATGATCGAACAACGATAAGATTGAAACTGGTTTATAGACTCTAAGACTACCTCCAGGCAGCTGAACTCTAGACTAATGTCGAGAGGAAAATATCGACGATATAACTGGCTTTATATAGCGCTTGATATGGTTACATATGATGAAACGATGTGAGATGTTTATAGCCACCTGCCCGCGTTCTTTGGGCAGAGATGGCTTTGATGCAATTCCACGTCGGTCCAGACTGCGAATGATAGGGCGCCGTGAATCCCTAGCGATGCCAAGGCACTAACTCGTCGGTCCGTAGTGGGGACCACCAGGACGTATGTATTGTAATGATCGGTTGGTTCGGTACCCTGCACCGCGCAGACAGTGGCTGAGTCCGGTAACATACGGCGTATTGCTGTGTAACACACAGCCCTCCGCCCTGGACCATGTGATATGGCGTGTCTTATTGGCTACATCTTGGAGCATTGGGCATTCGTCACGTGCGCCGTCCTTGTGCCTGCGATTCCCCCCAATCAACCAGCCCGTCATACATCATGCACCCCTATACCTCGCTCGTTCTGCTTTGCCCTGCGCCTTGTTGCCTGAGCTAGCATCCCTTCGCTGTATGAACTGTTCTCTCTTGGATATATACATGATAGCAAATGTATAACTTCTCTTTCCATTTCTTGTGATCGTTACCACTAATTCTCCGGCCGATCCGCCGACAGAAACGAACCCCCTCTCGACTCAAGCCTTATATCCGCGCATCTCGGCCATTTTTACAATCTATATACTCCAGCTTCTGTATGAGTCGTCTGCGAATATTATCACACACGTACACACCGGATCCGCAGAGGAGTTGTTGATCTAATACGACTCATAATCGACCGGCTTCATTGGTGGTTAGCCAACCGCGAGTAACTTGCAGTTTCTTGTCTTACTTTTTGCTATTTCATTGGCGCCCGTCTACGATACTTGTTTTGTCGGCTACTAGGAAGTTTTCTTTTTTTGCTTCCAGTAACAGCATTATCACGAGCGCCGCGGCCGCGGCTTCGTCTATCCCGACAATTCTCATTCCTATACAGTGCAGCGGTCCGTCGGATCGTCAACCTCTCACAATATGTCGATGTTGAAAACCCAGTTTCACGATGATTCAGATGCGGATGATGAATACGAGCGCAGCCTCGCGTCTCCTCAACTGCCTACGGACTCGGAGATATCCCCCACCGACTCAGACTCCTTGTCTACAGAACATACACCTACGACGTACGGAAATTTGGGGGATGACCATGGCTCTCTACGGACAAACATTGACGAGTGGACAGTGGAGGAATGTGCAGATTTTGTGGTTAGTCTAGGTCTGCGGCAGTACCGGGCTTCTTTCATAGGTGTGTGGTCGTTGTTTCTTGTGCGTCCTTATCCGCCATGTCTAACAAGATCTGTACTGCAGAAAATGAAATTGTTGGGGAAGCTCTCATAGCTCTCAAACATGAGGAGTTGAAAGAGATGGGTATTGCGAGTGCTGGACACAGATTAACAATCTTGAAGGGTGTATACGAGACTAAGGTGAAGCACGGAGTCACCATAGATCCCGACCATTATATTGCACCATGTAAGTATCGAGTACCATGAATAATCAAGTGCAGCAAGCACGTTGATTGACATTGTCCTCACAGCTGCGGACCACAATTTACATGAGCCAGCAAATTACGGAGATATTACTCGCCTGGCGCAGTCAATACGTGCGCGCGATGAAAGATTAAGTGCTGTCGAGGCAGAATTGAGAAGAGTGTCAGAGGACTATCGGAGATTGCGAGAGGAGCTTCTTCCCATCTTCAAGATGGCTAAGGACCGTTCTCAACCCTTGCCATATCAGCCCGCCGTGCAGTCCGGGACCACGTCAAGCCCGGAGCTCTATCATGAAACACCAATGATTGTATCCCCTGGAAATATCCGCAATGAGCCTTCGACATTGGGTAGATCGCTATCTAGAAGAGTCTACAATGGGGGCACTACTCCGAAAAGCAACAATTCTCCCACACATATACCACAGTCAATCCATGAAATGCGTTCTTACAACGATGGCTCTAACATGGACCCTTCTACGGCAGCTATGGCAGCCTCTACGCACCTGACAGCATCTATGAATGGTGGCGCTCAACCATCACCCGGTATTCCATCCCCCACATCACCCGGCCAATTCATGCAGCAAACGCTTGGACCTCGCTCGTATGTAAGAGATGGCAAGGGTTCCGCATCCTCAATCCGGGCGGGATACGATCACGAAGAGCTACCTCAACCAAACCCTACACCGGCGCCTGGTGCTGGTTCACGGAATGAATCGAGGAACGAATCTAGGAATACAGACTCGGCAGCTCCAAGCGTCGAGATCTTCAAATCGTTCCGAGTCTCCATGGATGATCCTTGCCACAAAGTTCTACCAGCAGCTTTGAAGAAATACAACATCAATGCGGATTGGCGGCAATATGCTCTCTATATAGTGTACGGCGATCAAGAGAGATGTCTAGCGCTAGATGAAAAACCCCTAATTCTTTTTAAGCAACTTGACAAGGAAGGACGAAAACCAATGTTTATGCTTCGCAAGTCTGCACCAACAGAAGGCACGACGCTGCCTTATCCCGGGTCTGTGGGCTCTGCACCCAATAGTGCTGTTTTTGATGGGAAGAAGGGTACAGTACCCGGTGGCGTTTTGTGAGAGGTTGAGTTGATAGGGTAGAGAGAAGTGTAGAAATAGGTACCTAGGTATATTATTTGGTGATCTATGATGCAATCTGTATCATTACGCTTTCTATCTAAGTACGTACAACTACGGATTCACATTCATTCTAGTTATCTTGACAGAAATTTGTTCGCCCTGTTTTGCTCCAAAAGACGTGAATACTTGCGAATTTTAGAGAGTAGTACCTTGCAGTGTATCACATTGCCTAACTACCTGTAACTACTTAGTCGTCGTGAGACCAGAACTGTACAGAAACAAAGACAGATTCTCAGCAAAGTTCTAACTATCATTTACACATAAGCCGATGAGGCAATAGCAAGAATAGCTAACTATGTATATAATGAATGCAAATATATGTATGTACCACGAAAGGCAAATCGTTGCGAATCATGAAATTGCATGCGCAAGTTCGCAACTGCTTTGCAGGCGCGCCTCATTTGGTGGGGGGAAAAAATGAGAAGAAAATTGATATCACCGAAAGAAAAGGAACAACAACAAAAAAAAAAAAAACAGAAAAATCTTCATCAAACACAAGACTGATCAGTGCCTACCGCGCTCTCCGCCCCAAGAAACCCTTTGACGATTACCGTGACTATACGTGCTTCTTGTGCCATTCTCTGACGACTCGGAGGTAATCCTGGAAGGGCGAGTACCATCCGCGAATTTAATACTACCTCGAACGTAGCGAGACTCGCCATCTTCTTCGCTGTCCGGCTCTCGCACAACGGTAGGCTTCGGCATGCGAGGAAGACCAGCACGCTCTGCTTCCTCGTCGTCGTTTTCTTCGTCTGGGGCTTCAATTTCGCCTAGAGCTGCGAGACGGCGCTTTCGTTCTGCTGGCGTTTCGCCCGTGTCATCAGCGTTACGAAGAGGGACATTACGTGCGGCGGTTCTAGAAGCGGCTTTTCTGACGGAAGGTGGAATGCGCTCCGTGCCATCGTCTTCGGAGTCCCCTTCTTGCTCAGTAGGTGATAAAGCAGGTGAAGCGTCGCCGGCAAGTCGTCGCCGTCGTTCATTGGCATTTCCTGAGAACTGCGCCAACGTACCAGCAACATCATGAGTAGGGATATCACGCAAGGACTCGGAATCGGTGTCGCTTGCATCATCATCATCAGAGTCGTCGTCCGATTCAGGGTCTCCCAGCATTCTCGGGCGGTTTTGACTTTCATCAGCGGCGCTTTCTTCAGCGACCTTTTCCTCAATTCTGTCCTGTGCTGCCGCTTCTTGACGGGCTACCTGCTTAACGACCTGCGGGGCATCGGTTTCTTCAACCAAATTGCGACGCGCTTTTGGATCTAGCCTCCTGATTTCATTGATAAAATCATTTTTGCTCATCCGCTTTCCTTTGATTCCTACTCCTTTCTGTTCAAGAGCGGGATTATGAGAAACAGTGAATCGCAAGCCATCATCCTCATCATGACGAGAACTTGATGCTTCGCCTTCTTTCATTCCAACCCACGTACCCATTCTGGTCAGACCTCGTCGTACCTGTGACTCAGCGGCATTGGCAGCCGGAGCAGCTTGGTCTTTCTCTGCAGAAGGGATGGTGTATTTCTTGATAACCTCGCCATCTTCATCTTCGACAATAATTGTATCTCCAAATTGGTATGCATGGGCGGATTGGCGAGGTGGCTTCGCAGGTTTGGTTGTAGATGGCCCTGGCTCCGCAGACGTATCCTGCTTTCCCCAGCCGGCCCAGGTGCCGAAGCGCTGTCGCAATGAGCGAGAGGGATGACCAGTTTTCTCTTCAACCTCTTTCTGAATCTCTTCTCCCTCTGTTTTCTCGTGGGGCTGGGTTCTGGACTTAGCATAATTCCCTGATTTGTCTGTTTGAAGCTTCTTGTGCTGTTCCAACACTTGTTGCCGCTGTTCTTCAGGAGACTCATGGGTGATATCTTCGGTCTTTAAGACGTTTCCTTCTTCGTCTTCAATGATGATTTTGTTGCCCTCTTGGTAGACTTCTATCTCAGGTTCTTGACCAAATCTGTCACGCTCCGCCCGTGCTGGAGATCCTTCCCGTTCAATGCGTTCCCTCTCTTCACGTTCCTCTTCGCTCACCGGAGGAGATTCTTCAGGCTGTGTCGTCTTTTCTTCAGCGGGAGAGGTGACTTCGGTGCGTCTAGCAGGCATAATAGCTGATTGACTAATGGGACCACCGACATTCGACCTGCGCATACGTCGCCGTTTTGGCCGCAAGCTCTGTGGCCGCCGGCTACTGACACCACTAGATTCATCATCTCCTTCTCTTACACGACGCAAAAAGTTCCCGGGCATACCAACTGGTGGCAGCATTCCAGGGGGATAGTCTGAAGCCTGGTCATTCGAAGCTTCCGAATCTGCCTTTCGGAGGGATAAAGAGCTCCTCGACAAGGACTGCACACGAGGAAGGCGATTCATCCATGAAGGGCCGTCCTCGTTTGCAGTGGTATATGACAAGGTGACGGTAAGGGTATTGATGCGTTTTCCGAGCGTGAAAACAGCTATAGAAGATCCGTGGACAACGATAGATGCAATCACAAGGAAAGTGGTGATAGGCCAAATCAACTGCACGAGCAAATAATTAGTCTGACCGGGGCCTGGCAGATCAGACTCAGCCTCTGGTTCTGTGGTGTTGTTTTCAAGTTCAGCTCGGGCCAAGATCGCGGCAAATATGGCACCGACGCCAATTGGTCCAAAATGGCCAGCAAAGAGAGCTTCTCGCCAAGTCTTTATGTCTGGTATGATTGGTTTGAGCATCATCATGATAGGGATTCGTCGGAAGAAGATGACGAGCAATGCAATAACGACCAGTCTCCATGGAACCAAACCAAGGTCTGGCATGTTATAAGAACTCCAGGGTATAATTGCACCGAAATAGACAAAATAAGCCAGATTGAGAAGCAAGTCAATGACGTTGGAAACGTGAGATTCTTCAGTCTTGGCCGTGAACCATCCGTCGTTACTGAAACCAACCCCAGCAGCGAACCCAATAAGGAGATCATCCATACCCAGCAGACTGCCCGAACCAGCGCAGAACAGCGCCAGAACGAAATAGAACACTAGAAAGCTCTCTCGATCGATCAAATTCTTCTTCTCGGCGAATCTGATCATATGGCGAGCGATATATCCGACGAGGAAGCCATACACAGCACCAGCGACACATTCATAGAGAATTGTGTTACAGATCCAGTGTAAGGCAACTTCATTGGCGTGTGGTCGATATCTGATGATAGATAGGGAAAGGTAGATGAATGGAAAAGCCATCCCATCGTTGCATCCAGACTCGGCGGAGAGAACATCTCGCAAATGTTTGGGCACTCGTTTAGCAAACTTGCCCTTTCCGACAACCGAAGATGCCAGGACAGGGTCAGTCGCGGTGACACATGCAGCGCATGCAAGACTTTCAAGCCACGACAGCGGCGGAACCAGCCACCAGATGAAAAGGCTCGTTGCGAGCCAACCATACGTCATCACAGGAACCAGGAGAAGGAAGACGGATTTCCAGTGTCTCTCCATATAAGATTTGGGTAATTCGACGCCAACAGCAAAGCATTGGACCACCAAAACGATGCGTGAGCACTCCAGTGTGATTTTATCCACATTGCCCCATGAATCTGGATTAAAGAGATTGGCCGCATAGGGACCAAATATAATGCCACACAGAGTTGCTACTGTTGCTTCACCTATATAAAGCCTCTCTTTCACGAACAGTGAACAAAGCATGAAAAGACTGGTAAAGCCTCCTAGAATGATGTAAGCCAGATGGGGCTTATCGATTGCAAGTTGATCCCACACCATGTTGTCGATATGTGCGGTGAACCAACAACCCCGGCAAAGAAGATAAGAGAAGAAAAGAGAGATGTAGAAGGAGGTCGGCGGCCTCAATCGACCGTTGGAGTAACTGCCAGGTTCCTTCCCACTTCACTTGAACACTATTTTCTCGGGACTAACAGTGCAAAAATCCGAATTCCGGCGTGGCCTCCGAGTCACCGTGACACTCTTCGGCATATCTGTAGCTCGGAGCCACGTATTAGACGGCGAGGGAGCAGGGTACAGAGGCGGTTCGGTGTCGCCTGGAGTCACAGGAGGCTGTCTAGAGAGAGAGGAGAGATTAGCGGATAATCCGGAAGATTCTGAACGCGAGGCGGACAAGACGCCAAGTCGGGCAGAGGGGACGAGGGAGGGCTGTGCTTGGGGAAAGGGGGGGGATGGAGAAGATGGACTAACTTAAGCAGGCCAACAGAGCCTCCAACGTTCGCGATAGAGGAGCGAGAGTAATTAGTGAGGGAGGAATCTTCTGCAGAGGACGAAAGGAAAGCCTTTTAAACGCTGAGCTGATTAAAGTGGGGAGGGTGTCGATCGAGGCCCGCTGGGTGAGAGGATATGGCGCTACAAGAGCCCAAGGCAGATGCAGCGCAGCGCAGAGAGCAGAGAGTAGAGAGTAGAGAGCAGAGAGCAGAGAGCAGAGAGCACGACGGATCACAGCAGAGAGAGCATTCGATGGTGAGGTGCTGCTGCAGGCGAGGAGGGAAAGCGTCGACTTGGACGCCACCAAGGGGGGGGGGACTGGCCTGGATTGGGACTTCGGCGGAAGGGCTCTCCTCGCTATTTAGTCCTGCTGCGGATTAGGGGGAGAGGATCGTTGCGTGCCTGGCAGAAGCGATATTCACCGCCAGCATCGTCCAGAAGCATGCATGCGTTCACTCACTCGCTCATGGCATGGAGTCGCATGCACGCGGGTTGCCGAGTGCCGAGCCTTTTCTTGGCGGCGAGGCGGGCGGTAAGCCAAGAGCGGAAAATATCAAATCGTCCGAGTTGGGACTTCCTCTTTCCAAGCCTCCGAATTTCCCCGCGAACGCTCGTATTTGCCGTGACGTCGTCACTTCGTGTTTGATATTGCGCTCTTTGATTCCACTCACAGATCAACTGTCAAGTGACGAGGGAAAAGGAAGAAGGAAAAAAAAATGCACTCACCCTATCGTCCATTCGTCTGCACCGCGCATTCACAATGTTCTCCAATTGAGGGGAAATGCTCAATAGTGTGCAGAGAAGAGCAGGAAACAGGAGATGATGCGTCAAATCCCTGCTGTGCAGAGGCACAGACACAGCACATGAATGCGGCTACAGCGGCTAAATGCCATATTGAGCCGTATTATTTCGATTAGGTACCTATACCTTACTCGCTTTGGTTTGGTTTCTCGAGAAAGTCGGAGTAGTCTGCATGTCCTAAGGGTTCTTCCCCGCAGATTTACCTCGTCGCTCACGCCCTGACCCTGACCCTGACCCTGACCTGGCTATGGCTTACGTGAAGTCAGTCAAGGTCTGGATGCTCGCTCGTGCCTTTGAGTGTCTAGGATGCTAGCAGCATGTTCACGTGTTCACGCAGTATATGCTACTTACTGTAGTTGGGACTTTGTGCCTACAGTAGACGCAACGAAGTGGGTGATTTGGTCTAGTGCGAGCAGATCGCAGGCCTCGACCCGTCGATGGTCAGTTTCCACGATGAGGAACAATCTTGGACGGAACAAGAACTACGAAAGACATTGTGGAGTATATACGGAGTAAACTGCAGCTCGTGGCTTTGCGTCAATATACGTGTTCACCTCATTTTGATGTGTAGATTGAAAAAAAAAAAAAAAAAAAAAAAAAAAACCTCGATCCACGAACACGTTTATTAACAGTGTTCGATGATTTTCTCAAAGATCGAATACATTCTCATGTGGATTGTGATGAGCCAATCACGCATAAACACAATTATATCAAGTTTTCTCTGCTACAGCTGCTCGACCAACAGGAAGATATTCGTTCAAAAATAAAAAATAAAAGGGCTGCACTGGAGCAACAAGCCATTGCTCGGTAAATGTATAATGAATCTGATCGATCAATCACGGAGAAAGACAGCAATACGCTAGGATTGCATGCAACTGATACTAAAACCAAAACAAACGTAGAGTAACATAGGTAGCTTAACTGCAAGAGGACCAAAAGAAGATTCGAGTCCGTTAAACAATCATATATCCAATAAAACGAAGCAAATTATGCCGGCATTGTAAAGGCAAAAAGCAAAGCGAAAGAATTTCTAAAAAGTGAAGCATAATATGCATCTGCATGCAGTGTGACCACGTTGCGGAGGTTGTATGTATCCATATCAAACACTGGCGATTTCATAGTGCAGGGTTAGTCGCCATTGGGCATTCCTTCTACCTCCTCGCTGAGGACTCTCCAGTTGTCTGCCTGAAGTTCTGCATACTTGACTCGCTCTTGGCTCCAGTCCTGGTGAAGCCGGCTGATATGGTACTGGCTTTGTTGAAAGAAGACAAGTTCGTCGCGTATACATTCTTTGATAAAAACGCCACGTGCATGTTGCTGTACGATGGATTCCTTATCCTGTTGCAAGGAAGAAGAAAAAAAAAAAAAGAAAAGGCGCGATTAGCTTGATGCCACCCAGTGTGTGCATATTCATTCTATTCATTCCTTTCTCGCTTACCTTGAAAATTGACTCCTCTATTTTCTCAATCTCTCCGGGTTTGACCATTCCCTGAGGACGGCTCCTCAAATCCTGTAGCTTCTTCTCGTTGCTCTCAATACGTTTTTCCAACTGGGGAATGTTGTCCTTGGCATAACGATCTCTTCTGTCGAAAAGATCCCGCACACTAACAACACAATCTCGTTGTCGCTTAAGATCCTCCAGCACTCCATCCGACCACGCCCTTGCCTCGTCTTCTAGCAGACTCTGGCTGGCAGAGAGGTGTCTTGCCGTCGCGTTGATACCCTCATTGAGCAGCGGTACATCATTTGTATCTACGGCGTAAGTACTCTTCGTTGCCTCTGTTAAAGACTGCAAGGCCAAAGAGAATCGGAGATGGTCCGCAGCCAGTCCCTCATTGCGCTTCGCCAATCGCTCAAGGAGCGTACAAAGGTTAATGAAGATTTCGGCTGAACGCTTCACGCCTGAACGTACGGTATCAAACATCTCATTCAGGGTCGATGGTAAGGAATCTTCAAGGTCAGGTGGCAGGGTTCTGCCTGCAAACTCTTCTTGGACAGATATAGTCGCCTGCTTGCGCCAGACTGAGAGCTCCTACGTTAAACTCAGTTGGGAGATCATACAGATATAGAAGCAAGATGCAAGAAGCTTACAGTAGGGACCGTTAGGAACATAACCACGAGTTGCTCCTGATTTAGAATCGGGTGTCGCACCAGGGCGTTGGTGAATCGTACGAGTCCACGGCGACGTTTCTCCAGGAACGAAGTTGAATCCGCTGAAAGGTGAGTGCCATTGACTTTATCAAAATAGAAAAAAAAAAGGTGAGCTGGATCTTAGGCTATATGCACAAGAACCCTGTACGTACCTGCAACTCTCTTCGGAGGAAGAAGCGGCAATTGCCGAAATGTATATCGCTTTTGTAGACAGTCGAGGAGCCATACAAAGTCACTATAACGCCTCACTACCGAGCTACCTCGGCGAGCAGACTTCACTTCGTAATTGCGGTGTTGAAACATGAACAATCCCTCTTTTTCGGGTAACAATGTGACTGTTACCACTTCCTCCACCCCCAAACCCGTCATTCGACCACCCCCTAGGGCACGATTTTGTGAATCAGATCCATCTTGTGCATTCCCTGAGTTAGAAAACCCCCCCAATCCTTGCTGACCAGCCGAGCCAAACGCGGGAGTTTGAGCATTGTTAAACCCCTCCCAGCCTGAGCCAGAGCTTCTCGGAGGCCTTTGTCCGTTTGACTGAGCTGTGCTTCGCGATTCACTTGTAGCGGTTGCGGAACTAGCAGCCCATCCATTTGTGGAAGAGCGGACACTCCCGAATCCATTAAGCGTGGGTTCGTTGGAAGAGAGGGCAGTGTGATTGTGCCCGCGGTGAACGTCTGGACTACCCCAAGGGTCTGTTTCTGCACCGAAAGAAGTACGTCGGGGCGTCGAGGCTATTGCCTGTTGTTGCGGTTCTGATCGCAGTGACTCTTCTCCTAATTGATGTTGCTGTGAAGGAGCGGCGGACTTGGGGTTGGAGATTCTCAGATCGTCCAAATATGAAATCTTCGGTTGAGGCAGATCTGCAGGGCATTAGTAAAGTAGACGAATGAAAAAGAAACGCCATAGCAACTCTAGAACATACTGTTTCGTCGTTCATCCACAGTATCAAATGTGAGGTCCTCGCCTTCCTGAGCCAAGCCTATTAGAGCTAGCAAGACATTGAACTCGTTCCGACCCAAGCCATCGGATGTTTCCTGGCCCCCAGGGAGAACCAAATTCAATATCTTGGCCTGGTCAGCCGCAGTCAAGCTACTGCTGGATAGTATTTGCCGAATCGTAGTAAGACCAAGACCTGCGCCTACGCGGTCCCGCGCATCCAGGATCAATTCAAACGCATCTATGTAACTTTCCGGCACGTCGGACGCAGGAAGGAGAGTCTTGACAGGGTTCTGTCGTCCAATTCTTTTGGGCGTAGGCATATCCCACGGCGAGTTACCAGCCGGGCCATCGTCTGCGAATAATGCTGACCCGCCCTGATTATGTTCGTCGTCGAAAAGAGAAGATTTGGACAAGCGAGAGGGGTTCGCCTGTGAAGAAACCTCGTCGGGCGATGTGCCAAAGAGAGACATGGTGATTGATTGTTGGGTGTTTTGATCGGGGAGAGAGAGAGAGAGAGAGAGAGACCTGCGTCACCGGTGGAGGCGGGAGTCCCTCGCGACTTATCAGTGGCACAACGCGCAACACCGACAGAACGTTGGCGCCGCGGATTGGCTCTGTTTGGGGCAGTCTATAGGGTCAGAATTGGCTTCCTTGAAGGGTAGCGAGCACCTACAAGATGGAACAATCAGGTTATTCGCACGAGCTCGGAGCTGGTGGTGAGTGAGGTCGTCGAGCGGTTAGACCGCGGCGCCGGCGCTAGCAGCCTAGATACTTGATAGCAAAAGAAGGAGAGCAGATAACGCAAGCTAGGTGCTCTGGTCAAGCATGGCACCGGAGTAAAACAGCAGAGAGATTGCCTGTCCGCGGTAGAATCAAGCAATTGTAGTCCAGCCCGCGGGTGGTTGCCTGGCTTGCTTGCTTCGATGGCAAATGCTGAGATAACCAAGTGGCTAGATTAGCGCATCTTCCGTAGGCAAACTTCTACATGTCCTACGCAACTCATCGTGAACTGCCAATGCCCTCCTCACCAACGCTTTTTAAATCCGGATTGACCAAGTGGGAAACAATGCAGCCTCACCCGCCTTTTTCTGGAGGCGCCTCTCTCTTTTGATCCCATAAATACGGCACGTTCTCTCTGTCGGCGGCTGCGTACTGCACGCTCCTCAGCGTTTCCGCGCACCGCACCCTTCTCCCCGCCTCCTATTGTCTGCGTCTGCGTCGGCATCTACAAGACAGAATCTATATACGGCGTCCTCATAAGACAGGAAACCCTGCATAATGCCTAGCGAGACCACCGTGTCCGCCGAGACCTTCGAGTCGGAGATCTATAACCGTCTGTTGGAAACATCTACTCTCGACGACCTACATGCAAATCTCCTTTTCTCTTTACAACGAGCCGGCTGGGCCGAGCGTATCCAATCTCTTTCTCTCGAGCTTCTTCGCGCAGGTCGCTGCACTCATTTTGACGACATGGTCGACATTGTCGTCACGCTTGCCACAGGACAAACGCATCCTGCCGTCCCCGAGGCCAACAACAACAGTAGTAATAACGCCAATGCCACGGCTAATGGCCATAGCGGCACGAATTCTTTCAATGGAAACACCGCGAACAATTCAGAGTCGTTTTTTAGGGATATCGACGTCCGAATACCAAAGGAGATTGTTGAGCAAGGCGTCAGAGCTCTGAGGGATTCGATACGACCGTTTGCCGTCATCGAAGACGACGAGGACGGATCCGAAGCCGATGGCGGTGGTAGCCATAACATTGTCGGGGCTAAGGAGCTCCCCAATGGCGCCAAAAATTCGTCCAAATCCGATAAGAAGCAGAATAAATCGAGCAAAGACTCGGCGTCGACTGGGAAAAGTAACGACGCAAACACGAGCCCTACGAAGAATTTACCCAAGGACAAGAAAATAAAGCCTGCAGGGAAGGGTGCTAAATAATCAGCGTGAGAGTCCGAGTGGCGAAAGAAGTCTCCTAGGACCAGCAACTCCGTTATCATCATGAGGTTTTTCTTTTTTTATTGTCGAAGAAAAGGGGTTGTGCTCACGGAATTTTCAAGGCATCTAAACAGCGAGTTCGCATTTTGTTTTACATTTTTTAGAGCGTTTTTTTTTTAGACAAATCATGGCTTTTTGATCCATTTGGTTGATTGACTTGAGGGCGTTGGTGTCAAATGTATCATTTACAATGTGTATACTAGGATTTTGTACGGGTATGTCTATACCTACGACGATGGCCTTCTACTTCGATTTAGTTTGTGCGGCAGTAGGAAAGTCTGCCTGGTTCTATATATATCTTCAAATCGTGATGCTGCATACAATGAAGATGATTTAGAAAAGCCCCATGAGGGCTCCTTTTTTTGGTAGCTTCCTGCGCTGTTATAAATACATTTGTTCAAGAATGTAAATAAGACGAATCGTATTAGCATAAGAGGCCCAAATAACTATACTAAACTAACTAACATGCAAAACCACTTTTATGTCGGGCATAATCATCATCTGTCCTTCCCTCGGCCCGTGTAGGTAGTAACTCCTGGAATACGGTATCTAATACCTTTTCGTAATCAGCTAGGTGGTGTCGATTTTTGGTAATTTGGAAGGGGGGGTTTTTTTTTGACTTGCATTTCGTAGAATTATAGGCGTCAGAGAGTGATGCCGCAAAGCTCACGTAAACCACATAGGTCTTTTCACATCTTGCTATGGACTGCACAACGAAACTTGTTCCAATGCCACTTGACCCTACAATTGACGTATAAGGACCCATATATGCTCCTCTGTCATGATTGCGGTAGTCCTGGCATATTACATCCCAGACAATCTCAGAAGCAGAAAGTCCATCCAAAACCGGCTGCTATTCTTTATGGAAACTTCGCTCGATTGGGCGTGTCTGATCCATCGTATATCGCGAAGATCGGTCCATCGTCAGTGGTGCATATTCTCGTAAGACTGTGAGATATTGTGGATTGTGACGTCTGCGACATATGGGGTCCTTGGCTTCTCCTACCAGGCGAGTGTATCATACTTTTGAGGAACTCAGTTGGGAAATCTGCAATCTGTTTGTCCAGAGGCATGTCGGTTGCCCATTCTTGCTCTTCTTGCCAGGCAGCTTTTGGAACGCAATAGGTATTGTAGAAGGCCTCGACTGTTTCTGCTGAACGCCAGTCATTGGATCGGGGATGTCGTAGTAACGACGGAATATTAAACAGTAAGCCACCAAAAAGGTTCCCCTTAATGAGGCTTCTGGTAATAGTCATTTTTATGCCTCATATTCCGCTGTCAGGTAGTGATTGGGGTACCATGATTCGTGCTCTAATTATAAATTTGATAGCGGAACTTCAGGAAAGCAAAGGGGTATAAATACCCTCGTGCAGCAGTTAGGCAACGATGTGCTAGGTAGGTACTTAAAGCAGAAGAGGTCGATAGGGGGCAGGGCAAGGAAGATTTTTCAACTGGAGATCTGACAAACGCGCTGTTTGCTTTGTCCGCCCTATTTCTTCACCGGATTCTCCTGGGAATATCCGGTAGATGTCTACCTAAAGTCTGTAGGCAAACGTTTACCTAGACTTTTTTGCCAACGTTTAAACAGGGAATTACTTAATAATTATGCAAGCAGTAAAAACTCGCATTGGTATTTTCTACTTTGATACACGGGAAATCCCCAAGACTCAAAGCTGCGACGGTTCAGAGGTCTGTTACGCTGCGCCGAGGGCTTTATTTAGCCCTAACGAGCGGCTCCGAAGGTGGGAATAGCCTCACGTCGGAGCCCTGTTTGCGCACATAGAAAATCTCTTCATGAGAAGCCTGGCATCTAGCTCTTCTTTATTTTCTCCCTTGTGCTTAGTATGGTTGAATGAAACTCACATATAACAGTCTCTAAACTAAAATAGATACCTTCATACTCTGAAGAGCTTCTATATTATAGATACAACATACAGAAAAGAAGACTGATGTAATATATGATGTTAGAGAGGACTCTAGAAGTTCCATTCAAGGAAGAAACAGCGAGGCAATAGTTGAGTTCGCCTTTCCGGATTTTCCTCAATCAAGAGCCAGAAAGACGAAATACAACAATGCTATTCCATTGGTTAAGAAATTCTCTGATGAGCCATGCGACAGAAACTGGAAAAGCTGAATATCAATGTCGATTTCTTGTTTGATCTTAGGAGTGCTGTAGCAGAGAAAAGTCCACTTCCAGGAACAGACATCAATTAAGCCTAGTCCTATACAAATCAAGAGGCCAGGATGAGGTCGTGAGGAACTGGGGAGGAGAGCAAGCGTTATTGATAAGACCGCAAGGCTCTCTCCATGGCTACCTAGGTATATGCATACAATTATGGGAAGATATCCTTACTATCGCGATTCAATTGTCGGGAACTCATCGACGACAATCGAAGAAACAATCTTGCAGGTCATCTCTATTTTAAAATAGTTTGCTTTGAAGATGTGTAAGGTACAAGAAAAGCAGAAAAGAAGCGACATAGGAGAGATAACACAGATAAAAAAAAAATTAAAACCTTCCCACGTTGATCAATTCTGATCTGCTGTATCTCATGCATTCATTGATCCACCTCAACAAAATATCGTGAAGGGCAGTTAACTAAGGGTAAAAAAACTCTTAGTCATACAGACTGTCATCGTTGCCTGCATCACCGAAACCATTCTGTGCACCACCTCCACTGGTAACCTCCTCGGCGGTTGGGAAGCGGAAGAAAGCACTGCCACCAGAGTTCTTCATGCTCTGAGCAAATGCTTCGTATCGACGAATTTCAACATCGCTGACGGATCGTCGTGCAGAGGCCATTGCCTCCTCGAAGTGGGCACGGGTAAGTTCGGGAACTGGGTCTTCAACTTCCTCGGCTTCCTCCATCTCAACATCCTCGCCAGCAGCCTCCCGTTCCTTCCGACGCTCGATATCAGCAGCAATGGACTCTTTGATGGCAAGCTTCACAGCACGCTGGGTGACGAATCCAAGATCGGCACCAGAGAAGCCATGTGTCTTGGTTGCAATGAAAGCAAGGTCGACATCGGGAGCAACAGGAGTCTTGCGAAGTTGAGCTTTGAGAATACCCTCTCGGGAAGCTTGGTCTGGAAGAGGAACGTAGACCAAAGTGTCTAGACGACCCGGTCGACATAAGGCAGGGTCGAGCTGTTCAGGTCGATTTGTAGCGCCAATGACGAAGACATTCTTCTTGGAAGTCATTCCGTCCATCTCTGAAGTTGATTTGTCAGTTCCGTATTTTCTCGAGGTATCCAGTTGATAATTTGTTTGAGGGGCAACTCACCGGTCAGAAGCTGGTTGACCACACGGTCAGACGCACCACCAGCATCTCCAACGGAACCACCACGTGCCTTGGCAATGGAATCCAACTCATCCAAGAAGACAACGCAAGGAGCAGCGGCGCGAGCCTTGTCGAAGATGTCACGGATATTGCTCTCGGATTCTCCGAACCACATACTCAATAGCTCAGGGCCCTTGACGGAGATGAAGTTTGCAGCGCACTCGTTGGCGACGGCTTTAGCAAGCATCGTTTTACCGGTACCAGGAGGCCCGTAGAAGAGCACACCACGTGAAGGCGAGAGACCAAACTTAAGGAACTTTTCGGGATGCTCAACTGGGTATTGCACGCTCTCTGTTTTATATGTCAGTAATCAATGGGTAGAGAGAAATGGAGAAGGCTCTCTGCTTACCAATAAGCTCTTTCTTGACCTCTTCCAGACCACCAATATCTTCCCAGCGAACGTTTGGTACCTCCACAACGGCAACTTCGCGGAGAGCAGATGGGTTGGAAACACCCAGAGCAAACCGGAAGTTCTCCATGGTAACGCCGAGGGAGTCCAAGACTTCAGCATCAATGGTATCCTCATCGAGATCAATGAGGTCCATCTTCTCACGAATCTGCTGCATAGCAGCCTCTGAGCAGAGAGAGGCAATGTCGGAACCCACATATCCATGGGTATCAGCAGCGATAGCCTCCAGATCGACATCTTCGCCGAGCTTCATGTTCTTTGTGTGAATCTGAAGAATCTCAAGGCGACCAGTAGGGTCGGGAATACCGATATCGACTTCGCGATCGAAACGGCCAAAACGACGCAAAGCAGGATCAATAGAGTTCGGGCGGTTCGTAGCAGCCATGACCACAATGTTGGACCGTGCTTTCATACCGTCCATGAGGGTCAAAAGTTGCGAGACAACACGACGTTCAACCTCTCCATTCGTCTTCTCACGCTTTGGAGCGATGGAGTCGATCTCATCAATGAAGATGATGGCAGGCGAGTTCTTTTCGGCTTCCTCAAAGGCCTTGCGCAAGTTGGACTCGGACTCACCGGCCATCTTAGACATGATTTCGGGACCATTGATAAGGAAGAAGAAAGCACCAGTCTCGTTGGCGACAGCACGGGCCATCAAGGTTTTACCGGTACCCGGGGGGCCATACATGAGAATTCCACGTGGGGGCTTAATACCGATCGATTTGAACAATTGAGGATGACGGAGAGGCAATTCCACGAGCTCTCGGACCTGTGCCATTTGTTTCCGGCAACCACCAATGTCATCGTAGCCAACTTCGTTGAGATTACCCTCTTCATCTTCACGTTGAATAGGTTCGCCTTCGCAGTGGATAACTGTATCCTGAGCAACGATACCATATTCTGGAGGATCGACCTCAACCACTTTAAATTCCACTTGTCTCATACCTCCGCGGACTGTGAAAAGGTCACCCTGTCGGACTGGGCGGTATGCCTCACGGAAGTAAGGTGCAAGGAAAACGTCAAACAGAGAGCCTGTCAGACCCTCAACGGTATCGGCAATGGGAAGAACTGCGATGCGTTTGGCCTAGTATTTTCATTTGTAATGTGAGTGTGACGTAAATTAGGACCGACGTGCACTTGACTTACGTATTTGATATCTGGGCACGGGTGGACAGTGATGATGTCGCCGTGCTTCACGCGTAGATTGTGTCGAACCACACGGTTGATGCGAGCGCTGCCATCATCAAGATCATCATCGGCCAAGACGATCAAAACTGTGTCCTTTCGCTTCTTTCCCTTGACCAAAACTGTGTCACCGCGGAACAACTGCAGGGTCTCCATGGTGTTGTTAGACAGGGCAATAATCGAGTTATCATCGTTCACTGCGTCGGTCACACTGTGTCAAGTTAGCTCGATGAAAGGATCTTCCCCTTGCCCACTCTCGAATACCTACATTAACGAGTTCGGCTTCTTCTTCTTCTTGAGAATGGCTGTGGCAGTATCCAGCTCCTACAAAATATAGTTAGAACGCATCAGAATAAACAACTGGGCATATTCCTACATCTTTCTTTTCGGCACCCGAGGGATCACTGTGAATGCAAGATAAATCGTCAGCAAACCCGGGTTGTTTCTAGACAGGAGGGGAGGTAATATTACTCACCTAAGGTTGACCCTCTGCTTGGAATGAACGTGGTCTGGCTCTGAAGACATTTTCAATAATGATGAAGAGATGTGGCAAGTTGTTCGCTAAGCTGAAGCTACTGGCCGTTCAAGACGTCACCCAACCCTCGTTGGAGATGAGAAGTGCACACTAGGAACAAAAGACAACCAAGTGCTGGGATAAGAAATAGACGATGCAGCGCAAAAAGCAACTAAGCGTAGAAGACGGCCAAGAATGATAGGAGGTGGATGGATGAAAGACGAAAGATGGGAGAGAATGGTTGATGTGTTGGAGGTTGGCAGGCAACGGGCAGCTCCAGATTACGAGGTGACGATATCGCACTAGCGCCTATTAGGACCACCGCGGGTTGTTAGTAATCTGCAAACTAGAAAATGCGGGATCAACACAGAACAGCCTCCGACCTGGGAAAAGAGGCAAAAGAGAGGATTTACTAATCAAAAGAGGCAAGACTTCCTTACTTTTCTGTTTTGTTCTTCTCAAAGAGAAGTGTTTGCAGCCTTGGTTCCTGGCTGGGAGCTCTGCGCCACAGCTCTCACCGCCCAGGAGAAGCGCATGGAATCCAACGGATCTGCCGCTGCTGGCCTGCGGCTGTCCGCAGGAGCCGCTTGCGCAGATACTGCACTAGCCACAGCTTCCAGCCTCAATCACATGACTTGGCCGAAAGCCACAGCAGCGTCATATTCCATCGCTTTATCCATGGATGTGATTTTTATATCTCCTTATTACGAACCTACGGCTAATCCGCTGCCCACACTCGACCCTCTTGACTGCCTTGCAATCTTACAGATACTCATAAGGATCTTGAATCCTTCAAAGGTTCATGGCATAATGTCACATATAATACGTTGGGATTGAGACACGCTTTTCGAAGCACTGGTCCAAGCACTAATGTATAGCTTAGTGTCATCCTAGAAACCTGGAAGCAATGGCTGTGTCGAAGATCCCTACTAGCATGTGTGGATAGGCCATTGACACTGCAAGTCAACGTGGCCATCCGGTCTAACCCCCTCTTCCCCGCCAGGATAGTCATGTCCTCGTGTCCACAGCAGAACAGTTGAACCGAAGCCAACAAGACAATTGCAACCTGATTGGAGATCTGAGGAGCACATCCAGGTTGCACTGACGGAAGCTCTTTGGGACGGCTTCGTTAGATCTCTAGAGCTATAGTCGTCGACCGATCTTAGACTCTGCAACGATTCACTTATCACGTCACTAGCATTACAATGACTTTCGAGTTACCAATAGCACCGAAGGCTGAAAAGCCAACGTTGCATCTGTTGTGGGCGAAGATGAAGACTCCACTCAGCTACTACCCTCGTTTCATATGCATCATATATGCATAGGCGGATACGTGCCCCTCGAATCAGTACCAATCAACCACGAATCTCAGGCAGCCACTACCAGGGCACAATCACTGAGCGATGAAAAATTCCCCGTAGAGCGCCTGTAGAGATGTAGAACGTGAAAAGCCTCCTCTCTTGTGCGGGGACTTCAGGATTTTGATCGTCCTAGATTCTGCCACGGCTGTAAAAGCTAGAGCAGGCTCGAAGCTTCAGATAGGCAATCTCGATTTTGGGACACATGCGGTGAATTATCCTCCGGACGGTGCATGGGCCTGCGGACGGGAGCAAGCTGGATGGTACGCATAGACCTGAGAGCAAGTAGTGCGAGAGATTGCAGGGAATACACGTCTCTAAACCATGCAGAGCAGCGGAGCCACTTGGCGCTGATCTATTCCTGCCGAGATTTGCGCCGTCAGGATTCATCGAGGCTGCCAGGATCAAGGGTCATGGAGAAATCAGGTGACGGTGAGGGGTAGAGAGGCACCCCTCGACCGGGAGAAACATAAGAAAGCAGTCACCCCTTCAGCTCTGCACCGTTTTTCTTCCAACAAAGCAACAAATAACCAGAGCAATCTTACCACATCTTAAATACTCTCCTTCTTCGTCGACGATCAACTTCAACAACGAATACAACATGGGTATGTTTGGCCTGCGGTTGGTTGTGCGAAAAGAACGACATGCCGCGACAGAATATCTCCAAAATGAACTGCCTCACGATACTGACTGCTCGATAGGTACCGATCATACTTGCAGCTGTGGTGCTTCCTGCCAGTGCCCTGCCGGTGCATGCCAGTGCGCTGTATGTATATTCTCTGCTTCCATCTTCTGGTGAGAAAGGCTAATTGTTTCCCCTCTTCCCCTCTCGTATAGAAATAAGCGGCTATCAACCCACGCCCCTTGATGTGCACGATCTCTGTCAGCACACAACACCCTCGTCTTCGCAATGGCCATGGTTCACGCTCGGTGACAAGGTGGCGGACTGGATTGATATGAAACGCGGAACTTTCACTAAAGAGGAGGATCTTTTATGTCGTTAATATTGCCTCTTCGCTGTCTGGAGCATTCAAACGCACAAAGCCTAGCGACAGAGAATATGATCGGCTAATTTAGATTAATTGTCAAACGCGATCCCATTTCCTTAAACTGGCTCTTCCAAATATTTTCTGATAAGACATGATGCATTTACCACTTGACATACAACACCAACGTAGGATTTAACAGCCGCTGAGATAGGATTTGATTTGATATATTACAAAGGGCCATAGGGACCTTGAAGATTGCAAGCTAATCACATAACCGACACAGACTAGAATGTACAAATGCTTTTATTAACATTCCCCCATCTTATATACTTCAACAAAGCGGATCTCACGGCCCCTATCTCCGAGTCTTTCTTTTGAAAATCTGGTTGATAAACCGCTTAACATGCCTCGTTTCGACTCCGAGAGCAAGGCTGCTGCATACCACCGAGATACTACTGAGTGCCATAGCCAAGGCGGCCCAGACTGGACTCAGTCGGAAATGTCTATCGACCAGCACTGTTCTGCCATCGATTACTCGCTCTGTCTGACCGATGACGATTGGATACAACACTCCGGCTGCAATCGGGATTAGACACACGTTGTACACAAGTGCCCAGCAGAAGTTGAGCTTGACGCGACGAAACACTCGACGACTCAAAAGAACAAGCTCAAGGATGTTGCTGATATCTGAGTTGAGAAGTATGAAGCTTGCAGAGCTAATTGCTACATCCGAACCAGAGGCCATGGCAACGCTGACATCGGCAGCTGCAAGCGCTGGCGCGTCGTTGACCCCGTCACCAACGAAGGCAACTATCGACCGCGAAGGGCATCCCTTTCTGCTTTTTCTGACTGAGTCGGATTGCAGCTCAAGTGAGCCTTCCTGTACCTGATGCACGAAATCCGCCTTTTCAGTTGGCAAGACGTTTGCCATTACATGGGTACGAGGAATTCCCAAGGTATCAGCAACCGCATGAGCAGTCGTTTCATTATCTCCTGTGCACATGAAGACATCGACCTGTCGGCTTTGAAGCTTTGCAACGACGCGTGCCGCATCTGGTCGGATGGATTCAGATATAGCGAATACAACAACTGGCACAAATGGAGGACGCTCTGAAGCTTCCTGAGGGGCGCATCGACGGAGTGAAAGTATTGCAACAGATTTCCCTGCTGTTTGGTATTTTGCAAGAAGTGATGATAGATAATAAGTGTCCGTGTTGGCCGGTGATAGTCTCTGTAGCAGCCGTTCGTTGCCAATAGCTGCTTCATAGCAGACACTCGGCGGCGAACCATCATTTTGCCCCTCATTATCGAGAGTCAGAGTGAAAGTACCTTGCATACCATGGCCAGCGATTTCGTGGATGTCGGACTCAAGAATTTGCACAGAAGGCGCTTCTTTCTGCTGACAAAACTGGCGGACTGCAGTGGCGATTGGATGCTTGCTCTGTTCCTCTAGACCTTGGGCGACGTTCCACGCGACAGAGAGTTGCGCCATATCACCAGTGAGCACCTCATAGTCGCTGATATGGAGACTCCCACTGTCCGTGAGTGTACCGGTTTTATCGAAAACTACGGCATTTAGCCGACTCGCCTCCTGAAATGCTTCGCCGCCTCCTTGGACCAGAATACCATGTCGGGCTGCAACTCCTCCACCGACGAACAGCGCCGTAGGTGCTGCAAGAGCCAAGCCACATGGACAAGCAACTACAAAAACTGCGATAGCGAACTCCAGGCTCCAAAATGTCCATCCCATGTGAGTGGAATCGAGGAAGTCGGTGGGCAGGACTCCAGATAATGCCAACGTAACCCAGGTGATGAATGTAATAATTGCGATGAGGGTGATAACCGGAACAAAATGGGCTGTCAGAGTATCGACAGCTCTCTCTATGGATGCTCGTTTGCTCTGGCCTTCACGAACAACGGTGATTATTTGATCAAGCATCGAAAGACCGCCTACGCCAGTGAGCCGCACGTGCACGGGCGAACCAACATTGATCGAACCAGCGAAGACTTGGTCACCTGCTTCCTTTTTCACTGAAGTAGACTCTCCGGTCAGAGAGCTTTCGTCAAACTGATAGGCGCCGTCACCAAGAATGATCCCATCTGCCGATGGTGATGAGCCATGGGGAACGCTAACGACATCGCCAACTTCCAAAAGATGGATACTAATGCTTTGCAACCGCTCCGACCCGCGTTCTCCTGCGTTCTCCACGAGAAATGCCTCGGAAGGAAGTAATTTACCCAAAGAAGCAACTGCATCATCGGTCCGTTCTTTGCTGTACGTTTCCAAGCAGCGTCCGGCAAGAATGAAAAGGGTTAAGAACACTACCGAGTCGAAACAGGTCGAGCGGCGTTGATCAGGTGCTGTACCATAGGATGCATCAAATATAAGTGAAATCAATGAAGCCACATAAGCCACTGCCGTGCCAGCCGAAATCAAAAGATTCATGCTACCAAAGCGATAGAACCTCTGCCCCAGGGGAGTGGAACTTCCAGGCCGCCATAGTGCATATACTTCCTTGAATGCTCGCTTATGAAACAAATCTGCCCCATAAAACATGACAGGCGTTGTTAAAAGCAGCAGTGCCCAGTCCATGAGGGTAATTTGCAGCCACATGGGCTGCTCCAAATAGCGCCGAAATTTGTTTTCAGGGGATACGAAACTCATGAATACCATCCCAACTAGAAACGTGGGAATAGCAATGAGGAAGACAAAGAAAAGACGCCCGAGCAACTGATGCCGGGCTTGCTTTTGCATGGCTCGAGATCGCTCCTCGTTAGTTGGCGGGTGGTAGACCTCAGAATGAATGGACTTATCGACAGAGTCAATAGAATTCAAGATAGTTCGAACAGTGAGGGAAGGAGGTCGCGGAAAATATGTAATTGTAATAATTGGATTCTCGAGTGACGGGATCTCTTGAACCTGGAGACCTGATATATCACTCAAGGAGTCAAGGATCAGGCCCACACAACGGACATTAAACATGCCATTGATGAGGATGGATGTAGTTCTAGAACCGGTGGGTGTGTCTAGATCAGTATCCGAGTTGACTGGAGATATGCTGTGGATTGAAGCGTTGTATCCCAAATCCTCAATCTTCGCGATGACTTGATCGGAATTCTCTCTGCCTTCAAACTCTACTTTTCCGCTATGGGATAGAAAGTTGATGGCCACATTCGTAACAAAAGGCAAGCTTTGAAGTCCTCGTGTAATGCTCTCCACACATGAGCCACAAGTTAAGCCACTGACGGCCAAATCAACAAGAAATAAATTCTGGTTGCTGCGGGCCGAAACTGCTTTGCTATTGACATGGTCAAGGATTGCCTCAAATCCCATGTCTTCTATCTGCTCAATAACCTTGTGAATGTCTGATCGTGCTCCGGTCCAACGAACTGTTCCATTATGGGTGAGATTGTTGACAGTGATTTCATCCACAAATTTGAGCTGGCTAACACAATTCATAATTGAGTTAGCACATGCTGCACAACTCATACCTCCAATGCTGATGAGAGCAGAGAACTTCTGAAAATTAGACTGAGGTTGCAAAAGCTGCGGCATGACGACTGTATGTGAATAACTTTGAATAACATTACCCTCAACATCACCACTCTCGACTAAGCTAATTAAGGGGGCTGTAAGGCTTTCATTCAAAGTTGACGAGCTGCTGTCCTCATCGTGAGATTCCTGATCGAGGGACATGATGGCTTGTGTGGATAGCCGTGGACTCGATGACTGAATTGAGTTGACACAGTACCTTTGTCGGAAAAAAAAGCATATTCAAGAAGGCATCGAAATAGTAGATTAAATCAATTCAATTATGAGACTAGTACTCTGCACTTGTTTCGCCAATACGGCCACAGAGCGCAGTCTCACACTTCCGTCCATGTTGGGCTAAAGCACCGAATCAATGTTTAATGATTGCTGATCGATGCAGTTTTGGTCGGATACCTAGACAGCACAGCATATTTCCTACTTCGTACTCTGTACGGGGTTACAGTCCTTACAGGTCACATAGTGTGCTTGGTTCTCCGTAGTATGTACAGTGGAGGTCAGAAAAAGAAAAAAAATATAGTGGAGCAAGTGGATACCTGGGTCGCTTTTGTGGGACGACCGATTTAGATCCCGTGCCGGCCCGTGCCATTTATATTCGTGGTATGGTAAGATTACCAACGATACACTGTAACGAACTAGTACACCCTATACGGAGTGTACTTAGCTTCTACAGGCTGCAGGCTTACTCCATATTTATGCTAGTTCTACCTGGTTTGTGGAGAATCGAGCATCGGTGGCTGGCTGGAACTCTCGCCACGGTCTTTATGACACGAACACGCATTAGTTTCACTCTTTTACTGTGTAATGGCATAATGATAGCCCATCCAGCAAGATAATAGGTTGCAAGTCGTGTTGGACGGGTGTAGAAATATGCATAATTAATTGGACCGATTTCCAAATGATAGTTTCAAGCCTATGACGTGCGGGCCGCTTCGGACTTGGTCGTATCTCGATGGCAGAGAAAAGGTGAACTACGTACTAAATTCGTTGGACTTGAAGTAAAAAAACCCGAAGAGAAAGAGCACTAGAAAGGGGTGATAGACTTCACCCAGATTGAAACAGACTAGACGACTTTTACTTGATTTCAACTATGGCATTTGAATACGATCCAACGGAAGTTGCCCCTAAGGTGGTTGAGGTCCTGAGAGCCTTCTCTCTGCATATCCGAAAGGAAGGCTCTCACGAAGGCTATGGAAAAGTTTTCGATTCTGTCTTCGATAGAGTGAAAGCATATATTGCCGAAAATGCGCCTATTACAATGGTCTTGCCTGCTTTCCCATGGAAAAATCCTAACCTCGATAAAGTCATAGGGTCAGGTCCGGATCTAGGTGAAGAGCTGGGGCTTTCGAGATTGAACGACATTTGCCAAGAAATCTCGAGGTTCTATGTATATGGAGCTCGACTTATGCTTATATGCGATGTGCCGGTATATAATGGTACGTAGAATTGGAAATTCTTTTGTGAAATGCCATCGCTGGCTGACCGTATTGTATTTAACAGATGTCGTTGGAATCCCCGATGAAGACGCCTATGACTATGGTCTGCATCTTCGTGAGCTGGCCCAAGAAAAGAAGTTTTCCTCAATTCAGTTCATCCGATTGATGGATTTGATGGGCTTGGGAGACGGCGAAAAAATCTCCAAAGCAGACTACTTAACGCTCGTTCCCACCGTCAGAGAGAAATTGATGTCTAGCGAGTATTTTGATCCAAATTTCGATATTGAAACAGAGCTCCAGACAGACCCTGATACCAAGGCCACGTTTAACGGGTTCTTCAGTCGAATGTCAGAAGACTTGAAATGGGGTAAAGGATTTGATGCTGCGGTCGCTGCCGGCCAGGCTGCATATGATGCAGAGGTGGCAAGAGTAGTCAAAATAGAGATGCAACGTCTTATTGTGGGTAGTATATCACACATTGCATCTCATGTTGTGCACTGACAAGTTGTGACACAGGCGTATGAGAAGTTGATCAACGTGACTCTGGGTAATCATATCCGCCTGTCAATCCATCCTTCAATAGGAAAGAATAAGATTTCCATCCCTCTTCTTCCGCATGAAGGAAAATTCGGCGACATGCCTTGGCATGCTAGTGTCTTGGTGCTTTCCAATGGCGAGATTAAAACAGGAGATGCAAAAGATTTTCGCGATCACTACGAGATAGTTAACAAAAATGGTCGGCCATACTACTTCCGCGAACGGAGCACACTGTACGACTGGTCAGTGCCGGTTGAGATTCAGCATTCATATAAGGAAGTGCTCATCAAGAATCCTGGAGAGGGTGAACAACTACTGCAGTTGGAGGATCGATTGAAGCTCGCGCGTTGCATTGTATTACACAAGGGTCAAACAGTCCATGTGGAAGGATTTACCATACCAGAAGGCCAGGTTGCATAGTGCAAAACTTACAGCTGTGGATATGGAACACTGGAGATTTGAAAACATTTAACAAACTATGGACTCGTCGATCAATGACATAATATTTCGTATTTCATATCAATATCATAGTATAGAAGCAAATCACCCTATCAGCTAGCTATATTTACGACTCTGATAGAACTCGGAAGTCTTCATCTCGCATTGGCCGCTTAGCAGTTAGACATCCCCCTAATACGTAGTCGAACTTCGAGGCGTATATGCATGCAATGCATTGTTGTATTGAAAACGAGGCCACTGCAGACCCACCAGCGCGGTAAGATTTTCGCTTTTTATTTTATTCTTCCTTTCCTTCAGTCGTGTAATAAGCAATACCCACTTGGTTTTTATTTTTTACGCTGAAATTTCCATCGAAAGGCACCGAGAAAGCAAAAGGACTAACCCAATTAGGAATATCCATATAAAACTATTTTCCTAACTGCGCAGTCGTTGACGTACAGAGCCCACTGCCAATTCAATCAAGCCATCGTTTCCTTTTTTTTTGTTCATCGTCCTGTAACATTTTCAGATATTAGAAGGGAGAAAATAAGAACCAAACTGTTAACGAGTTCTATTCCTTTCTAACTTCAATCTCAGATTTTATTCGTCACCTTTCTCTCCAAACACAATGACTCGGTCTGAATACGACGAGCGGTCTCCGTTGCTCGCTCGATCGTCAAACGCCGCAGAGGCTGCAAAGCAGATTGACTCTGAAATCCCCAATGGGGGCACATGGGCCTGGCTACAGGTTCTCGCAGGTCACCTTGTGGTCTTCAATGTTTGGGGTTATATCACCTCGTAAGTTGAGCTCTATACATCTACCATCAAAATCAGGTCAGGTACGGACCTACTAGGCTTTTTATTAACCACATTTTGTTTGTCTTTCTTCAGATACGGATTTTTTCAAGAGTACTATGTCAAGAATCTCCAAATAAGTCCAGCCGATGCATCCTGGATTGGAGCAGTCCAGATGTTCATGGTACATCTACTTGGAACATTTTCTGGTCGCGCAATGGACGCTGGCTACCTTCGCACCTGCATTGCCACCGGCTGTTTCTTACAAGCACTTGGAGCATTTGCCACGTCCTTTGGCTCAAAATTATGGCACTTTTGGCTTGCGCAAGGTCTCTGCAGCGGGATCGGCCATGGACTAGTCTTCAGCCCAATGATTTCGCTATTCTCGACCTGGTTTACCACGAAGCGAGTCATGGCTGTGTCCCTGGCTTCTTGTGGCGCTGCTACTGGCGGAATGGTCTTTCCTACAATTGCATACTACTTGTTCGACAGGCTCGGCTTTGCATGGACTGTGCGACTTATGGCTTTGATCATCTCGATGAATGGGCTTGTCGTGTCTGCAGTGACCAGAGCTAGAATAGTCGCTAAAAAGTCCAGTCCGTGGTTTGATATCTCTGCATTTAGAGAGCGCTCATACACGATGTTTTCTATTGGATCATTCTTCATCTTCGAAGGGATTTACTTTGCATACATCTATGTCAGTCTACCTTTTACTTTTTACTACCAACCCCATACACCGATATATGGAAACTAAAACTAACAGCCTAGATAGGTGAGACAATTTGCCCAAACGAAAACGGGCTTTTCTTTCCAGGAGTCCCTTGTCCTATTATTCTTGATGAATGGTGTCGGACTTCCGAGCCGTATCTTAGTTGCCTGGGTAGCCGATCGCTACTTAGGGGCTGTGAAAACTTGCATTTTGGTCTCTATTCCTTGCGGAGCCATGCTACTCTGCTGGATCGCTGTTGATACACACCAAAGCATGCTAATATGGGCCACTTTTTACGGTATTTTTGCCAATTGTGCTTTGAGCCAAGTGCCAGCGTCCAATGCCTATTTTGGTGCCAAGGATCCTGAGAAGTCAGGGACCCGAGTTGGGACAATCACCACAATCAACAGCATCCCGCTTCTTACCGGACCATATATTGCAGGCAAGCTCATTGCCTTGAATGGTGGGGACTACCTGTACGCCCAAATATTTGGTGGACTCTGTATTATCATTGGAGCAATATTCCTGGTCGGTGCTCAATTGGCGGATGGACGAAAGCTGAACTAGGTTCATAGCTCAATTACCCTGTACTCCGTGCCGAGTATTATTATCCTAAATTTAGTGTCTAATCAGAGTAAATCTTACAGTACTATTTTTGAAAAACGATTTTAAAAACCATCAAGAGACTGGGGAAAAAAAGGAAACCACAAAGTAGACACAGCGAGTGAGACGGAAAAGACTAGATAATCAAAGAGGAAAAATTGGAAAAACATATGCGTTCATCGGCGACTACCAATCACTAGTCGTCGGAGGCACGTTGGCCACCTCAACCCGTGTTGATATTTTACCTAAAGAGGCAAAAGTCTAGGCTAAGGCTGGGTAGTGGACGTCGCTTCCAGCTATCTAATGTGGGAGGTTAGTCTAGATTAAGTTTAATGGCCACGGAGAATGTTCGACTTAAAAGATACAAATGTGGGTCGCCCGCCTCGACGTCCAAGATATAAATCACGCTAGTAAGCATGTAATCTGCAGTACACGGCGCTAAGAAGTCCGAAGTTTGGTACGGTACGGGGCGGGGGCAGCGCCATTGATCTACTCGACACATCCTCCAATGAGAAGCTTCAGCCGGTATGTGCCGACGAACACTTCACTTTTGTTGCGACTTGTCAAGTTGTCATCCTACTCACAAACTCATAACCAGAGCACTGTTTTCGCCCCTTCGCTTAATTATCACTGTCGATCCAGATTTTATTCATATACCTTGCATGAACCATTACTGCCCATGGTATTATTATCTGATTTGTCGAAGGTAGACGCTGATCTCTGAGCTCTCAAATTGGTTTCCAGCATGAACTAAATAGCGGTATCGACTTGGCACCTATTATTGCGCATGACTATCGTACGTGTATAGAAGCAGAATATCTGAATAATCGGACTCGTTTGGAATCGGGGTTATTAATCGACCATTCATATCTACGTCTACCTTCTGACACTCTCTAACCTGTCAATCAACCAGCCCCCTTGACATAATCTTTCAAGTTTCTTTTCTCAGCCCAAGCACAGACTTACGTGGGAGATGTCTATTCGATTTTTGGCGCAAGGTCTTCCGCGGCCATTACTGCCGTTTCGAAGTGGCATATGCAACTCTTGGTCCAGCACTGGCTGCAAAGCTAGCTCCATTAAGATCATGACCTCCACCTTACACAGTTACCCATTGTCCACTACTCAGCTGAACAAGCCGCCACTACATTTCCATGTTCCGCTGTTTCCTGGCGTGCAGCTGCTAGATGTTGCTGGACCATTGGACGTTCTGAACATTCGCTCCCAGTACCCAGAGACTTCTGGCATTACGCTGACCCTGCTCTCATCAACTTTGGAGCCAGTCTCAACCAAGCCAGTCCCGCCACCAAGTGCCAAGTGGAACTTTAACCTTCCCCCGGAGTCCAACACGAGCTTTAACCCTAAAGTCGTCCCCGATGTCACTTTCCAAGATTACCTTTCAGCAATAGCCCGGGGCGAGATTGCAGATGATGCAAGTGGATCCCTCAAGCCAATTGATGTATTATTGATCCCTGGCGGTCCGGGCACACGGTTGGCACGTATCCACCCAGATACAGGAATCATTGCCAACACGCAGGAGGCGATAGAATTCATCAAGGCAATCGCATCACAAGTTCGACATAGCGTCATCACAATATGCACAGGTAGCCACGTCCTGGCCCAGACAGGTCTGCTCAATGGTATTGACGCCACTACGAACTCGGCTCGTTTCAGAGATGTTTCCACAGCGAATCATCCGCATAGCTGGAAAGTAAAGTGGAGGGAAAATAAGCGATGGGTACGATCTAGCGTGCCAACTACTTCTAGCACCGCCTCCCCGGCGCAGCTGAATGGTACCTCCGAAGGTGGTCTGCGTCCTGGCTTGGAGGTTTGGTCGTCGGCTGGTATTACAGCTGGCATGGACCTCATGCTCGAGTTCGTGAAGGCGCATTACGGTGGGGCGAAAGTTGCTGAACAAACCGCCAAGCGATTGGAGTATCGTTGGGAACAGACTGACGATAATTTCGTCTGAAACTAGGGGCTTTGGCGCCTGATCATCGGTGTAGTATGTACTGTATCCTGTACGGAATGCTGTATGTCGTATGAAGCACAAGATTAGTAGTATTCGGCTCCGTATTTCGCATGTATTACAATACACAAAAGTCGTCGTTCATCCATGCATCACTCACTCCACATAGCTTTTTTGGAAGAGCCTATCATCCTAGACAAACAGTATGCAAGCTTCGGCGTCTCTTTCTCATTTCGATGCGTGGTTTTTGCCTTCTGCGACCCCGCCTTGAGATGACTTGTTGGTCTGGGTCTTCGCTAAACCTGGTTTCAATGTCTCTCAGCCAGTCGATCGTCTAGATGCTAGATGCGATCATGTTGCCTGATCGAGATCTTCATTATTATTTCGCCGTAAGAGTGGGAATGGCGTGACACCATTGTAGAGCTCCGGTCTACATTGTATCCAAAGCGTGTGGACGAACCATTTTTGGTGAAAGTCCAGTCGTAAATCGCCAGTGTTCTGTTCTGAGCTTTGGATTGACTGCGTGCTCCTTTTGCCCCTTTTTCCCCCTTTCCACGCTAGGGGAAATATGACTTGGATCTGAGCTTGAGGTAACTGGTGGTTGGGAGAATGTGAAAGTCATACTCTTGAGATTCTCGGTCGGTGGCAAGACTCTCGTCTCAAATTTCACTCTTCGAAATTAAACATCAAGATTGCTTTTACATAGTAGGTCCCAGACTAGTTATATCCTGTCCAAAGTTCTTGCCCTTCCATCTACTCCTTTCCACTGTCGGACATTCATGAGCGGATTTGAGCAAATTAGGGCAAAACCAACCAATCTCCTGTATACCTAGATATCAACCACCACCCCGGACATCATGCTTGCCACAGAGATTGTTGAGATTCCTTCTCGTTTACCCTTCGACTATGCAGGGGACAACGACAACCGTCTATCTTCCATTCAGAAGCAAATATACGACTTTTTCCTACCTTGGCCGCGTCCAATCGAACCTGCAACCGATCATGTACGCCCCGAAGAAGAAAAGGAAAAGCCTCAGCAGAAGAAACAGCAAGAATACCAACAGGTTATTTGCCCTTACTCAGCTCACCTAAAAGCCGAGGAGATTATGAGCATTCTAGAGGGCTATGGCTATCACGAACGAACTGGACCGGCTGGCGAAAGTTGGCTGGGACGAGCATCTTTCACGCCACGAGTCCAGAAACACATTGTCGCAAACGAGATAATTCCCATGGTACTTCCTGCTTTTCCCATGAAAAGCAACAATCGCATGGACAAGGTCTTGGGTGCTTTGCCGGATCTTGGAGAGGAGCTCGGCCTGGCTCGATTGGCAAATCTATGCTCGGATATCAAAGCAGTTTACCCGCCTGGAGCGATGACTGTCATTGTCACGGATGGCTTATGCTATAACGGTTCGTAATGTCCCTGCTTTATAATGATTCTTGTTAACTAATAGGAAAACAAAAAAACAAGATCTTACTGGTATTTCCGACGGGGAAGTATGGGAATACGGACATCGCCTGCGACAAATTGCCCGCGAAAAGGGATACGCATGCATCAGATTCAACCGTATCATGAATCTACTAGGCATCTACAATGGAGCAGAAATCTCCAAAGACGACTACACTCAGCTTTGCGACAAGGCTCGGTCAGAATTACATCGTCGCTACGGCCGGCCGGGGTTTGATGTCGATAAGTTTTTGAAAAGCGACGAGGATTACCTGCGGACGTATAACGGTAAGATAGATTTGCCCCAAACTACCGATCAACCGATTCGTACTAAAGCTCACTTAAACATGAATTTAGGCTACGACAAATTTATGAAGGTCGACCTTCGCTTCAGCCCGGTGACAAAAAATTGTCCAGGACAGAAGCAATTCAAGAAGAAAGTCAAATCTGTTGCGAAGTCTATGATTGTACGCGGCGTGGTGAGTTTCCTATATTCCATATTTGATAAGATAAAACAGTAAAAGGGGATAAAGTGCTTATACATTCTCATATTTTAGGAATTCGCCGAACTGGTTCGTCAGATATATCCAGACAGTCTCCGTCTCTCGATTCACCCATCGTCTGGCCAAACCAAACTTTCATGCCCGTTGATCCCACAGCCAAACTCCTTCTCTATGAGTCCCTGGCACAGTACAGTTGGCGTGAAGAGCAACGGCATATTTGTCACGGCGCACAAGTCGCAGCACCGGCAAACCGGGAATTTTGATCTCGTTTACAAAGACGATCAGCCGTACTTCTTCCGCGAGAAGTCGCCGCTGTTTGAGTGGGAGGCTCAGGTAGAATTTGAGCATCTCTATCAGCAGAATTTGGTGGTTAGGGAGAAGAAGATACAACGTGATGATGTCCCTGAAACGACTTTTGATACAGAACGCAATCAAATCGCTAAGCAAGGGCTCTCAGAAGCTGACTTGGACAAGTTGGCTAAATTGGCCATCCTGCACAAGGGCATCAAATTTCAACCAGCTATCTAGCTACTGGGTAAATAATGAGGGAGTTTCCAAGAATGGTTACTTATGTATTGATATTTTTGGCGGAACGGAGGGTACATAAATCATCGAGAATGCTACTAAGCTTCATGCCGCGGTGTATCTATTTCTAAGCGTTGGGTCTTGGACCTAAGGGATTTTCGTTTTTCTTTTCTTATTAATTGTCTATCAGAAGCACATTCTGTTTAATGTTCACCATTGTGTTTATGTGGTGATGATGGCGGGATATGGTAAAGCTCAAGATGCAAGAATGCCTGCAAACGCGCGCGGGTTGGTAGTAAATAACAAAAGAAAAAGCAAATTAAATACGTCTTCGAAAATAAAGAAATAAGCCCCACTTAATACAACTAGACCCCTTTAATTTGCTGGCGGTATCGATGCATATAAGAAGCCACCACCTCCTACACGACAGACGGCGTCTTAGGGCTAAATCTTCCACACCCTCCGCAATGCGTCTACCGTCCACACTGCAGCACGGCGTCTCGCGTGTGATGTTAATCTGTCTGACCCCAGTCATAGCTTTGGTCATTCCAATAAAGCAGGAAACCCTGGGTGCAACATCTCATGATGTTTTTCCGCTGCCGACGCACCCTGTGCTTTCTACCGGACAAACCGTCATGCTTGACGGTGTTCCGTATTACTTACCTCCTGAGCCATTGACTGCCATAAGCCTACCAGACGATTATCAACCAAAAGTCGGCTTCAGCGCTTTGACGGTCTTCAAGCCTGAATCCCTGCCTTTCTATGAGGAAGAGCTGGAGGTTGCTGTTGAGAGCTATTTGCGTCAAGACGATGTATTTTCCACCGCATTCTTGCAAGGTATGTCCTACCCGGTAGTACGATATTAGAGAGAAGTATTCTGACATCTATGAAGCCATTTACGTGCACTCAACTAAAGGCGGCGAAGCACATGAAAATGGTGCATTGTCTCGCGCAGCACTCGCCAATTACAACACTCGTTTAGTCCTGACTGGGTCGACTGATCTCCCCCGGGGACCTTATTTCCTCTCAGCAGATGGATCTGTGTTTCAGGCTCTGAGACTCTACTCAGATACACAAGGCGCATTTTCTCAGGGACTTGTTGCGCTTCCAGACGGCTCATATTCCGCACTGCCTGCTGCTTTACCAGGCATCTCGGCTGTTGCGGTGCCCTCGCGGCTTTATTCGGCGAAGATACCATCGCAGCCACTGGCAGGCGTCCGACTCGCAGTGAAAGATATTTTCGACATACAAGGCGTCCGCACCTCAGCTGGAAGTCGAGCATGGTATCACTTCTACCCCCCGGCGAATGTCACGAGTCCCGTAGTGCAAGCTCTCGTTGATGCAGGCGCTGTTATTGTGGGCAAAGTCAAGGTATGTGTGCAACAACCAGGAAATCAATCCAGAAATGAGAAAGAAGAACAGCCCTAACACATAGCATGCAGACGTCTCAATTCGCCAACGGCGAATTAGCAACCGCAGACTGGATCGACTATCATTCCCCCTTCAACCCCCGAGGTGACGGATATCAACAGCCATTCTCCTCGTCCACTGGTGCCGGAGTCGGGGTTGCCTCGTATGACTGGCTAGATCTCGCACTCGGAACAGACACAGGAGGATCGATTCGATTCCCTTCGCAGGCAAATGGCGTATATGGAATTAGGTCGTCTCACGGTGCTGCCTTGCTAGACAGGGTTATTCCGTTGGCTCCCCAGTTTGACACCGCTGGACTTATTGCTCGAGATCCGGCTGTGTGGAAAACTGCTAGCCAGATCATTTACCCTAGTACACCGTTCAACTGGCCAGAGTATCCCAGACGGATTCACACGGTATATACAGACCCATTGAACGTTTCCGATCCAATTGATTCCATGGTGTCCGATTTCCTTGAGCAGTTGGCCAAGCATCTGTCCGCCAATATCACCGACATTAACCTGCCTACCTTGTGGGAAGCAACTCATCATCATCGTCCATCATCTAATGTGTCATCAGACCTAGCCGAAGTCATCGACAGAATATATCCGACCGTCATTGGCATTGAGCAGGCACGCCTTGTTCGCGATCCCTTCTTTGCCGATTACAAGGCCGAATTTTCCGGACGACGTCCTTTCGTGAACCCAGCGCCCCGAATTCGCTGGGCCTATGGCGACTCCCTACCAGAGGGGACATTAAAGGAAGCATTGAGCAACAGAACAGAGTTCCGAGCATGGATTGCAGAGAATGTGCTGCGGTCAAATCCCGATTCATGCTCGGGTAGTCTTCTGGTGTACGTTGAGCCTGCCACTCGACATCCGCTGTATCGCGACTATTATCGAGAACTGCCAACGATTCCCTTCGGGCATGCCGCGAGTATGATTAGTGTATACGCCGGCGTTCCTGATATGGTGCTGCCTATCGGAGAAAAATCGTATGCGAGCGAAGTTACGGGTGTCGAGGAGAAATCGCCCGTCACCGTGGATTTGTTGGCGGCCAAGGGATGCGATGGCATGCTCTTCCAGTTGGTGAATGAGCTTGCACGGGTGGGAATCTTGCCAGAGATCAAGGCTGGGAGATCGTTGGTTTCTGGAGGAGATATTCTGTTCTAATATAGACTGGTTTTTTAAAAGTTGTAAAATTTCGAGTGTAAATCCGATGACGCTCTCAAGCTATGCATATAAGGGAGTCTATAGTTGTTGATACAATAAGCCCTTGGTTCTAGACATGGATATAATGACTGAAACTAAGTAAGAATATCTGGGTATATATGGGCACTCGTACTACGGAGCAGTAGCTTCCCAAGCGTCGTACGTCGCCCACAAACCTGCCAACAAACTGATAAACCCGGTCAGACTAGAAGGGACACCGATGCCATTCTCAAAACTCCAGTGAGCACAGAGCGGAGCCCAAGCGGCGTTGCTAACGAGTCTCTTTCTCCAGTCGCGGATTTCTGCCTGTCGCGCTGCTTCTTCTATCTGTGCATCTTCGGCTTGCGACTTTTCGCCACCGGTCAATATTTGTTGTTCGGCTCGGCGCTTCTTCCTCTCCTCTTCTCGCTGGTTGAACAACTGCGATTCACGCGCAAGTCGCACGAACTGGAGCAGAACGTACGAGAACCACGCTCGTATGCTCCACAGAGTCCAATTTGTAGCGCCGCCCGTTCGCTTTATGAGTGCTTGGCCGGTCACCCCGTTCGCGGCAAGATATGTGACGTTCTCGAGGGCCTGATAAATGACCAACAGAGGCACCTCTATATACGAAAGCCCACGCAGCACGGGGTCTGTTGGGGGCGACTTATACGTAGAGGAGCCCCATTTCCACAGACCGACCAGCCCGAGGAGGCGGAGTGTGAAGCGGGTTTTGGATATCAGCGTCGAAAATGCTAGTAACGGTGGCTGCGCTGATGATGATGATGGTGATAAGGCAGCGGGTGGAGGAACGTCCCGGCCGAGTCTCCGCAGCAGCCACAGGCGAATGGCGAGTCGCAGGCTGGACAGCGGAGAAGAGGCCAGGAGGTAATGCAATGCATGCGAGCTGTGGTTTAGGGCGGAGAGCACGAGGTCCAGGCCGGCTTTTGAAGACAAGAGCCTGGAGAGCGTTGAGCAGGAGGCTTTGTCTATCTTACGCAGGGCTTGCTTGGTACAAAACTCACGTGTTTAGCCGGAGGATTGTCTCGTCGGTCTTGGACACTGCGGCCACGACAGCGTGCGAGACAGCTGTGCAGGGCATCTTTTCAGCCATGGCGTCGCAGGGCTTCTGCTTCTATTCATCTGCTGGGAGGTGAGTAGTTGAGAAAGTCGAAAGTCATCATCCAGAACTTAGCCGATGATGCCTGCCGAGGTCCAGCCAGGCTATCAGCTGCCTCAGGCCGGCCACAGCCATAGCCATAGCCGGCGCTCGAAGCAGCGACAGAGTCAGTTAGTGGTCTCTATTGACGATGACATTTCATTGTTCCAGGACAGCAGATAGCCTATACCGTATAGCATATAACTACCGAGTAGAATCAAGCCAGAGAGCGCGGATATGTACTACGGACCGCGGAATCGGCCGACGCAGCTGTCCGGCTCGCAGTTGGCCAGGCTGACCCGGCGCCAGCTCACCCACAACACAACACACAACCCGCCGGAGCATCGTGTTTCTGCTGCCAGAAGAACATCTCCGCCCGTGAACTGGGTAAGTGGTATACGCTCTACGTGTTGCGCTTGTTAACTGTTGCTTGCTTGCTGCTGCTGCTGCTGCTCGGCGCTGGCCGACGCTCCGTTGCTTGGCGCTTGATCGGATAAACAAACACCAAAAACACATCCCAACCTCCCCTTTATCTCCCCCACGGGTCCCTGTGCACTTCCCAGCTTACTACGGACTCCTATTGAGTATTGACTGACTTGCTGCTTGGGATGTGATTGCGCATGCCAGCCAATTGACTGCTCATCGTCTTCGCTTCCCCCTCGAGACCCGGACGCGAATCGCCCAGCCATCCCGCTCCCCGCGTTGACTGACCGCAGCAGCCATGTCTGTCAAATTCCAGCAAGACACTGTTCGTGCCGTCGGCGTCAAGCCTGAGGACCTGGCCCCCCATGCCCACGACCTCGCGCACAAGGTCGGCGAGCGCCTGACTGGTGGCAACACCCACACCGGCTATCTCGCGGTATGTCGAACTTGGCCAGAAGGGATACGGGCTATGCGTACTAACGGATTTTGATGACAGGCCTACTTGAAGCAGCTGCAGAAATATCCCCTGCGCACCAAGATGCTCACATCCGCTGTGCTCTCGGCGTTGCAGGAATTCGTGGCCTCGTGGCTCGCCCATGATATCAGCAAGCATGGCCATTACTTCAGCTCCCGCGTGCCGAAGATGGCCCTCTACGGAATGTTCATCAGCGCGCCAATGGGCCACGTTCTCATCGGCATCTTGCAGAGGATCTTTTCGGGCCGGTCGAGCTTGAAAGCCAAGATTCTTCAGATTCTGGTTAGCAACTTGATTGTACGTGAACCCTTCCGGTTGTATTCGTGACTGTAGATGCGATGATTGCTTATTTGGTTTGTATCTGCAGATCTCGCCTATCCAGAATTCTGTATATTTGATTTCCATGGCCATCATCGCCGGCGCGCGCACTTTCCACCAAGTCCGCGCAACCGTCCGCGCTGGTTTCATGCCCGTCATGAAAGTCAGCTGGATCACGTCGCCCATCACTCTGGCTTTTGCCCAGTACTTCCTCCCCGAACATACCTGGGTTCCCTTCTTCAACATCGTGGGATTCGTCATTGGTACATATGTCAACACCCACACCAAGAGAAAGCGCCTTGAAGCGCTCCGCCGACAATACGATCAGCGACGGCCCGGTCCTCCTGGTCCCCCGGGTCCTCCGGGCCCTCCAGGCAGCGAATACGGTCGTCGTGACTACTAAGCCTTCACACGTCTTCTATGATACCAGCTGTAGATGATACCATCGAAGGCCGAATTGCGGCCGACACAATTTGGAGGTTGTGGAATACGTGGAAACACGTGTTGAGATATTTTCTATCTTGGGAATGGCGTCGAGTTTCGAATTTTCGTACATACACACATCACACAGAAAAAAAAGGTAGTTACGACGTGGAAAGAAAAACCGAAATACAGGAATGTGATATCAAGTGGGTTGGAGCAACAATTCCAGGATTTGCTTGTACTTTTTTTTATGTCATGTATTTAATGCTTGTTTCCTTTGTATGTCATGCTATGCTTATATGAGTTTTCTTTCAGATTCGTTCAGTAATGGTTTATTGGGATATCGTTTCGCAGTTTTTCGGCGATGCGTTGATGGGATATTGATCCAGGTAGAAGAGAAATGCCATAGTTATAGACGAAACTGATTCACTCAACATCCATGGCTCCTCCACTCCCAAGCTTCGCACCACGCTTATCTTGCTGCACATATGCGACAAAATCATCCAAAGTGGCAGGCCAGGCACCGTCGGCACTCCACCATCCAAAATGCTCGTCCTCGCGGGTCTTGCGCATAAACACCTCGGTCTGCTCCCATAAATCTTTATTGACGGGTCGTTTGCCCCTGGATTCGAGGAATTCCAAATACCAGTCCAGCCACGGCGTAGTAGGGGTATTCCAATCGACACCCCCATTGCCGCTGGTGTAGAAGAGTTGCCATTGCTCCGATGCGATTTCAAACGTCAGGTTGCGCTGGCCTTGCATGCGACAGAGCGGAAAGGCATATCGGTACACCTTGCGGAATGTGTCTGGTTGTGAGGATATTCGTGTTCGGAGCGAGGCTGCGTGGGATATCATCTGGGGTATTGACTCGACTCTTTTATTGTGTGTCAATTAGCTTAGTTTCAGAACATATTTCTAATAAGAGACATGACTCACGCAACACTCTTCCATCCGTCGACAAAGCCCGCGCGAGTAAATTCGCCCATGCTGGGTGATTTCAGTAACTCCGCTATTCCCAAGCACGCAACCTCATCCAGTTGTACTTGAATGGCTTCGAGGAATTTCATGGCTCCCTCGATTCCGATTGTGTCTGGGTTTTCTTTGGGGTCATCTATTTCGCATTCGTCAGAGATGGATGTAGCTGAGCAAGCGAGAAGTGGGCATATGAACCTCGATATTCGTCAAAGATCTTGTTCAGTGCTGGGATCAACGAGGATGATGCGGCCGCCTGGGTGCTGGAGAAGTATCTGCAGAACTTAGCTTTGCGACGAGAAGATGGGAAAGGCTGTGCGTACGCATCAACGGCCTGTTCGACATTCCAGCCATTCGCGCGCAGAAACTGTTCAGTGAGAATGCCGAGTTAGCCTATCTATTGAAGAGGGGCGCAACAGCGACATGGCCCGCTTACCTTGGAAGCAACGGCGTCCTTGGCCTGTGTCAAGTTCACGAACTGCGATATGTAATGCCTCTGGGTGCCTGTGTAGGGCGGCATGGCTGGTTGGGTTTCTCGAAGATGTGCGAAGGCAATGAAAGCAAGAGGGGAAGAACAAAGATGACGCACGCGGGGGGGGGGGGGGGGGGGGGGGGGGGCCGCCGGACTAAACGGAGAGGCGCTCAACGAGAGCTAATTTTGCAACAAGAACAACAACATCAACAACAAAAGACAAAATCAAAGACGATCAACTGAACGCCAAAACACTCAAAGGACGACGGGGATTGCCGAATCTGGCGAAAACGTGAGGCTGTCGCAACGTTTCGACTCGAAGTCAGCGCGCAATCTCATTGGACGCAGCTGTCTATCTACAACGACTGCCCAGGTTGAGGGCTTGCAACACAAGATATCTGTGGAATAATCATATATTTATGGCATGGAGTATGCATACTTCGCACTAACAGCAGATGAGATAAAATACAGCAAGATTGCACAACTTTTGCCCAGCCTGATACCACAATAACCAACCCCATTACGCCTAGAAATGCAATATACGACTTGGACTTGCTATGTCGTGAACAAAGTATCTTCCTGTGACATTGTCAGTATGTGCACACCGGTTGCACGCTCGAGTGTACAGTGGACTCACCTCTCTGAGATAGAGTCCGACGTCAGCTTGGTTGAAGACGCTGATTGCGGTCGGTTCGAGTTTTCTGGCTTCTGCAGTCGACCGCGCCGAGATTCCAAAGCCCTGTAATTGGCGAATGCACCGGTCAGCTCGATTCCAGGGAGGACTTGCAGATCTGATCTGACAACAGCAGTGAAACATACCAAGGGCGTGTCATCCTGCGAAAAGACCACGCATCCGCTATGCTCCGGACAATCCTCAGACCACCGCAGAATATGGGCCTTGACAATGTTTCCACCGTATAAAAAGGGCTATCACACATAGAATCAGTATGCCGGGCATGGCCAAGGGCTCATTCAGTTGCTCTTTGAAATAGAACGCACCTGGACGCCATTGGGCTTAATCCACACTTTATATCTGGCTAGAGGGGCAATCAAGTCAAGCCTAACATTCTCACAAGGTCAGCGAGATGTTGCTCCCGAGAACAACGTTCCAGTAACCCGAGGGGAACATACGCAGTGATGTGCAGTCGAAATTTCATAGTCTTTGTGAACTTTCCCAGGCAGATTCCCAAGCTCAAGAGGTTATCACGCGCAACACTAGTTGCAAGATTGGCTACCGACAGCCTCACATAGTATACCCTGGAGCCCTGCACTCGAAACACATAGCGCTCATTGTCGTCCGGAGGCTGAATGAGTTGGTTGAGCGATCGGCCGGTGTAGTTGGCGAGTTTCTGGAACACGATCTTGGTTTCTTCTTCTGTTAAGGCGCGCATTTTGACGTCGCTGCTGCCTCCCTAGTCTTCAAAAATATCTAAATGCTGGTGATGAATTGCTATCAGAAAAAAAAATAAAAAACTGAAGCTCCGCGGACTAGAGTGGGGCGGATGCGGAGTCTTGGCGCAAAAATTCAACTAACGGGAAAAAAAAAAAATTGAGGCAGCAACACTCGGTACATCGAATCGATTGCTTTCACGCAGACTTTACGTCTAGTCAATATCCATTTGAATCATGGGTATCGCGCGAGAGACAAAAAGAAGGCGGCTCTCGCCTTCTGACGATGAGAATGCCTCCGCAGCCCCGAAATCAAAAACATCGTCCTCGTCGACCGTCCAAAAGCAGTTCTTCAGCCGGGCTGCAGAATGGGATCTAGAACAGGACTACGAGCGAAGGCCCAGGAAGGGCAAAAACAAGAAAGACCGGGAGAAAACTCGTTTACCAATCAAAACGGCCGAGGGGGTGGTGCACGTCGATGAACCCGAAGACGCAGCAGCGGCGAGTGAATCAGATAGCTTCCTTGACACGGATTCAGAGGATGATAAGGCCGAGGGAGATCGAAATGCAGGAGCAGAAGAAGAAGAAGAACAAGCCGAGGCAGCGCCGAAAATCCCCCTGAAGCTTCAGATTATACAGGCAAAGGAAGAAATGGCTAGGATTGCGACGTTGATAAACGAAGACCCCGAAGAGCATATCGGGTTATTCAAGAGACTGGCGGAACTCGTGGACAAGGCCCCCACGCATGTTGCAATCAAGAAGCTCGCACTTGCTACACAGGCCGCGGTTTTTAGGGATGTCATTCCAGGCTACAGAATCCGCCCTATTGGCGACGAAGTCAACAAAAATGAGAAGCTCTCGAAGGAGGTCCGACAGCTACGTGGCTACGAGCAGTCGTTACTATCGTCCTATAAGCACTATGTGCAACAATTGACAAGTCTCTCAAGAGGCAGCAGTCGTGGCGGCAACGAAGACAATGCTGCTAACAGCATACGCACCGTCGCAATCAACTGCGCATGTAATATGCTTCTCGCCGTACCGCACTTCAATTTCCGAACCGAATTATTGAAAATTCTCGTTAACCGGCTTTCGAAACGCCGAGTTGATGCCAACTTCATCAAAAGCCGAGAAACCATGGAAGAAATCTTTGCCAAGGACGACGATGGGATCGTCTCGCTTGAAGCAACGAGTCTATTGTCGAAAATGATGAAGGCAAAAAACTTCAACGTTCACGAGTCATGTCTCAACACCTTTCTGCATCTTCGTTTATTAGCCGAGTTTTCTTCCAAGGGCTCGCGTGATCGTATTGACCGTCGCGACGACGACGACGATGACGACAGCTCGTTTCAAGGCAAGAGAAAACGGAAGAACAAGAAAGAATTCCGCACAAAGAAGGAACGCAAGCTATTGAAAGACCGCAAGGCAGTTGAAAAGGACATGCGCGAAGCGGATGCATTGGTCAGCCACGAAGCGCGCGAGAAGAACCAGGCAGAAACATTGAAGCTAGTCTTTGGCACATACTTTCGAATCCTCAAATTGCGAACGAACACCAAGCTCATGGGAGCCGTGCTGGAAGGGCTGGCCAAGTACGCACACTTGATCAACCAGGACTTCTTCGGCGACCTCCTCGAGGCTTTGAAAGAGCTCATCACCCAGCTTGAAGTTGAAGATGTTGCCGAAGGAGACGAGAAAGATAGCGACGACCAAGAGAACGACGCAGCAGACGGTGACGATGAGCTGATCATTTCAAGACAATCCACTCGGCAAATCCTCCTCTGCACAATCACCGCATTCGCACTTCTCGAAGGCCAGGATGCCAGCAAGGCCGCTTCGTCTCTGCATCTCGACTTGAGTTTCTTCGTCACGCACCTTTATCGCGCTCTGTTCCCGCTCTCCATCAATACCGATATCGAATACAACCCGGAGAAGTCACTCCGACTCCCCGATCCAGGCACCTCCAATCACGACAACAACAATAACAACAACGACCAGCACAAACGCAAAAACAAAGTCAACTTCCAAACCCCCATGGTCCTCCTCCTTCGCTGTCTCCAATCAACCCTCCTAACCCGCACCCACGGCATTGCACCCCCAATCCGTCTCGCGGGCTTCACGAAGCGGCTCATGACAACCTCGCTCCAACTACCCGAAAAATCATCCATAGCCTTGCTCGCTCTCCTCTCCAAAGTTGCCAAGCAGCATGCACGCAAAATCGCGCCTTTGTGGAACACTGACGAGCGCAAAGGGGATGGTGTTTTCAATCCTGTTGCGGCGGATGTTGAGAAGAGTAATGTCTTTGCGGGCACCGTGTGGGAAGGCGAGTTGTTGAGGTTGCATTATTGTCCTGAGGTTCGTGAAGCGGCGGTGGGGATTGATAAGTTGATTGCTTCTATGTGATGGGTCGGTGTTCAGGAATGGTATAGGAGGCATTTCTATATAAATAAACATGGTAGTTTAATTGTTAATAATGCATAGTCATGATTATCAACGAGCACCACAAGAGATTGAGGAGAGATATATTCATAATTATCATTCGTTCATTACACATCAATAACCAAATATTGCCACTATAAGTACAAATACTCAAGCTGCACTATGGCATTCATTAGAATCACAGAAGAAACTCGTAAAAACTCAACGCAAGGAAAATGGCAACAATAAAAAAAAAAGGCACAATTGCCACACTATTACTTGTACAGCCAGCAGGCATTCTCATCGAGCCCATACTCAATCATCGACAATCATACAGTCAAACAGATTTGCGGTGTAGGTTCATCAGCTTTGGACAGGGGTATAAACATATAGAGATTTGTCGCATGTATTCTGATAAGCATCCTAACGCATATCAATACCAAACAAACTCTTCCTTTTTGTTTCTTCCTGTTTGCAAAAAGGATTTGTGACGAACTATGGACAGTCCAAATAATCAACAGCCTATCCACGTTTCTCTATAGAGTCCTTCCTAGAGTAAGGCTCTTTAGTCCGAAGTCTTCTTTCGGCGCAGGCCGCCGAAAAGACTTCCAAATATACTCGACAAAATGGTCTTGAAAAGAGCTGTAAGCCAGTTCCCAGACTTCAAGGAAACAGCCGTGGCTGATTGGGCACCGGTGGATCTTGCGTCCTCATCGCGCACGACCTGTTGTCCATTTTCAGTCGTTCCTTCGGAAGTCTCTGTGATCTGTGATACATCATTGTTCTCGGCAGCAGCCTCGTTGCCGTTTGTCGTTGATGCACCGGCGGCGGCAACATGCTCATCCTCTTCACAGAAAGATTCGACACGAGCGCTGTTGTCAGAAGGTTTCTTGTCAGTGGTGAGAAGGTTCACTGCAGACACCGAGCCTCCAAGCTGTTTGAGGAGTGCTTCGCGGTCTCTAGCAAGCAGCTGAAGCGCTGCATCAGCCTCCGGTTCAGGAGTAGGAGGCACATCAAGACCATTAGCAGCCTTGGCTGATTGCGACTCATCTGTTGGTGGCTCAATCACGGGGACATGTTTTGATTGCTCCGCCTTGTCGCTTTGTGCAGCGTGCGACGGCTCAACTAGCGTGTCTGCAGCAACTGCTACAGCTGCAGCAATAGCACCAGCACCACCAATAAGCCCGAGAGCTTCAGTAGTGCCGAAGCTCGAGTCCTTCGAAACCACTTCGGTTTCTGGTGCTTTGTCGTGAACTGCGGGACTTTCAACAGGAACTGGCTCTGTTGTAGTGTCTTTGGTAGTCGGAGCTTCAGCGGCTTTTGGTTCATCCAAATGAATTTCTTCAACAGCAGGGATGTCCCTTGGAGTATAACCAACAATATCATGTGCCGCCACGCTCGGTTCAGCCGGCGCCTCCTTCGCAACTTCGGGGGTTGGGGCGGCATTGACATCTCCGGTGCCGACAGGCTCTTCAGCAGCCTTGAGAGACACCTCTTTAGCTTCTACGGCATGCTCTGCGGGGCTCTGTTCAGAAGTTGCTCCTTCCGCTGCAAAGGCTCCAGCACCCGCTGCTGCTGCTGCTACACCTGTGGCGGCCGCCGCTTCTTCAGTGATGGTATGCTCTTCAGCAGAAGTAGAATCTTCCTTTGTCTCTTGTGCCTCCACTTTGTCTTCATGTACAGGTAAAGGAACCTCCTCTTCGATTGATTTCTCTAGGGGTGCCTCGGCGTGGGTAACTTCCTCTGGCTTGGCCACTGCCTCAGGGGCATCTGTGGTGACTTCAGCTGAGGCAGCCTCTGGTTCTGGTGCTGACACTTCTTCAGCAACTTCCTTGGCTGTCTCAACCGGTTCTTCAACAGGCGCATCAGCTGTTTCAGCTGGTTGCTCGTCTGTAGAAACATCTTCAACAGACGTCTCCTTGGTACCATCATCGGCAGGCTCAATGGCTTCAGCTGGCTTGATTTCGGCAACTTCCGATGTGGGTTCTGCTGTGGGTTCCGTGGATGCTTCAATTACCGTAACAGCTGGTGTATCTTCAGTGGCCTTGACAGCTTCTTCTTGAACAGGTGTTTCAGCACTTGGAGCAGCAGCTTCTGTATCATCAACCTCGGTGGATGTTTCTTTCAAGTCGGAAACTGGCGCTGGCGTTGGCTCATCAGGAGATTGAGTAGATGCTTCTTCAGCGGGTAGCTCTTCTTTAACTTCCGAGCTTTCATCTTCTACTGCTTCGTCGATCGCAGCGACTTCGGTTACTTTCGCAACTTCTGACTCTGCTGCATTCTCAACTGAGGTCTCTTGCGGAGCCTCGAGAGTTGATTCTGTAATCGGCTCTGTCACATCGTCTTTTGTAACTTCAGCAGCTGGCTCGCTCTCAGCAGTAACGTTTTGCTCTTCTGCCTCTTCCGCCTCTTCTGTAGGTGCCGCATCTGTTTCCGCGGCTGCTACTGCTTCTTCGACAGTGGAAGGCAGAGCCTCTTCAGTTGAACTTATTTCGGGAACCTCTGGAGCTGGTTCTACCTCCTTGGCTGTTTGAGATTCCTCGTTTACCTCTTCAACATCTGTAACCTCAGCAGCTGACTTTTCAGCTGAAGATTCCTGCGCTGGTTCCTCAACAGGTTGTACGGTTATTTCCGTTTCCTTCAAGGCCTCCTCCGCAGGTGCTTCGCTGGCCACTTCGGTAACTTGCTCGGCAGAAACTTCTTCATCTTGTGCCGTTGCGACAGGCTCCACAATTGGCTCTTCTGCGGGCGATGATTCGGCAATTACGGGTTCTTTCACAGTATCAATAGTTGCTTCCTGTGGCTCGGTAGATAGGGGCTCCGGTTCTGCAACTTGTTCTTCAGGAACAGGAGTGGACTCTGACTGTGGCTCTTCAGCTACCACAACTTGCTCAGTATCGGGTTGGGCTTGCTCTGTAGTAGCCTCCGTAGCATCTGCAACCTCAGAAATGTCAGCTGTTTCAGCCGATTGCGTAGGCTCGGTTGGCTCGGTGGCCTCAACAGCCTTGGTAGTCTCAACGTGCTCAGTAGATTCGGGAACGGGAGATTCGGTAGCGTCTGCGACCTCAGGGATATCAGCTGCCTCAGCCGGTTGCTTAGGCTCGGTGGCCTCTGTAGTTTCAGCAGATTCATGAATTTCAGATGGTTCTGTAGTCTCTGCAGTCTCGGTGGCTTCGGTAACCTCAGTTGCCTTGACAGTCTCAGCAGGCTCAGCGGGCTCTATAGACTCAGCAGACTCGGTCGTGTCTGTTGGTTCAACAGTCTCAACGGGCTCAGGAGTCTCAACTGCCTTAACAGTTTCGATGATTTCCACTGTCTCAGTGGGCTCAGTAGCCTTAGCAAGCTCGGTAGTTTCGATGGTCTCAGAGGGCTTCTCAGCGGATTCTGAAGATTCAACTGCCTCAACTGCCACAGCGGGCTCAGACATAGCACTGTTTTCGGAAGTCTCAGTAGGCTTTACAGTCTCAATGGACGTTGTAGTTTCAGGGGCCGCAGGAGTATCGGTAGGTTGTACAGACTCAGCAGGTTCCGACGGTTCAGAAGTCTCAACAGGCTCGATAGTTTCGGTAGGCTCGGAAGGTTTCTCAACAGATTCTGCGGTTTCAGTAGTCTTAACTGCCTCCGCCAGTTCAGTAGTCTCATCAGACCCAGCAGGCTCAGCGGAATCAGTCGGCTCCGCGGCTTTCTCGACAACCTCTGCAGTCTCCGTTGTCTCGGTACTTTCGGTAGCCTCAGTTGTCTCAACTGGCTGAATAGGATCTACAGACTCAGTCGACTGGGTAATTTCCGAAGCTTCAGTAGCCTCGGAGGGTTTCTCAGCAGATTCTTTGAGTTCTGTAACCCCCTCGGCAGTCTCAATAGCCTTAGAAGGCTCAGGAGATTCGGTGGCTGGAGGTTCTTGGACTTCCTGGGATGGCTCAGCAGCTTCATTTGCTACAGGTTCTTCGGCTTGTTCGGGGGCAGATGCTTGTTGCTCAACAGCAGTCGATTCCTCCACAGTCGCATCAGTCTCAGCAGCATCGGTGGCTTCGGCATGTTGCTCAACGGGTTCAGTTATCTCAGTAGCTGGCTCAACAGCTGGTTGCTGATCTTCTTCCACCGATTTTCCAACTTGTTCCGTAGTGTCCACTTTCTGCTCAGGTGCAGATTCCTCTGTAGTAGCTGTAGTTTCGAGGGTAGTTTCGAGGGTTTGCTCCGCGGGCTCAGCAGACTCTTTGGTTTCCGCTGCTGGTTCGACTTCCTCGGTAGCTACTTTCTCTACTGATTCTTCAGGTTGTTGAGTGTCGACTTGTTGGCTGGCTGCGGGTTCCTCTGCCGTAGTGGTGGTCTCGGCAGGTTCCGTGGGTTCAGCAGCATCGACATGTTGCTCAACAGGCTCAACAGACTCCTTAGTCTCAGTAGCTGACTCAACAGCCGGTTCCTGAACTTCCTTCTTTGCTGATTCTTCAACTTCTTCCGGAGTGTCAACATTTTGCTTTGGTGTAGATTGCTCTGGAGTAGCGGTAGCTTCGATAGTCTGCTCAGCGGGCTCGGCAGGTTGAGTAGACTCGGTTGCCTCTGTAGCTGGCTCAGGGGTCGTCTCTTGGACTTCCTCGGCAACGGCCTTCTCTTCTGATACTGCCGGTTCTTCTGTTTTCTCCAAGATTTCCGCTTGCTCTGTACCAGTAGATGGCCCCTCCACCGCAGTTTCAACTGTTGGCTCTGCTGGGGTTTCAGAGGGCTTTGCTTCAGCGGCCTGCACTGAATTGAGTGCTGATTCCTCAGCTGCTGCTTCTACTGGTTCCACAGTGCTTGCATCGTTAGCTGGCACGTCTGTTGGCTTTTCCGCTTCTTTGGCACTCTCAGTTGAAGGCTCAGATGGTGCATCAGGAGTACTTTCGAGAGCCTCCGCTACCTCCTTTGTGCTATCAATTGGTTCAGCCGCAGCTTCAGTAGCTTCTGGAGTGGTTTCTTCTTTAACGACTTCCTCCAATTTTGCAGACGGCTCCGTGGCTGTTTCCTCGTCAGCTTTTGCAGCTTCTGGGGCAACTGTATCGGCGACTTCAGGTGTCTCAGCAGTAGCCTCCTTCACGACTTCAGCAGGAGCAGTAGTCGATTCGTCTGCGGCATCAACAGCTGGTTCTTCAAGAGAAACAATAGCCTTATCATCAATAGAATTGGTTTCTGTTCCGACCTTGCCTTCAGCATCCGGTGTTGTGGCGGTTTCGGAATCTTGGGCAACAGGTTCAGGAGTAGTTTCTGCAGCCTCCTCTGGCCCTTTGGGAGCAGAACTCTCGATTGGGGGGGTTTCCTGAGTCTCGGTAGCCTTAACAGTCGGCTCTTCCACTGTCTCCGACTCCTTTGTGACTGGTTCGCCCTCAGATTCCTTGGGTTGTTCAACAATAGGAGTCTCTTCAGTTTCCACTGGCGCTGGTTCATGAGTAACAGTCTCGGCAACGTCGGTCTCGATCTTCGACGGCTCCTGCTCGGCTGGTTTCTCGTCACCTGATTCCTTCACTGCTTCAACTGTGCTAGAAGCTTCAGGCAGAACCTCTGCCAGTTTGTCTTCAGGCGTGCTCTCAGCACTCTGTTCGACTTCTTTCTCTGCCTCAGTCTGTGGCTCTGATGTTTTTGCAGTAACAGTTGATTCCGGAGCTGGCTCTGTTTCCTTGATGTCTTTCTGAGAAGCTTCAGTTGCAGGTTCAGCCGTTTCCACAGCAGTTGATTCGCCATCAGCGACAGCTTCGGTATGCTCTTCCTTGGCCGGCTCAGAAGCAACCTCGGTTGCGTTAGACTCAGCGGCGGTTGTCGTAGCTTCTGTTGCAGATGTCTGATCATGTTGCACCTCCTCAGATGAAGGCTTTTCTTCGTGAGGCTTTTCAACAGCCTCAGCCTTGCTGTCATCGGATTTTTCTCCAGTTGCATTCGTCTGTTCAGCAACCACAGCCGGTGTGGCTACATCTTCAGCATTTGACGGAGTCTCTGCCTCTGCAACTTCTGGTTTCTTTTCAGGCGCTGCCTCCGCAGACTCGTCCTTGGTAGCTACAGCATCGGTAGCGGTCTCTTCGCCAGCATTCGGCTTTTTGTCTTCGACTTCTTCAGAAGGAGGCACCTCGCCTGCTGTCTCTGTTGTTTTGCCTTCTTCAGAAGCACCTTCCAGAGATGCTGCAGGTTCTCCCGAGGCCTCAATCTTAGCATCCTCACCGGCGGGAGTTTCTTCTGTGACTGGCTCCTCGGCATGAGCTCCGGTATCGACTTCGGCGGAAGCGGGAGCATCTTCCGACACCTTCTCATCGACCTGCGCAGCGGATGTCTCGGCCTTGGATTTAGAGTCAGCGGGCAACTCAGCACCATTCACATGGTTCTCCTCCTGTTCCTTGGACGTTGTGGTTAGGGCATCGGCCTCGGCCGGAAGACTAGTAACCGTGGGTCCGCTTTTGCTATCATTCGTGACTGTGCCGGATTTTCGGGTCAGATTTAAATTTCAATCTGCGCACAAAGTTCTGTATTTCTGCTCAGACCAAAAAAATAAAGAAAATACTTACCAGCTTCAGCAGCGGCATTAGTAGGCGCAACGGGCTCTTCAATCTCGGCCATAATTCAATGGTTTGTAAGAGCCGTGGACTCGCGAAAAGGGGGAGGAGTGAGGTGAAAATGAAGTCAAAGGCTCAATTCCGTCGAATTGAAGGGAGGAGGGAGATATTCGATAGGTATTAGGGTGGAATATCCCGACGAGGCAGGAAAGAAGCACAGCACTGCCTGTGAAAGAGTTTTCAGAGACGCGGGAGAGGAAATAAGAGGTACAAATACAGAAAAGCGTCAAAACAACAAGAACAAACAAAAGCCAGAAAGAGTACAAGTAATCTCAAAATGACAAGGGTATCACGTTTGTTCAATGTATCATAACACTCGTAAAGGAGGAATAATTAATGGACAGTTTTTGGAGGGGAGGACGCAGAGAAAGTAGAGGGGGAGAGGAGGAAGGAAGGAAGGAAGAGGAGAGAAAAACTTCTTCCTCAGGCAATCACAGCGCCTATATATAACCACGTAGGTACCTTACCACTTAGGTATCTACTATCTCCAGCAGCCCCTCTCACTTGTCTACCTCGAGGGTGTGACTCAGGCGACTGGTTGGTTTGGACGCTAAGCAGCAGACTATAATCTAGATAGCTATTTAATATGAAAATTCTACTACGCAGTTATCAACATGGCTACAAAAGCCGCTGGTGGTCTAAATATCAAACAGTATTGCGTGGTGTATAAGTCCGGCGTGTATAAAATGGGTTGAGTCTGCTAGCAGCAGACTAGCACAGGCACTAAGACGAGAGCAGCAGCTGTTTGCCTTTTTTTGGTCTCGGTAGGTTCTTCGTTGTCACAGTGACAAGGTCCTAGCGTGGAAGCTTTGGGCAGATCGGGATTAGTTTGAGAGTTAGCTCTCGGTAGGAACGGAGAACGTATATTGGATGTGCATAAAAGAAAATAAAAAGAAAAGAAACATTGCGGTTTCTCTCTCCGCAAAACTCATAGAGCCACCTGGCAGGTAGTGTGCTGATTGGCGAGCGAAACAAGTTTATGCAGGGTTTGGAGGTTTCAAGACGGTTTATGTGAGGGAGGACGGCGATAATGAAGTTGTCCCAGAGCCAATCCTTTTTTTTTTCTGGATGAGCGTTTTTAGCGCGGACATGGTGGTATGTGCGAGATGATTTGCTTTGCATGCGGAGCCGGCCTGAACGCACTCTAGCAGTTTGGGCCTTGATATCAGATGCACAGCACGAAGTCAGCAGTTATGAGGATGCAGCGGTGGCTCGTATATACAATCTCAAACTCCCAGGACTCTGAGTGCTGGACACGATGATGCTAGAGACGACGGTGATGAGGATGAGTGAGGATGTTGATATGGGTCTCTCTGAGAGAAAAAGTGGACGGCACTAGCCTCAGCCGGCTAGTCGGCAGCCTAAGGCGCCTAATTCCATAGCCTAATCCCGACTGGCCGAGAAAATTGCTGACCGCCATATCACTCTCTGCACGATCACAGAGTGAATGTGCTTAAAACACCTTGTGTGGCGGCGAAACCTGATAATGCACATGTTCGCATGCGATCTTCGAGATATATCCACTGCCGAAGGTATGTATGTACGTACTCGGATGCGGTAGTACATGGCAGTAGGAATATTTACATGGTACGTATTAGTGCGTACTACTTTCTACAAAGGTTGCTCGTCTTCAAGACGTAATCTGGCTTTGATGACGTGCTACCTAGTGTAAAAACAATGACAAGTCATCGCCACGTTGCTGCCTGCCCTATGAACACAAAAATAAAGAAGAAACATTATGTGCAGGTAAAGTAAAAGCGTAGCAGCAATGCATATGCCTAACACAGGCATGCAACCACGCCCACCAACTAAAGCAAACTAGACCAATCGCCATTGTCCACGTCCGCATCGATGTTTTTAACTACTGCGAAAAAATCGATGAGCTGTCACAAGTCATGTATAACATTGTTCGTTTCGTTCGTAGTGGCCGAGTTAGTGTCTATTAATTGATGTTTGTAGTTATTCGTTCTCATTCATACTCATATCTTGGATACTCTTCCCTGCCCACGGTAGATCGCGAGACCTTCAAACAATGTCCATCACATGATCTACCCTGAGACCGCCCCGCGGAGCGGCCTAGGACCTGACCTTGTCTAATGTCTGATAGATGTGTAATGCGGGGTATGACTGCAACGTCAACAGAGGCCAGGGCCATCTACAACAAGCGTCCTGTGTGAAACTAGAATACCGCGGCAGAGCTCTTGCTTCTAAATTCAGACAGACTATTAGGAAAATTGTCCCGAAAGTATATCAACATCGACCTCAAAGCTGACCCGATTCCAAATCACTATACAAGGGAGAAAAAGAGAAGAAAGAAAAAATCCAAGCAAGAAAAGGAAAACTCAAACATAAACATATGAGCTGGCTAGTTTATACAAGAAAAGAAAAGGAAATGTCGTTAATGTCGTCACAAGATCATCATATGTCTGGCTGTCGGTCAATGATCAAAATATCTCGAGATCCTCGAACTCAACAACCAAGTTGTCTCCTACGCCACCGCCGCCCCTATCGTCCAGTCGCATGCCGTTCATGGCTTCCCACATCGTGCCTCCCCTCGGCATGCTTGTTGGACGGCTGGCATACACTCCGACATGGACACACTTGTCCTCGACTCCGTAGAAAAACCAAGTGACTTCGCGAAGTTTCTTCCACGTACTTCCAACCGCTCCCGGCGTGACTGCGTACGGGGACAGGGACGGAATCTGATACCAGATCCAAAGCGAATACCCGACTCGCTCAAGTTTAATTCGCAGTGATGTGATATTCGTCGGTATATTGGGCATAGCGAGCGGCGACAAGCACCAGTCTGCCCCGTCGGAGGTTGCACTGACCGAGGCCGCATTAACAGTGCCTGAAGAGAACTCCATGCCTGCTTTCACCCATTTGCAAGAAGAATGCGATGGTGCCCTGGCATTGTGACTGCGCATGCTGATTTCGGATGACGGTCGCAGGGTTTGTGTGGGTAACGACGCGCTGGGAGTATTCCCAGCGAAGATGACGAGTCCGCCTTGGTCCCATTCCATTTCCCAGTCAGCGCTGATGGTGACCTCCGCCACGACAAACGGGCGTTGCAAGGAGGTGAAGACCATGGGCGCCGTCGATGTGTCTCCATTCGGTGGTTTCCTCCACAAGTCTGTATTAGGACCGGCAGAAAGAGTAAAATAATCCATGCATGCTGGCAGCGTGAAGCTCGAAGGTAAGTTCAGCGCTCTAAACGAAGACCGATCTGGTGGCATTCTGTCGATTCCACAGCGCGATTTAGGGTTCAATTCAACTCAATTGGACGGGTGGATCAAGTTCAGGGGGGCAAGGACAAATTTCAAAGGAAGAAAGCAGAAGAGGAGCCACTGCCAACGCTCAATTGGCTTCTACTAAAGCGGCCCGCTGTCCGCGCGGCTGGCAATTGCTCCGAAAGTCTTGGGGGAAACGCTAAGATAGTTCCTATCCCAAAAGAAAGGGTGTATCTGTTGGAAGAACAGCAATGGCTCGTGAACTGAATCGCTTTCCGAGATCCGACAGACAACGACAACAACCAGGAAGGCGAAGTACTTGAGAGAGAATTCGATGACCAAGCCAAGCAATGAATGTTCAGGCCACTAGAATCATGGAAGCAGGGATGGTCCAAACGCAATTCAGAAAGTCGAAAAGGCGATACGGCAAGCAACCAATGCGAATAGAAGAGCTAGTTTTACTAGTCTGGGTGTTGCCAAAGTGAGGCTGCTGACTGCACTAGAAGGCAGGGATTGCTTTTCTAGCATTAATTGATCCTGCCGTCTAGCAGCTTCGCGCTGATTTCAACGCCGGCACTGGTGAAAATCTTGCAATGGTCAGAATAACAGTGCAAAGCACATAGCAACGAGGTTTAGCGCTGATGCGAGAGGATGGGTTGAGATCCCGAAGCGGAGCTGAGCAGCTCAAAAGATCGAAAACGGAAGCGGCCAAACGGGATTAGCGTGCAACCCAACGCGGCAGGAGCAAAGCGACCAAAACCCAAGACAACTTTAAAAGTCAATACAAATGGAAACGGGAAATGGCAAAACCCAGAAAGATAAAGGTGTTGGATGGGCTCTGAAAGGGGGAGGAGAAGAGACGGCAAACCGGCATCTATATATACTCAGGTGCAGATATACTGCCAATCCGAAAGAGCAAAAGATAAACAACCAACCAAAAAAAAGAAAAACACACAATGCCATGGACTTGCCACAACTACCACTGCAAGTAACAATGCAATGCACGCTCATATGTATATAATATAAGACTCTGTTTGCACAGGCCGTACCTTTTTCTTGTTAGAGATGTAAATCCCGGGCCTTCACCGGTATCGTAGATGAAGGTATCGTACAAACAAGCCCGAACCAGGATCGCCTAGCCCTAAGTTCCGAACAAGCAGAACAAGCGCAACGTATCCCAAGACTGGTGGTTGGTCAAACGATGGCAGCGACTTGAGTTATCTCAGGGTGTGTTTGTGGTGTGTGTGTGCGCGGGCTGCGATTAGTATTTGAGTGTCTGGGTGGCGCACAGCTCGCTGACTGAAACCAGACAAGGATGGCGCAGCTGCATCCTGGAGAGAGTGTTTGACATGGTCCATAGCTTGTCTGGTGCCAGCTGAAAAAAAGGAATTAAGCCCAATCGCCAAAAAGCGCGGCATATAAAAATAAAGCGCGGAAGATTGCTGAATGGCTCGCCACCAGGAAGGAAGTGCGAGGAGGCGCGCCTTTCCGCCAGGAACCAACCCGCCCGCTCTTGCCTCTTGAGACTTGCCTGGCCCACTCGATTCTTTCCCTCGCTATACACAACTTGCAACTTGCAACTTGCAACTGCAATGCCACCACTGCAAACTACTCCCTACCAGATTCTCGGATTGTCACTGTCCGGTGCGTTTGAAAACCCCTCCGGTCCTCATTCAGAGCCTAGAACGGTGTTTGCCCTGCATGTTTCGCCCGGCAAACAAGCCCGTCACATTCCCATGAATCTAGAGCTCTACTAAGCATGCAGCCATATCACGATGGATGTCCGACTGCTCAATGCTCGGCAGTCTTCGATCTAGAGTGCCCCAGCCGGGACGGAAGCAAGCTTACTATTTGCTTGGTGCACGACAGCCCACATCGATGCATTCATTGAATATGCTGCATTGTGCTTTTTTGCCGCCAGCTGAGATACGCTCTCCTGCAGTCGTCGCCCGGTCCGATTCGTGGTGTTCTAGAGAGAGGCGACTGGAAAGAGTTCGACTCGTTCACTCTGTGATTATTACTGATTGACGGATGTTGGGCTGCCAGGCCATGTTCCTGGATTGGGATGGCAACATTGTAGGGCCAATAAGAGCGGCCCGAAGCCATACACTTTCAGGTGGGAACTCTTTTAGGGTTTTCTAAGCGCGACAAGTGGATCTTGCACGGAGTTGGTGGATTGTCAGATGGCGGCGCCAGCTCGTCATTTCTATCCAGTGCTTACTTCAGAAACCATCAGCCAGGAGAGGTACAAAGGTTGTGCGGCGTGCCTTATGGCGGCCCGTGTCTTGCCGTTTAGCCATTTATTTCAGACACACCGGTGGCCGTACCAAACAAACAAGCGATCAGCTTGTATGTATCACCAGATGCAAACGACTAACAAACCGCGCGTTAGAAACTCGCGATTTCGATTGCAGCTGCCAAATTAATAAATCAACCAACAATGGACCAATGAATTAATCAATATCAACGGAACATGTACATGCTGCATGCTCATGTATCACAACAAGGGCTCGTTTGTGGCAACTTACACACGAAGGCTGACAATCGATTGTTTCACCCAGGCACTACTCCTGAACAATTGGCTCGACCCCCTGGCACGCTGTTTAGCTCGGTCTACGGAGTGGCTGAAGAGAATTGCGTCCTGGAAATGAGGACTTCGCACTCGAGCACCCATAACTAGAGTACCCGATGTTAGTGCCTGGTATCAAAGGGATCGATCCAAAACTACGGTCAACTACGAGACTGCGTGTCACTTCAATTTCTTTGATTTGTTTGTTTGAATATACCTGCTTTAATTTACATGCAACAACGAAAAAGGACAAAGTCTTCCCTGCTATACTACATGAAAAGAAGAAAGATGATGAGAGGGAAAAAAAACCCCAGAAAATATTAATTACCGATCTGCAAGCATGTTCTTGATGCTGCTATAATATTGCGGCAGAACATACTTCTGGATTTCCTCCTTGGCGAGCCACTTGAAATCGCTAAGATTTTGTGTGTTGGCCATGAGATCAGCCTGACCAGCCAGGATGCGGCTTTTCATGAAGAATGTCTTTTCGCCTGCAACGAGCTCTTTCGAAACCTCATCAGGCTTGGGCACCTTGAATTTGTACGAGTGGTGGCCGACTGGATGGAAACCGACAAACCAGGTATTCATGTTGACACCCGCAGATTGGGAAAGGGTACGTTCAGCGGCCTGTCCAAGATGTAACAGCTAGTTAGCCAAAAGCCTCATGTTTCAGGTTAAGAGCCTGTAAGGGAAAAAAAATATCAAGACGTACGGAGCGTAAATTCTCATCCAAGCCAACGGACGAACTGGGGAACTTCCAGTATCCTTCCTTCGTCTGCACGAGCAGATACAATGTTCTCTGAAGTAGACGGTCTAAGCTCTTATGGTCATTCTTCTTATCTGCCTCTGTGACACGAGATGCCGGCCGCTCAACGTCGACTTTCTTGGTTGTGCTTCCCTCAGACGAAGCCGTAGTGACCACTTCTGCATCTCGCAAGAGCATTTCTACTTGATGAGACGGCTCCGATTCCACAGCGCCGACAAGCAACTCGTCGTTCCATGCTTCTTTCGAGTAGGCATTGTATTGCCCGATGTCGCGCGACGGTGTCAGCCGCTCTTTGTATTTCCTCTTCCAATCCTCATCTGCCGGCGTTCCGCGTTTGAAATAGAAGTATCGCGTGAAAGGAAGCGCAAGACGCTCGTTGAGTCGTTTCTGATAGAAAAAAAACGAACTTTCAAAGGGCGTCAAGTCGCGAGTGATTTGCGGAGGACGAGAAAGGACAATGCCGGCTTTGATCGTAAAGGAGGGAGTCACGGCTTCGGAGCTCGACGCGAGAGAAATTTCGGTTTTGGAGACATCAGAGCCAACTACTGTCGACGCAGCCGATGCATAACTGCGTGTAATTGTCTCTTGACAACTTTTGCATACGGCGGAATGAGAGGTCGGCCGCCCTGGAAAGCCAAATAAAAAAAAGTCTCGGTCAGTTTATTTTCACCTCCCTAACAATTTGACCGATTGGGCATCAAAGTGAACAACATACGAACAACAGCGGCTAACCGCCTGGCGCTATTTGACCCTATGGACATGTCTCTGGATGGCGATGTCGTTCCAAGTCCGCAAAGTCCTCTTGCTCTCATCGAGAAAAGTTCACTTTGCAGCTTAATCTGGTCTCCCGACTCCGACAACTAAGCTAGCCCCGAAGTAGATTAGCGCCGCGTGACCGACAACTCAAAATCCGATTTTTCCTTTTCTCTCTTTTCTCCTTCTTCTAAAACTACAGCACCTATCCTTATCATCACCTAGCTGCTTTCTTCCCCTCACAGCTAGTTGACCATTTAACGGTGCTCAGATGAGCGTTGCAGCCATTTTTCGCTAGCGGTACCTTCTTGTCCAAGGCGTACAGTTAGATAGACGCTGCGTACATCCTTTTACTCCGTGCTTTACACATTCGAAGTGGCCGACGAAGGGACATCAACTCTATATTCCTACAGAATGCGTCGCTGTCATGATGCTTCTTCGAAGGGTTGATATTCTTCATTTCTACCTACCACCGTCATCGAAGCTTTAAACTTCACAATCCAGTATGCAGACCCTCTCGTATGTCCCAAATACTCGAAGCTTGTTACCGTAAATTTTCCAAATCGAGGATGAGAAGGAAGGAATAAGTTTATTTTCAACAACGACCGCGGCCAATGCATCAGATACGTTGGTCAGGTCTGACCCTGAAGCTTCATTGCTGTCATCTCTTAACGTAGCAAACACATTTTGATGAGCGAATCTGGATTCAGGGATATTCTTGTCAGGAGAATGCTTCGTCGATGAGATGCTGGGTTTAGCTGCATCTATAGATTTTGCCTGCTTGGGTGAGTCTGGCAACGATTCGGTCTTAGAAATCAATTGCGATGGCCCTGGGAAAGCATCTGGCAACTGAATAGCTTGCCTAATGAAATTCTTTGCCGTCAAAAGACTGTCGTACCCAGCTTCGTGCGGTTGCTCATGGCCCTCGTAGCGTGTGTGCTTTGAATCAATCACTGCACAATTAGCAGAATAAAGGTAGTTATACAATGGAGATTTGATATTTGCTCACCGATCTCAGGGTTTGTAATATGCTTGCATGCTTCGTCAATCACACCTAGCGATGCCACTGGGTTCATATCACCACATTCATGTGTAAATATGTATTTCGTATCAACCAACATCGGGAACTTCTCGTGGAGCAACTGGATAAATTCCTCAATCCGGTCTGGCAAATCGCCATAAAAGCATTGACATAAATAGACCAAGTCCAAGAACAAATTATGCCCAACAACTGGGGGTCGGCGATGTTTGCTCTGCAGGCGTGCTTTGATATTCATCGCGAAATCCTCGATAGTACTGCGTCTGGCATTGAAATCTTCACCATCCAGGACCAGAGGCTCGAATACCTTGGACTCCAGCTGAGAGAGGCCATCTCCACCCGTCAAAGCTTCAATAATCCATCTGAATCCACGATGCTCCAGTAGATGCTTTTCTAAACGGCGGATTTTTTGTTGGCGTATATTTTCCTCCTTTTTCTCATCGAAGTTGACGACTTTTATGAAATCACTCCGGCCTATCGATGTAAGCGTCGGGTATTCTGTTTCTACCAATTGGTGCACAAGCCTTTTCTGGTAACGATTTAGACTCGTCACAGCAGGTCTGCCATCAGGATAAGCAACCGCATTGCGCGATGGGATATTCAAATAGTCCTGCGTTTTCTGGAGTGGTAATTGATCAATGTTTAGCTCATCTAGTACACGACATTATCCGCGTAGTGATTGAAGCCTACCTGGCCATTGTTTAGCCATTTGTCAATATCTTTGCGCACAGCTGCAAGGAAAGCTACGGATTCTGGTTCTTCCTTGGGCAATTCCACCTGAGCAATCGAGACTGTACGCGAGCGGCTAATATGCTTGGATGCCTCCTGCGTTGCTAATTCCTCCTCTTTCGTTGAGAGATACCGCACGCCCTCTTGAAAGGGAGATTCCAAGCTGAATCCAACCTTGAGCAGAAATTGAGTGGCTATAGGCCTGGACTTAATATATCTTTTTGCAAACGAATATGTATGTGAGTTGAAGGTAGTCTGTTGATACATACCAGCGCTTGAGAAGCTGAATGTGCGATCGATACCTAGTACGGGGTCGATCAAGGGACTCAAAGAAAAATTGTAAGGCTTGAGAATATATTTTCCTTGGATAAAGACTTATTAGAAGCTTTTATAGTATAGCTAGGTGACAGAGAAAAACTTGATACTCACCTGCAACCTCATCTTCCTTTACAATAGTGAGTCCGACCTGCAGGATCTGGTATTTCTGTGCGGCAGCCTTTGACTCTGCGTATCTCTCCTGGAGTGTTTGCCGACCCCCAGCTATAGCTTGATGTGATGAAATGCCAGAGAATTCAAAATCGAGGGCGACAAACGCGCATTCAGTGAGGTCTTTGAGAATGTGTGGCAGATGCCGAGGCCAGGTTTGTTCGGTGACTCTATCCCACTGCTCTATGAAATCCATGTCTGATTCCAGCTGTGTAGGCAACTCTCTGGTTGATGGCAGTACTTAGAAGATAATTGCGGGCAATATCCCAGAATATGTTGGTTGGATAGATGAAGGAGAACTGTATTCAAGGATCAATCTCGCTTCTTTGCTATTTTGAATTCTTATTGGAATGTGATGCTCAAGTGAGTCAAACGAGGGATCGCCAAAATGAGATTATTGACATTTTGACAGAGTGCATGAGTCAATATGCATGACTCTTTCAGGCGAATGAGAGGAAGTCGAGTGAGCTGAGCCTGATCATGCCTGGATTTTAAGGTTCCCGGGGATCCGACTGCTTACCAAATCGGGAAAGCAGCGAGTCTCATTGTGCCCTACAGTCAACCTGACGACTCCTCTTGTTGTCAAGAGCAACTCGACGGCAATAGTCTCACACACTCCAGTCATCGATCAAACAGAAAGGAAAGCTAGTCGATCTTCTCTCAACTGGCGTTGGCCTGGCTGTGGAGGCCGCAAACTCGAAAATAGGATCCAGCTCTCAGCAACAAACACGACAAGCATCCCAACGGCCCTCTTCGGACGTGATAGCTTCTAATCCACAACGATATCTAGCAGCTAGAACCACCAACTAGCGAGGAAGTCCCGCTTCATTTTTAAGGCATGCCCCCAAGGCTCCTCAGGAAGATTACGACGATCGCGATATCGACGATGTACCTCCGCCTGGTTCTTCTCTGTCTAGTGAACACTCTCAACCAAATAAGCGTCTGCTATATCCAATTATCATCCTACAACGGAGACCCGAAGAGAAAAGCCGGGGCTGGATGCTGGCGTACGCTCCAGAACTAAATGAGTTTGGCATTGATCAAACAACATTTTTAAAGTTCTTATACGACTTCAACGAGTCTCACAAGGTGAGCATCTATCTAAACATAATTGGGACTGGACGATTGTGTTAACATACCCTAGTCATCAACATACTTAGATGCGGTCAACTTGGCGGCGTTCGGTGTGGGCTTCGCTCCTGGTATTGCTCCGATGGTGATATCGATGGCTGTTCCAATGGCAGTGTCCTATGCAAAGAAGACTCAAACCGAAAGGCAGTGCGTCACGCCTCTTCTCACTAAACCTTGAAGTACTGTCTAACAATGACATGCGTAGATCAAAATCATATCTTGGACGAATGAATAGCGAGCTGTTCGAACTATGTGGTCTCTACGCCGTTGTAATGACACTACAGCCCATTGATCAAGCTTCTTTGACCGTTGATTCAGCCACTGCCAGCATTGGTGGAGGCCATCATGACCAGTATCGGAGCTCTGACTACGATATCAACGGGTATAATCCTCCTGATTTGCCTCAATCTGCGCCATTGGTCTTTCCCAGTCCACAAGGTTTTGACATGGTCCGTCCTAGAGGGAATAGACTCAAGGAAATGGGCCAATTTACCGCAGACTACCTCGATCGACGAGCCCAAGCAAAATATGTACATATACCTATACTGTGTTGTTGCTTCTTTTTTTCTTGTTTCCATCTACTCGCCATGACGTTTTACATGCTCAAAACAATCCCAACTGGGGACTTGCACTTTCAGATATCGGATTCAGTAGCTTCATGAGCGATCCGCGAAGCGCAGGCCACAACAGCGGTCTTCTCGGCCAGCTTACTGGCAGGGCATCATCTCGCCAAAAGCAGTTGAGTCCTAAGGAGGCGTGGAAGCAAAGAAAAAAGGAAGAGGAAGAAGTGAGAAAGGAACTAGAAAAGAGAAACAAACTTGGACTGCTTAAGACATTAAAATCCAAGGCGGCGATGAGTTCTGTAGGTCGAGCCAATCGTCTTATTCTGATGTCATCTTCCTAAAGCATCGCAGTGGCTGATGTGATAATCGTTTGAACTATCCCTGACAACGATATTCTATAGATCTCCGCAATCAGCCGAGATACCACGGAATACCCGATTTGTCAAGAGGGATCTGATAGGCCAACAGTATAAGCAAGTGCATAAAAGTGTTTGTTACACCACAAGTAAGGGGTTGATTTGTAGTATATCAATCGTCGACTGTGTCAACAGAGTTTTGGATTCACTCGTACTGCTGCAGGTCCGTGAAATAGACATGCCAGCCATCATGAATGGACAATCAACTGACGGGCTCTCCTGGAGGGAGACTCGGCCGCGCGTCTATGAGAGACAACTAGACTACATGGAACTACTTTACCACCAAATTGGGTCAATTTTTGCTCAGACCGGCGCCGAGCAATGGTGTGTTAGTATATGTGTCAAGATAGACACCGAGACTAGCGGGGATGCACTTGTACAGAGAGTGAAATCGGCTTGGGTGAACATGCGATTCAAACACCCGGAAATTGCCTCGACAATCAAAGAAGACCGACGTGTTTACGAGGTTACAGACAATTGGGAGTCCTGGGTTGCCAATACATTTGAAGTCATTGCGGATTGCACCGCACGAGAAAGTTTTTCGCATATGCCACCTCTCCACGGCCAAGCATCGAAGCTTTATTTTTTCTCACAGAGCAACGAAATTTTAATCAGAAGCTCACACGACCGAATAGATGCACGAGGGGGTTTCTGTCTTTTGGACGATCTCATTGGCGTTATTGCTAAACCCGAATCTTGCGAGTCTCGACCTGGTGATGAAATAATCAATCTGTCTCCGTCTATCGAGACCGCTGGACATTTTCCACCAACAACGAACGATGATTGTGACCAAGCGACGGCTCTCCTGTGCCAAGGAGCGGTAGGAGGCTTATCAATTGGCCTGAATGCGAGTAATTTGGGCAAACCACCAACAGTCAAAAGAACATTCGAATTTGTGTTTTCGGAAGAGGAGACCATGCAAGTCATCAAAGCCGTGAAGGTAAAAGGCTTCACTGTGACTCAAGCAGTTCAGACAGCGCTCGCCCTGACATCTAAGCTGCTTGGAACCAGTGACAGAGATTTTTACTCGTCGATTGCAGTATTTGATCTTCGCGGTATCTGTCCCGAAGAGCTACGACATCGAGTTGCAGCATACCATAGCGTTTGGCCGGCAAATGTTGCAGTTGACCGTTTCGATAGTACCTTGGATCGGTTCAAGGAGATGTATGTTTCGTTCCCAGGGAGAAAGCAAGAAACAAGCAAGACTGGCATATACCGTCCCCTTGTCGCTGCCATTAGAGGTGCCCTCTCAGTGCCTCCGCCATCCCCAAACACGTCTGTTGGACTCTCCGCGCTAGGTGTAATAGACAAGCAAATGACATGGCAGCATGAAGGTCTCACTGTAACAGACTTTTGGCTGACTTTGGACATATTCACTCCAAATGTTGTCTGCACGACGTGGACCCGAGCAGGCTCGATGCATATCTATGCAAGCTTCAACGAGCAATACTATTCTTCGGAAGATGTCAACTCGTTTTTGGCGAATATGAAGACGATTCTCTTTCACGGGCTTGGTATTCGGCACGATGACTCTCTGGGTGCGGTGATCTAGGAACATGTACGGTGACGGCCATAGAGTCTTGATATTTTATTAACAATTTAGGGGGTTGAACTTGCCTGTAACTGTATCCAGATTTACTGACATGTCGTGAGGGAATTTCGAGATCATTGTTGACATTATTCGAGCTCGATGAGCGAGAAACAAGGGGCATGCCTGATGCCTTAAAACTTAGGCATAAATCCGCTTTGCCATTGTTGATTAGTAATAAAATCACGTGATACTACCTTACGGACCAATCAGAGCAATTTGTGCTGAGGAATCTGAAGCTCCTTTGCAGAGAGCAAGAGAACCAAAAGTACAGTAGCTAAATAGTAGTAGAGACCAGCAGTAACTGCAAGAATAAAAATTACTATTCATGGCCCAGCTCGGTGCGTATGTCGGTTCAGCCAATCGACGAAGCCGAGGATAACGTGTTAGTGAGAAGCTTCCCCGAACTTCAAGCTTAAGCTGTTTGCTTGTGCTCTTTCGCCGACGGTGCAATTCCTAATAATACCAGCAGTTCCGATTCCCTAATTCATGTCTTATGAACTTCTCAATTTTTTGGTTAACTCTATTTTGATATCCTCGAGTCGCTTTTTCATTGAACACGTCTCTCCTCATCATGGCCACCCAAGACGAATCCCATCTCACCTCGTCGTCCCAATCGCTTTATACCTCGACTTCGACCCTGCCCAATTCGAAATTATGCTCTCAGATATATAAATCGGCCTCTCAGCTATTCCTGACCCGTCGCCTTCAGGAATCGCTAAACACTCTCGCCCCAATTTTAACGACGCCAGCCACCACCGATGACGTACAGATCGCGAACGGGGACAGCAGCGCTTCGGCACTTGCGCCCATTGCATTTGCATCCAGCAATGTTAGGATTAAAGTGTGGAATCTCTACATAACATTACTGAGCAATATCGTCGATTTGGGACCCGAAGAAGGCAAGATAGAGTTCGGCCAGAAAGAGTGGAAGGCTATAGTAGCCAAAGTCCGCGATGGTTCGATCTGGGAGGAAATTGTACAAACAGGCTACCAAGCCCTTGAAGGCTCTGTTGATGCAGATGTTATCTATAATTTGTGAGAGATTTTGAATCCCTTCCCGTCTTTTGAAATGTTCTCTCCCTGCTAACCGAGACTCTCTTGCAGAGGAACATTATTACTGACACACTGCGCATCGCAAACGCTCAACCAACAACGGTTAGAAACATATCTTTCCACCTATCACCAGCCGGACTTGGATGTTGCCGCATACATGGAGAATTCATCAACGGGTCCGAGACGACTCACCCGTAATGGCGGGACAGATACCCCGAAGGATTTGGCAGCGCGGGTGAAAATCATCGAGTTATTTACTCTTCATGTTTTACCCCAGAATGGAGAGTGGGATTACGCCGCGGAATTCATTCGACTTAGTGAGGTCCTCGACGAGGAGCGCAAAGAAGTCTTCCTCCAGACTCTAGATGAGCTCAAAGACGAGAAAGAACGAGGAAACCAACGAGCGGCAGAGCTACAGCGTGAGAAGGAAGCAGAGATAGAACGTCAAATAAAAGAAGCAGAAGAAAAGCAAAAGGCTGCGAGCGCCACAGAGAAAACTCAGAAAATTTCGAATGGACACCAAAGAACGAGCAGCGAGGTGGATTATGGGATCGACAAGAGCCATCCGACCGGTGCAACTAAGAATCGACTAGCCAAAGGAGGAGATAAACCTATACAAGCAGGCGATAATAAGAAACCAAAATCCAGTGGTGCCACGACTGCAAGGCGAACAGGATTCCCACAACCCTCATCGTCCTCGAAAAACGTCGCGGAGAGAGAAAAGCCTGTGTCTTCCGTGTCCCGACGTATACTCTTTTTCTACAACCTCCTTCGAAATATCTTGAGACAAATTCAACACTCCGTTGCTGGGAACCCAATGGCATTCCTCCGTACAATTCTTTTTACACTTAGTTTCCTTCTCGCGCTGAGCAGGCAGGATGTCCGCGCCAGGATACAACGACTAACTAATTCAAGTTGGCAAAAGATCAGAGGCACGGTTGGGATGGGCATGAAGGTCAGCTATATATAAGGGTCGGAGACATTGAACAGGGTTATTTTTTTTAACTTGGCATGTACATATATCAGAATGAATTGAACGAGGATTGACTAGTATAATGATGCTCCTAGCAGAACGACTCGCAACCCTAGCCCTGGGCCCTAACTCAGTCGGGACCAAGCCGTTCGGTAGAAATATCAGCCGTCGGTGAAGTCGGCACCTCCCACCGACCACCAAGAACGAAAAGGTAAAAGCAGATTGACTAATCTCGTATGGAAGACATGCTAATTAGTACTCGGTCGATTTGAAAAATCCTTGCTTTTCATATACTAACAATGGAAGTTCCATAGCCCTGTCCCCTTGGTCTTTCTCCTCTCAGTGTTGAATGAAAATGGGGGCAGAATCAGAGGTAGTTCTCGACCAAACAGATAACAACGACAATGTGTCTGTGCCAGAGAAAGCAGAGAACCGGACATTGAGATTCTTGAAGAAGGCAGCGCTCTTCATCCTAAGCCAATGGCTTATTATCGGCATGGGCATCGCATGCCTGCTAGCCTACCTGTTCCCCAACGTCGCCAAACACGGCGGCATCATCAAATCCCAATACAGCATTCTTTACGGCGCTGTTGCACTAATTTTCTTAATCTCCGGGTTGAGTGTCCCGCGGCACAAGCTATACACGCATATGCTTAACTGGCGACTACATGCCTTGGTCCAGATCATCTCGTTTCTGTTTGTCCCCGCCGTGGTTCTCGCAGTAGTGCATCTGATCATTGCCACCGACCCCGAGAAAGAGATCGACCCGGCTGTGTTGGCAGGCTATATAATCGTCTCGTGCATCCCGACCACAATCGCATCGAATGTGGTCATGACAAGATCCGCCGGCGGCGATGATGCCGCCGCACTCGTCGAGGTGCTCATTGCCAACATCCTCGGCCCTTTCTTGACCGCAGGCTGGACAGTGACCCTGATGCCTAATACTGCTGAATTTGAGCCCTGGAAGAGCGGGAGCAGCAACATGACCAGCATGTATAGAGATGTATTCAAGCAGCTCGGTCTGAGTGCCTTGCTCCCGCTGGTCGTGGGACAGGCGATCCGATGGACATGGGAGAAGCGAACGAGCATGATATTACAAAAATTCTATGTCAACAAATGGAGCACCGCATGCATGATACTTCTCGTCTGGACGACGTTCTCATCTGCCTTTGCGACTGATTCGCTCGAGGCTCTCTCAACGCAGAGCGTTGTTTTCACTGTGTTCTTCAACATTGCGTTGTATCTCTTCCTAACCGCCGTTTGCTTTTCTCTGTCTCGACCACCACAATTCCTCCGCAAGGGCTCCTGGGGTAAGCGCGTTTTTCAAGCGATATCTCCAGAGGAAACGATCGCGGTGTGCTTCTGTGGCCCCGCAAAGACGACTGCGCTTGGTATCCCATTATTGTACGCCATGTACGAATCGATGGACCTCTACACGAAATCTAAAACGTCAATTCCCGTTTTGCTGTACACCACTGAGCAGATATTTGTGGCGCATTTTATGGTGTATATCCTTCGTTGGTGGCGGACGCATTTGGAATGCAGCGGCGAGAAGCGCGACACCGAGAGTATCGCGGGAGGTGGCCATGTTTAGGACTTATTCGGGTATTTTTATATAGATTTAACCAGACTTTCTTTTGTGGTCAAGATGCTTCAAAATTTCGATTGTTGCTTCTCAGGAACGCGGGGGAGCACGTGCCGATAAGCCAGGTAAGCTGCTCATAGCCTTCCCCGCAAACGCGATAAGCAGTGAGAAAAAGCATCCATCTCACCAACCCCAATAGTACCTACCCTACCCTCCTTACACACTAATTGAAGCATTATGCCCATTATGCAGAACATACCGAGCGACTGAGTCATCATGGTTGGCATCCTTGCTCTGTCCTCATGCACTTCCCCCGGACCGAGATCGCATTTCGGAACTTATCCTCAACAGCCTCGGTTCCAGAAACGCGAGCAACCCAGAATCTCACTCGCCCCCCGACTTCACCCGCAAACGGTCCAAACAATTAGAATAGCAGAGTAAAACAGTGGACAGACCGGTGATTGGCTCAAAACAATCTACGTCAGACTGCTCGAACAACCCTCCCCCAAGGGTCTTTCACATGCAGATTCCCCAGCTCCATGCGGTTTGGTTGGTTCAGCTGCTGGGTACTGTTCGATAGTTTGCAAAGCTTGGAAATTCGGTGATTGATTGACTGGTTGACTCACTCTCAACCAAATAGCCGTCTTTTTCTTTATAACCTCGGAATCCTAGGTGATGTATATATACAGACTTGGCAACTTTCCATTCATCCTTGGGTATCTCTATAACTTGCCCGCAGGATGCACTTGGGCTTTTTATTTCCGGCGCTTTCAATTGATTGAATTGCTGCATTGATCGCGCAAAAAGTCGGATTTTTTTTTCATCCTTCCCGTTTCCCAACTCACATGCTTGTGAGACCTTGTCGCTCTATACTAAACCAGCTCATCCAGCTATTGTATATTGTCGCGCACATACAAACCAGGTATCTATACAGGGGGATACATAGCTTTGAGCTATTAGAAAGCATCCAACCTTCGAACCTGCCCTACACTGTAAATACTTCAGTATTGATAATCAATCTCGCATGAGGTACTTGCGTGTGGGGAGGTGATTTCAAACTATTACTACCGGTGGTATCTCTCTACATGAGCAAAATGTCTACAAGGACATCAAATGGCAAGAAACCAGCTTCGGCTGCTACGAATCTTATAGGTTTGGCCCCAACTGATCATCCGACTTGATACGCAATAATGCTGAACATGGAACTTTAGCCGGAGGAGGTGCGGGCATGATGGAAGCTCTTGCTTGCCATCCGTTAGGTACGTATACGAGCCGGTAATATGGAAAGGTGTTTTTGCTGACACTAGACAGACACAATTAAAGTTCGGATGCAGTTGTCGCGAAGGGCGCGAGCACCTGGTGTAAGGACGCGAGTCTGTGAAAATCAGTAAAAGCGAGGATCGACCTGCTAACAGCTATATAGGCCAAGCCGCGTGGATTCATCACAACTGGAGCTGAAATTGTGAGGCGGGAGACTGCGCTAGGTCTATACAAAGGCCTCGGCGCGGTGCTGGGCGGCATCATCCCGAAGATGGCCATACGATTCACGTCGTACGAGTGGTACCGACAACTCTTGACTGACAAGGAGTCGGGCGTCTTTACCCGAAAAGCAACGTTCCTCGGTAAGTTTGATATTTCTTTCTCAGCTTGAGTGCCCGTCATAGAGCAGACACTGAAGTACTTGCAGCCGGCCTTGCCGCAGGTGTTACCGAAGCCGTCGCCGTCGTGAATCCCATGGAGGTCGTGAAAATCCGCCTTCAGGCACAACATCACTCTCTCGCCGATCCCCTCGATACGCCAAAATACCGCAGTGCACCGCACGCTCTGTTCACTGTCGTCAGGGAAGAAGGGTTCGTAGCGCTATACCGCGGCGTGTCTCTGACAGCACTGCGCCAGGGCACGAATCAAGCAGCCAACTTTACGGCCTATACGGAGCTGAAATCCGCGTTGCAAAAATGGCAGCCGGAATACGCCACCAAGGAGCTCCCATCATGGCAGACCACCATCATTGGACTCATTTCTGGCGCCGTAGGACCCTTCTCCAATGCGCCCATTGACACCATCAAAACGCGACTGCAACGCACGCCCGCAGAACTGGGACAGACTGCGATAGGCCGGATCAGCTCGATAGCAGGCGAGATGTTCAAGCAGGAAGGCGCGAAGGCCTTTTACAAGGGCATCACGCCCCGGGTGATGCGAGTGGCGCCAGGGCAGGCAGTTACGTTCACCGTGTACGAGTTCCTCAAGGGAAGGCTGGAGAACAGCAGGTGGTCGGTGGTTGGGGGGAAGTACGAAGAATAGAATAGCAAAGAGATAGATGGACACCTGTATCTTAGGGCAGCTATACTAAAATGAGACATACTATACCCAAGGCGGCTAGCCTTTTGCTGCCTTGACACTAGTGGCAGCACGGAAGACAAACTGTGCAAACACCACATAGGCAGCAGTCCCAATCGGGACTAGCGCAGTCATGCCGCCGCAGGTATAAAAGCGCCGCTTCCGCCCGGCGAGCTTTGTTTCTTTCTTCTTCTTTTCTTTCCCCATCCTAGTGCTCGGGCAGTTCGATTACCAGTGAGGATTTCATCCGAGGTATCGATTTTGCTAGTTGAAAACTACCTAGTTTGACCACTTCAACAGGCCTGCGGGTCAGTTGGGAATTTTTGATCACTTGCCTTTTTTTTCTTTCTTTTGACTCACCATGCCTTGTGCTGGTCCAAGCAGTCGGGAGAAGATGAGCGGATGGGGATGCACGGTATAATGTGCCGTCGCTGAATGAAGCTTGCTTCATTTCATTACTGCGTCGTCCTTGCGACGGCCAGTGGAGAAGTGAATTTGTGCACTATATTCCTATCTTACAAAAAGTAGCGACTCCAAGTTAGCTTTGTGGGTGGTTATTACATGTAATTGCACGTGATGCTTATGTAACAGTAGATTCAGGTCACATGATCGACGTTTGGGAATTCCAGTGGTTGTTTACAAGACAGCGGTCAACAGTCTGCTGCTAGTATATGTATTTACCCAAATGAGCATTACCAGAAGCCCCATTGAGGGGTCCCTTTTCGGTGGCTTACAGGTTAATATTCCGTGGTTATCCAGGCTACTATCGTATCAGTCATGATGTTGTAGTTGGAGTCAAAAACAAACACGCCTCATACCACAGCCGATTTTCCAGCCCAGTAGGTAATCAAGTTGCTCTCTTCGAATTTCAGATCGCCAGACTTGTACGCCTTTTAGATCCTTTTCTCGATAGAGTTCTTTGGATTTTTTCAAGTATTCCAAACGTTCCACGCAATTCGAAGCTTATCCCTTCATTGGGCTATATCTGACTGACCCTATTCGTTAGAAGAAAACAGGAAATAAAAGAAGATACGAACATACTCACGCCAGTTTCTGGATAAAGCTTCTCTCTGAGACGAATGCCTTGGAGCAGACCATCCTTTACTTCTTCCAGTTTCCGTTCATAGGCGGCGATGCTTGCAACCATCGACGGTCGCTGAGAGGTATGTTTAATCAGAATATTGAAATGACCGAACATTTGAGATCTCACTCTAGGTCTATTCCCTCCTCAGCAGGACAGGAAATCGCGGTCATTTTGGCTCTCAAGCAAGACAGATAACCAGAAAAGTTGAGAGTAGTTATCTAAATGTAGCTGAGCTCATACCCTGGCAGTTGAGAAAGAGGCTCATAGTGCCTTGGATAAAAAGTGATCGGGGGAATATCTGAGGCTCAAAATGCTCTATTGGACGAGCACTCTCGATGCCCTTCCTGTCGAACTTTGCCAAGCTAGCTAGGCACTATCATACGATAAATTGGAAGCATTTGGGCTGCTTATTTTAGTGCAATTCCAACTCCTTCATTATAAGAATATGCCTATAACGGTAGAATTGTGTCATAAGTTCTCAGACAGCAGTACTTCCAAGACAAATAATTTTCTTGTAGCACGGCTCCTGGGAATGGCCGTTTATTCAACAATTAGAGGCTGAAATTCTAAGCTTCTCTCCGTGCGCCCCTGGCGTTCTCTCGTGTCAATCTGAAAATGTGCAATCGTTACATGCCACCAGAAGTTTCCAGAATGCTACTACCTTGCCACGATTGTTACCCCGAAGTAGAACTTTTTGGGGGCGGAACTTCCGAGAGACCCGATATGTCAACAGTCAGTTTAGTTAACTATCGCACATAAAACGCTGGCTATTGCTACTTATTAGTTTCATGTAAGAAATTAGACTTTAGGAGATTTAACTACTTGACATCAACCAATTGACAAAGGGACAGAACGTTGCTTTTGTTTATGGCCCGTCAGCATCATGAGCCGGGATACTACCATGCTCTCGTAAATAGCAGATCTATTTCTTTTCCTGAGAGTGATTGAAGTCTAACTCAAATGACGCTATCAATGACTAAAATTTTGCTACTTAACTACATGCTAACATCGCTGGGAGACATATAAATACCTAGTAATACTTATAATAACCCCTTTTGGGCTTCTAGGGGGATGCCTACAACCACATTTCCTTGTCATGCAGTTTTCAGCTCTGGTAGTACAACTGATTATCATTTGTCGATCCATGAGGCTACAATTCAGATTGGAAATAGAAACGAAGTAGCCAAGATTGGCATAAGCGTTATGTGACATCGCTCAACCCGTTCCTTGAGGACCGCGCCTGATCCGGGCTATCCCATGCAACCTTGGAGTTAGATCATGCTCTGACATAGCTAGAGCCACAGTAAATGGGCTATGCCAAGGAGTAAGGTGCTTCTCGTATAAATAGCACTGGCTGCTGTAGATTGACGGACATGGATAACTTCCATTGAACAGTTTCGTTAGTGAGTTCTATACGCTCTTTTGTAGAAACAAGGTGTACATACACTGTTCGACAAAAGAAGAGCCGGCTTTAGGGCTAGGGCTATGTTTTCCCAAATAGGCGGAGCCAGGCTCCTGACGCTGTCCGCGTTCCTTCTTCCTTCAACCCTCGCCGCCGGCGCATGGAACAGTTCCTCATCTGTCGTTCCAGGACGATATCTCGTTGAGTTTGAGGACAGCACTGATGCTGTGAGTGTTTTTTTTTTTTTTTTTTTTTTTCATAAGAAATCATTAGCAAGACGGCTATTAATTACCATTCCCCAGACCTCACATATATTCTTTTCGTCTCTTTCTGAAAACGCCATTGCAGCAACTCCTGTCGTCACTCTCGACTATTCGTTGTTCAAAGGTGCCTCATTTGACTTGGGCGATGTCGGCAACGAAAAAGCCCATGTGCAGAAAATCCTGTCTTTGCCTTCCGTGAAGAGTATCCAACCGGTTCGCGCCTACTCTCTTTCAGAGACTTCCGGATATACTGTGAACCAAGGCTCTGTACTTCCTCCAGCTCCAGGTCCGAACTCATTGACCTCCACCCCGGACACCTTTAGTCCTCATGTCATGACCGGTGTAGACAAACTCCACGATGAGGGCCACTTTGGTACTGGCATCAAGGTTGCGATTGTGGACACTGGAATCGACTACACCCACCCAGCCCTCGGTGGATGCTTCGGCGAAGGTTGCAAGATCGGGTTTGGAAAAGATCTTGTTGGCAACGACTTCACGGGGGCAAATACTCCAGTTCCAGGTGACGACCCCATGGACTGCAGCGGACATGGCACTCACGTTGCGGGTATCCTGGCTGCAGACTCCGTTGCACCCCAGTTTACTGGTGTTGCTCCCAACGTGACAGTCGGCATTTATCGTGTCTTTGGTTGTTCAGGCATTACTACCACCGATGTCTTGGTTCAAGCATTCATGGAGGCTTATGAGGCAGGTGCGCAGGTTATAACTGCCTCCCTTGGCGATGCCTCTGGTTGGAGTGAAGAACCTTCGGCTGTGGCTCTATCTCGAATCGTGGAAGCCGGAGTGCCTTGCACAATTGCAGCAGGCAATGATGGTGACATTGGGGTCTTTTATGCGGAAGCACCTGCTACAGGGCACGGCATCACTGCAGTGGCGTCTGTTGATAATATTGTCACTCCGGTTCTGTTCAAAAATGCAAGTTGGTCGACCGAGAATGATACTACGCCAGTACCATTTACATGGGTTCCATTTGCTCCTGCGAACATCCCGAATGGCACCTATCTGCTTCATGATATCGTGAACGGCAGCGCCGATACTTTCATTATCTGCAACGAAAATTTCACCATCACAGACGACCTTACTGGAAAGGTTGCGCTCGTGCCCCTTGATAGCGGTTGCACTTCTGGTGCTGGAATTCTTGATATGGTTGTAGCGGCTGGTACCAAGTACGTTTTGTGGTACTCCTCTAGGGTTGGAACTATACAGAGTATCAACGCCACTACATGGAATACTGGAATCGAGTCAATCGGTATGGTAACCGACGACCTGGGTGAGGAATGGCTGAAGATGATTGCAGCTGGAGACCCCGTTTCTGTCCACATGATTACTCCTAAATATTTGGATTACTATGTGGTAAACACACCCAACGCTGATTCTGGTGGATATGTCAGCCACTTCTCAAGCTGGGGGCCTACATTTGAAGTTGACGTCAGACCACAGGTTGCCGCGCCTGGGGGCAGTATTCTTTCCACATATCCCCTGGACCTGGGAGCCTACTATATTGATACTGGCACATCTATGGCTACTCCTTTTGTTGCGGGTGCTATGGCCCTCATCTTGGAGGCCCGTGGAAAGCTGGACCCAGCTACAATCAAGAGCATTCTTTCGGCCACTGCCACTCCAAAACTTTACAACGATGGCCAATCTACCTACTCCTACTTGGCTCCTGTGGCACAGCAAGGTGCTGGTCTTGTCAATGTTTATGATGCGGTGAATGCGGTAGGTGTTTTGAACATCTCCAGTATCTCCTTCAACGATACCGCGCACTTTACAAACTATGCGGCCTTTGAGATTCAAAATACTGGAAATGAAACCGTCACTTATACCATCGACTACGTTTCTACCGGCTCCGTATATACCTTGCCAGCTAGTGGTGACCCCATGCCATCAGAGGGCGGAGACGGTGTTGCCCTAGATATCACCACTGCTTCTAGCGCGACGTTGACCTTAACCTCTGATACTGTCACCATCGAGGCAGGAAAGTCTGCATCCATAGGGGTGTCAGCCACGCTTCCTAATTTGACGGCCTCTCGTATTCCTGTTTACGGCGGATACGTCACTCTCAACGGTACGAATAATGAATATCTTACCCTACCCTACATGGGTGTGGCATCTAACTTGTACGACGCTGTCATATTCGATACCGCCGATAATCTCACGTACGTGTCCCGATACTTTAGTTTTGATGCTGTGCCTTCGGGTTACGCTTTCACACTCCCACCTCAGAACAGCACCGATGAAGAAAAGGAGCTATACGATTTTCCCGTACCAGTATCAACGGATGCGTTTGGAACTCGTGTCCTCCGCCTTGACCTAGCTCCTGCTTATTCCAATAGCACAGTCAACACCACGGAAGTTCTCGGAGAGAAGATCGTTGGTTCTGTTTCTGCCTTTCCAGCCATTGCACAGCCAAGAGGACAGTGGCACGCCTTTTGGTATGGTGACCTGAGCGATGGCACCTTTGCTCCTCCTGGAGACTATGTTTTCCTTTTCCGTGCCCTGAAGGTCTTTGGTAATGAAAGCGCAGCAGAGGACTACGAGACCGTCTGGAGCAATCCCTTCTCGATTATTTACAACACTACCACCACGGCCTCTTGAAGGGCTCCCAGAACAGTATCTAGGTAGTGAACATGATTTACATAGGTACCATAGGCAGATTGCGTGTATATAGAATTAGGCAATGTATATAAATGGACGAGGACTCACACAAGTGCATTATTATAGTCGGTAATACTGGACAAAGAAAAAAACAATCTGTTCCTAGATTACCTCCGCGAGGAAGCTGGGGGAAGTTCCTAAGTCACTGTTGCAATCTTGTCAATCGAACAAAACGGAGAGGTATGTATGGTAAACAGGTCGTATCGAGCGGTATTTCCAGTACATACTGAAACGGAGCCGAGGCTGTATTTTACCTGGTCCGTGCGAGGTCCTCTGTAGCTTGGACGACGACAGGAACTACCAGGTATACTCCGACCACCAACCAACTGCTTATATCTTTTCAAGAGAGAATCATGTCTAAAGAATTTGACTTGATTCTTCTGGGCCCCACTGGCTACACTGGCGCATTTGTAGCAGAACACATCTGCAAATCCTTCCCAACCACGCTCAAATGGGCCGTCGCAGGGCGTTCAGCTTCAAAGATCCAAAGCGTTCTGGAGCAGTTGAAAACGCTGGGCCTGGACAGGGCAGATCCAGGTGATTAGCTCTCTTTTCAGGGTAGACGCACAGAGTATGCTAAAACTACAGTAGATGTTCTGACAGTCCAGTTAACTCCTGATGAGCTCGACGCCCTGGCAAAGCGCACGCGATTGATTGTTAACTGCGTTGGCCCGTACCATCTCTATTCGACACCCGTTGTCGAATCATGTGCAGAGAATGGAACTCATTATATTGACGTGTTAGTTACTAGAGCTATCTTCATTGCGCTTTTACTGACTCCCGAGAAACAGATCCGGCGAAACGCCGTGGATTAGAAGAGTCTTGCAGAAGTACCACAAAACCGCCGAGAAGAACGGGGCAATCGTATGAGCCCTCGCTTTTATTCTGTCTTTCCAGAAATGCAAACTTCAAGCTACTTGACTCACGCATCCTTAGATTGTTCCATCCTGTGGGTTCGAAAGTGTGCCCCCTGATATTGTGGCCTGGGTAGCTGTTGATTTTCTGCGTACAAAGCTGTCCGCCGAACCGGTAGAGGCAGTCGGCTGTCTTTATGATTTTAGGTGAGGCCATCCAATTTATCCGGAGCAGTTGAGTGAGAAACCCGACTATTGATGATTCATATCTGTCTGGTAGATCTGCTGGTGTGAGCGGCGGCACCGCCTATTCGATTTTGAGCACACTAGAAGGCGCAAATATATCAGAAATGCTCAGCGCACTCGACAGCTACTGTCTCTCTGCTACTCCAACCCCGCCCACACGTATTACGCCACGCAAATCAATCGCTGAGTTAATCTGTGGAGTGCGCGCAGCCTCTGACCTTGGGACCCTAACGACGGTGCCATCACGCATGGCCGACGAATCCACAGTCCTTCGCAGCAGTACCCTAATGCCGGACCTTTATGGACCTAGGTTTTCATATGGTCAATACCTCCGCGTCCGTAATGTATTCCTAGGGACAATATTCCATCTCGCGTTCAACAGCATCGTATGCCTGCTCGTCTTTGCGCCAATCCGTTGGCTGTTTCGCAAAATTTTGCCTGCACCGGGCGGCGGCCCTTCAAAAGACGAAACGGTAAATGACTATTGTGAACATCGTATTCTCATATCTAGCGACCAGAGGGATGAGACTGGAAGACCAACGAAGGCTCTTGGTAGCATTGCGTATCAAGGGGGCCAATATGACCTGACCGGCTTGACCGCTGCTGCCGCCGCCAAAGTTGTCTTGAACCACGAGAAGGAAATCAAGGATATTTCTGCTGGGTTTGTAACGTCAGCTACCCTGGGACAGCCATACGTCGATGAATTGGAAAAGGGTGGGTTTAAATTTGATGTCAAAGTTCTGAACTAGCGTGTATAATTAGGCGGCATTTGCCATTGTAATAACTAATCTGCTTAGTGTCTATATAGGTAACGTGTGAGTTACATGTGTTGTTTAAAATTAACCTATTTTAATCAGTTAATTGCCCTGGAAAAGTTAGGTACATTTAGTCAATCATATTCAAAGAGCTACCAGGCATCTAAACAAGACTCGCCACCTACAAGCTACTTCCTTTTTTAGCAAATTGACCCTCCAGCCAGGAGCCAATGCTCTCATTCACCCCTCGAGGATCCTCCGTCAGCGCCCAATGTGACGTATTCAGCTGCTTGATAGTCAGATCAGGAATCCACTGACCCATAGACTTGCTCATGCTAGGCGGCAGTGCCGAGTCCTTCAGAGCTTGGATGAAAAGCATCGGCACATCGATTGTTGGTGTTGAGGCGTATGGCTTTGCATCATTAAAGTTAATTTCAGTAAGCCGGTACCAGTTCAAAGGGGAATGGATCCCATTGCGAGAGTACTCTTTGACATAGAATTCGAGATCCTGGTAATTCGTAATACTGATGATGAGCAACGTGGTATATCACATATCTGTGCATATGTACGATGCATTCAAAGAGATAAAGGGAACAGAAAATACATACCTCGCCATTCAGGAGAGGAGATTGACCGAGACTATGAAGTCTATCAAGAATAACGCCCTTTGTCGCCTCCCAGCCGTCTTCTCCCTTCGGTGTTCTCCCACCGTACAAGCTAAGCAGGAACTGCCGAATATCGCCGCTGGTACGGACGATTTTCTCGATTTCCCCAGATCGAAATTGCAGTTGATATGCAAAATTAGGCAGATAATTGGCTACAATATCATCTAGGGAAAGGTAGGTTGCCCGTGGCGGACTGTAGGGGGCACACGCCGTGATAATGTGTGAGATTAATGCTCGCTGGTGGTGGTAGATGGCGTAACACAATCCAGCGCCCCTATAAGTATTAGGAACAAGACGTCTAAGTTAGTCACTCGGATTCATAGACAGTAGTGATATTTTGAGATAAGAGAGTGATGAAAGTAAAGCCATCATACCAGTCATGACCACAAAGGACAATCTGAGATTCCCCAAGTTTTCGGACAAGCTGCGCAAAGTCGGATGCCATCTTCTTGAAAGCGTAATCTTCCAGGTCATTTGGGGCTTCCTTTGTTTAGTTTCATCAGCATATTGCTAACTGTTCGTCCAACTTGATAGACAGGGAGAACTCACAGTCCGTCCGTAGCCCAGTTGATCTGGAGCAACAATTCTAAATCCAAGCTCAAGCAGAACGGGGATTTGATATCGCCATCCTACCGCGAGGTCTGGAAAGCCGTGGATCTGTGATTGTCACGGTTCGTCAGTGGCCTGCTTTTCTCTAAGCATGCGGCGAGATTGGACGATAGGGAGAGCAAACCATACCAAGAAGACGGTAGCTTTCCATTTACCAGATGAGGGTTCGCCGTACAGGTATGCTTTGTAATTCAAAAGATTCGATATCAGTATATACGATGGAACACAACCGAGCAATTCGCACCATATCTGCGCCCATTCAAGCTGGCACTATGCCATTCAACCCGTTCGTCGCCATGAATATTGATCTTGTCAGGTTTGGATGCCATGCCTTCTTTCTGTCGTATATTGATTGAGCCTACTAGGAAAGGGGGTTTTGCGAAAGCTTCCAATCGTCGTCACTAATGTCAGGCAGAAGTTGAAGATGTCGGCCCGAGGTTGTTGTATTCCAAGACTCAACTAGTTAGCTGGGTGACACTGACTAATGCCTGCATGGCTAGCCAACTGACTATTACTGCCTCTCTAGTTATGTAACCTGTGTGGATGAAGCGAATACCAAGCAATCAAATTTGTATATTATGATGTTCAGTCATGACAGTCATTATGGTAACCAATCACTTGCACTGCCTTCGAAGAGAGACCTCTAGAAACGAAAGGTATTATACAAGCTTGGGAAATGAGCAATAGCACGGCATATATAGTACATGTGAGTTGCTTTTGACGGCTACTTCAGATGTAGCTCTTGTTAAGCAAGCATCGACAACACGACATAAGGAATAGATTGGTTAATAGAGAACCATATCTTCCTTATCCTCTTCCATGACCTCTTCCCCCTCATCATCTGGACGCTGGTGCGTCGATTGCATATGCGCACCATCGGTGCTTTGATCACCCCTATCTGTTGCTGAAGATGTCGACGCGATTCGTTCTTTTTCTTGTTTGCTTTGGTCTATTTCTTTCCCGGATTTGCTATCGATATCCTGAGGGCTTGTGTGCTTTTCTCCGTTGGATGTTTCATTTGTCTCCCTTGACTCGTCTGAAGGACCATCCTTTGTATTTAATTCCTTTTGTATGCCTCCCTTTTCAGTTTCCTCTTCCTCTTCTCGCCCATGCCAGCGTTCTTCAAAGTCCGCCTTTTCTTTAGAAATGATTTCATTCACTTCCTGACGCTGTCTCGCGATCGCGTCCTCATCTTCATCTCGTAACTGGAAAGGTCGCCATAACTATACGCTTGTCAATGCCGAGAAACACGGTATGGTCTAGGGGATTTCAAATGGAAACTTACTAAAACAGGCTCCACCTTTGTTCGCAAAAAATTGGCTGCTTGAAGCAAATTTCGATGCCTGACGCCCATCTGATTGACGCACGTAAGCCTATATGAATCCTATAAAGGTTGGAAAGGTAAAACAAACCGAAGAAGCTTCCAAATCTCTTTGCTGTTTTCGCCGCTCAATCATCATATCCTCTTTTTCCTTGCGCCTTGCTTCACTCTGCTGTTCATTCTGCAGCTTGAGCTTTGCTTGTTGGCGCTGCTCAATATCTGCCCGCCGCTTCTGTGCTACCGTCGACGGTGTTTGAGATAATGTGCCAAGCAAACCCCCAAAGAGTCTTTGTCCCCGCTTCCGTTCTTCCGTAGCCGTGGCAGCGTTTCTTGAAGGTCTCGCTGTGCCTATGGCCTGTCCCGCAGTAGGCTGCGGCGGGGACGGTCGAGCATCGTCCTCATGCTGGTCACTAATACGCCGTCGTTTGGTGCCATTTTCAGAGACTGACGACTTGCGCCTTTTCTGACCTGCTTCTGGAGAAGCGTTTTCCTCTGGTTGAGGAACAGAAACTGCGGAGGGCAGAGTCCTGAAGAATCCCTGTAAGCTTCAAAAATCACATTGGAGACGAGTGCACTGCGCCAGGGAACTTACTCTTCCGCCATATTTGGTTGAAGACTGGCAGCTACAAGCAGAATGCGACGCAAGGCCCTGTCGAGAAGGAATTTGTATATCGTGCGAGTCGCAAGTCGTCGCCGTGCAGGCCATGGATTAACTTCTGGGGGTGGCGCTCGGGCCACGTCCCGTGGAACCTTCCTGGACAGCCTTTTCGGGTTCTTTCCTCTTCTCCTCATCACATCTTCTTCACCTCTCGACGTTTCATTTGCGCTCTGACTAGGAGAATATCGAGCCCCCTGGTAAACTAGAAACCGATCTCGACCTTCATTACCACCTGTCACCATGTCCCGCCATCACCCCGATCTTGTCATGTGCCGCAAACAACCAGGCATCTCCATCGGCAGACTCTGTGACAAGTGCGACGGCAAATGCCCTGTATGCGATTCCTACGTGCGGCCAACAACGCTCGTGCGCGTGTGTGACGAGTGCTCCTTCGGTAACTACCAGAACAAATGTATCGTCTGCGGTGGCGAGGGTATCAGCGACGCTTTCTACTGTTTCGAATGCACGCGCCTCGAAAAGGACCGTGACGGCTGCCCGAAGATTATAAACCTGGGTAGTTCGCGGACAGATTTGTTCTACCAGAAGAAAAATTTTCGAAATCAATACTAGCCCTTGGCCTGCGATCATCTACGTTGTGTGCTAGCAATCTGATTGACTATGGCCTATTCAAGGATAGTGCGACGCAATGGAGAGCCGGAATTTGGGGGAAATGGGTCATGAAAGCTCCCATTTAGAAGAATGTCTGCGCTCTACTCGAGCCTACTTTTGGCTGGCTTGATGGGACACATTTTACCGGCCAGGGCGCTTTGGTCTGGCAAACCCGCGTTTTGGTCCTTCGTCCTGCGGCGGATTTACCTCCTCATTCAGTCGTGCCTCGGTGATTTCATCCGGCGAAGACCCTTCGATCTGTTGTACATGTTAGACCGACAATCCTTCTAGCCACAAGATAACTCAAGGATTTGATGGGCTGTACCTTTTTGCTGACCCTCACTCCTTCCGCTTCCGCCAACTGGATTGCCCCTCGACGTGTGCTTGCATAAAGCATTTTCTCCTTGATGGATGATCCGGTGGGGCATGTGTATATGAAAATCACCACGTCAGATCCGGGATAATGATAGAAGGTATATCGCGGCGCAGAGTCTGAAATCTTAGAGGCCACGGCGTTCGCAGAGATATTCGACTCCGCAGCGGCGAGTGTGATGGTTTCGGATTTGACAGCAATGGACTGTGTATAGTGAATTAGCAAAGCAATCAACGAAAGTCTTCCAGGGTATTGCAGAACTTACCAGCTGAACCAACCCTCCATCTTGTATAGATCGTAGAGCGGTTTTTGCGTCCTCATCTACAGGCATATTCACTCCAATACCACCCCCTGTGGCAATGCCGCTTGCTCGTGCTAAACTGCCCCCAGTACCAACATCACGCCCCGCTGTTCCATGCCTAGCTTCCTCTTCTGCCCGCCGAACAGCTTCCAATTCCCTCTCCTTCTCGTCCATCAAGTCCTCTCTCTTATACGAAGCATTGGAAGTACCATTGCCCTCCAGGTCGCGCTCCTTCCATGCATCTTCTCCGAATACCTCTTCTTCCTCGGTGGCGAAGATTGTGGTGACAAACTTCTCGCTGCCCAGTTCTCGGGTCAACGTAGCGCGAGTCGAGGCAAATAGTGTCTTGGCTCTAACACCTGCATTAGAGGGGATATATGTCAGGGCTACGAGGCCGATGGAGGGCGAGTGGCGGAGGACTAGGAAGAGAGGTGTTTTGGGCTCGAGGACGGATTGGAGCCGAGGGAGAGACGAGTAGAAGGAGCCCGAAAAGGGAATTGCAGCACGGGGCTTCAGGCTCTCAGAGTTGATGGTAATGGGCAGCGCAAATTGAGAAGTATCCGAGGTAAATGCTTGAAAGGCATCGTGCAACTCAGACGAGACTATACAAGAGAATGGCGGTCAGTGGATTGGCGCTGCGGGGTAGACAAAGGAAAAGAAAGTCTCAAGATTTCCTTGGAAAGACAAAACGCACCCGATATTCCCGACTGCATTTTGCTTGCGTGTCGTGATGGGTTGCGTTTGATACAGTCCCATGCAAGCAATATGGGTGGTGTGTCAGACAGGGCGGACAGATAGGTACCTTGTTTACCAGGCAGCACTCCGCCCCTCATTAATTAGCCCGTCTCCACCTGCAGATAAATCCATTTGCCTTGGAAGTCAGGCATCTCTCCTTCCTATATCGAATAGCTGTAGCTACTCTAACTATGCGGGCGTTTCAATGGTCGTTAATCAAACAATACTACAATAATAAAATAGCGAAACCTCCCAGGTTGCATGCTAACTGTTACGACCTGTCGGACCTAGTAAGTATCTAGTAGTATCAACTCATACGGCCATACTGCTAGTTCTAGTGCGCAAGCCCCCCCCCAACGACCCCCTTAATGCCTATAGGAACAGCCCCATTTAGAATCCACGTGTGCCCTTCAGAGTAAATAATGAGCCGAAAACAAGAATAGTATTCCTGCGAGCAATGTGAAGTTGGCTGAACACGAGAGGAGGTCACGTTGCCCATGCCAAACCCGATTGGTGCTAGCGCCGAGCTTCAAAAAGGCAAACCCGCGCGGCCAGTCCTCACTTGCCTCCTCTCTCTCACTCCTGGCTCCCGGTTCTTGGCTGGTCAATTGCTCTTCATGCCTTCCATCAGTCGTCCATCGCACACTCTGGGCTTTCATCCCCCCTCCGATGGCCGAAACTTGTATTGTGTGCTTAAACGACCTTGGCGGCGACGCCGTGTCTCCTCCCGTCGCCGCCGAATCGCCGCCAAGACTTGATACCATCGTCAACGACAATGACAATGACAATGCCAGCGCTGCCGAACCCAATTCAGATGACACCTCTCGGCAGATCGGTCGCTTGGTGCCTTGTCTCCATATGTTTCACAACGAATGCCTTAAACCATGGGTTGAAAGGGCCAACAGCTGCCCGGTCTGCCGGGCCAGTTTCAATGTAGTCGAACTTCTCGACACTGTTGACGGTAAGTTCTTGTTTTCCTGTAGCCTGATCTCTGGGAAGCTAATGCACGGAATCAAGGTCCCGTTGTTTCAACTTATGCGGTTCAGGATAAGGCCCAAGTCGCCGACATAGACCCCTTCATGATCTTTGAGGAGGAGGTTACGGACGACTCGGATTCGCAGCCTTGTCCTTTCTGCGGCGACAACGACAACGAAGAAGTCCTGTTGCTGTGTGATGGATGTGACGTTCCGTCCCATACCTACTGCTTGGGGTTGGATGCGGTGCCGTCTGGCCCATGGTACTGTGAAACGTGTGAAACTCAGCGAGCTCTTAACGCTGTGTCTGACACACCGAGTAGACTTCATCGCAGTCGCCGCCCGGAACGTCGGACTCGCGCACAACAGCGAATGCTTCGCAACCACAACCAGGCAAATTCCCTCCAGTGGGCTGCAGTGTGGCAATCTATCTACGACCGTCTGAATATTGATCTCGATTTTCCATTCGACGAGGAACAACAGATAAACCGGTCTTTATCACACATTCGTGCCAGAGCATCTCCTCGTCAAGGCTCTCATCGTGCATGGCAGCGTCGTCTGGAGGTAGCGGAACGGCAAGGTGTTGGTCGCAGTTTTAGAGAACCTAGTGCTATAATAGATGAATACGTTCCTCGACCTTCCCGGCCTCGCGTGCCACGTGCTCCGACTCCGCAACCCGAGTCTCTGGAAGAAATGAGGGCCTGGAATGCCTTTGAACGAGCTAGAGAACTGGAAAATGATCCTAGTGCGGCACGCAAACGCAAAGAGCCGACACTTTCGCCATCTCCCGAACCAACAGAGCCTGAAAGGAAGTTAAAACGGCCTCGTACTAGGCGGATAGAAGAATTAGCAGCCATGGCAACAACGCAGAATAACAATGGCGAAGCATCACGCACCGCTGCTCGAGTCAACGCCGACAGTGCCTCTAGTGGGCCCAGTTTCCTCCAGTCCCTACTCAAAGAAGTTGAAGATGCTTCTCACTCTCCGCGAAATGATATCAATGGGTCTTCGAGTTTAGCGGTGAATACGCCTAGCGAGTTCCACAGCACTTCCGGTCCTTCATCACCTTCGATATCTCCAGCATCCTCAAACTGGTCTTCCCCCCGCTTGTCCTCTAGTCCCCCACCCCACTCCCGACGTGGTGTTTCGCCAGTGCAGTTGTCTCACAGCATGGATTCCCCGTCTTCTCCCTCACCAGAGTTTTCCCCCGCGGTCTCTCCCATTCATAGTCGAAGCGAGGATACAGAGTCTCGTGATAGACCGAACATACCACGCCACGAGTCCCACCGACAAAATCGATCTAGGAATGTACGATCAAGCGATGTTTCTCCATCACGCCAGAATCTGCCGCTTTCTGTAAAGACGGCTGTTCAGAAGTTGGTCGGTTCCGAACTCAAGCCTTTCTATCACCGTAAAGTTATCACGAAAGAGGAGTATACAGAAATCAACCGGACAATTTCTCGCAGCCTTTATGATCATGTACACGAAGGCGATGAACTGCAAGCAAGGCCTCTACGAGAGCTCAAAGAACGCGCCCGCAAGGCAGTCAAAGAGGCAGTAGATGCGATTCGAGGTAGTACTTTGCCTAGAGACGACAACTTAGAATTAGGAAATGTGGCGTTGGAAGGAAGTGGTCCTTGATTTGTCATTCGATACAAGATATAAACGAATATATGCATGGCGATGGCGTTGAATGTGGGAGTACTCTCTGGCCACGATTATTTGTATTTTTGTCTTTAAGACAATAGCTTGATCTCTTGGAGTGACTCGATTTATTGCACATATACGGTTGATAGCGCATTGTCTGGTGCTAGACACCCAAAGGGAACCTTGATATATACGAATTCTTTCAGTTACCACACTCCATCCCTGTAACATTATATAATACAGTATCATACAAGTATATACATTAAAAGAAAACCCCTGCAGCAGCGTTGTCAAAGCCTAATCACGTCTCCGGCTGAGCAAAACGGAATTTATTCAACGCGTGATTTCAACAAGCCTTTGGTCGTCCATCCTGAGAAGATTGCTCGCCCTTTTGACCCGCGACAGCCGCTCGCTCATCTTCAAGACTCTGAATCTTGTCGTCCAGAAGAGCAATCTCAACTTCCATGCTCAAAATCTTTTCGTTGAGAATGTGCTTGAAGTCATTGTCTGAAAGAGAGCGTAACGGGATCCATTTGGAATCGGCCATGCGCTGCAATATGGACCTTGATTCCTTCTTGCCTTGGTTGCTCAGATGCCATCTTTCAACCATGTTCCAAGAACCTTGTCCCAGGTAGCTTAGCAAAGAAAAGACGACAAGTCCTGGTGTGAATTTGCCTCCTGGATGAACTGTTAATCATGTTTGCTCAAAAGGGCTTCGTTGTGTTTCTTGAAGTATGCTACCCACCCATCAGTTTGGTGACAGCGCCACCGGAGAGACCGCCAGAGATAGCACTGGCGTATCCCAATTGCTTTTGGGTAGCATTATCTTGATAGTGCAGATGCACAATATTACTCCGTAGCCCTAATTTCCTTTCTCAGTAATGATCCAATCCCTCTTGTGATGTGCAACGATAAAACATGACGGTTCCTTACACCAAAAAGAGGTACCCCAAACACCCCAGTAAATGCTGTGTGATATAGAATGCACGATAGGGTGCTTGGAAGACTTCAAAATGCCAGAAGCGCCTCCATAAATAAGACCACTGCATGCTGTGTTTCCGTCTTAGTTGGATTATGGACGGGCGTGTTGGGTCTAGATGGGATTGACACAAAGACATACCACTTACACCCCCGAATTTGAAGGATGATGAGATGGTCTCAAAATCCATACTGATATTCGTCGTAACGAATCATCCACTTTTCACATTATGGGGAAGACAGTGAGCTGTTGTCGTTGAATCTGCAACGGCAGAGACTAAGAGTGATTGATTTTGGTGTTTGCCATGTTTGCATTTATCACGTGGACGCGCAAATACTGCATACCGCAGGTGCTGCATAACTTGGTTTTCTAGCTGCATGCTTGTAGTCACTGTTCAAAGTTTTTGACGACTCTTTTTTCTGGTCTATGAAATACAATTCATAGTAATGCAGGATCTAAGCCTGGGTTCTGTGGGTTATATGCATGGAATTCTGCGGGTAACCTAGGTATTACTATATACTTTTTGCATGCATCTAGCAGAGAGTGTCTATGCAAAACATGAATTTAAGAGCAGTCCGACTCTCGGCCTCATAAGAATAGCAGACAAGTATACAAGAAATAAAGAATATAAAAAAACGAACGTCAAGCGAAGTGGCAGATGTGGGGGGACAAAAGGGCAACTCTAGGCAGATTGGCTGCACGGGATTGGCTGGCCGGGCCGCACTACTCGTGACTTTTACGGCCATTACTAAAAATTATCTTCACGCCGAATCGACGACTTCCCCCTCTGCTGGATCCCTGCGGAGTTACCACCCAAGCCCTCGTCCATCACCAACCTCTGCGTAGGCTCAAGCGTCCTTGACCTGCTCTTCTCGCACCGAAACACCCTCTCCTGTACTGCCAGATAGACATCGAGTCCTTGGGCCGATTCCGTCTAGCGAGCGAGCCCAAAAGAAAAGTCCTGGGAAAAGACGCGCACAACTGCCCGCGCGCTTTTCCTGCTCCCACCAATTGCAACCATGGGTGCGTCCTTGAAAATTCCCTCCCTGCTGTCGCCTGTCGCTGCCCTCTGGGCTCAAGGATGTTGTTGCTAATCCATGCGTGTAGCGCCAAAACAAAAAGCCCAGAAGATGTCCATCGGGACCTTCTTGGCCGACGAGAGTGGGTAGTGTCGCTTTTATCGAGCGGTCAATTTGGGATTCGCTGACGAACTCTAGGTCTCGGCTCCTGGGCCGATGAAATGGAGGATATGCCCTTGCCTGGTAAGTAGAACTGGTAGCCCCCGATTTGGCTAGGATTGGATTGTTAAACTGACCTTTGAGTTGTTTCGCCAGCCGGTACGCCACCTTCTATATTCCCCCCCCC